ACACACGGCCGTCTGATCCCAAACTAGGCAGAGCCTGTACTACGGTAACCAGACTGCTGATAAACATACTTATATATTTTAAATACATACATATTATAGATAAAGTACACCCAGACACAGAACAAATGACCATGCTTATTACACAATTACCTGTCCTGGGTGGTAATCGAACCCACGACCTCTGGCGTAGCAGTATAAGGTATAATAAGGTTATCAACCATCGTTTCTCCCCAGTATTTTGACACGCTTTATATTAGCTTCACTTGTATGTTTGTTTGTATGTTTGTAACCGACTCCTTTGGGCGTCATTTTGACTGACTTTAAACGGTCAGAATTCGTTCAAACTTTGTAGATATATCGAGGACCGATGACAATACACTAATTAAAATAAATAATAAGCGTTTTGGGTGCTTTTTACTATTGACAACAGGCACCCAACGCTTTTTTTCAAATTTATTTTCTATTTTTTAGTTTGGTTTTCTATAGAAAGCGTGTTTTTTAGTTTTTTAAAACTATAATTTTTCTCTAGTCAATAAACTACGAACCCAGCGTCTACGTTATTTCTTTGGTTATTTAAAAGTACAATAATCCTACCTATTTACTATTAAAACAGTTTTAATTAATATGATACATTATTTATTATGATTATGACGTTTATTTTTTTTAAATAATACTAGCTGACCCCGCAAACGATGTTTTGTCATATACATTTTTGCAAATTTTTTGTCAAAAAAAAATAGGTGTATGAAAAATAGATGTTGGCCGATTCTCAGACCTACCCGATATGCATACAAAATTTCACGAAAATCGGTCTAGCCGTTTCGGAGGAGTTCAACTTTTAACACCGTGACACGAGAATTTTATATATTAGATTATTGTAATTGATATTGACATGAAAATAGATCTCTTATGATGTATTAAATAAGCTGAAACTCATTCTTAATGTAATGTTATTGCATGCCCAAATGTAACATTATTATTATATTTATTATTAATCGCTACAGCAGCTAGCAAAATGTCCTCTCGTGTCGACGTTTGGAACAGCACTGCAGGACGACAAACCACAATAACATACAACATGTTAGATTGCATTGTTATTGTAATATGTACGGTATTGGTATATGTTGCAATATTGGAAAATAGTGTAACATGATGTAGACTTGGTATAAAACATGTTACTAAATCTGTACGCACCTTTAGAAAGGAGGGTTTGGCCTACCATACCACGCTGGCCAGACGAGTTGGTATAATTATATGGTTTTTATCAAGTTTTCCTTCTCTTTGCGGTGCTGTTGTCCTGCATAGTTTGCTCTCATAGTCGGCTTTTACCACACTCACAATAGAGGTGGTGACAGTCTGTATTCTTAATCTGTCACCTAAGAGAAAACGTACGCATACTCACGCTAATATCATATAAGATGTGAGCACAGCATACGTAAGTGCTAAAAGTATACAAAGTATACTTATAGCACTTTAGAAAGGAAATAGGTAAATTGGGTATGGGTAAAATGGGTAAAAAAGAGAAAATAAGGACTCCCCTCATCTCTAGAGTCAGAATAAAGAAACACCCACTCTGTGAAAGTCAACGAAGGAATTGGTTAACACCTGTGAAGCCGTAGTATCAGTCCAATTGGTTCTAGCAGTTGCATGACGTGCAAACTTCTTACTATTTCGGTGACGCGTTACTGCGGTTATTTCTTTTGCCATTCGCTGATACTCTTTTTAAAAGTTTAAAATGTCACTTTCTATGATCTGTGATTATCACTCGTAGAGCTCATATTCTTCGCGGAGTAATTTAATAATGTCATTCTATATTTATCCAAGATGATTGTCGTATTAACAGTAAGTATTTATACTTACATTAGAAAGATAAAGTTTGTTTTTTTCTACTACTTAAAATGAAAAAAACCTTAGTGTTAGCCCATTTATCTTAAATACTACTCTGTCAAGAAAGTACCGGGCAAAGATCAATAATACACAAAATGTTTGTTATTCATCCAAATTTATTTTATCACCTTCAAAGTATGCTCCTTCAGAAACGATACACTTGCGCCAACGAATAGTCCAATCATCGAAACATTTTTTAAACGCTGTTTGAAACGTTTCACGAATTCAGTTCTCGCCGCGAATTCTCTTTTATGTTTTCTACCGATTGAAAACGGGTGCCACGAAGTGGTAATTTGAGTTTAGGAAAAAGAAATAAGTCGGCTGGAGCCATATCTGGTGAATATGGTGGTTGCTCGATGGTATTTGTTGAGTAAGCCTTGTGCAAAGGCGCATTAGCGTGGTGCAAAATCCAAAAATTTTCTTTCTACAAATCTGGCCTTTTCCATCGAATTTGCTCTCCTAAACGATCAAATAATATTCTTTCCTTTGACCCTTTCCGCTTGTTCTTCCGGCAAGAATTCCGAGTGCACAACACAGCGATAGTCAAAGAAAACAGTCAACATAACTTTGACTTTTGATCGAATTTGGAGTGTTATTTTCGGTTTTGGTTCAGTTGGAAGGCGCCACTCCAAAGCTTGTTGACTAGTTTGCATGTCAAACTCGTAAACCCACGTCTCGTCACCAGTAACAATGCGTTTCATGAATGTTGGCTCGGAATTGACTCGTTCTAGCATGTCCTCAGCGACTCTCATGCCATTGAGTTTTTGGAGAAAATTCAGGTCTTTTGCGACTAGCCGAGCGGTAACATGTTTCATACCCAAATGATTAGTTAAAACGGATCGACTCGTGAGATACAGAAAGTTCGGCGGCTATCTCTCTCAAAGTCGAATGAGGATTTTCAGTCACTATTTCCTTTACTTTTGCGATGTTAACTTCAGTTGCAGACGTTGATGGCCTACCAGAGCGAGGCTAATCTCCCATCAAATCTCGACCGCTTTTGAACGCTTTGTACCACTCATAAGCACATGTTTTTGATAAAGTCGATTCACCGTAAGCCTTCTGTAACATTTTCAGTGACTCCGAACACGAAATTCCATTGGCGATGCAAAATTTAAGACAAACTCTTTGTTCGATGTTTTTGTCCATTATGAAATTCGCAATACACACTAGATATGATGTAACTAAAAACATCACTGTATTTAAAATAAATAACAGATGCAACTCAAACTCCGCGCCAAAATGGAAAACAGTTGTGCCAATCTAACAACAACAAAAACAAATATTTCTGCACAGATGGCGTAGTGATTTAAGCGTTCACCACGCCGCTTCCTTCTGCGCCGAGTGTTGTGGGTTCAAACCCAACATGGGACGACACTTTGTGTGATCCACAAATTGTTGTTCTGAGTCTGGGTGTTCTTTGTGTCCCTTTCATGTATGTTTGTAAAGTCCCCCGCGACACAGGATATATTCCTAATGAGGGAGTTGTCTTTTTTTAAAAAGAAAAAAAAAGAAAAGAAAAAGAAATATTTAAATTTGGAACCATAAACAAGTCATCAATTCCCGATACTTTTTTGACTGAATGTATAACTTTACGCTACGACCAAATAGGAGACAAGTATCACTGTAAAATGTTGCAAAAACGGGGAAAATATGTCCTTTTAAAAGACCCAGACGAAGTAGAGTCGGCTACTAATTTATATTTTGCTTGCAGGTTCTCACAAGAGCGCAGATTTTTGCTCTCGATGAAGAAGTAAAGAGATATCTACCATTATTTAAATTATGCCTGTGTACGGCGAAGACGGGTGGTTGGGAAAGAATTTTAAACTAATTACGGGTGTGTTGTTCGCGTTGCTATCTGTTTTGACACTCATATATTTTGCGATTTTAAATATGAAAAAACGAACTTAACAAAAACAGTCTTGCTTTTTATTGTATTAACCAACTTTCAAAGCATAAGGACGTACTTATCAACAGCTTTTAAAACTCCACTGCTGGACATAGGCCTCTCCTTAGAAAGGAATTTTTGACCTACTATACCACGCGGGCCAAACGGGTTTGTATAAGGTTTGTTTCAAGTTTTCTCTCTCTTTGCAGTGCTGTTGTCCTGCGTAGTTGCCTCCCTTAGTCGGCTCTTACGACATCCACGGGATGAATATGGTGGTGACATTCCGTATTTCTAATCCGTCTCCACACTGACAGGAGGTTCTCATTCCACTGTTTTGTTTTTAATGTTTGTATTACGATTTCTACGTTAATTTTGGAATGATTTTCAATACTATTTTTATATTCGAAAAGGTATAGTTCTGAAGTTATAAAAGGCTCGATCGGAGTGATACCACGGCCTCTCAAGCAACCGGTGTTAAGAAGTTTTTAAAAGACTTCAAAATGGAGGAGTTTATCAATTCGGATGATTATATGTTTTTTTATGTATGTTCGGGCATAACTCCGTCATATTTAGACGGATTTTCAAACATGTTTTTTTTATTCGAAAGAGGTTTATCCCCATTTAAATTTCATATAGATCTGATAATGAGTTTCGGAGACAGACAACGTTGAAAAAATGAGAGCAAATCAACCGCTTCTGCTCCTAGGTTTTACTGCTCTTTGTTAGTATTGTTTGAAGTCGGTTCAACTTTAAAAACAAAAAGGATTCATTCTTGTATTTAATAAGAAAATGTGGGAAAGGAATATTGTTGCAGGGAAAGTCACGCCATCTTTCTTCAACAAAGCCAAAAATAATAAAAAGAAAATATATGACGAGGTAGTACGATCATTATCCTCAATAGGGCCCCTAGTTCCTCACTTACTAACTGCGGGCGTCGATGGGTAATGTTGGCGCAACGAAACAATTTAGTTCTCTAGCTTAAATTATAATGTCCAATGATTTCACAATGTAGATTATTACAAATAGACACACGACTATAGCTAAACGTATATCGCCAGGAACGCGTGACGGTTTCAATATGCGACCGCTCTGTCCGACTGCCACACAACAAGTGTTCATGTGCGCCATTCGGCCTTTAAACATTGACTCCGTCAAGCGCCGATAGGTGGCGCTGGCGTTTCGGATATTACGTAATTGCGACATATATGTATCTTTGTGATACATTAATTTAATGAATAGAAGCCCGTCTTAATATAAAACGTCTGATAACATTCAGTTCGTTTCTCAGCTCCTCAATATCATTGTTAATTTTCTCAACAGTATCATTCAAAAGAGTAATATTCATAGTCCACTCCTGCTGTTCCGGCTTCTCCTCCTTCCGAACCACTGCCTCATGTATCTGATCCAGTTTAAGATGGTACGCCATCGATCCTAACTCATCTTCCATCTGCTTCTTCTGCAGCTGAGCTTTTTCAAATATGGACTGTCTTAAATACTTCGGCAGTATCTTGGAGTAACCACATTTCGCCTCTGGTCTCAAAACTATTTTGTGCAAAATTTTCTTTCTCATCGGCAAACCTGAATTAAATTTACGAAATATCTTATGACAGACAACATCCTCCAGTGATGTTAAAAAGTCCACCTGCTTTTCCAGCCTCTTCTGATTTCCTATATCTGCTAGAGTGTTCACATCGTTCACTGCTACTCCTACCATCAAGTTCATGAAAACTATGGAAGCTAGGATAACGAAGGTGATAAATACTAGACGCAGTACTAATATTGATGCAGCAATGTCTTTGGCATGTTCTTTGTTGATCATGGACATGTAGTCATACTCAGATGTCATCATGACTAAGGTTTTCGTGATGGATGCCCATATACCCTCAAATGGCGGCTTCGCGCGAAATTGTATCATGAAGCAGAGGGAAAAGCCAATGATTAGGAACATGAATGTGAGCAGGATCTGGAACAGATATGAGAAATAATTTGCTATCAGCTGGCAAGAAATTTACACTATATGTTCTGTGTCTGAGTGTAAGTGTTCTATAATATGTATGTATTTAGCAATATTTAAGGATATTTTTATTGCTGATAAAAATATCCTTAAATCTGGTTACCTTAGTACAAACTTGAAGAATTTGGAATCAGACGTTAAAAACATTACATTTAGCCACAACAAATCATCATCATCATCATCACACAGTTATGTGTCCTGTATGGGAATCGAACCTCTGACGCGGCAGTCAGGATCACTAACCATTAAAGTAACAGGTGCGTTACTCCTGCTGTTCTTTGAAGATAACTTATTCCTCGCTTATCAGAGAGAAATTCACGGTTTTTTCAATGGCAGAAATAAAACCTACCTTAAATACTTTACTTGCGACCTTCCCAAACATCAGGACATAAAACCCCCAGTTTGGAAACCTGGATAGTAAGAACATGAATTCCAACCACGACAGGAGCAGTGCTATAGTCGCTATGAGACGCGTCCACTCTGCGGTTGACTCCGTCCCAGGCAAGATGTCTATTCTCTCCCAGGAGACGAAGCTGGGCAAGAATATTGAGAGACCAATTGCTCCGAACTTGACCCAGGTCTCCAGCAACAGGAAATATCTTCTATTGTTGATCTTTATGAAAATGATCTCCTGAAAAGTTATTGCACAATAGTAGTTTTATATGGTATAGGAAGGGAAAAGAGAAGACCTGTCACCTAATGGTAAGTGATTACCGCCGCTCATGGAAACCTGGCCTTTGAATCTTCCTCCTAGTATCAGGGGAAGGAAGGGCTCCTATGGGCTTCTTATGCTATGAAAAAGTAACTGCAATTTCGCTGTTACTTTCTTATTGAAACCTTCTTTCATAGGAGAGGCCTATGTTCAGCAGTGGACTATCATAGGCTGTTGATTTCTTATTGGAGGGCAAACCAATTATTTTTTAAAGACAACTTCCCCACTAGAAATATAATACTGTATCGCAGGGGGAATTATAAAAAAACATAAGAAACGGACACAAAGAACACCCATATTCAGAACAACAATTTGTGGATCACACAAAGTGGGTATCGAACCTACAACACTCAGCGTAGTAGGAAGCACATAGGTGACTTCTGCAACCACTAAGCCATCTGTGTACAGGACACTTTAGAAATTAGATCAGGAAAATGGCAGCAAATTAAAAGAAAATATAGATAAAAAGGAAAGACTGACAATTAGATTTAGGTTGAAATTGATTTCAAACATTTGTTTACACAGTCAGTTACAAGTGGAGTTAATAATAGTGTTCAAAACAAAAAGGAAGCTTACCTGCAAAGTTACCAGGCTAGCGGTAATATATATCATGTACTTCCACACGTCTGAACGTAAATAACCTGGAACTGGTTTAATTGTATAACTGTTGAAAGAGTAGTTCGTAGCATGAACCACATTCAGCTTATTTTTATCTTGATAGAAGAACACAGATACGACATACACATTCAGTGAAATAACGAACAACCCGAATAACGCTATTATTGCATAGAAGAACGGCACCAAAGCTCTCCACTTCAAGTACAGGAAACTTTCCACCAATGGATGATGAAGTAGCTTTCTCTGATCGTACCTATTTCCTGTATCAACTAGAGCCTTCAGCACTTTCATTTGCTTCCCGTCCGAAGACCTTGGCACCAAAATAGCATAATTAACTGTAACCTGGCATTCTTTATCCTGAAGATTATATATGTAAGAATCGAAAACCTCTTCCATGTACGCAGCTGGTTTGGATAAGTTAATCATGACCATTTCCACAGGAGTTTGTTTGATTTTGGGATGCCAACTCGGCTGAGACAGATCAGCACCTTTGTGAATGAGTAGAGAAATTATTTCTCTGTGCCCTCGAATACACGCTTCATGTAGAGGTAGCAAGCCCCTGCTATTTGGTTTATTGATAGTTTCTCCATCGAATTCGATAATCATTTTTGCTATTTGAAAGTGATTTTTTACTGCAGCGATATGCAAAACAGTCGTTAGTTCTTCTGATTGCCAAATTTCATCTTGGAATGGTACCAAATCGTTGAGTTTGTCACCTTTACTCAATAATATTCTGACACAGTCTGGATAATTGTTGATAACTGCATACGTTATTGGAGGACACCTATTTGCCGTCATTAACGTGGATATAATTCGGTTTTCGTGGTTTAGTAAGTATTCTAAGATGTCTGTGTATCCATAGCGAGCGGCGATATGTAAAACAGTTTGGTGATCAGGTAAAACAATGCTTAAAGATGCCCCATTGTCAATCAATATTTTTACTATTTCTAAGTTATTTTGCATGATGGCAACGAAAAGAGCCGTTTGGCCTTTCTGGTTGCGGTAGTCGATGGCGTATTTAGCAACGCTCAGTATATGTTGGAGAATGTGTATATCGCCCACAGCTGCTGCTGAGTGAATAGGGGAATCCCCATCATTTGCCTGCAAAATTGAGTTCATATTTAATTTGGCATCGGATTAGTAATCTATAGCTGAATTGTGGGAGACCTATTTATGTTTCTGCACATGTTGTCCTTCTGGACAGAAAACCAGTTTGGAGCAGTTCTATTGTTGTTTTTCAAATAATGAAGTTACTGGAAGCCATATCAAATTCAAATTCAAAATATCTATATTTCATAAAAAATAAATTTGAAATCGTCTTTTATGTAGACTCTTAAAGTCGTAGATCAACACACACAATAGCAACAATCTCTGTTTTGTCAAATAGTTAGGTTTTTGTTTAAATAAAAATCATGCTCACCTGACAAGGGGTTGAGCCTTATGAGAAGAAAGGGCAAACAAACTTATGGCAATATCCGGCCTCTCCCCCTAAGTGTTGGGTTAAAAGATGACAGCACGCTTGTGTCACTTGAGTTGTAGGAGTCCATGAGTGGCGGTAGTCACTTACCCAGATGACCCGTCTGTTCGTTTGTCCCCTATACTATAAAAAGAATCCGGACAATTGCGCGTCGGACTCGCCCGCCGAGGGTTCCGTACAAATGTGTAGGTACATATAACAAATAGTTCAAGAATCGAGTCTAGCAGTTTTTTTTTCAAACTTTTCCAGAAATTCAGTTTAAAAAGCTATTATTACTTTAATTATTGTGTTTTATGCGAGAAAATAAACCTCGCGTTGTATCTTTTTTATGTTTATTTATTTTAAACATAATGCACATGTTGTACAAAGGCAGACTTAATGCCATTAGGCATTCTCTCCCAGTCATGTAGATGCCTTCAGGTGATGTAGAAATATGATGCGGTAGGTGCAAAATAAAATATATACATATACACATATATAAACACACATACATACTTACATACCTACATAAATTTAATAAAATATTTAAATACTCAGAAGAAGATCGCGTACTTTTCTCTTGACTGCAAGGCGGTTTGTGGACATCCTGATTTCGGAACTTAGAAGTTTGATTTTTCACAGCGGCAAGGAACTACAGACCTGAATATTTGGTTTTAATTTCATCTCGATACCTCCACGCGTTACCGAGATGAAGGGTCCTGACAGACGGACGGACAACAAACCCTTAAGGGTTCCGTTTTTTTTCTTTGAAGGTACAGAACCCCAAAAAGCTTTTATGTTAAAACATACCTTGAAAAACGCTTTTTTACGGTAAAATTATTTTTCTTTTTGCACTTATCAAAAGCGTGACTGTGTTTTATTTTTTTACTATAATTTATTTTGAATTTTTTAGTCATTATTGACGATTAATATCTTATTAAAACAAAAAAGTAACAAGTTAGTTGATCACATATGCTCCAGCACACGCCTTAGTACGTGGCAAAAGACACTACCGTATTTTTACACGCTTTATATAAGCTTCACTTGTATGTTTGTAACCGACTCCTTTGGGCGTGAGTTTGACTAAACGGTCAGAATTCGTTCAAACTTTGTAGGTATATCGAGGACCGATGACAATACACTAATTAAAAAAAAAATTATAGTTTTGTGCGTTTTGGGTGCTTTTTACTATTGACAACAGGCACCCAACGCTTTTTTTCAAATTTATTTTCTATTTTTTAGTTTGGTTTTGAAAGCGTGTTTTTTAGTTTTTTAAATCTATTTTTTTTAGGTATGGAAAAGCCGTTATTCCTGAAGGTCCTGATCAGGATAATGGGACAAACTATTTAAATTATTGTATTCTCATCGGTCCTTGATAAGTGTGCAAAGTTTCAATATAATTCGACGTTTTAATGTGGGTCTAAAACACGTTCGAAGATTCCTTTACATATTTCTTTTTTTTTTTTTAATTTGTTCATGGCACAAGGTTACAGTTCATGTAAATACAGTAACAGTGAAGAAAACCACAGGTGGTTTATGTATCACTGCCATCACTCGCTTTGTATGTAGTACATTGCAGATGATTATTATTATTATAATTTTTCCTTTTATACATAATTTTATATTTATACATATATATATATATACACACATACATATATATATATATACATACACATACCTATACATACACACGTACACATACACACACATATACGTGTATATGCAGTCTGTAATAGTTTCACCTCATTCCTCTATAAGGTAAACTTTTTTGAGAAGCGTTTTACATTTTTACATTACATTTATACGAGTACATACCAAACTAATGAAAGCGTGTTAAAAATCTGACGTACAGGCTTTAATTTAGTTTGGGATCAGGTCTGACATTTGTTGACCTTTACAGGGCCAGCCATTTCAAATAATTATGTTAGTTTTTTGACATAACTTTTTTAAATCTAAATTATGAAAATTGGCATTCTAGTAAAAAATAGGGTTTGTTTTAAAATGTAATGAAAATCATCATCATCCACAGCCTTTACTAGTCCACTGCTAGAAATAGGCCTCTCCATAGAAAGGAGGTTTTGGCCTACTATACCACGCTGGCCAGACGGGTTGGTATAGGGTTTGTGTCAAGTTTTCCTTCTCTTTGCAGTGCTGTTGCCCTGCGTAGTTTGCTCCCTTAGTCGGCTCTTACGACATCCACGGGATGAATTGGGGTGTTGACAATTTGTATTCTTAATCCGTCACCACACGGACACTGTAATGAAAATAACAACTACTAATAATACAATTTTCTAGAAAAATCACATGCTTCATTTTACTTTCAGCGCCTATCAAACAAACACTGAATAATTTAAAATCTAAAATACATATTTTTTTTTCTTGAATGTAGTAATAATAATTAGACGATGTAGTATCCAAATATGGTAAAAACTGAATTTCGTATTTTTTTCAAAATGTGAATAATGTCTATTCGACGATCATGACGAGATGGCCGTGTGGGAGATGTGTTATTGTTATAAGTTGTGAGATTTGTTGTTTTAATAAGTTATTGTCATTAATTATTTACCTTCATAAAAACACTGGCCCCAGCGCCCAGAGCGATGCAGACACCATCCGTCCAATTGGTCCTCACAGCTGCATGGAGGACGGTCTGGCCCATATCATCTTTGGCGTCCACTGTCGCCAAGTATGGATCTTGGTCGTTGTATTCATAGTTTGCCAAAAACTGCAAGCATTTACATTATATATTAGATATTAACTCAATGTTATGAACTAGCACTTCTCTAAGGCGTCCTAGCATTACTGTAGTATTTCGTTAAGCCGTACAATCGGCTAAGTGTTTTTTGAATCCCTCAGCAATGGAAGACACCCTATATCCTCTTTGGTGGATAGCCATCATTTGGCATATCCGGGTCAGTTTTTTTTTATGTTAGAGGGGGCAGACGAGCAGACGGGTCACCTGATGGAAAGTGACTATCACCGCCCATGAACAGTTCCACCGAAATGGTACACGGCCTCACTTTCTGCTGAGCTGAGTATTGTAGGTTCGATCCCCACATGGGACAACACTTTGTGTGACTCACAAATTGTAGTCCGAGCCTTCTTTGTGTTTGTTTCATAAATATTTGTAAAGTCCGCGGCGGCACGTGATATATTCGTACACAGGGAGCTGACTTTTTTTAAAAAGGAAAAAGAAAAAGCCGTGTGGTGTCGTGGGACACCCGATAGGAACGAAGTTGAGACGATCGAGTAAAACTGATTCGACACGATTTTAATTACAACGCCATCTATGAAAGCGGCTATTACCTACATATTTTTCAGTTGGTTTCTAATTAAAACAATTTATACATTGTTAAATCTCCTTGAGAAATGATGTCGAATACAATATTTTTTGCTCAACCTAAGAACATAAATTTTAATTTTACTGAGATGAAAAGTAATGATTTCCTATCTATTCGATAGATGGCGCTGAATTACTGACAAGTGACAATTCAAAATAAAAAGTGTCGTTACAACTTTTCGTGAGGTTTTTTCCGTCTAGCCCCCTTTCACAACGCGCGATATGGAACTTCGTTCCAATACTGACTTATTATATAAATACTATTGACAATATCTACATAAATTAGAAGTTATATTAAGGTGCATAATCAATAACCTGTAATAGTTCTTTGAGGCGCTTTTCCACACAAACGTGCAATGCTGTGAGGCCATTTTCGTTAAGACAAATAGGCGAGGCACCAGCGTTTAGCAGTTCTTCAATGGCTTCTTTGCTTTCCAACTCCACAGCAGTATGCAGAGGAGAGTTCACGTTGTTGAGGCAGTTCCCCAGTGTACTGCAGAACTTCCCACTAGCTGCTAGAAGCATTCTTATGGTTTCTTTGAAGCTAAAAGAGAATTTTGAGAATTGAGAAATTTCAAAGATACTTTTTTAAAAGATTTTTTTTCCCGTAGAGTGGCCCAAAATCGATCTAAGTGGAGATGCAATGGAAGAGGCCTATGCCTAGCAGTGGACTGCGATAGGCTGATGATGATGATGATGATAATGACGTCGCTTTTAGGCACTTGACTTTTTAGGTTTTGGGCACAAATGCGGCGGCTCGACCGGAGTAATCCTACGGCCTCACATAATATACACAGAGTGAGTGAGGTTACTGTAGTCCCAACTACTTGGTTACTGAGAACCCAAAGCATTTAATGCTCTGTCTGTATTCTTAATCTGTCACCTAAGAGAAAACTTACGCATACTCACGCTAATATCATATAAGATGTTAGCAGAGGCGTGCTAAACGAACATACTTTGAGGACAAATTTTTAAATTGCAGGTGTACCTGGGTGGAAGTAGTCACTTACCACCAGGGGCGGGTCCCCTGGTGGTAAGTGACTACTTCCACCTCTCCTTCTCTGCTCGTTTGTCTCACTACCATGACAAAAAAAACAGTGGCACTCCGGGTGTGCTGACAGAAGTAAAAAAAATATGATTATAACAAGTTTTTTTTGACGTGACAACGTTTTATAATTCGATGGAGCCGGCTGCACGCACGAAAAAACATGACGCATGCGGCGTTACCTCGCTCTGAGGCGTTCCATTTAAGGCTTGAAGTGCAAGCGAGAGCGCGGAACGAGTGACAAAGAGGCACAATCGGCCTCCGCGTTCGGCAGCGTTCGACATCTGTCTCTCTCCTACTTGAGTGAGCGATGCGTCCGCGTGGACAGCTGCTACTCGTATACAATAATACATTTTTGAAAAATGCAACCATTCCATCAGTATTTTCTTATGACGTTGTCACGTTCAACTATCGTCAGTAAACCGACTTTACAGACAACCGATTTTTTTTTGTTTTATTTCGATTCCGACGTGAATATATAACAATGTTGTACGTATGTACACGATATATGTTTATATTTTATATAGTATTATTATATTATATATATTATCAACTAGCTGACCCGCGCAACTTCATCTGCGTCTCTCAATAGTAATAAATTTTCTCCGTTTTTGAAACATTTTTCATTGGTGCTCCGCTCCTATTGGTCTTAGCGTGATGATATATAGCCTATAGCCTTCCTCAATAAATGGGCTATCTAACACTGAAAGAATTTTTCAAATCGGACCAGTAGTTCCTGAGATTAGCGCGTTCAAACAAACAAACAAACAAACAAACTCTTCAGCTTTATAATATTAGTATAGATGTATTTCAACCCAAACTCAACTCTCGTGTAAACGGAGCCAATATATTATGTAGATACTTATATATAGATGTGTCGGTAACGGTCACAGTGTCGCGAGTTCAACGGTTTTCCCATCTCAAAAAATACATTCTTTTGTTTGTTGTTCAAAAACGCCTAAAGCGTCTAAGGAAGTAATCATTTCAAAAAACTTGAAAAAGAAGAACGATATAACGTAAAGAGACGAATATAGAAAGAGTTACGTATATCATATTTATCCATGTGGTGATGGATTAGGAATACGGAGTGTCACCACCCATATTCATTCCGTGGGTGTCGTAAGAGCTGACTAAGGGACAAACTACGAAGGACAACAGCACTGCAAAGAGAAAGAAACCTGGAACAAACCTTATACCAACCCGTCAGGCCAGCGTGGTATACTATACCACGCTGGCCTGATGAGGCCAAAATCTCCTTTCTCGGAAGAGGCCTACGTCCAGCAGTGGACTATTAAAGGCTGTTGATGTGATCTGATGATACAATATTTATCTGACTCACTCGTGGGCATCAATATTGTGTCTTGAATAGTGTGCTGACCCCACTACATCAAGCGGGGTTCTCGCAATAAGATCACGGGCGCAGGGGTCGGCTCCAGCAGCGAGGAGCAGCTGGACACAGGTGTACTGAGCACGAGCGCTTGCTGAGTGCAGAGCTGTCCAGCCCGGCGTGAAACGCGGTAGCTGAACAATAACATTAGTATAAATCCAACGCCATCTAGCGAAATGAATCTGCATTACATAGGGACTAGTGATCTTAAATCACACAATAAAAGCATTTGGAATACTGTTAATATTCAATATCGACTATTACCAGTTTCAAGGGTTCAATTTTTTCTTTTTTGATAGAGAGGCAAACGAGCAGACGGTTAACCTGATGGGAAGTGATTACCGGCGCCCATGAACGTCTGCAACTCAGGAGTCACAAGGAGTACGCTCTTAAATGGTTTAAAATAAACTTTTGAGGAGAAGGGAGGTTGGACATTTTTTGGCGTGCCAATCTGCGCTTGAAAAAGGAGAGACTCGCTTAAAGCTTTTTTTAAAACATCCGGACTCTTAGCGTCTGACTGCAATAGCGCGAGCAGCATCTTAAAGAGTCTATTAAGGCGACATCCAAGCACACATGGACTTCGTTTCCTCGTAGCACGCTATTATCGTAGTTGGAGGAGAAACTCGCACACTCAGGGAGGAGGGATTGATCTTAGAGAACCTCACTTATACCTTGAAATAATAATGAAAGAATTGTTTGACAGCAGTTTTCTCTGAGGCAGTGCCATGACTACAGTCGAGCCGGTTCATTTGTGACTGCATATGGCTCTACCATGGTAGATCTATAAATAGAGAGAACTCCTTACGTTTTCTTTCTGACGTCTGCAGTTGTGTTCCATGCTGTCGAGCCAAGAGTTCGGCAGAAAATCCAACGTGCCAATGTTGCAAGGTGTGTTCGTCAGACGATGTGTCACAGAGCTGTATTTTTTTATTTCCTTCTCAGTTTCTGGACATATTCCAACTGCGACTTTGTTTTGTAGATCTGTAATTTTTTTGGAAATAATCACCACGCGATCTTTAGATATTATTGACTACATATACACACCATGAGGTGACCCGTCTAACACACACTCAATCACACACGCACGCACACACTCGTACACGCACGCGCACAATTTGATGGCAGATGCAACTCCCTTTAAACATTCAGTATACCTGTTTAAAGGGAGTTGCATCTGGCATCAAACTGTAAAGCAGCGGGCAGAAAAATGATATTTCTGTAGCATGACACCCATGGGATGAATAAGGGGTAGTGACACTCCGAGTTCCTTTCTAGGGTATACCTGGTTCCCCGGCTATTAGTACCCGAGACGGCGTGCGGTTTCAGTCGGTTCGAGTCCGACATGCCACCGATAGGTGGTATCCGAGGGGATTTCGGCAAGGAAAAAAATAAAAAATAGGGGTAGTGACACTTCGTATTCTTAATCCGTCTCCAAGCGGATTATCTGGTACAATAAAGAATTTGTTTAAAAAAAACATACCTTCTGGTAAATCCAGCAAAATAGCAATTTGCCTGGGATTACCAGCCCACGCAGCCAAATGAAGAGGCGTCCGGCCAATCTTATCCGTTCTGAAGCTGTGGGCTTTTGCCTCGATCAGCAATGATAAGGAATTGTTGTCCATCATGGCAGCGACGTGGCAGGCCGACACATGGTTGAGACGACATGTTGCATTCGGATCAGCCTCCAGCGCCAGTAATCTGTATTATATTAAGCGACTTCGACTTTTTGACAACGTCTTATAATTCGATGGAGCCGGCTGCACGCACGAAAAAACATTATTCATGCGGCATTACCTCGCTCTGAGGCGTTCCATTTAAGGCGTGAAGTGCAAGCGAGAGCGCGGAACGAGTGACAAAGAGGCACAATCGGCCTACGCCTTCGGCAGCGTTCGATATCTGTCTCTCTCCTACTTGAGTGAGCGATGCGTCCGCGTGGGCAGCTGCTACTCGTATACAATAATACATTTTTGAAAAATGCAACCATTCCATCAGTATTTTCTTATGACGTTGTCACGTTCAACTATCGTCAGTAAACCCACTTTACAGACAACCGATTTTTATTTTTATATTTATTTTCTTAGAACTCCGTCCTTTATTAACTGATTTCGAAAAATTCTTGTTTTATTTGAAAGAGTATACCCGTTTAGTCCCATTTAAATTTGTGGGAAAAAGTCCACCCCTAATGGTGGAAAATTAAGAAATCCATACTATCTACTACTATTATCCATACTGTCTGTTATCTCTTCAGGCTTAAACCGCTGAACCGATTTACATGAAATTTGGCATAGAGATAGTTTGAGACTCGGCACTGGACACAAAATAGTTCTTATCCCTGAAATCATCCTTTAAAGGTGCGGAAAGGGGGGTGGAAATCAATAAGTGCTGAACCAATTCAGATGAAATTTGGTATTTAGATAGTTTGATTCTTGATAAAGAACAGCGATAACCGACATGCACGCTGGGGAAAACCTAGTGACTATATATTACAGTTAAGCAACCCCTCTGTTGCTTTCATCAAGTGAGCGACGTAACCAGACCCTAACCCCCTCTAGGGGTGTGGGCACACAAAGAATGGTAACGCACTTGTATCTCTTGAGTTGCAGATTTCCATGAGCGGCGGTAATCACTTACCATCAGGAACCCAGTCTGCTCGTTCGTCCCCCTATTCTATAAAAAGACCATTCAGGTGGCTTACCTGGCTACTTCCTGTGTATCACCGTTTTCAACAGCTTCCAGAAGTCGGGTGTTCAGTTTCCCTATACGATAAATTCCTTTCGGGAATGTCCTCGGCTGCGAAATCTCTGACCAGCCGTGTGAGTTATTGTATACCCCTTGAGCTCTCTTCTCGTAGGAGAAGTAAATAGATTCATTTTGATCGACCGACTTAGTGGAGTTTATTATCATCCTGTGAACAGTGGTGATTATCACTTTATCACAAATTGGCAGGCTCGACGGAGTGATGCCACAGCCTCACAGAAAACTGGAGTTAAATAAACGTCCACCCCATATTCTAGGGCGTAGAACAGTAAAAGGACGGCAACCATAGAAATTGTAATAATAACATCTTATAAGTGTCTTATTATTACGATTTCTGTGACGGCAACTTACTGGCGGCGGTCCGCGGCAGTCCTTTATTCTCATAACAATTAAATTATCAAAATATTATATTCGCAAACAAATACATTCGTTAATTATTTAATTTTCTCATAATATTAGAATTACAATAAAACTCAGTAAAAATTAAATTATATTTTAACATCAAAAATTAAAAGATGGTATATGACTCAATAATTTATAGAAGGTGATTTAACGAAACTAACTTACTAAACATTTTCACACATCACATCACATCAACAGCCTATGATAGTCCACTACTGGACATAGGCCTCTCCTTAGAAAGGAGGTTTAAAACTATCATATTTAAGTATTTTACTAATAAAGTAAAAGATAAATCAAAGTTTTTAATTTTTATTAGGGTTCCGTAACCTCAAAAGGTAAAAAGAAAGAGATCCCTTATAAGATCACTTTCTTGTCCGTCTGTTCGTGTGTCACATAAAAATCAAGGTCCTGAGTCAACACGATAAAAAGATATAGGCAAATTTCGATATTCGCGAAAACTTGTAAGTACCAAAATTTACCTTAATTTTCAACTTTTTTTATTTTTCAGAATTTTCTCTTGACTTGTGCTGTAAGACCTTGCTTTTAACCAAAATTGACAATTCTAGGTCAACCGGAAGTACCCTATAGGTTTTGGGTCGAAAACCTATATGGTAGTTGCCGCTAGAATTACGAAAGGCAAAAGAAACGTCTTAAAGCACAAATAAAGGGATAATTCCAAATAATAAAAAACAATGAAAATTAAGATAAATTTTGATACTTACAATTGTTCGCGAAAATGTACGTAAAACCTGGGTAGGTATGGAACCCTCGGCGCACGAGTTTCACTCGTACCTGATCGTTTTTTTTACCAATGTGATTTTGTTTGATTAACAGTCTGTGGAGGACATGTACAAGACGCTGCACTGGAATGGGCGTGGCATAAATATAAATGATCTCTCACTTTTACAGACGACATCGTCATCATGGCAGAGACGTTGCAGGACCTACAGCAGATGCTGAATGACCTAGCTAACACTTCTGTACGCATCGGCCTACGGATGAACTTGGATAAAACCAAGGTCATGTTCAACGAACATGTACTACCGGAACCTATTGCAATACACGGTGCCGTTCTCGAAGTTGTTCAAAATTATGTGTACCTCGGGCAGACATTGCAGTTAGGTAGAAACAACTTCGAGGACGAGGTGAACAGAAGAATTCAGTTGGGTTGGGCAGCGTTTGGGAAGCTACGTCGAGTCTTCTCATCGTCGATCCCACAGTGCCTAGAGACAAAAGTCTTTAATGAGTGCGTCCTACCCGTCATGACATACAGAGCCAAAACGTGGACACTTACGGAACAACTGGTCCACAAGTTCAAAGTCGCTCAACGTGCTATGGAAAGGGCTATGCTCGGCGTTTCTCTAAGGGATCGCATCATTAATGAGGTGATCCGGCAGAGAATCAAGGTCACCGACATAGCCTACCGGATCAGCAAGCTGAAGTGGCAGTGGGCTGGCCATATTAGCCGCAGAACCGACAACCGTTGGGGAAAACGAGTTCTTGAGTGGAGACCGCGTCTCGGTAAACGTAGTGTAGGACGCCCACAGGCCAGGTGGAGTGACGATTTGCGCAAGATGGCTGGCAAGAGCTGGATGCGAGAAGCTCAAAATCGATCTAAGTGGCGTGCAATGGGAGAGGCCTATGTAAAGCAGTGGACTGCGATAGGCTGATGATGAAACAGTCTGTTCAGTTACCATCAGATAAGCCGTCCACTTATTCGCCCCCTTTTCTGCCAAAAGAATGCCTTAAAACTAAAACAGTGAACACATACCTTGTCTCCTGTTTTGGGTCTAAGCTCTTTGACTTAGCTGCATGACGTCTGCCGCTGCGTTTTCGACGTACGACCTCCGTTTCTTCAGGATTGATACTTTTCTTAGCTCTTTCTAAATCTGTGTGAAATAAAGAGTTATTTGAAGAACTCTGTGGCGCATTCCACTACAAAATCCGTGGTCTCAGGATCAATTTCCAGTTATTATGATACTATTACATACACACATCACCTGGGCCTCAATTCTGCTATATTATGCTGATTATATATTTTAAAAATAAATAAATCGTTTCCTTAAAAAAAAGTAATATATTTTCAAATTAAGGAAATTATTTATTTATTTTTTCAAATATGGCAATCTTTTTGATATCACCACTGATGAGCCACTGCCATTCCATAGCCACTGTAAAGACACTGAGTTAGTGTAGACTACCGATATTTATACCGATGCCAATGGCCACTCGATGGCATCTCAATAGCGTGTCAGTGGTATGACAGTGGCTTGGTGTGAACATAAAATAGCAGAATTGAGGCCGTGAAGGTTGACTGGGAGAGAATGCCTAATGGTATTAAGTCCGCTTGTACATGTGCATTAGGTTTTAAATAAATAAATACTACAGCTGGTAACATTTCAAGTTTGTAGCTCCAGCGGTTTAAGTTCTTCGTTGATGTCAGTCAGGTGATCAGTCAGAACAAGTAGTTAGGTATTGGTGGAGGTTGAACAGTCCATTATATGTTAACTAGCTGACCCGGAAAACGTTGTTTTGCCATATACATTATTTCTAGGGAATATTGAAAAAAAAAAAAAAAAAAAAAAAAAAAAAATTTAGGGGTCACCCTTGCCATGTCGGGCACCAGGGCCTTCCTTTCTAGGGTATACCTGGTTCCCCGGCTATTAGTACCCCTACTACTACTACTACCCCTACCCCTACCCTATTAGTACCCAGCTATTAGAAGGCGTGCGGTTTTAGTCGGTTCGAGTCCGACATGCCACCGACAGGTGGTATCCGAGGGGATATCCGCACGGGAAAAAAAAAAAAAAAAAAAAAAAAAAAAAAAAAAAAAAAAAAAAAAGGGGTCACCCTTGCCATGCACACAAAATTTTATAAAAATCGGTCCAGCCGTTTCAGAGGAGTAAGGTAACTAACATTGTGACACCATAATTTATATATAAGACTAGCTGACCCGGCAAACGTTGTTTTGCCATATACATTATTTCAATCTTTTTTCTCAAAAAAATAAAATTAGGGGTATGAAAAATAGATGTTGGCCGATTCTCAGACCTACCCGATATACACACAAAATTTCACGAAAATCGGTCGAGACGTTTCGGAGGAGTTCAACTTCTAACACCGTGACACGAGAATTTTATATATTAGATTATATGTTAAGGAGGTGAGATAATTTAATAAAAATAAACAGCAGGTTTCTGCAGTTCTAGAAGAAGTTCGCAAGAGAAAGGATACTATTGCCACTCCCTCGCACTCCTGGATGGCTTGGCTTGGTGAAAGACCTGTTGGTCTAGTCAAGTAGTTAATCCTGACTGGTCAGATTTTTATTTTAATCAAACGACCCCTGGGGTCCTGAACACGATCATTTGTTATGTATACGGGTGTAATTTATAAATAGCTGGTACCCGCGACTTCGCGAATTTGAAAAGCCCTGCCCTGGGCATTTTATATGGTTTTTCTGAGAGGAAAATAGCCTAAGTTACTCCTTATATAGACAGCTACCTGGTAGTAAAATATTATCAAAATCGGTAGTGCCGTTTTGAAGATTACCCGGAACAAACAGACAGACAAAAAGAAATATAAACTAGTTTTCAGGCATAGGTCTTTCTTTCTTTTCTTTTTTTTTTTAAAAAGACAGCTCCCGCATTAGGAATACATTCCTGTGTCGCCGAGGACTTTACAAACATACATGAAACGGACACAAAGAACACCCAGACTCAGAACAACAATTTGTGGATCACACAAAGTGTTGTCCCATGTGGGGTTTGAACCCACAACACTCTGCGTAGTAGGAAGCGGCGAGGTGACCGCTTAAACCACTACGCCATCCGTGCAGTCAAAAGTATCGTGCAAATAACCATGTTAGCATGAAAAAAAAAACAAATATTTTGACATTACAAACAGACATCAACATCTGCCTAATATTATCCCAATTTTGTTTGGGGTCGGCGCAGTAAGTATGATTTTTCTATTCTACTCAATCATCCGTCATCTCACTATTTACTCCCTTCCTAGCCATATCCTCACTTACACAATCTATCCACCTTTTTTGACCTTCTTTCTTTCTCTTGTCATTCCAACTCTAATACCTAACACTTTCCTCGTCACACTTTCCTCATCCCTCCGCATGACATGTCCATACCAAGATAACCTATTACTTCCTAACTTTTCATGCAGAGGGCGCTACTTTACATTACAAACAGACACTTCAATTTTATTTATTTGTATAGATATTTATTTTATAACTTTTTGCACAAGTATATGCATCGACGGACTTAATGCCTAAGGCATTCTCTGCCAGTCGACCGATTGGGCGAAGCTGAGAAAGAAAGAGATAGGTGCATTTATGGGGGGTAATAAATAATAGAGGTTTTCTTAAATACCAACTATCTTAGAATTTGGTGTGTACCTCTGAATACCACACACATACATATTTACATACACACATAAATATATAAACGTACATACACATACACACACATATTTAGTGATAATTTTAAGTGTGTTCATCGCGACACAGGATATATTCCTAACTAGCTGAGCCCCGCGGTGTTACCCGCGTTTGTTGTTATAACCGCGGGCAACGCCGCGGGGCGAAGCTAGTCTAAAAAAGTAGCCTAAGTTACTCCTTATGTCATCAGCTATCTGCCAGTGAAAGTCCTGTCGAAATCGGTCCAGCCGTTCCAGAGATTACCCGGAACAGACAGACAGACAAAAATTGTAAAAAATGTTATTTGGGCATATGTAACGTGTAAACATACATATGCATTTAGTAAAACGCGGTTATTTTAATATTACAAACAGACACTCCAATTTTATTTGTTTGTATAGATGGCGGCGTTGTATTAAAAAAAAAAAGAAAGGAACGATTACCTGTGGTGTCGTTAATGTACCACGAAACAGCTTTTTTTCTATTGTCACTTTTCTCGTCCATTTTAAATGTTCACTAGACTCGTCCGCAATCGTTTTTGAACAATAAATTACTGAATCATAATATTATTTAGTTATTGTAAACATTACATTAGTTAAGGAACCTAATAGCACGGTACTTATTATAATTGTACCGTGCTAATAGGTAACTAGTCTCGCACTTCTTGTAATGTTTTCCCTATATTTATTTATCGGTTCTTGCTCAAGATGATTCATTCAAAATAATTGCAATTATTTACTGGTTAAATAAATCGTCATTTCTATTGTTACATACTGAGATATGTATTAACTAGCTGAGACCCGCGGTGTTACCCGCGTTTGTTGTTATGACCGCGGGCAACGCCACGGGGCGAAGCTAGTCTAAAAAAAGTAGCCTACGTTACTCCTTATGTCATCAGCTATCTGCCAGTGAAAGTCCCGTCGAAATCGGTCCAGCCGTTCCAGAGATTACCCGGAACAAACATACAGACAGACAAAAATTGTAAAAAATGTTATTTTGGCATATGTACCGTGTAAAAATACATATGCATTTAGTAAAAAGCGGTGATTTTAATATTACAAACAGACACTCCAATTTTATTTATTTGTATAGATATAGACTAGCGATCAGCTCCGGCTTTGTACGGGTGCAATGTAGATACTACTAATATGGTGTCAGTGTCTAATTAATTAAACTATTATTACTTCTAAATCGGTTTACACATAAATTTAGTTTATTTTTAAGTAGTTTAAGTGGTCGCCACGCCACTTACTACTACGCTGAGTGTTGTGGGTCCGATCCCCACATGGGACGACACTTTGTGTGATCCACAAATTGTTGTTCTGAGTCTGGATGTTCTTTGTGTCCGTTTCATGTATGTTTGTGAAGTCCCCCGCGACACAGGACATGTTCCTAGTGCGGGAGTTGTCTTTGTTAAATAAAAACACTTCGTTCCAATAACTAAAAATAATACTGATACTTATTTACAGAATTGTTTTATGGTTATATATACTAGCTTGTGCCTGTGACTTCGTTCGCGTGGTGGTCATCATTTTTGATAGAGAATATAATTACATTGAGAGTTTGGAGTTTCAAGGTTTTACCGTGGGAGAGCTCAACCGGAGTGATACCAGGGCCTCACAGAAAACCGGTGTTAAGCAATTCTTTTATTGCCTTTCACTGAGTGAGTGAGGTTACCGGTGCCCAAATCCCTCCTCCCGCTGACTCGAGCGGGAGGCACTCCAAGGGCAGCAACGCACTTGTGACTTTTGAGTTGCAGGTGTCCATGGGCGGCGGTAGTTGCTTACCATCAGGTGACCCGTCTGCTCGTTTGCTCCCTTATACCATAAAAAAAGTATTGTATATTTTAATAACTTTACTTTTACCAATATCTGTCAGTAAAATATTTTGACAATAGTTGAGATCTAGCACCCCTGTAGTTTTCTAGAGAATTATTTCGTTCTTGTTAGTTCTGCTAGCTACAAAAGCGTTTTTTTATAGTTTTTAACCGACTTCAAAAAAAGGAGGAGGTTCTCAATTCGACCAGATTTTTTTTTTTTTATGTTTGTTACCTCATAACTTTTGACTAGGTGAACCGATTTTGATGATTCTCTTTTTATTGGCAAGCTGGTGCTTCCCGTGTGGTCCCATTTCAATTTGGTCTAGTTCTGACCATGGAATCCATGAGAAAACCATTAAAGTCGGTTTTTTTTGTTAAAATTTTACTTGTGTAATGTGTGCACATATTGTCTGAATTTTGTTTAAACTAAAATTTATTTTATAGATATAGATAATGGAGTATCTTCTTACGCTTACTTCTAAGCTTGGATGTTTCTACAGTAGTTCATTCGCTTTAAGTTTAGATTGTTTCGTGTACGCCCAAAGAAATACGGTTGGTTGGTTACCTGTTGGTCTAGTGGTTAGTGACCCTGACTGCTAAGCCGGAGGTCGTGGGTTCGATTCCCACCCAGGACAAATATTGGTGTAATGAGCACGGTCGTTCGTTCTGTTTCTGGGCGTAATTTATCTATAATATGTATGTATTTAGAAATATATAAGTATGTTTATCAGCAGTCTGGTTACCATAGGCATGACGGCCGTGTGAGGGTATTATTATAAATGCTTCTACACTATTTTTTTTTTTTTTTTTAAAAAAGACAACTCCCGTATTAGGAATAAATCCTGTGTCGCGGGGGACTTTACAAACATACATGAAACGGACACAAAGAACACCCAGACTCAGAACAACAATTTGTGGATCACACAAAGTGTCGCCCCCTGTGTGGTGTGTGAACCCACAACACTCGGCGTAGTAGGAAGCGGCGTGGCGACCGCTCAAACCACTACGCCATCCGAGCAGTCGTTAAGGAATGTTTAGAGTCTAGACACGTATATTCATTTTATATTGTTATCCCTTCGTCTATATTATACCTTTAAAAAATTGTAAGTCCAAAATGGGCTGATTTATGTTACAATAATCTTATGTAATTAGAACAACTGTATCTACTCAATCAAAACAACGAAGAATGCTTTACTTTACCAAGCAAGTAGTGACGTATACAGAGCGATCACGCCTTACACCCTTGCCAATAATCCTGACCAAGCTTCCTCCTTCTTTTCCTATACATAAAACTGTCATCTCACCTACCATTTCAACTCGGTACAGTGAAATTAGTCTCGAGAAATTTTTGCATATGTCACTACATATGTGTGTATATTACTCAGATCTTAGAGCGCGTTTCCACTATATCGTTCTGGCCTATACAAAAATGTTTCGATATCCTAACATTACCATTTAATTTTATACTTATCCCTAGCAACACTCTGATTTTTGTTTTCAATAAAAACAAGTTTATTTTAAAGAAAAAGGTTTTGACTTTATAAAAAAAAAGGTGTGGGTGCGATTCACACACGATAGAAGTGAAACTTCAAAGAGGAGAGACCGATATTTAAATATTTTTTTTTCCTTTCGTCTAGGTTTTTAAAACTCCGGGGGTCTACGGGGGGTCAACATTTTTGTTATTTTTGGCCTAGGACGCACCGTTTCCGAGATATTTCAATCTAAAGCAAAAAATCGTCACTTGATAGTGGAAAGTGGAAACACGCACAAAACCAGAATAAACCAGTTTACGCTGTCCGTACCATACACTACTACAAACGCAAAAATTTCTCCAAGCTAATTTACCTGTACGCAGATGGTCCCCTCAAACGTCACTGCCTCGGTGGTGCAGTGGAAGTGAGTGCGACCGCTGTGCTGAGGCCTCGGGTACGATTCCCGACCAAATATTTGAATGATCTGCAAATATTTGTCTGAGTTTGAGTGTTGTCTATGTATAAAGTGTATGTATTTACAAAAAAAAAGTATATAAGTATTCTATCAGTCAATCTAGTTTTTGTAGTTCAAGCTTTGCGTTGTTTGAAACTAGATGGCGTTGTGTGTGAGATGTCCAAAATATTTATTTATTTACTAGCTGTCCCGGTAAACGTTGTTTTGCCATATACATTATTTCTAGGAAATATTGAAAAAATAATGATTTAGGGGTAATTTAGAGTATGAAAAATAGATGTTGGCCGATTCTTAGACCTACACGATATGCACACAAAATTTCATAAAAATTTCGGAGAAGTATGGCAACTAACATTATGACACAAGAATTTTCAAAGAAACCTTTCAAATGACGGGCTCTTCCTGCCTTCCTGCTACACACTGCCGCTCCGTTTCACGAAATCATTCTCACAGATCACAGGAAACCGTGAGAAAATATGTTAACATCCAAAACACATTCACTACAAAGACAAAACCGATTACTCTGTCTCGTTTTTGCTTGGTAAATTTTATATATCACGTCTCACTCTAACATTGTAATGACGTTTCACGGTTCTGTCTTCTCTTTGGTAGCTGTCAGAACCTGTCAAAATTGACATACATTTTAGGAGTAGATACTTAAAAGCTATTACGATGATGGAGCCACTAAACTAAAGGAAGAGAATGAAAATTATTTAGAAAAAAATATTAGCAAACTTCTTTTTCAATCATAGGCCGTCTTCATCCACTGGTGCTGGCCCTCGGTCCTTTTGCTGTCCTGTCTCGTGAGCCAGTGATGTCGGCGGCCCGTCTATCTAGATCAATTGTAAGTCTCTTTAATCAACAAGCTAAGGAGTTAATTTGTTTGGTCTCCACCGGAGAGATGCCACGACCTAGCAGAAAACTATAATTTAGTTTAGTTATTTCCACTGAGTGAATGAGAATACCACCTAAACTCCCTCTTATTCTGGGCACTCCACACCGAGTGAGTAATTCTGGGTGTAGAGCACTCAAACGGGGGGAACGCTTGCTGCTGACTCTTGAGTCACAGATGTCAGTATAATCATTTACACGTAATACCATGAAAAATTTTCCTGTTTTATGACTTGTTGAGAGTGTACTGTCTCTGTTTTTAACAAACAGGCCAATCCTCGTAACAAATATTCGGTCACAGTTCAGTTCCGATCAACTTTCGATCTTGCAACTGTCATAAAAGGTATTTTCGTAGTAAAAAAGTAAAGTATTACTAAGACTATAACCCGGCAATCTCGTGCGCGACCGTCCCGCGGGGTGACAGACAGTGGCGGGGGCGAGGTAGCGCGTCATTGTGGAGGAGAAGTGTGCCTATCGCATTTCCCTTGCCCGCTACACCACTCGCTACCCGCTGACATCTTGAGTACCTCGTCCCCGCCACCGTCTGTCACCCCGCAGAACGGTCGCGCACGACGTTGATGGACTATAGCAGATTACCGATCCAACTTTTGGTTACAATACGATATACTCGGCATCATGTTACAGTCAAGGTTGAATGTTTATACATTTTATGATATTTGTGAGATCCAAAGTGTATCGGAACAGAATTTCGGATGATTTTTTATTACGAAATTTGGTCTTTAGTATCTATTTCGATGCCTTATCCATTACCATTACTATAATTTATTTCTTTTTTAAACAGAACTTTACATGGAGCTGCGAAAATGAGACAGCAACAACACTAGAGCCCAAACTTGGCGCTGAGAAAGAGGAGGACTCGCGAGCTCAGACCGAGCGGCTGCTACACAGAAGTAACGGCATCATCTGTCAGTCGACTTACATTGTTCTAGTGGTCGTATTCGCTTTCTGCACAATGGCCTTCACATTCTGTTGTTTTTATTTTTTAATTGGACTTTAAACTTTTTTGTCTTTTTTTAACATTAGAAAAAAACCTTCCATTTTCGTGTAGGAACCTTCTGGTCTGGTGGTTAATGACCCTGACTGACGGAGGTCGTGGGTTATCCAGGACAAATAATTGTGTGATAAGCACGAATATTTGTTCTGTGTCTGGGTCTCATTATTTATCTTTAACTAGCCATTCGCACTATCTTCGCACGGGTTTAATGTAGAAACTACTAATGTGGTGTCAGTGTGGAGTAATTATACTATTAATATGACAAGTGACATTAAAGGCCTGCTCCGCTCCTGCCGGAAGCTGCCACCTGGGATTGTGGTACGGCCCGACGCGGCGAAGGCCGCTTGGGCCCCTGCACTTTGAATCTCTGATATCTACTAAGATATTCTAAATTCATTTTTATGGTATGCTGTAAAGAACAATTTTGATCCACATTAAATGCATAATGGATCTCATTATTTTTTTGTAATAGGTGAAAGAAGAAAATGATTACTGTGTGTTGTATGCCATCCCGGCCTTTTTTGTAGATCTTCTTAAGGTATACAATTCCGTAGTACATTATTTTGATCTATCTCGTAAGATTTAGCCAGCGTTTGCAATGTAAGCGCACAAAAACATGTTTGGTATATCGAGAACAATGAAATAACATTTAATTGATACGTCTAATTACGAAATCGACTGTGGCTGGGCTGCACCACAACACACGGCCTAACGCAGTCTGCAATCTCTTATAGGCAACCTTTAGATAGACTATATAGTAATATGTTGTGTATTGAAATAATTATTTCAAAAAATTCAACTTCAAAGCAAGTCGAAGCGTGTCGACTCATGCGAACACTTTTATGGATGTTATAAAAGTTGGACTCCTGGGAAAGTTGGAATCTTGTGAACAAACACATATTATTACTATAACCACATCATTACTTTAGTATGTTTTTGGACTCTAGGTTACTAGTTTTAGTCATTTATTGTATTTGTAATGTTGACTAGAGTCTCATAATTGTGGAACTTACAAAGTAAATGTGCCTTAAAAATAAACTAGACCCACATAATATATGTTTAATCTTTTCGCGTTGAACATCATTTTTTTAACGTTCCATTTTGAGGCTTTTCTACTTTGATCTCAATACATATATGTCTGTAAAGCCTAATAGCACTAAGTAACGTTAAAAATCAAGCAAAATACGTCAAATACCGAACATTTATCCGGATGAAAATAATTAAAGATAAAAAGAAATATTCGTCTTTCTGTACCATTACAAATATACCGTGTAGTCAGTAAAGACAAGTATTCAAACATATCACTCTCATTACAAATAAATGGAACGTCAACGCTTTTACTTTCACCTATCAGTCAGCTGTCAATTTGATAAACTCAAGTTTCTGTTCTTAGTGAAAACATTGACAATAATAATGATTATAAAACGATAATACTGCAGCTGTTAACTCAGAATGGCGTTTCCAAAGATCGATGGATATGTAGTGACTGAAAAACTAGGGTCTGGAAGCTATTCCACGGTGTACAAAGCGTATGCAAAGGTAAACAATCTCTATTTATTTTACACCTGCGTTATGTTATCTTATTTATTTAAAATATCTCAATTTACACAGTCAATAACCCTTTGAATTAAATGTTAGAAGCATTGACACCACTTTTTGAATAGTTGCATATTAATTAAATATGATACAAGTATTATAATACACGGATTTCCGTCTTAGTTTAGAAGTTTGATTTCAGGGTTAATACGTGAAATAATTTTTATTTTTTTTGTATTCTCTTGACTTGTAAACCTATAATATGAATAGATATATATCAGAATCGTATTGTGGTAACATCTACGAAGTATTATATCAGAATAAAACATTATGTTTTACATGGCACTAGATTTATATCAGTATATCTTTAGGATATCTAATCAAGGAAGAATCATATATAATTACTTATCAGTAAGCTGTTATGTCAGTGGGTATGCCACACATCATGAAGAAGATCGGCTGATAGGGCCAATAGGTTCTAGATAGAAATCAAGAACGGGAAAACACAGCCTCCATGGAAACTGACAATATTTGTTTATTTTTTGTTTAAAAAGACAACTCCCGCATTCAGCAAAATTCAGACTCAGAACAACAATTTGTGAATCACACAAAGTGTAGTCCCAATGTTGGGAATCGGACACTCAACACTTAGCGTAGTAGTAAGCGGAGTGGCAACCGCTTGTGCGGGAACAGGTGTCATGTCCCTCCAGCACAAAGGGAAGATCCTCCGAACAGACGAGGTGATCGTGCCTGGCGGGCCGCGGCCCAACAGAGGATGTTGGGAAGTTGTATATATGCTAATTCTTATTATCGCGACACAGGATTAGCAATTCTCATTTAGTAGTTTCTCTGTAGTTCAATGTGTCTTGGTTAGATGGCGCTGTAGTATGTTTCTGCTCCTTTGTATGTGGGAGTCGTCACACGCTTAAATCACTACTCCATCTGTGCAGTCAATTACCAACTGCAATTTACGTAATTTAAAAGGTGGTACTTGTATCTCTCGAGTTGCAGGTATCTGTGGATTGCTTGTTGGCTGAAACCTACTGTAGGAAGTCTACGAACAAAGCAGACAGATAATGGTGAATGCAGGCCGCTTTGAACCGGTTCTTGAGCAGCAAAGGATGGCCTATAGTTGAAATGATGATGATGAAAATACGCTGAATGATTAAACGCTTTGCTTTATTGTACAGCATGATTCATAAGAATATAATAGGTACAACTTTTGAAAAGAAGAACAGATATTTTCTTTGAAATTGAGTAATTTGAAAACGTAATTGTAATAATCAATTTTAAATAGTGAAAGTAAATTCCATATTAATAAATAATGCAAGTTAAAAATTAAATAAATGTTTATATAATTTGATTTATTTGATTTATTATATTGCAACCCTCAACACGAGAACCCTCAGAACACCCGAAAGTCTATTAGAATTAGAAAAGTCGTTAAACGACGTAAAATATGACATTCTTGGCGTAAGCGAAATGCGGAGATTGGGTGAAAAAATTGAAGAACGTAGTAACTACATATTGTATCACAAAGGTGAAATTGCAGGCCATAGGGGAGTAGGATTTCTAATTAAACAGTCACTTAAGAAGGACATACAAGAACTTACAGGAGTATCAGATAGATTAGCGATATTGAACATAAAAATCCCAGGATACAGAAAACCATGGTCCATCATCCAAGCATATGCACCAACAGAGCAAGCAGAACCAACAGTACTCGAAGCATTCTATTATGAGTTGTCAGTGGCCATAAAAAATAATGCGGATAAACATATAGTCCTAATGGGCGACTTCAATGCACAAGTCGGAGAAAGGAAAAACAATAACGAATATGTACTTGGCAAGTTCGGGCACGGTAAGAGAAGTCGAAACGGCCAAAAGCTGGTTGAATTCTTAATGGAACACAATCTATTCATCCTCAATACGAACTTTAAGAAGCACCACAACAATAAATGGACTTGGGTATCCCCAGATGGTACATATAAAAATGAAATTGATTACATAATAAGCAATCACCCTAAAGCGTTTACAGATACTACGGTTATTAGCAAACTTAATTTTAACACAAATCACCGAATGGTGAGATGTTCCCTTAGAAAGTGTCGAACAAAAACCCCTCGCAGCCACATAAAAAGCCATAAAAACGAAAAGCAAGCACAACTCAACTTAGAAAACACAAAGCCTCTCAAGAAAGTAAATGAACAAATCACAAATAATAATATGAACACAATTCAGAAATATAACATCCTAGAAAGGGAACTACAAAGCAGTTTCTCTAAAGAAAACAGTCCTAAAAACAAATATCAACTAAGCGCACAGACAGTGCAATTAATCAACGAAAGAAAAGAACTAATCCAAAAAGGAACAAAAAAAGACAACATAATACTTATCACTGATATTAGTAAAAAAATAAGAGAAAACATAAGAAAGGATCGTAAAGTCAAGAGATTGATGACTCTAGAATACCACATTAAAAAGACGGGAGGTGTGAAGAAAGCTTTGAAGGAATTGCGAGAATCTGGCAAAGAGTGGATACCTAAAATAAAAAGAAAGACCAACAACGTCACCTCGATACGCCAAGATATCAAAGATCGAGCCACAAGCTTCTATCGACAACTGTATACTAAACAAGAAGAGGATGCATCAAATGATCACAACGAGACCAAAATACCATATGAATCGAATTTTGACCCTACACCTGAAATTCTAACATGCGAAGTCGAAAAGGCAATCAATAGCCAAAAGATGGATAAATCTCCTGGCCCAGACAAAATAACGAATGAACTGTTGAAAGGAACTATAGAAGAATTGGTGCCCATTCTTACAAGAATCTTTAACGACATTCTACTAACTGGCAATATTCCTAGGCAATGGTCAGAATCTCATATCATCTTATTACATAAGAAAGGAGACAAAGAAGACATAGAAAACTATAGACCTATTTGTCTGACATCCAATGTATACAAAGTCTTCTCAAAGATAATACTAGACAGAATCAGCCTTAAATTAGACGAACAACAACCAGTCGAGCAGGCAGGATTTAGAAAGGGATTTTCAACCATTGACCATATACATACTGTTAAACAAATACTTGAGAAATACAACGAGTACAATAAGGATATATTCATAGCCTTTATAGACTACGCCAAGGCCTTTGATAGCTTGAGTCATGAGTATATTTGGGAAAGCCTAGAACACCAAGGAATACCAACCATATATATCAAAATAATAAAATGCATATACTCCAATATCAAAGCTAGGATTCGGCTAGAGACATTGGGAGGTGAATTTCAAATACAAAGAGGTGTGAGACAAGGGGACCCACTTTCCCCAAAATTGTTTTCCGCAGTACTGGAAAATTTATTCCGTAAACTAAACTGGGAAGAATATGGCATTAGTATAAACGGAGCTAGAATGCACCATCTAAGATTCGCCGACGACCTAGTGCTACTAGAAGAATGCCCCAAAAAGCTAGAATATATGATACAAAATCTAAGAGAAGAAAGTATAAAAGTCGGACTAAAATTGAACACTACTAAGACAAAATTAATGACAAACTCCCGAAAAACCAACATCAGCATTAATAACGAACTATTGGAGTATGTGGAAGATTATACTTATTTGGGTCAAGTCATCTCAACCAAAGATCAAATGACAAAAGAAATCAACTTCAGGATCGCTACTGGATGGAGGAAATACTGGTCGCTCAAGGAAATAATGAAGTCAAAGGACCTGAGCATGTCACTGAAGAGAAAGACCTTCAACTCATGTATCCTACCATGCTTAACATACGGCTGCGAAACATGGGCCCTTACTAAAATATTAAGGGAAAAGCTTGCCATAGCCCAAAGAGCAATGGAAAGGAGCATGACAGGATGTAAACGACAGGATAAAGTGAGAAATATGGACCTGCGTCTAAAAACTAAACTCACCGACGTATTGAATCGAATCGATCAGCAGAAATGGAGATGGGTAGGTCACATGATGCGGGAAAATAAAGGGAAATGGAGCAAAGCTGTTACAGAATGGTACCCAAGGGATGGACGCAGAAGCCGAGGAAGGCAAAACATAAGATGGGAAGATGAGATCAGGTTGACAGTGGGACCATTGTGGAGAAGGGTTGCTCAGGACAGACAACAATGGAAATCGTTGGAGGAGGCCTATGCCAAAAGGCACACCGAATTAAGAGACATAGTGTAACTAAAATCATGTAACATAAAAATGAACCTGTGTAATCTCTTACTTTGGTATAAGGGGCTATATATATATATATATAATTTGATTTGATTATTATGTATTTATTCAGAAGTGCTAATTTATTTCACGGTCATGGTGACCGCTGGTGATTGGCCTCCATTGAAATCTCTACCAATCGCAATGCTAAACGCGCTAAAGTCAATGTGAAATACACTTGCACCTGACCTCAGATTTTCCTTTGAATATATATTAGCATTTTAAAGTTTTAAATTTTGCTATTACTTTAGTAAAGTAATAGTAAAATATAAACTGATAGTCTCCGTGTTTTGGGACACCTAATGTTAAGTATACCTATTGGTATTGGTTGTGGGCTCCGATTTCCGCATTTAGACTCAAGAAGTACCCTTTATGCGTCGAGCAAAGGTTGGCTAGTTGAGCTTCCTTGCCTTCCTTGTTCCTTCTCCAAAAAAAGAGAAAAAAAATCCCCCACTTTATGGAGGTACTCAGAAAAAATATTTAAGAGCTATAACCTCCTTTCGAAGGAGAGGCCAATGTCCTACAGTGGAATAGCAAAGGCTGTTGATATATATATATATATATATATAACCGTTTTATGACAGTTAAACCCTAAAAATATTATGAACTCTGTACCACATGAACTTAGTCTGTCCGTCCCTATGCTCATGTAGTGACGGATTAAGAATTCAAAGTGTCACCGCCTCCAAGTATTCATCCCATGTGTGTCATAAGAGTCGACTAAGGGAGAACACTACGCAGGAAAACAGCACTGCAAAGAGAAGGGAAAATTGACACAAACCCTATACCAACTCCTCTGGCCAGCGTGAAATAGTTGGCCAAAACCTCATTTCTAAGGAGAGGCCTATGACCAGCAGTAACCTACTAAAGGATGAGATAACCTCTGAACTGAATACCTGATAGCCTCTGAATATAGAATAAAATCATATTTTGTTTTCTGACTCTCCGTTCTTTCCCACAGGTGGGTGCCCGTTCTATAGTGGCAATAAAATGTGTGGACAAATCTCGCGTCAAGAATTCTGGTTCAGCTGTGGAAAACTTGATCACGGAGATAAGACTGCTGAAGACCCTCACGCACCCACATATTGTTCATATGAACAACTTCACGTGGGATGACAAGTAAGCTTATAGAATGTAGCAAATAATTTGCTGGTGTATAGTTTCTGGCAATCTAAGTAACATGATTGTGTTTCCTTTTGTCGACAGAAACATCTACATTATAATGGAGTTCTGTTGTGGTGGTGATATGTCCAAATACATTCACAAATATGGAAGAGTGCCGGAGAAAAGGGTGAATTTCACAGCCTTTAATAGTCCACTGCTGGACATAGGCCTCTCCTTAGAAAGGAGTTTTGGCCATGCTGGCCAGACTGGTTGGTATAGGGTTTGTGTCAAGTTTTCCTTCTTTTTGCAGTGCTGGTGTTTTGCGTTGTTTTGTTCCCTTAGTCGGCTTTTACGACACCCACGGGATGAATTGAAGTAGTGACATTCCGTATTCTTAATCCGTCACTACACGGACAGTTGTTGTTTTTACACACCATGCATTAAAGTTTTAATTTTTTCATGTGTAAGTAGTATGTGGTATGTGTAGCCGTAGCTTCAAAGAAAGTTACCATTTTTTCGTCTGTCTGGGGCTGAAAGTTACCAAACGACTGAACTGATTTTGAGTTAATTTTTTCAATTAAAGTGAGTGTTCTTAGCTATAAATAAGGCAAATCTCTTTGGCCGTGTCAGTAATCGTTAGCTCTTTTATAAATTCTGAAGTATTATTTTGATATTTGGCTTTCTTTGATTGACGATATCCATGAAACCATACCATCATTGATTTTCTACTTACTTTTCTTGATTCACATAAAAAAACATATGTTGCATTCCACAATTTTTTGTTGACATTATTTTTTTTAGAACGATTCTCCGTTTGTAGAATAAATAAAATATGGCGCTTAGAGAAACAAACTTTTTTTTTATTCTTTACAAACACAACTCCCGCATTAGGAGTATATCCTGTGTCGCGGGGGACTTTACAAACATACATGAAACGGACACAAAGAACACACAGACTCAGAACAACAATTTATGGATCACACAAAGTGTCGTCCCAGTTGGGGTTTGAACCCACAACACTCGGCGTAGTAGGAAGCGGCGTGGCGAACGCTTAAACCGCTACGCCATCCGTGCAGTATTTAAATGTCACTTTATTAATTCCTATAGGTATTTTGTTTCCCAGGTGTTATACTTCCTTCAACAACTGGCATCAGCACTCAAGTTCCTCAGAGAGAAAGGTGAGTGGTATTCAAGTTGAGTTCAGAAAGAAATAAGGTCTGAAATTGTCCAGCAGACCTTGGTTTTTCCCTTGTCAGGCTTGTGTAGGTTACGACATGCCTGAAATGAAATCTGTGTAGTTACGGATTAAGAATATGGAGTGTCACCACCACTATTCATCCCGTGGGTGTCGTAAGAGACGACTAAGGGAGAAAACTACCCAGGACAACAGCACTGCAAAGAGAAGGAAAATTTGAAACAAACCCTATACCAACCCGTCTGGGCAGTGTGGTGTAGCAGGCCAAAACCTTTCTAAGATGAGGCCTATGCAGCAGTGGACTACGAAAGGTTGTTGATGATGAGATGACTTGCTTGGCCTGTTAGTGGTAAGTGACTTTGACTGCTAAGCCAGAGGGTTTGATTCCCACCCAGAACAAATAATTGTCTGATGAGCACGTTAATTTTTTCTGTGTATGGGGTGTAATTCGTCTATCATATGTATGTATTTAAAAATATATAAGTATGTTTATCAGCAGTCTGTTACCATAGTACAGGCTCTGCCTAGTTTGGGCTCAAACAGCTGTGTGTGAGTTTATTATTATTATTCTTGAAATAAATATTCAATGAATCGTCATTCCTTTTGCAGGAGTAGTTCATATGGATCTTAAACCTCATAATCTACTTCTCCACAAAGGATCTGATGGAAAATATATGCTTAAAGTGGCTGATTTTGGGTGAGAAAAACATATTTTAAATTTTGTTATCATTAATATATTATAATAATACGAATATCTGTGGGAACCATTACGGGTAGATATATACTAGGGCTCCTAGGAGGTCTGACAACATTCTTTCTACAGAACTTCGATATCGCCTAGTACTTGGGTTGTGGAGGTCTGATGGACCCTAACTTATGATAACTTTGAAAGAATGGAAACTTTTTTTTAAAAAAAGACAACGCCCGCAATGGGAATATATCCTGTGTCGCGGGGAACTTTAGAAACATACATGAAACGGACACAAAGAACACACAGACTTAGAAACAAAAAATGTGGATCAAGCAAAGTGTCGTCTACTGTGGGGTTTGAACCCACAGCACTCGGCGTAGTAGGAAACGGCGTGGCGACCGCTTTAAGACATCCGTGCAGTCAACTCAATCAATAGTTTTAAAAACTGATGGTAAGCGCACACCAGACGTGTCATTTTATCAATATATAGTTTCTTATCCGTCCCTTGTACCAGGAACACAGCATTACGCAAGCAGTCTTATTCAACTTGAAGTTCTTGCCCACAGGTTCGCCCAACACATGACAGCTGAAGGCCCTCGTTCGGTAAGGGGGTCCCCCTTATATATGGCCCCTGAAATGTTGTTTGGAGAGTATGACGCTAGGGTGGACCTGTGGAGTGTTGGTGAGTTGTCTAAGTTTAGCAGGAGCTGAACTTACATAGTTTTTAAGTTAAAGCTTCTTTTAATCAATAATTCTTGAAAATATATAAAATTTACGAAAATTGAGTGTTTTTTGGAGCAAACGAGCAGACGGGTCACCTGATGGTAAGCAACTACCGCCGCCCATGGACACCTGCAACTCAACAGTCACAGGTGCGTTGCCGCCCTTGGTGTTCCTCCCGCTCGAGTCAGCGCGTCAGTGAAAGGCAACGAAAGAATTGCTTAACAACGGTTTTCTGTGAGGCCGTGGTATTACTCCGGTCGAGGCAGCCCATTCGGTCCCAAGCATGGCTCTCCCACGGTAAAAAGTAGTATTTTATGAAAGAGAAGACAGATATAACTTAAAGAGAGTTTGAAAGAGACAGAACAAAACTAAACTCGTATCACGTTGCTGAGCAAATCTTTTATAAATTTTTGTATTTGTATTTTTGTGTATTGTATTTTTGAATGTGTATTTTTGTGTATTTCAGGTATAATAATGTACGAATGCCTGTTCGGCCGAGCGCCTTACTCGTCAAACACCTTTAAAGAATTAGTTGACAAAATACAACGACAGGCCCCTATAGAAGTGAGTATGGGCTACATTATAATACCCCTAATAGCTATAAATTGTTATACAGCGTGCTTATGGTATGGGGGGGAGGGGTTGTACCTGCACCTCATTGTATACTAGCTGACCCGCGCAACTTCGTCTGCGTCTCTCAATAGTAATAAATTTTCTCCGTTTTTGAAACATTCTTCATTGGTGCTCCGCTCCTATTAGTCTTAGCGTGATGATATATAGCCTATAGCCTTCCTCGATAAATGGGCTATCTAACACTGAAAGATTTTTTTTAAATCGGACCAGTAGTTCCTGAGATTAGCGCGTTCAAACAAACAAACAAACTCTTCAGCTTTATAATATTAGTATAGATGACTACCGCCATCCTTGGAAAATGCAACTCAAAAGTCATAAATGCTTTGCTGCCATGAAAGCCCCCTCCCCCCCCCCCCCTCCCTCCAGAACGGCCGTGTATCCATGTTCTTGAGCAAGCAAGCAAGCTATGCATAAATTATTACTTGTGTTATAAAATAAAGTTCCTTTGATCTATTTCTCTCTCCACAGATACCTCCAAACTCTTCAATATCCCCTGGTTGCGGGGACCTGCTGACCAGGCTGCTGCAACACGATCCCAACAAAAGGATAACTTACGAAGAATTCTTCGCCCATCCATACCTGGATCTTGAACACATGCCTTCCAAAGAGAACTATGAAAAGGTACCTCCTTGCTTCTACTAAGAGCCTGGTACTTTCGACGTTAACAAACAAAAATAATCATAGGGGAATGCTGTAAAAGGGGCGAAAATATAGGGGAGGACAACAATCAGGTCACCTCATGGTAAGTGACTACCGCCGCCCATAGACACCTGCAATGTTTGCGCAATATATTTAGAAGTTTTGTATATGTGCGAGAACCTCCATATCGCGGTACAGGATTAGCAAGTATTTCGTAGTTCGATGCGTCTTCGTTAGATGGCGCTGTAGTGTGGTTTTGTTCCTCTGCACATTGAAGTTAGAACCTGTACTATGGTAACCAGACTGCTGATAAACATACTTATATATTTCTAAATACATACATATTATAGATAAATTACACCCAGACACAGAACAAATGATAGTGCTCATCACACAAATATTTATCCTGGGTGGGAATCGAAGCCACTACTAGCCCAACAGGCCAATTATAGCTATAATAAACCTGACATTTTGATAGTGAATACAATGTCTCTCTCCAGGCTGTCACCCTGATAAAGAAAGCCATCGAACTGGACAGCTTAGGCAAGTTGGAACAGGCGTTCGTGTGTTACCGCGACAGCCTCCTGTACCTCGTGCCGTGCGTGGGCTGCGAGACTGACTCGCTGCGGAGGGCCGCCCTCGCTGATAAACTCACCAGGTAACGACACACGCTAAAGGTAGCCACAACCTCACTAGATAACGAGAAACTCACTAGGCCCCCATCTCGCCAGGACCCGATAAACTCACCAGGCCACCATAATCTCATCAAGCCCTGATAAACTCACCAAGCCTTGATAGACACCAGATACCGACAGTCACCAGCAACCGATAAACTCACCAGATACCGACAAGCTATATATGTCCTAATAGACTCACCAGGCACTGTCGAACCCAGTAGGTACTGACTAATTCACCAATTACTGACAAACTCCTCAGGTACAGATGAACTCACCAGATTTTGTTAACTGTATAACCACTGCTGGACATAGGCCTCTCCTTAGAAAGAAGGTTTTGGCCTACTATACCACGCTGGCCAGACGGGTTGGTATAGGGTTTGTTTCAAGTCTTCCTTCTCTTTGCAGTGCTGTTTCTTCCCTTGGTCGGCTCTTACGACACCCACGGGATGAATAGGGGTGGTGACATTGAGTATTCTTAATCCGTCACCACATGGTTTATCGAAATGTAACTTTGTATGTATATATAGTGCGGATGGCAATACTGTAATTTAGTATCTTGGGACCTGGTCTGATGATGTATATCCACATCCCTCTTCTTCTCTTATTTCTCCAGTGGTTACTAGTAAACTCCCTCAAGTTTGGACTCATATGATTATTTGACAAGTCCAACAGATTGATCTCGGTAATAATGATCCTGGACATAGGCCTCTCCTTAGAAAGGAGGTTATGTCCAGCAGTGGACTAGTATAGGCTGTTGATGATTGATGATGATGAATAATGATCTGTCCGTGTGGTGATGGATTAAGAATACGGAGTGTCACCACCCCTATTCATCCCGTGGGTGTCGTAAGAGACGACTAAGGAAACAAACTACAAAGAGAAGGAAAACTTGAAACAAACCTTTACCAACCCATCTGGCCAGCGTGGTATAGTAGGCCAAAACCTCCTTTCTAAGGAGAGGCCTATGTCCAGCAGTGGACTATTAAAGGCAGTTGATGTGATGTGTTGAATGATGATCTGATGATGAAGTAAGGAGGGATAGTGGATTTCTTATTTACTTTTTAAATTATACTTACAGGTATATGGAACGCGCCGAAGAATTAAAACTTTATTTAAAAGGTGGCAGTTCTCAGACAATGAGTGGGAATGATACCAACAGTGTGACGTGTTCTCCTGTCGCCGGTGTTGCCAGCTATAATAATTATCATAGTGAGTACTGTGTAGTAATTACTAGATGCGCCTGCGCTGTTACCTGCGGTTTATCATCCCACTGTAAACTACGTGTTAATCCAAGGTGTCAGCTATCTCATTACCAAATTTCACCAAAAGTGGTTCAGTCGTTTGAGTGAAGAAGGAACAAGCATACACACACTAACTTTCGACTTTATAATATTAGTGTTCAAATATTTACAAACCCTCTGGTATTTTCACTACAATTCTTTTAATTTTAGATTAAAACGTGAAGAAAATCCTGTAATTATGTGTAAAGGAAGTGTACAAAGCTACTATTTTTAAACAACATCCATTCTAATCCATAATGCGAAAGTGTCTGTCTGTTTGTTACCTCTTTACGCTTAAGACGAAGAGCTGTCAGATAAAATTTGGTACACATATAGTTTGAGTCCCGGAAACATACATATATACATAACATACATACATATTATATACTAGCTGACCCGCGCAACTTCGTCTGCGTCTCTCAATAGTAATAAATTTTCTCCGTTTTTTGAAACATTCTTCATTGGTGCTCCGCTCCTATTGGTCTTAGGGTGATGATATATAGCCTATAGCCTTCCTCGATAAATGGGCTATCTAACACTGAAAGAATTTTTCAAATCGGACCAGTAGTTCCTGAGATTAGCGCGTTCAAACAAACAAACAAACAAACAAACTCTTCAGCTTTATAATATTAGTATAGATATATATTAACACCCAGACCAAATCAAACATTTAATTTTAATGCACACAAATATTTGTCCGAGGACCTAGTTACTATAATTCCTAACTTTTCTGAATCTATGCATCTCACTCACACAATAGCTTCTAGCGTAGCACTTACACAGTAAATGTGAAATAGACATATTTCCCAGGCATTCCTTTTATTCCAGGAACCTCCACCCCTTCATACAACCCTGGTGGTGGGCAAGCCGGCTCTAGTACTAACGGGATACATGAACAGGCGGACAGAGGAGTACAAGATAGTGGGCTGGTGAGTATAATAATATAAGTTTGTATCATCATCAGCTGCCTTTACCAGTCCAGAGCTGGGCATGACTCCAGACATTCACAACCACACATCTTCTTAGAGATGCGTGTTGTAACGCTTCAAAGAATTTTGAAGAGGAAGATATTTTAAAAATTGAAATTTCTTAAGAATCGTTGTGGTTTGAAACTCGATGAAACGAAATTGCGTCACGATAAAGAAACAAACACATAAATGTATTGGATTAAGTCGACGAGATTATTTTTAATATAATATTTTGACAGTGTGAATATTTTTATCTTTTTATTTAATACTAGCGAATACTCGCGATTTTGTTCAGGTGGAATTTGAAAAACGCTGCCTTAGTGGGTTCGATTCCCGGGCCGGGTAAAATTTTATTGGGTTTTTTTGAGATAAAAAAGACTTCACTTCTGCCGTGTGTGAATTGCACACACACACGTTTTGGTTTATTGCTTTCAACCGCAATGTGCGACAGCAAAACGTGGCAGAGTACCGCTAGTTTCGCGGTAAGGCCCGTTATGAAGGATTGGCTCGAGAGGCATCACGGAACCCTTTTGAGTTGCAAATGTTCCCCCCCCCCCTAAATTTCTAGAATATTCGTGACAAAGGCAAAAGCCATTTCTTTTTCCAATTCTTATAATGGCTACATTATTATAACATTTGCTCTAATTGTGGGTTTTCTTGTCAGATGGAGTCTTCCAAGCCTCCCCCTGCCCAGAACACCACACCAAAGACGAACCGTTTCGGCTTCAAGCGTCTGTTCGGGAAGCAAGCCTCAATGCCTTACCTGGACACCAAGGACTCTAGCATTGTAAGTAGTATTTATATAGGTTACTAGCTGAGACCCACGGTGTTACCCGCGTTTGTTGTTATAGTCTAAAAAGTGTTATAGTGTTGTAGCCTAAGTTACTCCTTATGTCATCAGCTATCTGCCAGTGAAAGTCCCGTCGAAATCGGTCCAGCCGTTCCAGATATTACCCGGAACAAACAGACAGACAGACAGACAAAAATTGTAAAAAATGTTCTTCTTCTTCTTCTTCCTTTAATTCAGTGGCTCCATCGGATGTCGATGATTTTGCCAATGTCTAGGTGGGAGGTAGATTTATTAGTTAATAGGTTGAAAATATTTTGAATACCAAAAGGGAATTGTTGCGAGTAAAAAATGTTATTTTGGCATATGTACCGTGTAAACATACATCTGCATTTAGTAAAAAGCGGTTATTTTAATGTTACAAACAGACACTCCAATTTTATTTATTTGTATAGATAACAGACAAGCTTCGGCAAATATGGATCATATATTTCTCCCTATTTTTATGGTGGGGAGTACTCAAACACTTAATATAATAATATACCTCACACATCCCACACATGACCATCTGATCCCAAACTAGGCAGAACTTGTACTATGGTAACCAGACCGCTGATAAACATACTTATATAGTTTTAAATACAGTGGTAGCGTATACGACTGCTGTGCTGAAGTCTTGGGTTTGATGCCCGGGTCTGACCAAATGTTAGTATGATCTGCAATTATATTTGTTTTGGCGTTTGGGTGTTTTCTATGTATAATATTTATGTATTTACAAAAAAAAGTATATAAGTATTCTATCAGTCAATCTAGCTTTCATAGTACAAGCTCTGCTTAGTTTGAAACTAGATGGCGTTGTGAGTCTGATGTCCCAAATATTATTATACTATATATAAATTACACCTAGACACAGAACAAATGATCGTCCTCAACACACAATATTTGTCCAGGCTTGTCTTGCGACTCTTGAGTTATAGGTGTCAATGAGCGCAGGTAGTCACTTACCATCACGTGACTTGTCTGTTTGAGGCTTCAAGTAATCGCATATGATGTAGACATCTAACATTTCCAAGGAATTATCGTTTCGTTCGAAAGCTTGGAGCTTGATTGGTCAGGGGGGCGGGGCTTGCTTATTGATAGCGTTATGTCACATGACACATCAACAGCCTTTAACAGTCCACTGCTGGACATAGGCCTCTCCTTAGAAAGGAGGTTTTGGCCTACTATACCACGCTGGCCAGACGGTTTGTGTCAAGTTTTCCTTCTTTTTGCAGTCCTGTCCTGTCCTGCGTTGTTTGCTCTCTTAGTCGCTTACAACACCCACGGGCTGAATAGGGGTGGTGACATTCAGTATTCTTAATCCGTCACCACACGGATAAGCTATGCTTCATTTGCGTTAAGAAAATAGTGACGCATCGATCACGCTCCGCCCCCCGACCAATCAGGTGCCAAGGAATTGTCGTTTCGTTCGAAAGCTTGGAGCTTGATTGGTCAGGGGCGGGACTCGCTTATTGATAGACCAAGAAGTTATAAACTCTTTTCAGACAGCAGAGACAAGCCAACAAGAGAAGAAGATGCCGACGGGAGAAGCCTTGAACGATGGCTGTCGTATCACGTAATGTCGAGTCACGGCTCGTGTTCTCTGCCGAGCGTCGCACGCGTCACGCTGCACTAGTCGTACGTACTGTCTTCGAACAGAACGTTACAGAACAAGTCTTATTATAATTATTGTTAAAACTTGAAGCATAATTATTTAAAAAAGTGATGTATATGTATGTTTGTGTGTATGTTCGCGCTAATTTATTACACAACATTCAATAATTGTGTCTTATATAAATTTAACGGAAAGACGTCCACTGCTGGACAAAGGCTTCCCCCAAGCGGAAAGCGGCGGTAGCCTAGTGGTTAAAGCATTAGACTTGCGATCAAGAGGTCGTAGGTTCGAATCCTGACCAGTACACTACCGACGTGAACCCACTCCCAATACAAGCAATTTAGCTTAGCTGGAGGGGTTAACGGGTATACTAGTAATTTCGGTTGCCCTTAACCAGGTCGTCGGACCACATTGTAGGGGGCCCACGCTCCGTCAAAAAAATAAAACTGAGACATCTTTTTGATAAACAGTGTGAGAGAGTCGCAGAGTCACTTGTGCATGGCGACGCGTCGCCACGCCGACTCACATATTACATATTTACTATCACTTAGACTATATACCTTTAGCAGTGAAGCATACAACGGAGAAGTGCTTAAAAAGCCATAAAATGGACACTTCATCAAGTCAACATTCCTTTTTTAATATATTTTTTTTATATTGAATATGATATACTCAAGCCTGGCTCCATTTAAATTAAAAAAGAATATTACTCCTCTATGGGTGGGAATTCAAGGAATGAAGAATTTTATTAGTCTTTTAACGTTTATTTGAACTTAATATGATTAAGGCATATTGTAGTTGGTATTTTTTTAAAATAACATAAGACATGGCTACCACTATCTGCTAGTCGAGATATTTTACTGAATTTTGTACAAATTTTGATTACGAGAATTTAACCCACTGACTTCACAACAAATGGTTTTTTTTTTATGTTAGAGGGGGCAGACGAGCAGACGGGTCACCTGATGGAAAGTGACCACCGCCGCCCATGAACGTCTGCAACTCAGGAGTCACAAACGCGTTGCCGGCCTTTTAGGAAGGAGTACGCTTATGCTTCTTTAAAAATGTAGTATTTAGATAAACCGGACAAATTGTTAATTAATATTATTTAACGGGAATTAACGCGATCTCTTATTTAGGGTATTACATACCTCTGGTTTGCCTGACGTTTCGACCAGGTTGCACCGGCCGTGGTCACAGGCTGACTCACTTTAAAAGTTAATTCCCGTTAAATAATATTAATTATCATGGAACGCGAAAGTTTAAAAGTTAGTATAGCAAACCGCTACGGACAAAGTGTTGTCGATAATTACTAAGATTCTAAGTGGCTAAGATTCTGATGATTGTAAATGATGATGATTACTTCGGTGGTGCAGTGGTAGCGTATGCGACTCCTGTACTGAGGTCGCACCAATGTTTGTATGATCTGCAAATATTTGTTTCGGAGTTTGGGTGTTTTCTATTAGTCAATCTAGCTTTCATAGTACAAACAGTTTGAAACTAGATGGCGTTGTATGTCAGTTGTCCGATTTTTTAAAAATTAAATACGCATAACCGAAAATATATATAAAAAAACGGTTTTTGTACATGTTATTGCATAACACATAATGCTGTTTTATACAGATACATATGTTTTTCACCCTCAGATATCCGTGGATACCTATATTTGGCACATCACTACCTATCGCAACGGAGCGTAGTACGTGGCATAGACTCGTGGTACGCATTCTCACCTCGCAACAGTCAAAACGAAATGCTGCACAACCTATGTATACATAAAAATAGCTATCTTTTTAAATTCTCATTTATTCCCATTGTTGTACTTTAAAAACTAAAAAAAACTAACATTTAAATATGTCATACGTATTAACAGTACATTTTTATGCCTTTTTTAAAGACAACCCCCGCATTAGGAATGTCCTGTGTCGCGGGGGACTTTACAAACACACATGAAACGGACACAAAGAACACCCAGACTCAGAACAACAATTTGTCGATCACACAAAGTGTCCCATGTGGGGTTCGAACCCACAACACTCAGCGTAGTAGGTTTTGCGCTGCTTAAATATAATTTTATGGCATTTTTCGCTTACACCTGGTACGTCTTACGCTTGCGCAAGCGCAAAGCTTCTGACAGCTCCACTGTTTTTTACCCGACTGCGCATAAAAGAGGGTTATGTCTTTATATGTAGTGTTTTCGAGTGTATGTATGTTTATTTCTTTGGCACGCTGTAGTTTATGCGGCTTGATCGTTTGAGGTGCTGTTAGATTCGTTTTAATCGTGACACATACAATGTGATTAAATTAAAATTTTGTTTGTAGAGTATACATTTTTAAGAAGTCGCCTGTTTTGTTTTTTTTTTTTCAATAATAAAAATTTTGAATTTTGTATGTCCATATAATTAAACTCGAAAGATTAAAAGTTAATACTGCGTCTTCGTCGACCCCTTTGGCGATGTTGTCGTGAGTGATTTAAATTTAGACGGGATGGAACCGAAATTTTTGTCCGTGTGGTGACGGATTAAGAATACGGATTGTCACCACCCCCAATCATCCCGTGGGTTGACGAAACTACGCAGGACAACAGCACTGCAAAGAGAAGGAAAACTTGTAACAAGCCCTATACCAACTCGTCTGGCCAGCGTGGTATAGTAGGCCAAACCCTCCTTTCTAAGGAGAGGTCTATGTCCAGCAGTGGACTATTAAAGGCTGTTGATAATGATGATGAACCGAAATTTAATTATAACAAAATGTTTATTTATATATATATATTGTATCTGTAAGAAATTTATATGCAGATTGTTGATATAGAAAAGATTTAATGACAAATTTTATTCTTCTATTAAGACCCTAGTATTTATCCACTCCATGTATTAAAGTCTGTGACTCCACCGTGACCAGAGGGTGTGGGTTAACTCGATCGTCGAGGTGACCGCGTTTGGCGCTGCGATTGGCCCGAAATGATATCTTTACCGATCGCAAAGCCAAACGCGTTCGATGTCGAGTTGATGTAAAATACACTTACATTTAGGCTTCAGATCTACGTTAATAACTTCCTCATAATTTGTTTATCAGTTTAAGAGATGCGATGACACAGACAGATGTGTTAATCAATTGTTACAATCTTATAATTTTAAATAAGATTCTTAGTGAAATGCGTTGCACACATTACTAGTATTATTAACTGGCTTCTAAAAATGTTTACAGCAGAATTTCGTGAAGTGATAACTTTTTATGGGAGGGTAAACCGCTTCGTTACGTAACGCGTTACGGCGCCAGTCTGTCTGGCTTCCCTTTCTCTCACGCATACGGCAGCGATAGGCAGGCTCCTCCTCCCTCGCTCTAACCCACAGCGCTAGCCGTATTTCGTACAGACGCTTTAAAGAAGCTTTTAAAGTTTAAGTAATAACCTAAACTCAAGTTAAACAATTTCAATATTAAATAGTTTAAATTATCACTTCCGTCGGGCGTCTCGATACGCACACGTTTTCTTTTATTTGGGACTGTTTGGGCCTATTTTGAAGAAAGTACCAGTTCTAAGAGTAGAAACTTAAGAAACAGAATAAAATATATGACAATTTAACACGATATTGGCTATTTTAGTAATTATTTTACCCTATAGCAGCTAAAACATGAGTGAGATACAATAATATGAACCCGAAGCCTCTCAAACGAAGCCCGTTACCTTAGCCACTGCACAATAGATCATATAATTAAGATTGTGATAATTTTAATTTGTAATGTATCCCAGTTATGCAATACAATTTGTTATGTTAATTTATTGCCAAGTTGAAAAATAAAAAGTGCCTTTTAATATTGATGTGTTTTATTTTAGTCCATTATTTTGTGGAATATCAATATATTGTTACGAGCTGGGTATAATAATAATAATATTTGTCTGTTAATTACTTTAGTTCACTGTATTTACTGTATAGTAAGGCCAAAACCTCTTTTCTAAGGAGAGGGCTATGTCCAGCAGTGGACTGTTAAAGGCTGTTGATGTGACTATTTACAAATACTCACTACCAGGAATCACTATATATCTCGTTAGTCGCACTAGAAATTCACTCCGATGTTAATTCGCTGTGTCGTAATATGAAACTGCTTTTATTGCACTTTTGAATTTTACTAGAAAGTTCTTAGTGTTCGACAGTCCGTTCCAAACAAACACGAATATTCCAGAATCAGTCACGCGTTACTTGCAGCGCCATCTAGCGCTGTAAGGATCAGAACTACTATTAACCACAATCTTAATAGATGTACTTTAGTCGATACTAGATGGCGCTGTCCTCCACATTTCATACAATCGAACCATTTAATCCTATGTTGCAAGTTTTTTTTTAAAAAGAAAAGTCCCGCATTAGGAACATATCTTATGTCGCGGGGGAATTTACAAACAAATATGAAACGGACACAAAGAACACCCAGACTCAGAACAACAATTTGTGGATCACACAAAGTGTCGTCCCATGTGGGGATCGGACCCACAACACTCAGCGTAGTAGGAAGCGGTGGTGTGGCGACTGCTTAAACCACTACGCCATCCGTGCAGTCAATATGTATATTGATATCCAGTACAACACTAGTTAATGCTTCTTATTTTCTGGCCACCAACCAGACCGCCCCTGACTGATTCATCAACGCAGAGTCAAACCGCTGGGACCACAAAATACAAATTTTGGCAGCTGATGTTTTTTATGTTGTTATCGCCCACTAAGAAAAAGTTTTTTGAAAATATCATCCCTAAGCGGATAAAATAAGGGACGAACGGTTGTATGGAAGTTGCCATTTTCAGTTGGAAACACGAAATACATGAAAAAATATCGATCTTAATGTCCATAATATATCGCTATGTACCTCACCTGAGAAGAGCCAGTAGGGTTCACTTGTTTGAACTCTATGTTACTAATCTCTTGATAATTTAAATATCGACTTTTAATTTTCGCGAAACGCCATCTAGTTTCAACATGCACAATTAGATCCAGAATAATTCTAATAGCGACATTTATGCCTTGCCTTGGCCATATCAGATACACCATGGCAATATCAGTACCGAAAGAGAAGGACGTGTAGTGACGGATTAAGAATACGGAATGTCACCACCCCTATTCATCCCGTGGGTGTCGTAAGAGCCGACTAAGGGAGCAAACTACGCAGGACAACAGCAAAGAGAAGTAAAACTTGACACAAGCCCTATACCAACCCGTCTGGCCAGCGTAGTACAGTAGGCCAAAACCTCCTTTCTAAGGCCTATGTCCAGCAGTGGACTATTAAAGGCTGTTGATGTGACGTGATGTGAAGAAAAGGAAAGCTTGTGACACACCCTATACCAACCAGTCTCGCCAGCGTGGTATAGTAGACCAAAACCTTCTTTCTAAGGAGACGGCCTATGTCCAGCAGTGGACTATTAAAGGCTGATGAGGAAATAAGAACCAATGATATATCTCATATTATTTATTTAGTCAGCACTTACTTCTACGTGGACATCATACGACAGCGGCGCATCAAAGACAGAGCATCCATGCATGGAAGACTCTTACACCATATATTTATTACACTAAAGCAGTTCTCCCACTCCCTCCCTCCCTCCAGTACCTCACACCGCACTTCTTTCATCTCGCTCTAACAACAGAGCATTCTTATCAAATACAAACAAATATCAATAACTCTATACCGAGGCTGCGCGCCTGGTACTCGATTTGGTTCTTTCCAATTATTATAAACAATATTTTAAAATTTTGTACACCACTATAGTGTCAAACTATATGTTTCTACGGTAAGCGATTACCGTAACTCATATTGGAAATCCACAACAAAAGCTAAATTACAAAAAGTATGAAAAAAAACTCCTTCATATTGCTTCGAGCCTAGTACATACTTGATTTGAACTTTATACATTTTTTTACACTACTAAGGTGTCAAACTAGTGCGATACCGTTGTAAGTAAGCACTTTGACTGTATATATCATTTATATGCCACTATAGTGTCAAACTAGTGCAGTCAAGTCCTTTACAAGTCCGAATATAGAACTCCTTATCATTGCTGCGAGCCTAGTACTTGATACAAAAAATTAAAATTATTTATACACCACAAAGATGTCAATTTACAGAGTATTGAGATCCTACATACGCATTTCCATGCTGAAGGTACTGAGGGGGAGGAGACGACTAATCCCGGTAGTCGAACAACACAACTAATAGTTGTAATCTTCGTCACCGTTGGTATCTTCTGGATTGTACTTGTTCTCGTGGTCGTGGGGCTCCTGCTTGATCTGTACATCCATGACGGGCAGGTTGAACTCGGGATAGTCTGAAATGTTGATACACACATGTATTTAGAACAACGCCATCTATTGATGAATGTCATCATATAAATAATTTTAGCACAACGCCATCTATTGGTAACTAACTAATAACAAACTTTTCAAAACTTCAAAGCGCCAAAGGGACATAATCACAGTGAACTGTAATTTCTCATTCGATTTTTGCGTACGTTGGTTAGGGTTGCTAGGTAGGTAGGTTAAACGCTATTTAACAATAAGTCTAGTAATTTTTAAATTATTATGTAGGCAATGTTAGCTATATATAATAAAATAATATAATATAATAATAATATTGTATCACATTCACACAACGCCATCTAGTCCCAAACTAAGCAGAGCTTGTACTATGGGTACTAGACAACTGATATAAATACATATATACTTTTTTTTTGTAAATACATACTTATTTTACATAGAAACACCCAGACCAAATCAAACATTAACTGTTCACGCACACAAATGTTTGACTTGAGCGGGAATCGAACCCGCGACCTTTGGAATAGCAGTCCGTTACACAAACCACTACGCCATTCGGTCGTCAAATAATTACTAGATTTACTGTTGAATAGGCGAAATAGGATCCTTTTGAAAACAGCTTATTGGCAACAACGCGTGACTCAGTAGTAACCCTAACCTAACCTACGAAAAAATGGAATGGTAAATCACCGGTATTTCGCAGTTCACTGTGATTTTGTCACTTGCCTACTATGGATTGTAATAAACTGTAATCTACGTCCCTTAATATTCTATCCTCAGGAGTGGTATTATTTGTTCAACTTTCAAGGGGAAGTTTACCCTCATGGATAAAAAAGAATTTACCGATTCAGGTAGTAATTGACGGAGTTCTTTGGTAACACAGATGTTTATAGAAATCCATCGAATTGAGAATTTCCTTTTCTAAAGTCGTTTAAAAATACTATGTAGCTTGTTGGTGAGCGCATACATTGAGAACGGATGGATTGATTTATAGTCCATTCGTTTTAAGAAAATAGTGACACATTGATCAAGGCCCCTACCCTGCTGACCAATCGGGCACCTAAAAATTACCGTTTCGTATGAAAACTTGGAACCTGATTGATCATTGGCTTGATTGATGGGCGAATGGACTCTAGATATTTTTAGTTAGTGTTAATAACAGTCTAAAAAGAAAAAAAAATCAAATTGATAGACTTAAGATTTTCGGGACTCGTCAATGATAAAAAAACTCACATCCGTCCGGGGTTAGACCTATGCCAAAAAATATTCCCATTACATCAATAAATTGAGTACAAAACATTAATTTGTAACTAAAAAATGGTATTTATGTTAATTTACAAATATATATTACGCCTCATTCCCGTGTAGGGTAGGCAGAGACAACAGTGTCAATTACCACGATACTGACTTACATCTCGCGACTTTTTGTAAGATTTTTCGTACACGCTAACTAAATCACGTTTTTTTGATCCCACCCCCGTTCTTGTAACAATTGCTAACATTTGTGAAGACTCTCATAAGAATAAAAACCAACATGAAATGAACCATTTGAAACAAAACAGAAAACTAAGAATTATTTTACTGTCAATTATTTAAATTTCACGTTTTAATACTTAGTTATTATATCACGAAACTTAGGACCCCTTGTCACACTTCGGAGAAGCAAACCCCCACCCCCCACTCCTCCCCTCCTCCTCGTAGCGTGTGACCTAATTATTGGATCGCTTCTTCTCGTAAATCACGTATGTATGATTATCACGAACCAGTCACACTTAATTATTAGTAAAATTTATAAAAGTGAAGTCCAGAGGCCCAGGTGCGAGTTTATACCACATCAACTCGCTGACGCCAGCGAACGCGTTTGGCGTTGTGATTGGTGCAGATTTCAGTGCGGGCCAATCACAGCGCCGAACGCGGAAACCGTGACTATCGAGTAGAAGTGAAATAAACTTGCACTTGGCTCTCAGAAGGCCAATTCTCGTAATAAAAGTTCAGTCTTAATTCAGTTCCGATCAACTTTCGATCTCACAACTGTCATTCAAGGTATTTTCTTGGTAAAGTATTAAACATCCAACGTTGACTGTAATGTGGTTATATCGTATTATGACCGAACATTGAATCGGTAATGTGCTGGTCTTAGTGATACTTTAATAACTTACTACAAAAGTACCTTTTTTGTTGACGGGGTGGAAAATCCCTTCGGATCTTCTGCTCCTCGAGGACTCAGGAGCCAGGAGTATGTGGTGATTCCACTAAAAACCACCCCGACGGCCGGTCTGAGGTGTCCTACTCTGCCTATGACACTATGCCTAATCAGGTCCTATCTCAGGGGAGAACATTTCCACCCACTACAAAAGTACCTTAAATGACAGTAGTTAGATTGAAAGTTGATCAGAACGGATTAGCCATGAGTTTGTTTGTCCTTTCTTCTCATAAAGCTCAACCCCTTGGAAACGGGCGCTTGTAGATCGGCACAAGCATATCATACATTTTGTATGGGTTTAATTTTTGTTAAATTTATTTGCTTATGGAGGGTGTTGGAATGGAGGGATTTAGGTACTCACTTGGCGTATAGCAATAAAAGTATTGTTTAACACCGGTTTTCTGTGAGACCGCGATACACTTCGGCCGAGTCGACCCATTAGTGAAAATTTTATATTACAAGTTTGTCAAACAATTAACCTTTTAGTCTACAAAGAATGTAGATAGCTACATTTATAGGTCAAAGCTTTAAATCGGTTACTGAATTTTGGGCAAAAAAATTTTACAACTACCGTCTTAGGAATATATCCTGTGTCGCGGGGAACTTAACAAACATACATGAAACGGACACAAAGAACACCCAGACTCAGAACAACAATCTGTGGATCACACAGTGTCATCCCATGTAGGTAGGGATTGATCTTACTACGCTGGCGCCGCTAAAAAAAACATCATTTAATTGGGATTATTTTTTACTCCCTTAGGGGATGCGAGGCACCGAGAGACCTCTGACCCCGGGGACATTAAGGAAGAAGGGGATGCAAGGAAGAGGTACATACCATCGTTGGGCTCCTGCTTGATCTTAATATCCTCGGGCTTGACCTTGGTCTCCTTCCTGTCGCGGTCGCGGTCGCGCCTCTTCTGCTTCTTGTCGTCGCGGCGCTCCTTGTCCCTCGAGCGGCGGCGGCGCGAGCGAGAGCGAGAGCGGCGACGCTGCTTGCGCTCGGCGTCGTCGTCCCGGTCGCGCGCCGAGCGCTCCCGCTCGCGCTCGCGGCGCCGGGAGCGCGACGCCGAGCGGCGCCGGGAGCGAGAGCGCGTGCGGCGCCGCCCCGCCCCGCCCGCTGGCGAGGGGACAGCCCAGTGATCAGTACAACAGTATATAACAACACTACACACAGAACTCATTATTTCTCGTTTCTAACTTTGAATATAACGAACTATCATGCAATCATTCCTCCCTTATTTTACCCCCTTAGGGATGAAATTTCTAAAAATCCTTTCGTAGTGGATGTTTACAATATAAAAAAAATCAACTGGAAATATGTATGTCAGTTTATAAATCTAGCAGTTTATCAGTTAGTCAGTAAGGACAAACATAATATTGTTTTTTCTCATGGCAGATAGTACAAACGAGCAGACGGATGAAGATGGAAAACGACAACCGCCGCCCATGAACGCCTGCAATTCAGGAGTCAAAAGAAGATTTTTCTTGAAGATTTGAAGGTCGTATCGGGCCAGAACTATCGCAGACAATAACTTCCACAGATTGGTTGTATGAGGCAAAAAGTTTCTTAAAAAGCGTACAGTATGAAAAAGAAACTTGAAACTATAAGTCTTTATCAACTTGTAAATTTATTATTTCTGCATAAATCTTAATATGTATAGATATTTTTACTGTCTGCATTTGTTTGTTACAAATATATGTCGGAGAGCGTGGAACTAGGAACGGTCAAGTCTAATCGATTTGGGCGAATTCGGGTAAGAAAACTGGCAACACAGCGGTTAACAGCTCGCTGTCATTTTTAACACGAGGCGATAAACGGACTTAGCTTAGATGGAGGGTTTAACGGGAATACTAGTAATTTCGGTTGCTAGTAAGCATTTAAAAAAAAAAGCACGCCTAAGGGGATAAACTAACGGATTAACGGTTTTATGAAAATTCGTCATTTTCATAGTTCATCAACATCATCATCACCAACAGCCTTTACTAGTCCAGTGCTGGACATAGGCCTCTACTTAGAAAGGAGGTTTTGGCCTACTATACCACGCTGGCCAGACGGGTTAGTATAGGGTTTGTTTCAAGTTTTCCTTCTCTCTGCAGTGCTGTTGTCCTGCTTAGTTTTTTCCCTTAGTCGGCTCTTACGACACCCACGGGATGAAAAGGGGTGGTGACACTCTGTATTCTTAATCGGTCACCACACGGTCGTTTTCATAGTTAGAAACGTGAAATATAAAATAATTACGCGAGAGAAGTCGGGTGCAATAGCTAGTGAACACAAATAGATTCAGTGTGTGGGAAATAACGCGAGTAGTTCACAAAGATAAGTTAACTAACAGACGCTACTTACCGGGACGCTCCCCCCTGTCGTGTCGCCCCCTCTCATCTCTGTCCCTCTGCTCGAGCCGGTACCGCTCCCTCTCCCTCTCATTGTCCTCTCGGCCGGAGTGTTTGATGTTCACATCGGCTCCGCCTCGGCGGGTGCCGCCGAGTCCACCGCCTGACACATATTGCATTAATTATTTACACGAACAAAATCAAACCTGTTTATTGTTTTTTTATTGGAAACGAGCAGATGGTAAGTGACTACCACCACTTATGGTGGTATCCGGGGGCAGTTCCGCACAGAAAAAACAAAGATTATGTCGGACTCGAACCGACCATAAACCTCACATCGTTTCCAGGTGCCAGTAGCCGGGGAACCAGGTATAACCTAGAAAGGAAAGCCTTTAATTTTCCATTTTTCTTGTTAAAAATGATGAAAAACGATATCACAGTGAGTAGAAAGAACATTTTACCGAAAACAATTGAATAAATACCAAAAAACTGCAATATAATTAATCAAACAGAAGAAGCGCGCAGAGCCTCCCCTCCGGCCACCATTTTGTGAGTGTGCGTAGGCTGTTTGCACGGAATACACATGTAGTTATTACTTTTGTGCGATACCTACGGGGAATGACCTTAACCATTGACAGCTGATTGAAGCTGAGCTGATAAAAAGTTTAATTTTCCGGCAGAAAATTCCAATGATTTTCGTTCTCAGAATGATGGTCTAAATACACTATTTCAGTATTCGTTACGACGTCCCTTACACCCTGTATAAAGTTATATTATCAATGTATTTGAACCCAAACTCAACTCTCGTGTAAACGGGGCCAATATATGTTGATACGTATATACAGAGGTGTCGGTAACGGTAACAGTGTCGCTAGTTCTATGGTTTTTTCCCATCTCAAAAAATACATTATTTTGTTTGTTGTTTAAAAATAAAGAAGTTTTCACTTAAAAAAATACTTAAAATCGGTTTTCTGTGCCGATGTATTATTTCGCATGACCCTTGGGCAAATGTCGTGCAAGAGTTCAAAATTTAAATTTAAAAGTAACTAGTAACACTTGGACCAAGTGAAGCGGTTCCCATCGTTAAGTTGTTACGACGAAACAAAGAAATGCACATACCCAAACATAATCCCCTCAACAGAAAGTACTAGGACCACATTAAAGCTGTAGAGACTCATCATCAACAGTCCAGTGTTGGTCCTAGGCCTCTCCTTAGAAATGAGGTTTTGGCCTACTATATTACACTGGCAAGACGGTTTGGAAAAGCGTTTGTGTAAGTTTTCCTTCTCTTTGCAGTGCTCTTGCCCTGCGTAGTTTGCTTCCTTAATCGGCTCTTGCGACACCCACGGGCTGAATAGGGGTGGTGATACTCCGCATTCATAATTTAATCTGTCACCACCACACATCGTCAAAGAAAAAGGCATACCTAAATATAAAACCCTCAAGTAAAAAGTACTAGGGCCACAGTAAGTCTGACGAGGTTCAACGAAAGTGCACTCACCCAATCTCCTAGGCAACCAGCCCTTGACAGTACGAGCCCTTTCCACGTCGACTAGAACACGCTTCCCGTCAATTTTCTTCCCATCGGCGTGTTTGTAAGCGGCTGTAACACATGGTGGTCATGAAAACTCCTGAACAGAAGCCGGCAGATGACCGTGGTTCGTATGATATTTTATATATTTGGATAGATATTCTTCTTCAGGACGCATACATACAGTGCCTTCGAGCCCCCCTCAATATTAAGAATTGGTCCCTCCATCCCGAAACGTAATGGAGATTTTAAAAGAATATGAATCCAAAAATAATGACGTTAGGGTAGTTTTCTGTTTAATTTCTATTAAAAACCACGTACACCTGCCTAGGTAAATGCCTATTCTGTCAACGTCTATTTTAGTTTAAGAGTTAAGGAGTTATCACATTCTTGATAATAATGGTGGATATTGTTCGAAATAACCAAATATAATTTTAATTTAATTTAGACGTTCACAAAATAATGTCAGTTGTGTTTTTATACATTTATTTCAGTCACTTAATGTCTTCGTATACTAGCGATTTATTTTCGAGGGCTGGGTGTTACTGCTTAGTATACGGAGACTTTGGCTGCTTAAAATATCAAACACGTAACCTGCTTTCATGTGAAGAATTGAAGTTTGGTGTCATAAATTGAATTCAAATCCTTCTAGACACAATATTGGACTTTTACCATTTATTTATCACCTCCAAAACGTATTCGCGCACTTTCCGACTCACCTGCTTTGACCGAGCACGTCAGATTGCCCGGCCAAAGTGCGTAACATTGACAATAATAATAAAAATATATATATTGTATACCTACTTTTAGTATACCTACCGTACAAGCCGAGTACCAACAAATAGTCGAAAAATATTAAAAAACATACCCACCATGACATTTATACCTACCGTTTTAAATTAACCAGATTTTTACTTACGAAAAACACCGCGGTTATTATCCGATATATCCGTAAAACGGCGATTGTTACACATTACCTGGTGCGCTTTTACTTACTTTGTCCATGCGCATTTTTTTTTTTTAATTTAAATTATATTCTAGACACTTAGTGACAATACTACTTATTTGAAAATTTTGATTTTAACACATTCAGTAATTAAAAAAAGCTAAAACACTTTTTTTGACACTACTGGGGCGGTCTCCTGCCCACACCACAGTGGCCCGTCAGTATAATATTTTAGGCTACCGTTCAAATAATATCTATACTCGCCTTTTGGTGTTGCCATACGAAAATCATGACCAATTTTAAAAAATATGATATTTTTTTAATATATTTAAACCATGGTGTTTTAAACTCTTAATTATCGCGTATATGTTACTGAAAAGTGCCGTATGGAAGACTATATCTTTTTTTTTTAACATTTGAACGAAAAAAATATTATGTGAAATTACTTGTATTAAACTAATTAGATACCCAAATTAATAGAGCTTATATTTTGCCTTATTTTGCCTGTCTTCAATTTCCCTTTTAAAATTAACATGTACAGATACTGAAAACGATACGCCAGCAAGACCAAAACGTATCCAAACTCCGGACCCTTACAGTAACATATAAATATAACCATTGCACTATTGTCCTAACATAAATTGTATGTTGGCTTCTTACCACATACAAACCTATGGAGTGATTCTCGGTTTGTGAGTAGGTCTACGGCAAGTCTGGTTCGGAAAAGAAAACGAACTTGTTAATCATGTACCGCAAGTGTGTGCGCGCCCTTACACTGGCGCGGTGCCGTGGCCCCGCTGTGGTGTCACGTGACCACGCCGCTTGGCGCCTTCCCTTGTACAGGGTGTAAGGGACGGCGTAGCAATACTTATGCAAAGACAACAGACCCGTCACCGGTGGACTTCAGGCCAGTTGGGCCGTGAAAATTAAATAAAGAGTCGTTTACAGCGGTGTGTTTTTTAATTTTTAGTAAAGGAGGTTATCGATTCGATTGTATTTTAATATATTTGTGACCTCAGAACTCCGTCATTTATGAAACGATTTTGATAAAAAAAGGTATTTGTAAAGGTGTATTATCCATTTCGTTTTACGTTTGTCTTTGTCTTTTAAATACAACCCTATAGGGTAGAAAAATAAGGAATGAAGAATACAGTTTATTAGACGGTGATACTCGTAAATTTATTTACTAATTTACGATTTTTAACCAAAAACTATTAAAAAAACAGTTAATTCTCCTACACAGATCCCATTTGCTTGCTTGCTAGTGCTTGCGATATAGCGTCCCTTACACCCCGTATGTAATAAGGTGGTGTGCGACTATGGCGATTGCGGTGCCAGATAAAGTGACCACGTGACCCCACTGTAAGGTAAAACGAACAGCGCGAGTGCGTGTATCGCACAGTTACTTAACAAGTATAATATTGTAAGTGACAATTTCGTTTATATATATAAAATAGTGTGTAATAAAAAGCCAATAGTTATTTACATCGTTATACTTGTGAAGTAAGAGCTACTTTAACGATTAGGGGACTGCACTGATGTGTATTTAGTCGCCGAATCGCGCTGTTGTATCAAAGTAGCTAGCGTGTGAAGACCTTTATTTTTTGGACGTTCTCGGAGAAGAAATGTATCCTGGCTGGAGATACCTTCGTTTTTGATCGAGGTCGAATCGAGTTAGAGTGAAATTTTGTATGAAATGATTACCTACTGTGGTAATATTTAATTCAGTAATTATAACATTAATTGAATTTATAATAACTGTGGAAGAAAGGATGTTATTTTTTATAAAAAGCAACTCCCGCATTAGGAATATATCCTGTGTCGCGGGGGACTTTACAAACATAAATGAAACGGACACAAAGAACACCCAGACTCAGAACAAAAATTTGTGGATCATACAAAGTGTCGTCCCATGTGGGGTTTGGCCTGGCGACCCTAACGCCCGACAACACAAATGAAGGATCTTCAAACTAGCCGAGGTATGCCATGTTGAAAATCTAAGTGGCGTGCAATGGGAGAAGCTTATGTCCAGCAGTGGATAGGCTGATGAAGATGATGATATCATGCCTGGAGAGTCGCGCAGTTTCCTGTGAGAAAGTGGTGTCATTGCCGATCAGCCGGCACATACGTGGCGGAGTGGGTGGTGGTGGCTGGGTATTTATGAGTTAAACAAAAGGAACTGTGTGTCTAAATCCAAACCCCAAGCAAAATCCATAAGACATACGGGTAAACTTATAAAAAAACTTCATAAGAAAAGTATTTAAATGAAATAAGTCTAAATATACTTTTTTATTTGAATGAATAAAATTGATAACTCAGATGCTTCAAAACTAACTTCGCAGTAACGTAAAATTAATAAAGTTAGTTGCTTTTGACTAAACTATTTAGTCCCTCAGACTTAAGTCTAAAACACAACACGTACAATCCACTTGGGTTTTGTTGTGTTTTAGACTCAAGTCCTAACCTCGTCTCCTGGACTTAAGCCCTACACGTAAAATACGAAGCTAGTTTATAGGGTTCCGTACCTCAAAAGTTAAAAAAGGAACCCTTATAAAATCACTTTCTTGTCCGTCTGTCTGCCTGTACGTGTGTCACCACCAATTTTAACAGATTGGAAACATGGTACTTACAAATTTTCGCGAAAAAATCGCGTAAAATCTGGTAAGGTACGGAACCCTCGGCGCACGAGTTCGACTCGTACATGACCGGTTTTTTTTTACTAAATCTAATAGGAATAATTGCAACGCTAGCAGAATAAACCAGATCATTTTAGACTTCACTTGAATTTAAAATACATTTTAAGTTATATGTTGGTTTTTAAGTACAAGAATAATTTCTCCTCCGAGAACGTTACGAGCTCCCGCGCAAATTGAAACGCAGGGAGGCAACCATTATAACATATTTACTATAATTAAACTGTTATTATAAGCACTCAGCGGTTTCAAAACTGTTGAAATATGTTATAACGTTGTTATAGAATATTTTAATTATACAAAAGGTTACTTGTGTTGGGCTATGTGCTCACATGTCACTGTTAAGGTGTAATATTACAGGTAAATCTTTCTCGAAAATTTAATTCATCGATTGATTTTAAATGCAATAGTCACTGGGACTTATTTTAAGTCCAACGGACTAAATCAGGGACTAGTCACTGCGACTTATTGAAATATGTTAATGTGTAGCATGAAGGCAATGGACTTCAGACTGAGAGATTTCGGATTCGAACCCGATGCAGTAAAGCATCCATTATTTTTTTTTTAATTCGTTTTTGTATACTAATTACCTTACCTTCTAACGCATTTTTGACAGTAGAAGTAATGTTCTTCTGTATCCATAACACAAACCTGTATAATAATATATTCTCTGAACACCATACTGAGATGAGTCCATTTATCAATAAGTCCCGTCCACTAAGTCCAATGCTCTAATCCACGACACTAACACATACTAATATCTTAGTTTGACAGTTATTGTGAATGTTGCCAGTGACACATAGCACAGCGCCAACACAGTACCACCTGTATAGGGGGAGAGAGACAGTATACTCACAGTGCATGTCCCGCTCGTGCTCATACTCGATGAACGCGTAGCCTCGAGGTTTAGCGTTGTCTTTGCTGAATATCATGCATATCTGAGGAATGAACAAAAAAATGCGACCTGTATATCAAGATCCCAGCAAGTGATATATTCATCCCTTATTTTACCCCCTTTTTTTAAACTAGTTTTGGGGTCGGCTTTAAGTCTACTACGATATGGTTAACGTGCTCTCAGAGGCACGGAGGGATCATATCACTGGTCACCCATCCATTGACTGACTCTGCTAGGATTGTTTAACTTTGCAATGTCTTAACCTACTCGACTACCACTAAGCCCTTAAGGGTTGAAATTTTAAAAACTCCTTTCCCTGAAATTTATAAAAAGCATCACCTGGCAAAATTGCCAGTTAGGGCGTTAATTAATGTAGAAAAGACAACTCCCGCAATAGCAATAAATCCTGTGTCTGTGGGGACTTTACAAACATACATGAAACGGACACAAAGAACACCCAGACTCAGAACAACAATTTATGAATCACACAAAATATCGTCCCATGTGGGGATCGGACCCACAACACTCAGTGTAGTAATAAGCGGCGTGTCGACCGCTTAAACCACTACGCCATCCGTGCATTCACTGGCGCAGTGTCCTGGTGTTGTCCATCATCTGCCTACTCTTATGCCAATTTTTCTTCCATTCTACTCTATCTCACTGTTTACTCCCTTCCTAGCCATATCCCCACTCCAACAGTCCATTCACCTTTTCTTTCGTTTTCCTCTTCTCTTGTACCCTTTAACTCCCATCCCTTAGATCCTTAAGTCCGATCCCCACATGGGACGACATTTTCGTCCCATGTGGGGATCGGAACAACAACACTCAGAATAGTAGCAAGATGCGTGGCGACCGCTTAAACCAGTCAGTCATCACAAATATGTTATACCAGAATCTATTACATCAACACAAATATTTTATATTGTATAGATGTACTTACTTTTTTAATAGCTCCATAGCCTTCGAACTCTCTCCTTAATTTGGACTCAGATGTGTCGTAATTCTGTAAAGAAAAAAAACATTAATTACTTATACTTTTTTATTCAGCGCCAGTGGATGAAAGTTGAAAACCAATAGATTATCCCCATATGGCATGTCTGAGAGATCTAGTATAGACTGTCATTTCATACAATGCCTTAGTCCTAATCCTAAATCTTGTCCTATCCCCATATGGACATGTGTCGAGTGGAGATGATCCAAAAATTAAGTCAAAAATTTATGTTTGGAAGCTACAGGGCCTCAATTCTGCTATTCTAATACTGTATCAATAGACCATCTATGGAATGTCGTCGGAATAGTTTTGCACTTTTCCTATTCTACTAAGGCCAATAGCCATTACAAATGTAAATAGAAAATCGATCAAGGTTTTAAATTTGTAAGAAAATGATATATTTAATTTTCCAGGTACGGCAACGTTGTTGATATCACCATTGATGATCTATATTACTATATCGAGAGTTTATTGACACTGTGAATTGGCGTCTCAATAGCATGACAGTGCCTTGGCGTTAACATTAAATAGCAGAATTGAGTCCCAGATATAAGAATAGAGGACGAACAAATCAATGGCGTAGCTTGGAGCTCACCTAAACCATTCCAGTAATGTTATGACATTTCCTGGAAGGTTTAGGTGAGCTAGTACACAGAGTCCGAATGGCCAGTGTAACCTAATCTAAATACTTAACAGTGTAATCAGGTCAAAACGACGGTTAATCTATGCTGGTCGAAATTGATTGAAACGACATCTATTGTCACTTGGTATTAACGCCAGTCGGTGTGTATGGCGGTAGTCACTTACCATCTGCTACTTTGTTGTGTCGCTATCTGGGAATCGAACCCACGACGCGTGACTCAGCAGTCAGGAAAAAGACCACTAGATCTTAATATAAGTGCAATAATACCATAAGAATGTCATGTTACTCACAATTCTGGCCACAAATAATGTTTTGAAAGGATCCATGGTAGCCTTTGGATTGGTTGTGGGATCCCATAATGCAATCTCTTGTTCTAGCTTGTACGCTGTCTGTTCCGCCCTCTCCCTTCTTCGCCTCTCCATGCGTTCTTCTCTGGTCTCCACTCGTGTTGGTGGTGGAGTCTCTGATGGATGCTGTAAAAGAAAAGCAATCAGGTTAAGATTCACCCAGTTTCAAGTAATGGGCTCACTACCCATTAGTGTATTCAGCTAAGCATGGCCAGTTCCATGTGAATACCAGACTTACACACTTGACCTGCTTGAATAATAGCCCCCTACTGTCATTGCTTTCTTCTTTCTAACTATTTTTAGGGTTCCATAATTCAAAAGGAAAATACTGAACCCTTATAAGATCACTTTCTTGTCTGTCCATCTGTCTGTCAAGACCCAGTATTTCCATAATGCATGGAAGTATTGAGTTGAAATTAAAACCGTATACCCAGATCTACAGTCCCCTGAAGATATGAAAAAATTATGGTTTCAGGCATTAATTTAATCAAAAGAATATTTACATTCATTTCTCAGGGAAAATACAAGATAAATATAGTATATAACAAGTGCCGAGCTGCATTTTAACTACATATTATTGTTTTTACATCTAAGTAATTAAGTAATGTAAAAAGTTTAATAAATAAATAAAGTGGGTAGCTGTAGCAAAACAAACCCTACTGGACCCACATGGGGAGTACGAATATTGCAAGTTTGATGTCCGTATTACATATTGTATAGCGATAGCTATCATACGTGACTTTTATCGTAAGTTTTATGTTTTTATACCAATAATGTATGAATTACTTTTTTTTTATAATTAATGTATTTTTATGTCATATTTTTTTTATAGAGTGTGTCCTAATATTTGGTTTTTAATAGGTAGTTTTTTAAATATTTACTTAATTTAAGGAGAAAAAAATATTAACGTTTTAATAGGTTTTTATTGAATTGAGTATTCACGTAAATACTAAGCTTCTTTTTGAATAAAGCCATTTATTGGATTTCCTTTACATCATTCGTTAGTTTGTTGTAAAATTTAATAATAATAAAATTTAATAATAATAAAACTTCTAAGTTAACTTAAAAAAAAGAAAGATCTGCCGACACTCTCTAGGGAATCAAACTTTATAGGGTACTTCCCGTTCACCTAGAACTATAAAAGTTGGCAAGTAAGACAATGTGTCTTATACTACAAGTTCTGGTCAAAATCAAAAAAATATCCAACTGCAATTAAATCATTCATCTTTGACATAGCGATTTTTCGAGTCCCGGGAAAGGACATAGGATAGTTATTATCCCAGAAATCATAATTTAAGGGGGTGGAAGTTTGTATAGGAAATCAATATAACTGCTAAAGTGATTTAGATAAAATTTGGTATTGAGACAGTTTGATTCTTGAGGAAGGACATAGGCTACTTTTTACCGTGTTAAACGACATATAAGCAGGCGGAGCCGCGGGCAAAAGCTAGGTATATAATATGTGTGTAGGTTTAGTACAAACACTACAGAGTACAATGCAAAATACAGGATGTACAGTATACTAGATTCCACTGATAACAGATAAATTTAAATGTATCCTGTTTATTCATATCTAAACTGTGTAGAACTTTTATTACTTTAACCTCGTGAATCCTTTCGTGCTGTAAAAGCATGAATTAGTTTAACTAGTTCAGACCTGAAGGTCAATTGTCCTAATAAAAATTCCAAATCCAGTGTCTTTAATCTGTCACCACACAGACCAACAACAAAAGCCCATTAAACATAAATTTGTTATTATTTTACATTTATTTTTAATGTCAAAGCCAAGCAAAAAAGTTTTCCAGCACTTTCTTAAAAGATTCTCAAACTTGCCTTCTCAAAATTCCTTACTTTTAACTTAGCATCTGATAACTACCAAATTATGGATTGTAAATTTTGAAAACCTTTCCCCCATTTTTATTTAAACAACTTTGCGAGGACATTTTGATGTATTTGCTTTGCAAGATACACACAACAAGGGTAATTATGTTAATCAATGTCAGTATTTATACAAAAAACTTATTTTTCATTATATCCTCTATTTGTAATATTCACAACAATAAGGTAATTTCACATAATTATCATGTAATAACAGGCTCATTATTTAATGAAGCTAGTTACCCATTTTTGAGTTCATTAAGGAGTATTACTTAAATCTATTTTGTAATTAGTGAGCAATTACGGAATAGAATTTTTTTTTTGTCTCTTTCACGGAATGGATTGCTATAACATCATCATCAGCAGCAGTCCACTGCTGGACATGGGCCTGGCACTGGTGACATATTGTGAAATGTTAGAATAAAAAGAAGATTTAGTACCAGTAACCGTATTTTTAATCCCTCACCACAAAATCTGTGTGGTGAGGGATTAAGAATATGGAGCCAACTAAGGGAGCAAACTAAGCAGGACAACAGCACTGCAAAGAGAAGGAAAACTTGAAACAAACCCTATACCAACCCGTCTGGCCAGCATGGTATAGTAGGCCAAAACCTCCTTTCTAAGTAGAGGCCTATGTCCAGCAGTAGACTAATATAGGCTGTTGATGATGATTGTCAGGACAAGGTTTGTGTAGAAGAAAATTTAAACAGTCAGACAGACGTTTTTCTTAATCTTTTAATATGAAAAGTAAGTGAATGAATGAGACGGAATACTGTAAAAGATCTATACTAATACTAGCTGACCCGACAAACTTTGTTTTGCCATATACATCATATCTAGGAAATATTGAAAAAAATTATTTAGGGGTGGGTCACCCTTGTCATTAAAGGGTATGAAAAATAGATGTTGGCCGATTCTCAGACCTACCCAATGTGCACACAAAATTTTATAAAAATCGGTCCAGCCGTTTCGGAGGAGTATGGTAACTAACATTGTGACACGAGAATTTTATACATAAGATTATAAAGAGCTAAAGTTTATGACTTTGTATATACAGAGTAATTTCAGGAACTATGGGTTTGAATTGAAAACTGTGTTAGTTAGCTTTTAGTATTAGATAGCCCTGTTATCAAGGAAGAATATAGACTGCACGGATGGCGTAGTGGTATAAGCGGTCGCCACGCCACTCACTAGTACGCTGAGTGTTGTGGGTCCAATTCATGGGACGACATTTTGTGTCACCCACAAATTGTTGTTCTGAGTCTGGGTGTTCTTTGTATCCGTTTCATGTATGTTTGTAAAGTCCCTCGAGACACGGGATATATTCCTAATGCAGCAATCTCTATTTTAAAAGAATTTAAATTTAATTTATTTAAATATCATGATACGACCAATAGGACCATGAATGAAAAACGTTGCGAAAACGGTCAAAACTTATTCCTTTGGATGAATAAGTCGAAGTTGGGCAGGTCAGCTGGTAAAATATGTCGATTCTTGGAGGTTTTGTAAATTTCGTGTTAAATTTATTCAGTCATTGAAATACAAGAACGAAGCGTGGTAAAATATTACCGGTACTGATAGTGTATATAAGGACATCGATTATCATAAATCACATCTTGGTGAGTGGTATTTTTTTTAATATACATCGAATTTTAGAAAAAAAATGTATTTAAGAGAAATATTACACTATAGTGACTTACGCAGTCATTGTATTTTACACTTATTTTCCATAGATTGAATATAATTTACATAATTAGGTACTTAAAAAATATTCTCTGGAATGAGGATAACCATCTAACCTCAAATACACTGAGGAAAGCGCCAACGCCATCGTAGCCTTTTTGTTTCTTCTCGTGAGGGAGCTTTGCTGCCGGCGGGAGGTATGGGATAGGATCCCGCGCGGCAAATAGCGCCAATAAATTAGGTGGCAAGAACTGCGTCATGGTGCCACAAAATGAAGTCTTTAATTACACTCTAGTTCACACTTAAAACAAAAAAATTACATTCTAACACAACACTGTAATTACAATTTCACTATATTTATAATAATTTGCTACTAATTTTACGTTCTTTCACTTTAAACTTGGACGAAATGAGATGTTTCTAACACGCTTCTATCCGCCATAGTTGTAGCCACAGCACAGAACCACAGATAAGGAGAAAGGTTTTCATAGCGTTTTTAACCATAGACTAAAGAATTTTGCATTGCAGAAGTCATAGAGTATACAGACACAATGCCTTTAATTAATTATTAATTTATTTATTTTTACTTTATATTTATTTATAATTATTATTAATTTATACTAAAGAGCACTATAGAGCGACAAACGATCAATATATTACTAGTATTTATTGAAACTGACAAGGGTGTAATATTTGTTTTTAAATGGCAGTTCATGGCATAGATATAATATACTGGGTGTAACACATAACTAAGCATAACTGTAACTTAGTTATATCTGGGTGTAAGTATATTATATCTATGCTATAGACCATATTGGACCATCATACTGAGTCGAAGATCATTGGATTTTTTTCAATCAGCTGTCAAAGCTTAACTCTTAGGACGTCGCGGCGCGCGGATGACCTATGACCCGTTACTGTCGCGCCCTTGAACTAGGGACCCAGTCACAGCTGAGCGAAGTCATTATTACCTCAATATCTACGTTATTTGATAATTATATTCAATGAAATAAACATATTTGGAATTCCTGATATATATTCTTCTAAATGTTGTGACAGAAACGCTACCGCGTAAAAATTTGGTGTCACAACTGTTGTGACGGCGACGCGTCGGAGGTTAAGGTCATTCACCGTAGGTATCGCACAAAAGTAATAACTACACAACCCTTGCAGTAAGTACAAACTACATTCCTCTGTGAGTTGTAGCATAAGGCAGTTAGACAGAGAAAGAATATTGTTTTAGTTTTGCATCTCTCTCTCCTCTCTGCACTGATTGACTGATATTGAAGAGGGCATTTAAAATAGCCAATCAGTATGCGATAGCGCCTTGTTCGCTTCCTCTAAATTTATAAGCTCTTTGGTTCACAGGTGTTTCATACCGTTTCTTTTTTTGAAGTAAAACTTCTTTTCGCACGCTTGACTTGGGGAGTAAGCTGCTGAATGCGTGACAGAGCGTTACGAAAAGTGTGATCGGGCAAGACGAACAAAGTTGAGAGGGAGATTTAGCCAGCCACCAGTTAGTGAAGGTAGAAAGAGAAAGTTACGTTTCGAATATTACCGTAGGGGTACGAGAGAGAGAGGTGCGAGCACACATTTTCTTTCTCTCTTGCTCTCATAGCCAAGAAGTTTTACTTCAGTCGTGTGTTCTAACGCATACTCATTTTTTAACCGACTTCAAAAAAAGGAGGAGGTTCTCAATTCGACTGTATTTTTTTTTTTTTTTTTATGTTTGTTAGCTCAGAACTTTTGACTAGGTGAACCGATTTTGATGATTCTTTTTTTTATTTGAAAGCTGGTGCTTCCCGTGTGGTCCCATTTCAATTTGGTTTAGTTCTGATAATGGCATCCATGAGAAAACCATATAAGTCTTAAATTTGCATTTAGTATGTTCGCGACAAATAGACGAATAACTCAATTTCACGCAAACCGATTTCGATAATTCTTTTTTTATTGGAATGGATGTACTTTAAGGGTACTTTGATGAGAGTTTGGTTAGATTCTGATGATGGGATCCACGACAAAGTAACGGAACTCTTCAATTCTTAGGAGCAAATAAACGATACTCGACTGAATCTTTTATGGGCTATCTGGATATTTGAGTCACCTACAGTAACGTCGTTATGGTCAAGTAATTGTCGTCATCAACAGCCTTTAATAAGCTACTGCTGGACATAGGCCTCTCCTTAGAAAAGAGGATTTGGCCTACTATACCACGCTGGCCAGACGCGTTGGTATAGGGTTTATTTCAAGTTTTCCTTCTCTTTGCAGTGCTGTTGTCCTGCGTAGTTTGCTCCCTCACTAGACTCTTACGACACCCATGTGATTAAAAGGGGTGGTGACATTCTGTATTCTTAATCCGTCATCACAGGGTAGATTGCCTCTGTTGAGATAGGCGTTTCTTCCTGACTCCCTTTGTTTCATTCAAACGGCGCTGTCTCATTTGAGCAGCACGTTTATTAGGTCTACCCATATTCAGACAAATTAGTAAGTGTACTTCAGATTCACTAAAAAGCAAAAAAAAAACAAAAAATTTTAACAAAAAAAAACGACTTTAAAAAACACTATTCCAAAACAAATTAATATGCACTAAAAAGGAAAAAAATAAATGCATATTCTTCTACAACTTAATAATCAACTTACTTTTTCTACTCATCTATATGTAGGTACGATCTATGTGTTAACCGCGAGAGAAGGTAGGTAGGTACCTACCCATTTCAAATCTAATTTACCATATACCTGTGAATAACAAACAACGATCAAAATATTTATTTGAGTTCTCCTAAGTAAAATAAAATGAATATAATGTAGTTACAAATATTGTTTATTTTCAATTACTAACGTTTTTTTAGATCCATATGGTTTTTAAGTTGTAATTGGAAAGGGGTATGCCCAGATGATGTGGTGACCGATACAAAACGTAAAGGGACCAACTGCGAATCTAACCAAGTGGGACCAATGGGACGGAACGCGGGACTAAGTGCGCAAAACCCATATTGTGGTGAGGTTTTAGCCTACTCCCTCCCCCTATCCAAAACCACGTGTTTTTTTTGTTGGTACAAAGTACATTGAAATTTTCAGAATATTATCTTTAAATACAGGCATAATCTGATTAAATTTTGGAAATTAAGTATCGTGATAAAAATGTCCAGACAGACATTAAGGTTGTTTTTGACTTGCAAAAAAATAAATAAAGTAAGGTGTAAAAAAAAACATATTTGTACATCGAAATGAAATGACAAAATACAGAGAGTTTCATTTCCTTTCCCAAATACTTGAGCCACATATTCTGCCCTTAATTTCTAGGCGATTTGCAAAATATGAACAAAATATATCCAGTAGTTTAGCCACAGGACTCATTTTTGTGTTTCGTAAATTGCAATATCATGTGTACATGCAGTCATAATACATTGACCTCAGGCGGCGATCAGCTGTAGGTATACGCGGCGCGGTAATCACACGTTGCCGCTTTTACTACACCCGAATCGAACGAAATATGTTGATTATTACGTCATCACGATGCAACACGCGTTTTTAATTAGTTCATCCAGTAAGGACAGTCAGTCGGCCCTTGGCCACCGGCGAGCTTATGCTATTCCGTATCCTTGTAGATGCGCTCACGACAAATAACCGTAATAATAATATTGTTGTTGTTTATGAGATACATATTTGTTTAGAGAAGTTTTCTTGTGGTAATAATTGTTTAGTCTTATTGCTTTCGTCATAATACACGGCAATGGTGTGAACAATTAATGTTATCGTGTGCGCAAGACTTCGTAATGTAAGGAGTCCTGCTAATTTTATTTTGAAAAGTCACTATTAGGTTCTGTGTGTAGTGTAGTGTGAAACTGAGTGCATTATCAGTCTTTTAATTTTATTGGGTTATCGATATCAACATCCATAATGCCGTGAGTGACCTTCACAGCCGCGGAATATCCTGCTATGATGTTAATTTATGGAAAACTCTATCAAAACGCATCTTTTGCTTTACGGACACGTATGGAGTCAATCGTGTATGTCCTACAGACTGCCGAATTTTTGTAAGGGCGGTACAAAGATTACGAGACAACCAAGGTAACTACTTTTTCAAGGAGTGACGCGTACTGCTGGGTCGGAAGCTAGTCGAGCATTCACGAAATAAACACGTGAATAAAATCGCATTCTTTATAAATAGACTTTTAAAAGCAAGTGAAGTGATTGGTAGGTAGGTAATAAGAATGTAAAGTTCGCCGGCTCGCGGCGGCGGCGGCGGCGTCGTTTTGATGTCGCCGACATTGCGACGCTGCCGTGTAGGTACAGTTCACCGACTCATGTTATCAATGGTGTTCTAATTGGGAAATTATTTTATTGTATTTAGTTTGTTCTAAATTTTCATTTCTGAATTTTCGTACAAATTTTTTATTTTTTTATTTTAACCGACGTATATTGAACCGTGTTATCTGTTATTTTATTTTTTGTGATATCTATACCGCCACAGTGTATATGTGGTACCAAAATATACTAATATAAAGTTATTTTAAAGTGAGTTCTTAAATGAGAGGTTTTTTATTTACTTAAAACGTAACGTCCCTAGATGTTGTAACATGCGAAGAGACAGAGACTATAGAGTGTGAGACACGAGCTCTCTTTGGTAATCTTTGAAAAAAAACGAAACCATAATCAAAAGAGTATATATTTCCTATTTTAATAAATAACTTATGACGACTTATGTACACTTTTGCACAAAGATAATTAACTGTCATCACTTTTAGCGCTATTTGTTATGAAACTAACACCTGCAAAATATAACTAGACAAGTTTGTTTTACAAAGCAAACACACAGTAGGGAAGCACAAATTTCTACTTTTGTAAAGTCATTTTAGGTTTTTCTTTCTGTTTGTTTCTGTCTGTCACATTCATGTACAAAATCTCACGAACTTAAATAATTTATTGCGATTCCTTATCTTTAACTCCACCTTCACATTCCTTGTCCTTCTTCTCTTTCTTTTTCTTCTTCTTTTTCTTTGTAGGATCCTTTTTTCTACTCATATCGTTATATTTAAGTAGCTTTTTATACATTTTAAGCAATTGTTTAGCATCCTTTTTCAATGTATCGGTAATTGGAGGTTCTTTGACGGGATCGACGAATTTTGTTGAACCTTCTAAAGTATTATAATGTTCTATAGATCCTTCTGCAATTTCTGGCTCTTTTGTTTCTTCTTGTACATCTTGAGCAGTCGGCACTAGGTCGTCAGTCCCTTGAGTCTCTGCTTTCGATTCTTCTAGTCTCTTTTTCAACTGTCTATTCTTCTTCCTTAAGGCATTTAATATGTTAGATGTATTAAGCACTCTCTTAACTTTATTGCTGTCTAAGTATCTATCTTTCCACGACATCGTTTTGGCTTTATCTTCTTCATGTTTAGCCTCATATTCTTTTATTTCTTCTTCCGTGATGACATCTATTCTATCTATTTCATCTATTTTCGCCGATAAAGCTTCTATTTCAGCCGCTGTCGGTTCTTTTGACAGTACATTTTGTGTTTCAGTTTCATCATCATTGGACGAGTCGTCTGAAAGTTCGTACACTTCATCACTAATTTCCACAACCTCATTTGGACTGTCATCTTCAATATTTTGATTGTCAATGTCTGATGGAGTTTCAGCTGGATCTGAACTGGCTGAAATAATCTCTATATCCTTGGAACCCGAAGAGCAATCTTGAGATTTCTCCGATGTAGTCAGATCAATTTCAACAGTACTTAATTTAGTTGGTTCTGTACTTTTTTGTAAGCCTTTTGAAAGAAGACATGGGGTAGAATCCTGAGTCATTTTTTTATGTATAACGACTTCTCGTTCGAGATCAAAAGGGACAAGAATCGTAATACGAGGATTTTTAGCGCAATCAACTATTTCGTGAAAATTTTGATCACTACTCTCGCGAAAATCCTTCTTCTTATTCTTTTTATCTTTTTTAGATTTCTTCTCTTTTTTCTTTCTTTTCTTTTTGTGCTTCCCTTCTTCTTCATCTGAGATACAAACTACCTCCGGTTTTAGATCAAATGCTTCAACTTCTGAGCTTTCTCTGTCGGATATTTCTCCTTCTGATAGATCGTTTTCATTCTCTTTCTTTTCCAATTCTTCTTGATGAATATTTTCTTGACTAGATGCAGGCTCATCAACTTTTGATGGAGATTTGCTACGTATTTCACTACTTTCAGTAGGAGCCGCTAATGATGAATCGTCATTTTGGATGGTTGAATCATCATCATGAATAGTTTCTGTACCATTACCTGCAACGTCAGGTTTTATTTCCCCAACGATTTCTACATCAGTATGAGAAGTACTCTGAGAATTACCGTCTTCAATTATGCTATTCGAGTTTTCATTTTCTTTAGCTTCGGTCTCTTTAGTTTCAACGCTGTCTGTTTCCACGTCTTGACTTTTATCGTCTTCTGCATTTTCACTTTCAACGCTAATATCTTCTTTTAAGTCAACAGTTTCTTTTGTATCATCTTCAGATTTCCTACCATCACTAGATATTTTTCTCTCTCGATTTTGGATTTCATCTTTACTGCCTTTAGACGTATTTCCATTTTGTATATCTGTATGTTTGCGAACGGATTTCTTAACAACGTCTTTATCTGATTCTGAACCTGAACTCGTATCAGAACTGACATTGTCATAATTCTTTCGGTCTAGATCTTCTAAAAGGTCCATTTTTTCTGTATCTGACAACTGTAGAGTAATTTCATCATTGTCACTGACATTAGACAATCGCTTTTTTTTACTTTTTTTAAATTTTTCTTTATTTTTATCTGTTTTACTTATATCTTTTCCTTTAGATGCATCCTTCGGCTTGTCGATATTAGTTGTATTTTTAGATATACCCTTATTCACTATTTCTTTCGATTTTTCTGCATTTCCCTTGTCCTGTGTACTATTTTTAGTATTGGTCTCTTGTGGTATAGTTTTATTCCGATTCAATTTAATTTTTTGTGTTTTCTGCTGAGGCACAGTGATAACGAGGTCGTTGACCCTTTTGGTGACTGTTTTTGATTGCATTTCTGGTGATTTTAAATGAGGATTACCTGGAAATAAGATAAAATATTATTATTAACTAGTATAATAATAACTTCACATATTAATGATGATGATAAGGACCTTAAGGAAATAAGGAGAGGAAGACCCTCTACCCAAAGTGATGATGAGATCAAAAAAGTCGCTGGCTCAAACTGGTTGCAAATAGCACAGGATAGAGAGAAGTGGATATCTTTGGAGGAGGCCTTTACCCAATCTGAGGATCTAGCTTAATGCATATTAATAAGATAACTACAAATAAGCTTTTTTTTTCTTGAAAAGACAACTTCCGCACTAAAAAAAATCCTGTGTCGCGGGGCTTTTACAAAGATACACGAAAAGGACACAAAGAACACCCAGACTCAGAAAAAATATTTGTGAATCACACAAAGTGTCGTCCCATGTGGGGATCGGACTCACCTCAGCGTAGTAGTAAGCGGCGTGGCGACCGCTTAAACCACTACGAAATCCGTGCAGTTTAGTATTAGTATAAATAGTAAGCGAAATTTAAGTATATACACCTAGCAATTAGTAAGTAATTAATTCTAGTAACTAAGATGAAATGTAGCTTGGTCAAATAAAGATTTTTTTTATTATTTAATTATTATATTTATCTATAATAAGTATGTATGATTTATTGTGTGTCAGAACTACGCCATTCATCATCAGCCTATCGCAGTCCACTGCTGGACATAGGCACTTAGATCGATTTTGGGCTTCTCGCATCCAGCTCCTACCAGCCATCTCGCGCAAATCGTCACCCCACCTGGCCTGTGGGCGTCCTACACTGCGTTTGCCGAGACGCGGTCTCCACTCAAGAACTCGTTTTCCCCAACGGTTGTCAGTTCTGCGGCTAATATGGCCAGCCCACTGCCACTTCAGCTCGCTGATCCGATGGGCTATGTCGGTGACCTTGGTTCTCTGCCAGATCACCTCATTCCTGATGCGATCCCTTAGAGAAACGCCAAGCATAGCCCTTTCCATAGCCTACGCCATTATTATGCTTTAAAACATTAATATCTGTCACATCTATCGAAATGCTAACAATTTAACTGTAATTTCTAAAACATCCTTTCAACGTTTTTGCCTATAGTATACTAGTTGATAGTTCAACTGTGCATTAAACTCCGCAATCACCGATAGAACATCTATGTATTGTGTTTAGATTGACTTCACGGATGGCGCAGTGGTTTAAGCGGTCGCCACGCCGCTTCCTATTGCGCCGAGTGTTGTGGGTTCAAACCACACATGGGACAACACTTTATTGTTCTGAGTCTGGGTGTTCTTTGTGTCCGTTCCATGTATGTTTGTAAAGTCCCCAGCGACACAGGATTTATTCCTAGTGCGGGAGTTGTCTTTTAAAAAAAAAGGACTGTAGATAAGAGGAATTGAATAAAATCATGTATAATAAAAATAAATTCAACTCACTCTTCTCCAACTCTTCAATCTTGGGCTTCTCTTCATCGCTGCTTATCTCTACTATTTCTGCCGGCTCTTCTTTGATCTCAACTTCATCCTCCGATGACTGTGATTTTGTGGATTGCGTGGACTGTGCAGCTACAGACTCTGGGACTGGTTCTGTTAATCAAATTAAATATACGTATGTGTGAGGTATTCAGATCATCATCATCAACAGCCTTTAATAGTCCACTGCTGGACATAAGCCTCTCCTTAGCAAGCTCCTTAGCTTAGTTTTGGCCTACTATACCACGCTGGCCAGACGGGTTGTAATAGGGTTTGTGTCAATTTTTCCTTCTCTCTGCAGTGCTGTTGTCCTTCGTAGTTTTTTCCCTTAGTCGGCTCTTACGACACTCACGGGATGAATAGGGGTGGTGACACTCTGTATTCATAATCCGTCACCACACGGACCAGACCATACACGATATTCAGATACCCTTTAAATACCCTTTAAAACATAAAAAAAATATATTCAAATCAGTTCAGGCGTCTTCGAGTAATCGGTGAAGATACATAAAAAAAAAGATTCCGACGAATTGAGAACCTCCTCCTTTTGGAAGTCGGTTAAAACTGGGGATTTTACGACTTACGAAATATACAAAAAAATCTTTAAAATTGTTCGAGCCGGAAAGAAGGCGGATGTAGGCAGCACAGGACCGGTGGTGGTGGCAAACCTTGGGGGAGGCCTATATCCAGCAACGTCTTTTGGCTGAGACGATGATGTTGGTGTTCGAGCCGTTTCAGAGGAATACGACCACAAACACCGTGACGCAAGATTTTTATATACATACACTAGTTGACCCGGCAAACGTTGTTTTGCCATATACATTATTTCTAGGAAATATTGAAAAAAAAAATTAGGGGTGGGTACCCTTGTATTTTAGGGGTATAAAAAATAGATGTTGGACGATACTCAGGCCCCCCCTCTGTGCACACAAAATTTCATAAAAATCGGTACAGCCGTTTCGGAGGAGTATGGTAACTAACATTGTGACACGAGAATTTTTATATACATAGACCACTTACTGCTCTGTTCTTGTTGTAGTTGCGCCCTTATAGCTCTGGCCCTCGCCTGCAGTTCCAATAGCTCCAGGACCGTGAGACCAGCTCTGGATGCCTTAGATTTCTCTGCATCTTCATCATTGTCAACATCACTAGACTTGCGTTTAGACTTGGATTTGGAATTGCGATCACGGTGTTTATGCTGAAAGAAATTACTGTTGTAGTATGTGAAATCAAACACGGTATTAGCTGCAGAACCCTTAACCGTGGAGGAAAACGAGTTATTGAGTGGAGACGAGGTCTTGTCAAACATAATGTAAAACGACCACGGGCCAGGTGGAGTGACGATTTGCGCAACTGGATGCGAGAAGCCCAACATAGATCTAAGTGGCATGTAACAGTACAGGCCCACAGGCCAGTAGGCAGTCCACTACTGGATATAACCAGCAATAGGCTAATGATGACTGTCACATTTGACAGGTAATCGTTACTCTATAAAATCTGTGGTAGTGTTCTAGAAGTTTGCCATGCTATGAGCGGGGGTAGTCGCTTTCCAACAGGTGACCCCTCTGTTTGTTTGCCCCCACTTATATAAATATAAGAAATATATACATTTAGCTGTTCTGTCAAAGTAAGAACCGTAATCTTCTGGAAGTCAGTTTAAAATAAAATGAAAAGAAAAAATAAATGAAAACCTCTTACCTTTTTCTTTTTACATTTTTCTTGACTTAATAGTTCCTCGTCAGAAGATATAGAATCTAAAGATATGGTCTCTAGCTGTTCTGTAGCTGACTGGCTCGAGGACTCTGTGTCTGATGGTGGCTCAGCTCCGTCCAGAATTGAGCAGAGACGTTTGGAACTTATACCTAACAGCTATAACGTTAAGGGATCTTTAATAATCTTTACTAATGTTAGCTTCACAATCAATCGTTGGTAGCCTATCACACTTTGAACAATCGTGTTGTTGTTATATGGAATAAGCTTCCGGAAAGTAAAGTGTAAGTGCCAACTTGATAAATGGTTGGAAAAGCACAATCCACCGGACTAAACAACCATACAATCATATACACGCAAACTCTTACATCACCACATCACTTCGACAGCCTATAACAGTCCACTGCTGGACATAGGCTGTTGAAGTGGAAATATCAGCAAGCTTGCTGCTAATAATAATAATGTTATAAAAGCTGAAGACTTTATGAAAAGTTATTTTAGTGTTAGATAGTTCATTTTCACTGCTGGACATAGGCCTCTCCGTAGAAAGGAGGTTTTGGCCTGCTATACCACACTGGACAGACAGGTTGGTATAAGATTTTTTCAAGTTTTCCTTCTCTTTGCAGTGCTGTTGACCTGCATAGTTTGCTTCCTTAGTCGGCTCTTATGACACCCATGGGATGAATATGGGCGGTGACACTCTCTATTCTTAATGAACCAAATTAAACCAAAACAGAGAGAGACAGACAGCCAAAAAAATGTAAACTGGTTTTTAGGCGTAGGCCTCCTGCAAATAACCGTGAAAGCATGAAAAAAACCTATTATTTTGATATTACAAACAGACACTTCAATTTTTTTTATTTGTATAGATAATTGAATGTTTTTACTATACACACTTAAATGACTTACTACACATTGAAGGTGATATGTGTGTGTTTGAGTGTTGCAAAAGCGCGGAAAATTCATACATTATATTGTTAAGATAATCTTTTAATTTATATAGTAATGGTATATCAAACCTCCTCGGTACACAGCTCCTGGAGATCATCTACTGATATATTCCTAACGCAAGAAGGTGCCATTGCATTCAATTCCTTATATTTTAATACTGAAAATACTTGGTGCATTAACTCAACACGATCATGGATGTAATACGCCAGATCATGGTCTTCCTGCTCCCGGGTGCGGGAAGATGATGTCTCTGGCATTTCCGCCTTAACCTTATGACGTTTATATCGCTTCATTTTATTTACAATATCAGAAAAATGTTATACGAAGTCAATTCAATTGCATTAAAGTTCAACAAGCTTATGAATACACCGAATAATTGAGAAGTCGAATGTTTACAGAACATATCGTCGTCTTATCATACCTTTCCATTTTGGTAGATTATTTTTGTTGGTATATGTCAGAGTTCACGTTATATCGGGTGCATTCGTAAAAAAGGATTTGATGCGTTTTAGAAAATGCCTAATGAAACTATTGAAAACTATGATACTATTTAAAATAGAAGTCTTTTGTTTTAAAAGCATTTTTATTTTAACTTACTATAGTACTGAAAACCATCACAATATAACCTTTGACTATGTAATAAACTTGTAATTATTTGGAATTATAGAAAAAAATGGAAATGAATACAAGAAAAGCTGTTGTTGGAAGTATAGAATATTTACGTTCATAGAGTTATACAGACTGGATTCAAAATATTCTTATTACACTGCTCCCCCTTTTTGAATTAAATAAGTTATTGGTAGTTCATCAGTTAAAAAGAAGTGACTTAATGCAAAAAATTGAACGCACGAAATTAATCGAGTATCGTAAGCAATAACAGTAACAAAAATGGCTGTTGAAAAGCTGTATGAAAGTGACAATTTCTTAGTTGTAAATAAACCTTACGATATGTATATCAACTCGGACGATGAATACGAAAAGGTAAGTACGTACATACACTGCAATTAAGATAAAATGATATTTACTTTTTAGGTTATGCTTTCTATGTAAACAGAATAGTGTGGTAACAATGTATCGATAATTGTGTTAAAGCAGAGAAAAATACAATCTAAATATATATACCTTAAATTTATATGGCGTGTATTGTAAACAACACACAGAACCACACCATTAAGGTGTCGTTTACAATATTTTTTGGGAACGACACAACTGCTAACTAGTGATGTATAAGGTGAAATAAAACAATTCGTTATTTATTTATTTAAGCAACATTATAAGCTCACAGTCTCACTACCAAAACATTTATTGCTACATCTGAATAGATATTTGGCGACTCCCACATACTAAGAAGCAGAAACATACCATAGGGCCAGACACACCGAACTACGGAGTAACTCCTGAATGAGAATTGCTAATCCTGTATCGCGATATGAAGAATTCTCGACGATTAGCATATATACAACTTCCAGACATCAACCGTTGGGCCGCGGCCCGCCAGGCATGATCACCTTGCCTGGTCGAAGGATCCTCCCTTTGTGTTGGAGGGACATGACACGCGTTCCTCCACAGATATACAGACATCATTCACACAGGGCATTATTATACAAAAGAATACATAAAATTATTTACAAACAACATTTTAATTTCAAATTACAAATAACATTCATGAAATCACACAGAAATAGCCACTAAAGTCAATGCAATAAAACGTTACAAAAATCATAGCAGTAAAAGATGTCCAAAAATAAATCAAAGCAATGTCATTACAACAAAAAACAACTAAATTAATTTATGAAACTTGATCAGATAATTATACAAAAACTATTCATTTCTGAGATGAATCTCATCTGCTATCTTTAAAGTGACTTCTGGAAGGGCTTTTTTAAAAGACCATGGTCGTGACATATGAAAAATAATTGATATCGGTAAATGCATAAGTTTTGTTATAGAACTTCATTACGGTGATGTCGTTTACAATACACGTGTCAAGCAAGTTGCGAAGTTATGAGTCATAATCGCACCTCTGCTCAAATAACGTCACAACTCGAAAAAATATTTTTAAGAAAAAGGCGTTTAATGTTAGAACAATTAAAAAGCTTACAACTTGTTACAAACTTTTTTTTTTCAAGCTATGGTCCGAAAAAATGAAACAGAAATAATGTTATGGCGTATAGTGTAGTACCGTGTAGTGACGGATTAGGAATACGGAATATCACTACCCCAATTCATCCTTTGGGTGTCGTAAGAGCCGACTAAGGGCGCAAAACAACTCAGGACACTGCAAAAAGAAGGAAAACTTGACACAAACCCTATACCGACCCGTCTGGCCAGCGTGGTATAGTAGGCCAAAATCTCCTTTCTAAGCAGATGCCTATATCTATCAGTGGACTATTAAAGGCTGTTGATGTGATGTTATGATGAACGTTATGCCGGGAAGTGCACTTGATAAATAGTTTATTTGTTTTTATTATCCTAATATACAACAATACACTGCTTTATAAGACCGAATGTATAATGTGAATATGTTGGTAAAAAATGTGCGACTTGATTCCCAATTTCAGAACACCGTAACTTATCACATTGCGTCTCCTGACTCACATCTCTCCACGTCCGTGTTCCCGCTACATTTCGTACAACGTCTCGACTATGCTACTAGTGGTGTGCTGTGTATTGCAAAGAACAAAATGTCAGCTAGCAAAGCTGGCAAACTGTTTGAGAATAGATCCACTAAGAAGTATTATTTAGCGGTTTTGAGAGATCACATAAAGTTTGAAGTGGCCGATATACAGTTTGATGTTGGTGAGTTTTACTTTTTACAGTTGAGCCAATTACAGTATATGTTCATTTTAAATGAATATTTGAATATTTGTTTTTTAGTGTCCTTATACTTCTCTTGTGATGTTAGTGTGGTGTTAGGAAGTCAGAATCAGAAAACTGATACCATTTTATTCTCAGTTCAGTTTAACATTTCGCAACTGAATAAAATAAACTGCAGTGTCTACAGTAAAATCACAATAAAGGAGTTCAAAACATTTTTGTTTCTTTCTGACATTCTGACTATTTGTTTAAACTTAAAATTCATTTTGAAACAGTGTCTAATGATGGAATATTTATATTAAATAAAGACAGAGGTATTGTTTATAATAAAGTGTAATTCAATTTTCTAGGTCTAGATCCATTAACTCAAAGCTCAAGTCATAGAATGTCGGCACTCACCACAGCAGAAGGAACCGCTAACTGCATACAGTGTAGGAGTGCCCACACACGTGCTTTGAGACTTGAAACAGGCTACTTTGAGGGAGATCCAGTATCTGTCGTTTTACTAAAGCCTATTACAGGTATATTTTTAGGAAAAACCTTGAAAAGACTATTAGATAGTTATTGACATATCTAAATAATAATTTTAATTGTTTAATGTTGTGCTTTTTCTAATTGTATGATAGTGAGCAAATAATAAATAACTAGTTACTGAAGATTATAAAACGAAACACCAACACAATTTTATTTTTATTAGCAATAATTTTGACCCTGTTAGTAAAAAAACATTGGTTACTTTGCCAGCTCTCAAATTATGTTTCATGACAGATTCTCTCGCTTTCTTCCGCAAAACTATCTTATAAAACTTGATTCATTGATTTATCTTCAACTCTTCTTTTAAATAAAATTTGTGCCAGGTCGTCGTCATCAACTTCGCGTTCATTGTAGTGCGATTGGTCACACAATACTAGGAGATTACACTTACAGCGGCACCAAAGACAACATGACGCACAGGATGTATTTACACGCAACAAGGTAAATTTAAATAAGTTATTGTAATAATTTTAAATAGGATAAACCGTTACAAAAGTCATTAATTTTTATTAAATAGAGGAGGTCGGTTCCCACGCAGGACAATTAATTGTGTGAGCACGATGATTTATTGTGTCGGGTGTAATTTATCTAAAATATGTATGTATTTAGAAATATATACACTGGTTACCATATCACAGGCTCTGCCTAGTTTGGTATCAGACTACCGTGTGTGTGATGTGTAAAGTTATTATTATAATTTTACTTATTTATCTAAAATGCACACAGGCATAAGACTTTACTTCGGCTGTTTAACACAACCATTTTTTTCATCTATTTCATTTAAATAAATCAGTGTTTCACCTGTTTTATTATTTGCTGTTTATTTATTACAGACTAGTCTTGCCAATACCACAAGAGCCTTTGGACATTCAAACATCAGAACCATTCCATCTGGATCAACAGTTTAGTACAAAGTGGAAATCAAAAGACTCGTACTATAAATATAGGAATAAAGAAGAATTTTTAAATGTTTGCGATATTCTGGATCAACCTTATGTAATTGGAGTTCAATATAAAAAGTTTACAATGTAAGCAGTATAAAAATAAAAAATAAACCTTTTTCTTATCATACTCTGGGCTTATTTTTTTATTAATTTACATTTTTAAGGCTTCGTTATAAAATAACAGATTTTTTTACGATAACTACCAATAAAAACCTATTCATGATTTTGGATTTCATTATTAATTAGCTGACCTGCTCATTTTTTTTTAAGGATGAGGGGGCAAACGAGCAGATGGGTCACCTGATGGTAAGCGACTACCGCTTGACAAACTTCGTCTACTTCTCTCAAAAGGTATAAGTTTTTCCAACATTGTAATAAGTTTTTGGAACATTTTTCATTGATACTCGGCTCCCATTGGTCGTAGCATGACGTTATATAGTCTATATTTATCCTTTCTCAATAATAGGACTATTCAACAGTAAAGATTTTTTTTATCCAAACCCGTTGTGCCGAGATTACCCCGAACATACTGAACCACAAATTTTACCTCTTTATAATATTAGTATAGATCTCTCACAATCTTCTGTCTCATTCACTCACTCTCTATTATTATGAGATTTATACAAATCTTGTCCTAATAATAACGAACACAAAAGAAAGAAGAAGATCCCATTCGATGCAGTCGTTCAGAAGTTATCCGCGTACATACATTTCAGCGCTTCATTTTAATTTATATGTATATAGATAGATGAGTAAGAACTTTTATGAATTCAAGCGTAAAAATAATTCTTGGAGAAATAATCTCGATAAGTGACACTATTCCCCGCACTAAGCATTAGGACAATTGTCAACTGTCAAAATAATGGCAATATACTGCAGTCTGTAAATAAATAAAAAAACAAACAAAAACAGCAAATGCTGACTGCTACGAGTTTCTCATAAAGATAAATAAAATCAAAATGGAAATGGAAACTGATCCACTGGAAGGCAGCAGTTATGATCTAGGAGTGAGTGTCAAAACAGAAATAAAAGAAGAAGATGACGAGGATCAATATAATACGATGTATGTGTCTGGTAACAATGATATTATTTAAAAAAAAAAAGTGTGCTTGTCTATAGTGCAATAGTGAGTTATAAGTACAGCCCCAATGCAATATAGCTAAACACGGACAGAGGGAACTATCGGACATCCATCTCTCTCGTTGCTTGTATCCATTCCACTTACAAGCAGCTATAACCCGTGTTCTCTCCATGCTTCATGCATTTGGCTGTTGGAAGAGGGGCCTCTTGCCCAGAATAGTTTAATAATCCATGATTCAGATACTACTAATATCACTCTTAAAGGTATTTAAATTTTTCAAATTTTGCATATAGATGGTGGGACTGGGTACAATGGTTCAAGTAATAAGAGAGACAAGACAAGGAAATAAAACAAATTTGTTTGTCTGTTACGCTTCCACGCATGAACAACTGATTCTGTTACCAATGGAAACCTACATTGCCAGTGAGTAACACCGCCCGCGTGTATGTCACTTATCGTGGTAAAAAGTTACAGGGCTAAGTGACATACACTCGGGCAGTGCTGCTAGCAAAAGCTGGTATACCATAAAAATAAATCTTTGCATAATATTGAAATGTATTCCTTTCTATTACAATGCCTTAGTAACACTGAGCGCCACCATGGACCTCTGACAGTTGGATTGCTATGGAAATATTGCAGACATGTACTGACAAAAGAATAATAATCAACTTTCTTCCAGTTATCCACCTGCCCAAGATCATTATCTGATTATACTAATTTAACTAACACTGTCTGTGTGGTGACAGATTAATACACTGTGTCACCACCCCTATTTATCCAGTGGGTGTCCTAAAAGCCGACCAAGGGAGCGAACTACGCAGGACAACAGCACTGCAGAGAGAAGGAAAACTTGACACAAACCCTATACCAACCCATCTGGCCAGCATGGTATAGTAGGCCAAAACCTCCTTTCTAAGGAGAGGCCTATGTCCAGCAGTGGACTGTTAAAGGCTGTTGATGTGATGTGATGATGTGACTAATTTAACTTAAATATTAAAAGTAGTTTTCACATTAACCTATATTTGAAAACAAATGCAATTAAAAAATGATACATTCCTTTCAGGGCCCTCCTGGAACTCGCCCAATGTGTACAAACTAATCAAGAACCGATTGAATTCAATTCAACAGACGCCATGATGGACCCAAAAACTGGTCTGATGATATGTCTCCACTGCCTCGAAGACTTCGACTCCAACAATCTTTCTGACCACATGGTTACCAAGCACAATTATCGTCGAGTATTATTTAAATGTAACTTATGTATGCAGACATTTCAAGAAAGGAAATTACTACTGATCCATCGCCAGGAGTGTCGCCCAGAACAGAAAGTGAGAAAACGCACTTCCTTCCAGCAGATAATGAAGGAAGTCGAGTCTAAATACTTCACAAATGATCAGGACCTATTGGAGATCGTGTCGTGTCCGATTTGTCTACTGGATCTGCCGAAGTATTATTTGAAAGAGCATTTACTGAATGAACATCAGAAACCAGATGTGGTATTGACCTGTGGACGATGTAATAGAAACTTTAAATCGAAGTTAACATTGAGGGAGCACGTGAAACTGGTCCATGAAGCTGTAGAAGATTCTCAGGAGTGTGAGCTTTGCGGGCAGAAGTTTAGAAGCTTGAAGTATCTTGCCAATCATAAGAGGAATGTGCATCCAAGTGGTAAGTTATTCTAAAATGTCCTTTTTTTCTTTTTGAATACTCCCGCACTTTTACTCTTGAGTCTAAATGCGGAAACCGAAGCCCACAATTAATACCAATTACTCCCGCACCAGGAATATATCCTTGTCAAACCACAAGCCTTTTATTCTACAAAGAATGTAGATAGCTACATTTATAGATCAAAGCTTTAAATCAGTTATAGTATTTTTAACAAAATTTTTACAACTACCGCCTTAAGAATATATCCTGTATCACGGGGGACTTTACAGACATACATAAAACGGACACAAAGAACACCCAGACTCAGAACAACAATTTGTGTATCACACAAAGTGTTGTCCCATGTGGAAATTGAACAATACTCAGCGTAGTACTAAGCGGCGTGGCTACCGGTTAGACCACTACGCTATCTGTGCAGTCATTGCACATGAATTAAATAATACCTATTCTTTTAATAGGATATACATAAATATTTAACTAAAATTTGACTACCTTGGAACGCTCCCTGCAGGATTCGAGTTTGACTCTCTCTTGAAATTCTAGTCATTTCTAGCAAGAGCATAGTAGTTTATTTTTAATTTGCTTCTATATTTTACAGGTAACAAAATCCACAAATGTGAAAAATGTGGTAAAGAGTTCAAGAGTCGTCTGTGCCTCCATCAGCATTCTAAGTATGTACATCCGCCGGAATCAGCGTCCGTAGAGTGTCCACACTGTCCTAATAAAGTGTTCAAATCTCGGATGAACTTGCAACAGCATCTGAAGGTCTCACACGGATGGAAAAAGAAGTAGAGAGTTGATTTGAAGACATATCGCCGCTGGTGGTTCGTGCAACTATATGAACGTTAATTTTTCATCAGCTCGACATGACATGTGTCTATTTCACTAAGTAATCTAGTCTGTCAACGTAATATCAACTTCAAGACATGTAATTAACTTCTGGCAGACGTGAAACATTATATTGGATACAAGTAATGAGTATAAAATCACTGTAATTAACGTCAGTAACTCGCAGAGTCACTTGCCGCCACACTGTATTATATGTTACATGTATTATCACATAGTGTGGCGACGCATGCCGTGGCGACGCTTCGCCACGCCAACAGGCGGTCTGACCCTTCACATTAGATGTTTAACATCAAATGTTATAGTTTGTGTCAAGTTTTCCTTCTCTGCTGTGTTGTTGTCGTGCGTATTTTGCTCCCTTAGTCGGCTCTTACGACACCCACGGGATGAAAACGGGTAATGACACTCTGTATTCTTAATCCGTCACCACACGGATGTTGGAGGAGAAGATGACTGGGTATTAAAAGGATTTAAACACTTGTATTTACTTTTATTTTCATGTAAATCTGTGGGTCTTCGAACATTCGCTCCTGGATAGGTCTACACGCACTCACATATATGATATATATTGTCTGTATCTAAGCAGTCTGTTGCACCTACTGCTGGGTATAGGCCTCTATCACGCCACTCCTGGCGGTTCTGTGTCACCCAGATCCAATGTCGTCTGCTTCGAGGCCGCCGCATATCTCTTGGCCACCATTCGGTAACTGCCTTAGTCCATCGTACGTCGTCCCGTCTGGGCAAGTGCCCTGCACATTTCCACCTGAGCCTCGCAATCCGTATACGCACATCCTCGACTTTGGTGCGGCTTCGAATTTAGACGTTTGGTATACGATCCACAAGATACCTAGCATGGCCCACTCCATGGCACTTTAAGCAACCCTTATGGCATACGTGTGCTCGGTTGTGAGAGGCCATGGATCCATAAGTGAGAATAGGCAGAACACACATGTTAAATGTCTTAGATATTGTGGGATTTTTGACTTGAAGACGTCTTTCAATTTTCCAAAAGCAGCCCACCCCAGTTGAATACCCGTAACAATTGCCCGCAACTTGAAGCCTCGGCCAAAGGATAAACGCTGACCAAGGTAGACATAATCCTCTACTGTTCCTATTCGGTGTTTATCGACACATATATATTTATATACAGGGTGTCCCGAAATCCAACGTAACAACGGTGAGGGAATTTTGAGTGAACGCCTTTCCTGTCTGGTAAATATAATTTAAGAATCTTACGTCTTTTTACACTTACTACAAGTGGTCGCTTTGTATCTCACTACTACTCAAATAGTGCACATAAAAAAAAAATAGCATTATGCTAGCGGCACGCCCAGTCTTGGCACGGGTGTAAAGTAGATACAATATAGTTTTTTTTTCTATGGAATAGGGGCCAAACGAGCAGACGGGTCACCTGATGGAAAGCGACTACCGCCGCCCATGAACACCTGCAACTCAGGAGCCAGAGTTTTCCAGCCTTTGAGGAAAGGGTACGCTCTTTTCTTGAAAGTTTGAAGGTCGTATCGGTTCGGAAATACCGAATAATATAGTTTGGTGTCAGGAGACATTGTAAGGAGAGGCCTATGTCCAGCAGTGGACTGTTAAGGGCTGTTGATGATGATGATACGGTGTCAGTGCTAATTAGACTGTATTACAGGATATCTTTATGCCCAATATTTACACAAGACTGCTAACCGCTGCCACCCGGCACGGACGTACGACCCCGCGTATTAAACCTCTGATATCTTCTAAGAAATTCATTTTATTGATATCCTTTAAAGACTAATCGGAGGTCGTGGGTTCGATCCCCACCCAGGACAAATATTGTGTGATGAGCACGGTCATTTGTTCTGTGTCTGGGTGTAATTTATCTATAATATGTATGTATTTAGAAATATACAAGTATGTTTATCAGCGGTCTGGTTACCACTGGCTCTGCCTAGTTTGGGATCAGACGGCCGTGTGTGAGTGTGTGAGATATATTATTATTATATTATTATTATTATTATTACTAATTACGATCTACATTAAATGCACAACATATCTAACGTATTTAATTGGACAAGGAATAATAATGCATTGTTTAAAATAGCATTTTTTTATGTAAGCAATAACAGTCACAAGTAAATAACCCATTTTTTTTTTATAAGGGCACAAAATATGTTTTTACTACATTACAAACCTTTGAAATTCTCGTTTTTTCTCTGCATGTATAATACATATGAACCTTCCTCTTGGATCATCCTCTTTATTGGTGAAAATCGCATTAAAGTCCGTTGAGTACTTTACAGGATCGAAATGTGATTTTGTTTGAACTAGGTATGTAGAGATTAGACTTGGGTAAGAAAAGTACCAGGGATTTCCTTTCTAGGGTACACCTGCTTCCACGGCAACTGGTACCCTAGACGGCGTGCGGTTTTTGTTCAGGTTCGAGTCTGACATAACCATCCCACCGGTGGGTGGTATCCGAGAAGATTTTCGCACAGGACAAAATAAAAAGGTTGTCTTTGTCCATCCCTACAAATGAATATTTATACAGTTACCTCAACTCTTTAGCCTTGGTAACTTACAAAAATTGCGATTAAGTAAAAAATTATAATTTATTATATCATTCGCGGAGCCAGCTGGCTCGATATGTTGAAATTAAAGAAGATGAAGCTCATATATCCCTCGAGGTAACGAAACATAGCGTGAGTTACAATTATCGAACAGAGCCATCTAGGGAAGGGTTTGGTAAACTTCAAATTTACTATCTACAGATTAGTACTGTTTTGCAATTTTAATTTTTTGTTTGTTTAAAGAGAAAAATAGCACGACAAAGCATAATAACCTCGTCAATATCAGGGATATCCAAACTATTATGGCAGGAGATCCTTTTTCTAAATTTATTGCACGCTTGAATATAAAACATAGTGCATTAAGTGTTATATTATTTGCATTCGTTTCTTACTTATTCTACCATATCTGGTGTACAAATATTTTGATTTATATGCTTTAATGGTTATAATTAAAATACGAAAAGAAATGAGTTCCTTAAAATGAAATACAATAAATTAATAAACATGTTGAGATAAATTAGTAAGCAATCAGTTAATTAACATAAGTATAATGGCAGAATTAATTAACATCCATAAAATACATTGGAATTATAAAAATTATTACATAGAACAGTCTAGAAACAAATTTAAAGTAAACATTTACAGTCAAATCGCTCGTTTAGAAAGTCATTTCAGTTCTGTAAAAAGGACTTGAAGACTGCGTTCAAAACTTTGGAAAGTTAACGATTTAACAATGTCAAGCAATTTATTGTAAATACGAATTGACATACACATTATTGAAATATATTTTTAGATTTTGTCTAGGTACAAGCCACTTAGAGGTAATTTCATTTAATCTGCTGGTAACATTTTTATCGAGTTCAAATAAATTGATGTGGCTATCTACAAAGACATAAAACAAAAAATTTAAAGCTTCATGTGAAAGTATTTTATTTTGTTTGAAAAAAGGAAAAGCTGTCCAATGGCTGCGCTTTGCAGATCGCACGTACCTATGCATTTTTTTGTACCCGAAAGCATAGAGTTAAACAGAGAATATAATAGATCAGTGCCCGTAAGCTTTTTTATACATCAACCTCACAATTTTAAACCTTACCGCTAATACTGGTGAGACGTAATTATGATACGTGCCAAGTGCCGCTTCAACGCCGGCAAATTTACCTACTTTATAACACAGCATTAATTACTCCTGGAAGATAATTTTTGTAAAATAAAATAATAAATGAGGTCACAATATGCTACCCTGGGGTACACCACATTTGTTTTGACGATACAAGGATCTATATGTAGATTTTTGGTGTCCGGACTCGTACTTTCTACACATTGCTGTCTATTGATTAAATAACTTTTTATCCATTCAAGGGCATTTCCTCTGATACCATATCAACTCCGTTTGCTTAAAAAAAGTCCATGATCCATAAAGTCGAATGCCTTTGACATGTCTAGGTTAGAATAGGTTTACATAAATTATTTGAAATAGCATTAGAGTTGGGTTTATTTGTCATGTCCATAAAGAAATAATTAAAAGCATTAGCTATCATGTCAGGGTTGTAATAAGGACCACCATTATCACCTTACCTTAGAAACACAGTGTTACAAAAAAAACAAAAGACGTCGAAAATATTTAATATGATCATCGTCTAACTGACATGGGTGTAAACTATAACAGTCCCTACTAAAAACTATTAAAACGTATCATTTTTTGAAAACTACTGTATTTAAACTATATCTTTCTCCAATAATCCATGTCCACATTTTTGTTGTGCTCGGTCCGGACGTATTAATACAAGATTTTCAAGTTGCCAAGTGTAAATTATGCAAGTTACCGTAAAGATTATCAAAGGTGTCAGGATCAGCACGTTAACTAGTCTAAATCACAAGGCAAAACACTAAGTCCAGTATCCAAAAGCAGTGACTATTAAAAACACAAAATTAACACAAGCGCATGCGACGTTCAAAATCAAACTGAGGTCCGTGTCACATGCCATGGTGACTAAGAGAAGTGGTGTCCTTTTATGTATAGCAAAAAATAATTCTATGGACTTGTCAAATAAAATAATTTTGTGAAGTCAAAGGCCATTATCGACATATTGATACATTTTGGGAAAATCAAATTTCTGACCTTGCACAGTTCTTCCACTCCTACAACTGATATTGCTTGTAAACCTCACATTATGATACCTTTTTAGGCAAACTAGGCATGTTTTTAAGATAATGGGCAGATGAAGCATGTATCTAGCAGAAACCCTGAAACAAAAAATGTATTTTCGAGCAGCTCGACATCAGGACTATTTCCGAGTAACGGATTATGCACTAATTACGACAAATCCTATCACTGGTATAAAAATAAACATTCCTTGAAAGCCTGAAGAAAATTGTAAAGAAAATCACATCTTGACTTCTAGAGACAAAAGCCTCGGTCCCAAAGTGGCAGTAGCAATCGATCTGTCAAGTGAACTCAAGTGTCAAGACAATGGTACAAAACTTACAAAACAAATATTTGCTGACAAAAATGGAAATAAATTGACATAATTTCTTGTATTTATAAACAAATACAATGGACGTAGGGATGAAAGCTGTCCCTAATAACACCTATTGTAAAGGTTGTTTGAGTCGTGACAGAATATTAAAGATTATTACGAACGATGAAATCAACCAAACATATTGCGCAATCATTCACAAAAAAGTAAGTATTCTCGGTGTTATAATACAACAAACTGTTTATTACTAGTAGTACAGTGATATAACTATAAGGCGCAGAAATCATACATAGCTCTTTCTATTAAAAGAAAGACATTAACAAAACATCAAAACAACTGGTTTTCAAAGACAACAATCACTCAATAAAAAAAAAGTACATTTTATTTAACCACATTATTCTTGTGTATGGCTCAATGTAGGCATTCCATTAAAATATAGGTAGTTTTACAGTTAAACAGTTGCCTAGTTATCAACTGTATGTCTGATTGTATGTTACCTGCAAAAAAATCTTGATAGACATTTAACAATTTTTATAGTTAATTGAAGTGATAACTTCTTATGGAGGGTAAACCGCTTCGTTACGTAACGCGTTACGGCTCCAGTCTGTCTGGCTTCCCTTTCTATCACATATATGGCAATGGTAGCGGCTCCTCCCTCTCACTCTAACCCACAGCGCTAGCCGTATTTCAGACAGATGTTTCACATAAAATTTAAGTAATAACCTAAGCTATTCTCAAGTTAAACAATTTTAATATTAAATAGGGCAACTTAGATTAGTTTAAGTTATCATTTCTGTTGCGCATCACGAGATTTTTTGTTTTGATTGACTTGTTTGTCCAACTGCACGGATGGCGTTGAGACATGAGACAACACTTTGCGTGATCCACAAATTATTAGTCTGAGTCTGGGTGTTCTTTGTGTCCCTTACATGTAAAGTCCCCCACAACACAGGATGTTTATTTATTTGTTTCATATATTCTTAGTGCGGAAGTTGTCTTTAAAAAAAAAACTATGATCTTTTTTCAGCTTCAAACCCCAGGTCCACTGGTACTCTGCTGGGAGTGTGTTGCCAACATCCAGAGGTACATTACGTTCAGGCGGCAAGTGTCGGACGCGCACGATGTCTTGCTCAAATACATGGTAAGGGACATAGCTCACACGTTTGTCGTCAGAGACGGGATTAGAGTTGTGGACTGACTCTTAGTAAGTCTATGGATATTTGGATATTTTCATTGTCGTTTTTTTATTACATTATTAGTAGAGATGTGCTGACCATGACTTTGAAACCAAATAGTCGATCGAATTGAATCAGCTGTAAAAAGTCTAAATAATTTTTTGTGGCAGTTTTTACAGCTGATTTGCCTGCCAGTCCTATCCACTGAATGCGAGTGTGTATGATTTTCAATTTTGCACTATTCACTGTTTTTCGGTAAAAAAGAGACTCGTTTTACTCATTAAAGTTAAAGAGCTCAGTTCAAGTTAAATAATTATGACAAAAAGAAAGTCTTAGAAGCCGCATAGTCGGCCCCATTTGCTGACTAGTCAGTGACTACAGCAGTGGCCGGACATTCGGCTTTACAGACTAGTCCAAACATCCCTAGTTTAGTGATAAAAATAGCTTCAAGCCCGTTTGTTTTTGGCTTTAACTTCTTAAGCAGACAGGATTTTTTTTAGCTTTGAATGTACCCTTAGTTCTGTGTCAGCAGCTTGTAGTTGACTGAGACGTGGCTGCAAAATTTCCAGGGTATATATTAATGAAAACCTTCAGGTATTCACGTTAGTAAAGAATAAGCGCCATGATTGCCTGAATTTCATATGACCTGTATGAGTGAGGGAAGTAATATTTTATTACAAAGTTCATATATTTGATCAATATTTAAAGTGTTATTCAAGAAAAAAAAATGATTGCCTGGATATAAAATGACTCAAGTTAAGGCAATCCCGAGTTAGAGATGGCCGTAAAATTTCTAGGGTTTTTGTTATATTGTCATTGTGCTTAGTCTTTGCTAACGTGAATACCATCATTCCTGATGGTTTTTATCAATATATCAGATAACCTTTTTTTTCTGTGCGGAAATCCCCTCGGATACCACCCACCGGTGGTTATGTCGGATTCGAACCGACCAAAAACCGCACGCCGTCTCGGGTTCCAGTTGCCGGGAAACCAGGTGTACCCTAGGAAGGAAATCCCTGATACCCCGACGTACCTCGGGCCATCTACGGCTTGTAAATGACCCCCTCCTGGGTGGGAACCCGTATGCGCCCTTTGTGCTTCCGAAATGGTGCGTACGTTCCGCAGCGCGTCTCGCCACCACCAATATAACAGATACCCTGGAAATTCTGCGGCCGCCTCTGTCCATAGTGTTTTTAACTTCTTTTCATCGGTACATCCCCGAATTGTTTAAAGTAGGTATCTAACTACTTAAGATTTCTGTTAAATGTTTACCCATAAGTTCCTCAAAAGTTCTTCAGAAAAAAAACAAAAAAAAAAATATTACAGGCTCCCAAAACCTCGTGTGACAATTCGGTTCCACTCTCCATTGACGTCAGTTGAGTTGGGAGGTTGATATTTTTTTTACAAAAAGGTTACATTATGATAAGCACATACGCAAAGTTTCAACATGCGGAGATGCGTAGTTTTTCAGAATTAAAAATAATGTAAATCAATTATTTTTGCAATATTTATGTCAATCCCAACCACAGATAACGTTTCGTTTTACCCACGGTTAAGATGTCATACGTTCGGTAACATCGCAGGGTAACATTTTATTTTATATAAATTACACAAATGAAAACATTTTAAATATATTAACTTTGTCTGTGTGCTTATAATAATGTAACCTTTCTTAAAAAAAAATATCAACGCCCAACTCGACGGGCTTCAATGGAAAATTCTTTAGCGTTTTTATTCTAGTAAATATTATTAATAAATAGCGAAAATATATTTTCAGGTGTCTCCAGCGGAGATCAGAAGTTTATCCAAATTGACTATCGTTAGAAATAATATAGAAATAAGCATTAATAATACTCTTGAAGAAAATGAAGGAGAAAAATTTATATCTACCCTCAAACAAGAAGATTCTCTATCTGGACTCACTCGGACTCCAGAAGAAACAGAATCAAATGTGTTATATGGACGGTCAGACAGTTATAATATATATACAGAATCTCTGAGGAGTGATGAAAGATCAGATGTATTAGCACCAACGGACGCTGGACATACAGACATACAGTTTTTTAAGATTGAAGATGATGTTGAAGGATGTTTTGTGGATGATGCATTTCATCATCATGATGAAATTGATGATAAGAGTTTTGCTGTAAGTGATTTAGTATTAATAAGTAAACAGTATTGTTTGTATCTCTTTCTAAACAAATATGTCTCACGGAATTATATAATATTTGTAACACTTAATGTTGTTACCAACGTTATAACAAGCAATAAATCACTATATTACTCGTTAGTCGCACTAGAATTTAACTGTGATGTTAATTCGCTGTGTTGTAAAACGATACTGTGTCGTACGGACAAACACGCTCCGCTTTTATAGAGCTATCGAATTTACTAGAAAGATCCCTAGTATTCGATAGTCGAATATGTAGAACAAGTGCACAAAGCTAACATTTTAAAAGAATATCCATATAAGAATTAATGCGAAATGAATGTCTGTTTGTTACCTCTTCACGCTTAAACTGCTGAACCGATTTATATGAAATTTAGTTAGAGTCCCGGGAAAGGACATAGGGTAGTTTTTATCCCAGAAAACATCCTTTAAGGGGTGAATAGGGGGTGAAAGTTTGTATGGGAATTAAATAACCTCTGAACCGATTTAGATTAAATTTGGTATTTCTACCGCAATAACCAACATTTACACGGGCGTAGCACCTGCAAAGGCTAGTATTAGTATAGATGGTAACTTTGTAAAATATTAAGAGGAGAAAGTAAGAAAAAAGAAAACAGTGGCATTCCGGGAGTGCTGACAGAAGTAAAAACTAGTTCTTTTTATTAGTTTTTTTTTTGAAAAACCTCGCCATGAATATATATTTTTGACTGCACGGATGGCGTAGTGGTTTAAGCGGTCGCCACGCCGCTTCCTACTGCGCCGAGTGTTGTGGGTTCAAACCCCACATGGGACGACACTTTGTGTGATCCACAAATTGTTGTTCTAAGTCTGGGTGTTCTTTGTGTCCGTTTCATGTATGTTTGTAAAGTCCCCGCGACACAGGATTTATTCCTAATGCGGGAGTTGTCTTTTTAAACGAAACGAGAACGAGAACGAGATATCTATGTTGTACATATTATGTACGCGATATATGTTTATATTATATATAGTTATATTATCAATGTGTTTCAACCCAAACTCAACTCTCGTGTGAACGGGGCCAATATATGTTGATACTTATATACAGAGGTGTCGGTAACGGTAACAGTGTCGCGAGTTTAATGCTTTTTTCCCATCACAAAAAATACATTCTTTTGTTTGTTGTTCAAAAATATCCAATACGCCTAAAGAAGTTTTGACTTTTTTTTTTTTTAAATATATACTAAAATATTGAACTGGAGTCGGCTCGACCGGAGAGGTACCACAGCCTCACAGGACACCAGTGTTCAGCTATTCTAGAATAAAATAGGCTTTATTGTACACTAATTATAGACGGGTGTGTACAATCACATCACATCAATAGCCTTTAATAGTCCACTGCTGGACATAGGTCTCTCCTTAGAAGGAGGTGTAGGCCTACTATACCACGCTGGCCAGACGGGTTGGTATAGGGTTTGTTACAAGTTCTCCTTGTCTTTGCAGTGCTGTTGTCCTGCGTAGTTTGCTCTCTTAGTCTGTATATGTGCAATAGGCGGCCTTATTGATAATAGCAGTCCCTTACAGGCAACCTTTGGTTGGACAAATCGACAGTAAATGAGAAGAAACATTCTCTCTCTCTCTTTGTTTCTTTTCCGCGACATTGAGTCTACTAGTGGACCCCCTCAGGGGTACTTAAAGGGTCGCACCGCGCGGTGGTCACCAGTTACCCTCGGGCGACAAGTCTGATGACGTGATTATGTATTTATAAGATTCTATGCGTTTACAGGTAGAAATAGAACCAGGGTACGATAAGAAAACGAAGGTCAAATCAAAAAGAAAAAGAAAGAAGATAGATGAGAATGAATTCAATGACTCCGATGATGAGCCGCTTAAGAAGAAGAAGAAAAAGATTGGAAAAGAGAGAAAACATAAGAAGAAAAAAGACAATGGTGAGAGATTTTAATATTAATAATAATATTTCGGACATCTGATACACAACGCCATCTAGTTTCACACTAAGCAGAGCTTGTACTATGAAAGCTAGATTGACTGATAGAATACTTAAATACTTTTTTTTTGTAAATACAAACATATTATACATAGAAAACGCCCAATGTCCGAAACAAACATTTACAGATCCTACAAACATTTGATCCGACTCGGGATTCGAACCCGAGACCTTAGCACAGCAGTCGCATACGCTAGCACTGCACCTCCGAGGCAGTTAGCATTTTATTTCTCAAATCCTCTTCCTCCCCGTACCTTTGTTAGGGGGAATCCGTGGTATTCCTCCGGCCTATTTAAATATTTTTTTTGCAGGTTCTAAGACAGATATAAAACCGGGTGGTAAACGAGAAAAGCCCGCCGGCATTGTGTCTAACCCGAGGGTTAATAAGAAACTGAAGCAACTGAACGTCGGTGAGGGACAGCTAGAGATGGTGGTCCTCAGTTGGGAGGAGGTGAGGTTGCCAATTGTAATTTACCTATTGATTCAGTATCTTCATCATCAACAGCCTGTAATAGTCCACTGTTGGACATAGGCCTTTGCTTAAAGCGGAGGTTTTGGCCTACTATACCACGCTGGCCAGACGGGTTGGTATAGGGTTTGTGTCAAGTTTTCCTTCTCTTTGCAGTGCTGTTGTCCTGTAGACGACACCCACGGGATGAATAGGGGTGGTGACTTTCTTCATCTTTATTCCATCTCTTTCTATGCCAGGTGGAGGAAGAGAGACAGAAAGCCCTGTCGAGTGTGGTGTTCACTCGCCACGAGTACAGGTGTCACGACTGTATCGTGGGGTTCAACCACAGGTTCAAGTTGGAAAACCACATGAAGAAACATGACCCTGTAAGTATTGCCAGCATATATATTTCGTATTTTTCTTATTTTTAAAAAAGACAATTTGCTAGTGAGCAATATATCCTGTGTCGCGGGAGACTTTACAAACATACATGAAACGGACACAAAGAACACCCAGACTCAGAACAACAATTTGTGGATCACACAAAGTGTCGTCCCATGTGGGGATCGGACCCACAACACTCAGCGTAGTAGGAAGCGGCAAGGCGACCGCTTAAAGCACTACGCCATCCGTGCAGTAATTTTAACTATTGTTGTTTTTTTCTTGTTTTGTGACGAGTTTTCATTCAACCGTTCATTCCTTATTTTACCCCCTTAGCCCTTTCTTAGTGGTAGTAGTGCTTACGACATAAAAGCATCAGCAAGCATCTATTCGCTCACGGTTAAATGTGATGGTCCTCAGAAACTGATCTGCTAAAAGGTCAAGCTGTACCCCAGCGGTTTGGGCTCTGTGTTGATGAATCAGTCATTTAGAGCAAGTGGTCTTATATACCTATGTGTAGTAAAAAAAAGAAGGAAAACTTGACACAAACCGTATACCAACCCGTGGGTGTCTTAAGAGCCGACTAAGGGAGCAAACTACGCAGGACAACAGCACTGCAAGGAGAAAGAAAACTTGACACAAACCCTATACCAACTCGTTTGGCTAGTGTGGTATAGTAGGCCAAAACCTCCATTGTAAGGAGAGGCTTATGTCCAGCAGTGGACTGTTGAAGGCTGTTGATGTGATGTGATATTTAAACTACTATATCCGGAACGATGCTTTGTGTGAACCACAAATTGTTGTTCTGAGTTTGGGTGTTCTTTGAGTTCGTTTCATGAAGTTTTGTCCTTGTTTTATGAAGTCCATTCCTATAGTTAAACCGCCGTAAGCTTGGCCCTCCTGATGGTTTGCGGGACGCGGGGCGGGTGATGCGCTCGGCTATACATGACACGATGTACTAACTCGATATCTTCAGATTTATTTGTTTGAGATTTAATCTACACACGATGTAATAAAAATCGAATTTATTTCCATGTATTATAATGTCAGTGTATTGTAAGTTTTTATGATTAATTGTAAAATTTAATACTGTAAAATAAATTTAATAAAATTAACTTATCTTCATCATGTAAATTATATTCAGATACAATTTAAAAATTCAGTAAAATAATAAATATTCTTTATGAGAACTTTAACAGTAGAACCTCTGTAAGCCGAACTTCAAGTTTTGAAATCTTTTTGTGACGCAGAGTCGGCAGATTATCCCTGTTGCAAAATAATACCGTGTGTAGCAGTCTTAAGAAAAATAACACGTACAGCCATGCTTCCACGTCAGTCACTGCCGGCGGACAGCGACGCACTAGGTAATTGGTTGAATGCACCCCCGCCCCGCGTCCCCCAAACCATCAGAAGGGTCAAGCTTACGGCGGTTTAACTATAGTGCGGGTATTGTCTTTAAAAAAAAAAAGAACTGACTTGACTTTCAAGTGTTCATGAATTGTGGAAGTTACTATCAAGTGATCTGTCTGTTGATCTCATAAACAGTCCTGTAAGAAAGTTGGCAGTATATCTGTGTGTATTATCCCCCTTTTTTTTTTCCGTGCGGAAGTCCCCTCGGATCTATCGGTGGCATGTCGGACTCGAACCGACTAAAATCGCACGCCGTTTCGGGTACTAATAGCCGGGGAACCAGGTATACCCTAGAAAGGAAGTCCCTGGTGCCCCCTCCCGTGTGGGAACCCCATGTTCCCTGTGCTCCCTGGAAGCGAGCGCGCTTCGCAACGCGCTCGCCGCCACCCCGGCCTGCTTCTGCTAGGGTGACAGATGGCCTCACCTGTCACTCCCAGGCCTAGTGTATTATCCCCCTGTGTACCCCTCCAGCAGTTATGTGTGTATGTATGTTTGTGTTCCAGTCGGCGGGGGAGCTGGAGTGCAGCGTGTGTCGCGTGCGGTGCCGGGACGCGCACGCGCTCTGTGCCCACCGGAGGAGACACAGAGTCAGGTCAATTTCGCTCTTCTGTATTTAGCTGTAAAGTTACAATTACAAAAGCAGGCCAAATTAGTAAAGTTTTTTTTTTTAATTTTTAACACAACCTTCAAGCAAATGTCCATCTATTCTATTTCATAGGGTCTCCTAACTCACAGGCGTTCATGAGCGCCGGTAATCACTTTCCTTCAAGTTACTTTTTGCTCGTTTACTCCCTAAGTCATAAAATAATAGTCTTTTTAGGTTTAAAAGTCACTTCTTTTAGCCTTTTGATATAAATAGTATAATCTTAATTAACTGACATACGATTTTCAATTGTATCGTAATGAAATAAGGTTGAAAACTTGTTACCCTGTAGAGTTAAAGTGTGTATGTGTGTAGATGGCGCTGCTGCACGTGCGGCTCGACGTGGTCGCGCGCGGCCGTGGCGGCCGACCACGCCGCGCGCGACCACCACGCGCCCCCCCCCCACGCACACCTGCACCGTCTGCGGACACGCCGAACCGTGAGTACGACACCTCGTGTCACTAACACTTCTCGGCTTCACTGGGCGCCTGGTACTTTACAGCTGCGTAGTACCTGGACTTACTCAAGCAGGCTGATACCAAGGCCTCACAGACAACCGATTGAATCAGGCCATAGGAGGAACTACTCCCCCCTAGCTAAGGCACTCAAGAACAATGCATTTGTAACTCTTCTTGAGTTATAGGTGTCCATATTAGCTTACCATCAGATACTCTGCTTGCTTACGATAAAAAAAAATCTTTAAACTGTATTACGTAAATCTCCTTGACTCTACTGAACGCCTAGTACTTTTCTGATTCAGACAGAGGCATCTAGAAATTTCTATAATCTTCCGATATTCGACACTAGATGGCACTGCAGGCAAATAAGAACCATAATCTCAATACGTAGCGTTGTGCCCTACTTGGTACTAGATGGCGCTGTCCTCCAGACACAACACAAGAACCACTCAATCCTATAGCGCAACAATACTGTACTCAGTTGAATGTGAATTCACAAGACTAGCTATATACATGGAATACATAGTTTTATAGTTTGACGACCGAATGGCGTAGTGGTTTGTGTAACGGACTGCTATTCCAAAGGTCGCGGGTTCGATTCCCGCTCAAGTCAAACATTTGTGTGCATGAACATTTAATATTTGATTTGGTCTGGGTGTTTCTATGTATAATATGTATGTATTTACAAAAAAAAAGTATATATGTATTTATATCAGTTGTCTAGTACCCATAGTACAAGCTCTGCTTAGTTTGGGACTCGATGGCGTTGTGTGAATGTGGTACAATATTATTATTATTATTATAGTTCCTTTTATATCTATCTTACATCACAATGTAAAGTTTTTATGCCCGCACTATATTAGGTGTATCTCCTCGTTTTTACTGGACACCTAGTACTTTTTAGCGACACTTTATGAAAATTTTAAACAGTTTTTGTGCCCGCACTATGTCAAACGAACCTCCTCGTATTGACTAGGCGCCTAGTACTTTTTAAACACCCTAAAAAAAAAAAAACGTTTTTAGCCCACACTATGTTAAATGGATCTCCTCGTCTTGAATAAGCGCCTGGTACTTTTTAGCGACAGCCTATTACTTTCACTATTATGATAAACCTTGTCTTAACTAATTTAAAATACTCTCTTTCTCTCCCTCCCTATCTAATCATTATCATCATCATCATCATCCTATCCCAGTCCACTGCTGGACATAGGCCTCTCCTTAGAAAGGATGTTTTGGCCTACTATACCACGCTGATCAGACGGGTTGGTAAAGGGTTTGTTTCAAGGTTTCCTTCTCTTTGCAGTTGCACGCCACTTAGATCGATTTTGGGCTTCTCACATCCAGCTCCTTTTTTAACCGACTTCAAAAAAAGGAGGAGGTTCTCAATTCGACTGTATTTTTTTTTATGTTTGTTACCTCAGAACTTTTGACGAGTTGAACCGATTTTAATGATTCTTTTTTTATGTCCCTATCTAATCTGCATAACTGTGTGAGACAGAATACCTTTTCAAGGTATTCACAGTATTATTTTATAGGATTGATAGATTTACGTATAGTTTCATAAATTGTTTATAATATTTTTATTAAAATAAAGCATTTTATTAGGGGTTGTTTCGTGAAACAATTAATCAAATATTTAGTTCGTGCCACTATTAAAAAAATTGGCACGTTTAAATAGTATTAATTAATTTTAAATTAACTCAAATGTTCGCAAAAAAATCGTACGTATGCGTAACCTCCTCATCCTTACTGAGAGCCTGGTACTTCTTTCTTCATAATTAGAAGTTTCATGATCTTAATTTCCCACTTAATAATAAATGCGGTTACTCTGTCTGTCTGTTACGCTTTCACTGCCAAGCTGCTGAACCGATTTTAATCAAATTTGGAATGGAGATACTGTTACGAGCGGGGTATATAATAAATAAAAGTTGTCGGTTAATTACTTTATTTCACTGTATTTACAAACACTCACTACTAGGAATCAGTATATATCTCGTTAGTCGCACTAGAAATTCACTCCGATGTTAATTCGCTGATTCGTAAAACGAAACCGTGTCGAACGGCCAACACGCTCCACTTTTATTGCGCTTTTGAATTTTACTAGAAAAATCTCTAGTATTTGACAGTCCGTTCCAAACCAACAAGAATATTCCAGAATCAGTCACGCGTTACTTGCAGCGCCATCTAGCGCTGTAAGGATCAGAACTACTCGTATTAACCACTATCTTGATAGATGTACTTTAGTCGATACTAGATGGCGCTGTCCTCCACATTTAATACAATCGAACCATTTAATCATATGGAATCTATGATTCTGACTTTCATAACCTTAAAAGTGAAATAACATGAACGCCTCTTCTGCAGAACTCTGGGCAAACTTCGGAACCACATCAAGAACCACGCAGAGAGGCAGAAGTGTGAGTTATGCGGGAAGACGTTCAGAGACAGGACCTCGCTGCGGACGCACTTATTGTAAGTATAACAGAATAGGGGGAAAACGAGCAGACGGGTCACCTGATGGAAAGCGACTACCGCCGCCCATGAACGCCTGCAACTCAGGAGTCACAAACGCGTTGCCGGTCTTTGTGGAAGGAGTACGCTCTTTTCTTGAAGGTTTGAAGGTCGCATCGGTCCGGAAATACCGAAAACTTAAACTAACGTTAGGAAAGTTAAAAGTGATGACAGTCGCATATGATGTGTGTGTAACATCTGACAGGAAACTCTAGCACCGAGCGCTCATTGGTCTTCCTGTTACACATTTCCGTCCTTCTTCCGAGCCTTTTTCCTTTTCCGTTGGGGTCGGTTTAGTCGGTTACTACCACACAGCTAAACTTCAATTTCACACTTAGCGACTGCTATCAGACTTCCACGACTTAAGTACTAAGCTATATCGAAGTTCTGTTGAAAGCAGCGGCGTGCACAGGATTATGACACTAGGTATGCGGCGGAGTAGTCGGTCACAAAAACTTTTTCTTTTATAGATTTTTAGCTTAACCACAGCCACGCGACGGATCTCTAAGTCGGAGACCATGCCAACAGAACAAGTCTTAGATGTACTACTATTCATGTACATCTTCAACGGGAACACTGACAAAACAGCGATAGATCGTCGCGGCGGAAGAAATTCTAATAAGTAAAATAATAAGCTAAAATATTATAACTACTCACCTGGTCATCTTCAATTTTCTGATTTTCACATATTCAAGGTTAACGTTACTTGAGATTACTATATCCCGATGTAAAAAAACTCAAGATTTCGGCCACCTCAGATATCTTATCCAAGTGAGTGATAGTTACAGACCTTTAGACACAATTTTAATCTTTTCACTGAATGACAATTGTGAGAACTTGTTATTTTTAATATACACACATTTTCCACACATACCCCACAATCAAATAACATTTAAAAAAAATCAACGGAACTCAGTAATAAACTGTTAAATGTACACACTTTCAAATGTTAAAATGAAAAATAAAACTATAATTATACTGGCGGAAACAAATTAGTAAACAATGCTAACTTCAGTAGCCTGCGGCTGGAGGCGGGGAAATAAAATTAACGGGTGTGTGCGTTTGCGAACTGTGCACGGACACCAAAATTACTACACACATGCGAACAAATGTCCTGCTCGACGCGACGGCATGAGTTGGTTGGTAGGTACAGCGCCGCTTGCTTGTCGGTAAACGCCTGGCAAACATAATGTTTGTGTGCTTTCAAATATGTACTATTTATAAAATAATAGGCGTTTTTAAGTTATTATATTTTGTTTATTCATTTATTTACTATTAATTAAAGTCATCTAAAATGTACGAACGTTTTATTAAAATGTCTGTGAATAGCAGGTAAAGCACTGCATTTCTGCCTACAAGGAGCGCACGCCCCTGGTAGAAAGGTTATTCTCGGGCTTTTTAAGGCATCAACTACCCGTGACGATTGCCACAGATGTTCGTATGGCAACTGGAACCGACGGCTTAACGTGCTTTCCCAGGCACGGATTACACATTTCCGTCCCTTGACACGAAATGCAAACTCAATTTCATAAAAAATTGAAAATTGTTTGAGCTCGTCTTTTATGTAGACTCTAAGGTCGTAGATCAACACACACAAAAGCAACAATCTCTGTTTTGTCAAATATAAGCAAATAAATTTAATAAAAATTATACTTATACAAAATCTATTATATGCCTGTGCCGATCTACAACAAACCGTTTCCTAGGGGTTGAGCCTTATAAGAAGAAAGGGCAAACGAAAAAAGACGTGTGGCACTCGGGGACTGCCGCGGTAAAGCTATTGCATAGCATTTTTTATCAAATTATGCACTTATAATTATTAATTTATTTTATTTATGCAGTATTTTTTTTCCTTTGTTTTTTTTTCTTTGATATTAATTAGATTGCGTTGCGAAGAGGGGGATTACGCAGTAACGCCGATACAACCAATGCCACCTAGAGGCGAGTTGCTGAACTAAAGAGACAATCGTGATATTTCAAAAAAGTCATTAAAAGTTCTGCTATTCATCGATAGATGGCAAACCTAAAAAGTATCACGTGGGGTGTGTTAGGTTATTTTCGTTACGGAATGTCTGGATGCGGTCTCCACGCTCAAGGCCCGCGATAGAAGCTATGCAATAGCTTAAAAACCATTGAACTCGCGACACCGTTACCGACACCTCTGTATATAAATATCTACATATATTGGCCCCGTTCACACGAGAGTTGAGTTTGGGATTAAATACATTAATAATATAAATATATATAATATAAACATATATTGTGTATATACGTACAACATAGATGTATATTCATGGCGGAACTTTTCGAATCGAAAAAAAAACAAAAACATCCTGTTATAATCGAAAAAATCAATTTTCAGCTTTTCACTTCTGTCACCACTCCCGGAGTGCCATTGTTTTTTTTTTTATATACAATGTAAATAAACATTAGTTATGTATTGCAGTATACACAAAGGAGAGAAGGAGTACTCGTGTCCTCGCTGCGACAAGCAGTTCCTCTTTAAGAAGGCCATGGAGGTGCATCTCGTGACACACGATGCGCCCGCGCATCTCTACTGCTATCAGGTCAGTGATGATTACGACCACTTACAGAGGCCCAAGTTTAAGTTTATTTCACAGATTTTATACTAAAAAAAAAATAAACGATCACGCTTGGCACTTTTTATAATTAATAATAGTAATGACTGTCCTGAGAACAATAGACGACCGGCGACCATATTGCGCCGGCGCAGCCTGAACAAAGGGTTGTAGTCGACCATGTTAAGTAGGCGTGGCCCATTGCGGGTCTCTTAGGTAGCTGGTGATCCGCCGCCTTATCAGACCATATGACGTAGCATCGTACGATAGTGGCGTGATCCGGTGCTGCGTTGGGTCTGTACGTTGTTTTTGTAGACCCACTCGTCTGCTTGCTACATCAGTAACGGTATAAACTATAGTCCATCAACGTCGTGCGCGACCGTCCTGCGGGGTGACAGACGGTGGCGGGGACGAGGTACTCAAGATGTCAGCGGGTAGCGGGTGGTGTAGCGGGAAGGGAAACCCGTGTAGCCGTGTGCTAGAATGACGCGCTACCTCGCCCCCGCCACTGTCTGTCACCCCGCGGGACGGTCGCGCACTAGATTGCCGGGTTATAGTGTGTAGTTACGATGTTATACCAGTAACGGTATTATACCAGTAACACTATTATACTCGTAACGGTATTATATCAGTAACGGTATGTTATCAGTAACTGTATTATTACCAGTAACGGTATTTTATCAATAACAGTATTTTGTCAGTAACGGTATTATTACCCAACATATAGCGAAATAGTACAAAACAACTTACCAACAAAAGACATCACAGACACACAAACAACGGAATCTTTCTTGCTAAAGTTAAATGAAACAATGCAAGCTGTTATGAATCAGATGTTAATAGTCACAAAACTGCTAACAGAACTCACGTCAAAATTGACTTCACATTCCAACCACTAAATATATGTGTGTGGAATGCAAATGGCCTGTCAAATCACTCTGAGGAGTTAAAATTATTCCTAAAAATAAAAAAAATAGATGTGATGCTAATTTCAGAAACCCACTTTACAAGCAAAAGCTATTTCAAAATACAAGGGTACTCCCTGTACCACACTATGCACCCAGATGGCAAAGCCCACGGTGGCGCTGCAATCCTGATAAAGGCAAATATCAAGCATCATGAGTCCTCACCCTACTCAAAGGAATATCTGCAAGCATCATCCATCGTGGTATCCGATTCAATCAACAAATTAACTTTGTCAGCCGTCTGCTATCCACCAAGACACACCATCAAAAATACTGAGTTTGCTGATTATTGCCGTTCTTTGGGGCCGAGATTTGTCGCTGGAGGTGATTACAACGCCAAACACACGTACTGGGGTTCAAGGCTGATACTACCTCGCGGTCGTGAACTACTTAGATGCGTCCAAATGAACAACATGTATGTTCTCTCATCAGGCCATCCCACATACTGGCCAACAGATCCCAAGAAAATACCAGATGTCATCGACTTTAGCGTAATTAAGGGAATAGCCAAAAATTATCTGTCCTGCCAAAGCTGTTTGGACTTATCATCGGATCACTCACCAATTATTATTAACCTTTCTACCACCTTAACAGCGGAGGAACCTAGGTGCAATCTACACAATCGTAGAACAAACTGGTCACTATTCCGGCACTTAATTGATACAGCATTGGTTGAACCAGCTAGACTAAAGACTAAAGATGACATAATTTATGCAGACAAACATTTTACAAAGTCTCTGCAACATGCTGCTTGGGATTCCACACCATTGGCAGGAAAAACTGGGGAAGATTTGCCCATAGCCCATCACCTTCTAGAGTTGGTAGCACAAAAGAGAAGACTGAGGAAACGGTGGCAACTATCACAATGCCCACAAGCGAAAAAGCTGTTTAATCACGCCATCAGGAAACTCAAGAATGCAACCACTCGAGATCGTAATTTGGCCTTTCAATTGCATCTGAGCGGTCTGGATGCCTCCGCATCATCAGACTACTCGCTGTGGAAAGCTACTAAGAAAATTAGAAGACCTACTAATGTCTCCCCAGCCTTGCGTGCACAGGACGGGAGATGGGCTCGTACTGATGCCGAAAAAGCAAACACTTTCTCTGTCCACCTACAATCCGTTTTCAAACCCCATCCAAATGAAGGTACACCCGAACATGAAAGAGAGCTATCTAACTACTTGGCGGAGGAAGACTCAAGCGCCGAAATAGTTGACGACATGCCCAATTTCAATAAAAATGAAGTGGTACGGGCTATAAAAAAAGATTGACTCAAAGAAGGCCCCCGGTTTCGACCTCATTACTAGTAGGCTGCTGGCCGAACTGCCAGACTCTGGAATGACTATGCTCACGTCCATTTATAACAGCATGACAAGACTCAGATTTTTCCCTCCACAGTGGAAAGTAGCCAAAATAATAATGATCCCTAAGCCCGACAAGGCTCTGGAAGATCCTAAATCCTACAGACCTATCAGTCTACTACCGATTCCTTCGAAAGTTTACGAGTCGCTCCTATTAACTCGCATGTTACCAATAATTAAAACAAAACATCTGGTTCCAGACCATCAGTTTGGATTTCGTCATAAGCATGCTACTATCGAACAAATTCACAGACTTACAGTCGAAATACATAAAGCGTATGAAGCCAAAAAATACTGTACAGCCGTCTTTTTGGACATCTCGCAGGCCTTCGATCGGGTCTGGCACCAGGGTTTGCTTTACAAAATTAAAAAGTCCATGCCCCATCACCTGTTTTGTATGATCAAAGCTTTCATAACTAATCGTCACTTTATGGTTCAGTGTGGAAACGAGATGACAAGCCTTTGCCCCATCCTAGCGGGGGTTCCACAGGGAAGTGTAATTGGTCCGATCCTCTACCTGCTCTACACCTCGGATTTACCCACCAGTGAAAAAATTACAACAGGTACTTTTGCTGACGACACAGCCATTTTGGCCACCCATAGTCAGCCAGAAATCGCAGCCAAACTACTACAAGAAGGTTTGAATAACATAGCCGACTGGCTAAAAAGGTGGCGGATCAAAGCTAATGAAAGCAAGTCGGTCAACGTTACTTTCACCCTGCGAAGAGAGCACTGTCCACCAGTGACGCTGAATGACGTAGAAGTCCCTCGGGCAGATCACGTGCGGTATCTTGGACTGTACCTCGATAAACGTCTTACCTGGAAGAAACACATTCTTACCAAGAGAAAACAGCTTGGTCTACAGCTGAGAAAACTTTACTGGCTCATTGGTTGTAGATCCCAGTTATCAAGGGAAAACAAACTTCTAGTATATAAAGCCATCCTCAAACCTGTGTGGACGTACGGCATACAACTATGGGGAACAGCCTCACACTCCAACATACAGATCTTACAACGTTTTCAAAACAAAATGCTGCGCATAGTTACTGGTGTCCCATGGTTTGTGACTAACGAACAACTGCACAACGATCTGAAGATGCCTACAATCAGGGAGGAAATAACTAGACACACTAAGGCATACAGGGACAGAATATCAAACCACCCAAATATATTGGCCCAACCGCTTATGGACAACAGTTTGAAAATCCATTGGCTAAAGCTCAGAATCCCCCAGGATATGCTGTGATAAGAGCACATTATAACTAGAACAGGGTACGACATTGGCCGCATCCCTGCACACGACTTATAATTTATGCCCAATCTATCGCTTAATGTCCTGATAAAGAGACAGATTGCTGTATTAAAGATGAACAAAAAAAAAAAAAAAAAAAGTAACGGTATTATACTAGTTACGTTATTATACCAGTAAGGGTATTTTATCAATAACACTATTTTGTCAGTAACGGTATTATACTAGTTACGTTATTATACCAGTAACGATATTTTATCAATAACAGTATGTTGTCAGTAACGGTATTATATCTACTAGTTACGTTATTATACCAGTAACGGTATTTTATCAATAACAGTATTTTGTCAGTAACGGTATTATATCTACTAGTTACGTTATTATACCAGTAACGGTATTTTATCAATAACAGTATTTTGTCAGTAACGGTATGCTACTAGTTACGTTATTATACCAGTAACGGTATTTTATCAATAACAGTATTTTGTCAGTAACGGTATTATACTAGTTACGTTATTATACCAGTAACGGTATTTTATCAACAACAGTATTTTGTCAGTAACGGTATGCTACTAGTTACGTTATTATACCTGTAACGGTATTTTATCAATAACAGTATTTTGTCAGTAACGGTATTATACTAGTTACGTTATTATACCAGTAACGGTATTTTATCAATAACAGTATTTTGTCAGTAACGGTATTATACTAGTTACGTTATTATACCAGTAACGATGTTATAAAAGTAACGATAGTATTCGACATATTACGCCCGTAGCGGTAAAACGTTAAAGAAAAGCAAGTTTAATTAATGATATCTAATTTATATTAAATCATCATCATCATCATCAACGGCCTTTACTAGTCCACTGCTGGACATAGGCCTCTCCTTAGGAAGGAGGTTTTGGCCTACTATACCACGCTGGCCAGACGGGTTGGTATAGGGTTTGTTTCAAGTTTTCCTTCTCTCTGCAGTGCTGTTGTTCTGCGTAGTTTTCTCCCTTAGTCGCCTCTTACGACACCCACGGGATGAATAGGGGTGGTGACACTCTGTATTCTTAATCCGTCACCACACGGACAATTTATATTAAATAATTGTTAAAATTTACTACAAAATTCACATTTCATACACAAAGTTAACTTTACTAAACTATTAGTAATTTTGTTGTAACGACCCATTATATTAGGAACAACCGTCCGTGTGGTGATGGATTAAGAATACGGAGAATCACCATCAGAACTACTCTTATTTAACCACAATCTTAATAGATGTACTTTAGCCGAGACTAGATGGCGCTGTCCTCATTTCATACAATCGAACTATTTAATCGTATGACGCAACAATATTTATATTGCAGTGCGACATGAACTTCAAGAATCATATGTCGTACACTCAACATTTGAAATACAGCCTGAAACACATTGATCCCGCCAAACTCAAGTGAGTATAAACATTTTTAGTTTTCTTCAATATGATGTATTCATTTAAACTAGTAGTTTTAATTTTCACACTTAACGTGTGGTGACGGATTAAGAATACATATAGTCACCACCCCTATTCCTCTCATAGGTGTCGTAAGAGCCGACTAAGGGAGTAAACTACGCAGGACCACTGCACCGCAAAGAGAAGGGAAACTTGACGCCAGCGTGGTATAGTAGCCTTATGTCCAGCAGTGGACTGTTAAAGGCTGTTGATGATGATGAATGGTGGCATTTTTTTCTTAATTTGGGATTAAATAATAGTTACATAAAAGTAACGGATACACAAATACGGATCTTTTTTCCCCCTCTCTGGTATCCATCACTAATTTGTAACACCTAATTTTAAAATTATTATAATTCACATATATTGTCCTTATAGTCATGTTGTAACATGTGCTGATCGCGTCTTGTGTCAACAAGGTTATGTATCTTTTTAGTTTACTCTTTAAGAAGGGATTTTCATATAATGTGCCCGGTATGAAAAAAATTTGACGAGTAAAATTTAGTGATCGAATGACCTAATTACAGTTTTTTTGTTCTAAATGTAATTTATAGATGGCAGTTCAACTATTTACTTTTACGTGGTTGTAATAATATTTCGAGTCCGTGTGGTGACGGATTAAGAATACAAATTGTTACCACCCCAATGCATCCCGTGGGTGTCGTAAGAGCCGACTAAGGGAGCAAACTAAGCAGGACAACAGCACTGCAAAGAGAGGGAAAACTTGAAACAAGCCCTATACCAACCCGCCTGGCCAGCGTGGTATAGTAGGCCAAAGCCTCCTTTCTAAGGAGAGGCCTATGTCCAGCAGTGGACTAGTATAGGCTGTTGATGAATAATATTTCTGTGAGTTTGTTATCAGTTCTACGATTGTAATTTGTTTAAGTTTAGTAAGTAGTCCATTACAAAATTAAAATTGTTGTAAAATGAAATGAACTCCAAAATAAACGGCAATTAATACGTGACTTTTAATTAGTTTACTAACATTTACGTAGATGGCGTTGATCACTGAATTTGTATTGTTGCTGACACACATACCTACTGTTTTTTTTATGCCATAATTGGGCAAACGAGCAGGGCCTCAATTCTGCTATTCGTCAAGCCAGTGTCATACCACTGACACGCTATTGAGATGGCATCGGTATAAATATCGGTAGTTGAAAATATATTACGTTTTTTGAGGAAATTATTTATTTGTTTTTATTAAAATACATTATTAAAAGAAAGAAATAAATTAAAATCAATTATTAAAGAATAAAATATAAAAATTATAAAAAAAAATAAAAGAATATTACAATTAATAAATAAATTTAAAAAAAAAGAAATTATAAAAAAAGATAAATAATTTATTAAAAAAAAAAAAAAAAAAAAATAAGTCATTTCCTTATAATTTGAAAATATATTACGTTTTTTGAGGAAATTATTTTTTATTTTTATTTTTTTATTTTAAAAATTTATTTAGTTTTTTTTTATAAATTTTATATTTTATTCTTTAATAATTTATTTTAATTTATTTATTTCTTTTAATAATTTATTATAATAAAAACAAATAAATCATTTCCTCAAAAAACATAATATATTTTGAACTACCGATATTTATACGGATGCCAATGGCCACTCGATGGCATCTCAATAGCGTGTCAGTGGTATGACACTGGCTTGGCGTAAACATAAAATAGCAGAATTGAGGCCCAGACGGGTCACCCGATGGTAAGCAACTACCGCTGCTCATGGACACGTGCAACTGAAAAGATACGAGTGCGTTGCCGTCCGCTCTTGTCACGGTAGTCAGTTAGGCACGGTAGTAAGGCCCGGGGTGCGCAGACACGCGTGCGGCGCGTGCGACAAGAGGTTCAGCGCCGCGCGGCGCCTGCGCGAGCACGAGCTGGCGGTGCACCTGAGGCTCGCGCCGCTGCGCTGCACCACCGACCTGTGCCGCTTCGTGAGTACTCCCACCGGCTGTCTGCGTTCTGCTACTGAGAGACACGCTATTGAGACGCCATTAACGTCGGTCAAAATATCACTCAAATATAATATATAATATAATATATCTCTCACACACTCACACACGCCCGTCTGATCCCAAACTAGGCAGAGCCTGTGCTACGGTAACCAGACTGCTGATAAACATACTTATATATTTCTAAATACATACATATTATAGATAAATTACACCCAAACACAGAACAAATGACCGTGCTCGTCACACAATATTTGTCCTGGGCCTCAATTCTGCTATTACGACAAGCCAGTGTCATACCACTGGGTATGACACTGGCTTGTCGTAAACATAAAATAGCAGAATTGAGGCCCAGGATGAGAATCGAACCCACGACCTCCGGTTTAGCAGTCAGGGTCGCTAACCACTAGACCGACAAGCCCGTCAAAAAATATTCTACTAATATAAATTCACAATGTCAATAGACTGTCGATATAGTAATATAGATCATCAATGGTGATATCAACAACATTGTAATACCTGGAAAATTAAATATATATGTATAATAATATTGTACCACATTCACACAACGCCATCTAGTCCCAAACTAAGCAGAGCTTGTACTATGGGTACTAGACAACTGATATAAATACATATATACTTTTTTTTTGTAAATACATACACATTATACATAGAAACACCCAGACCAAATCAAACATTAAATGTCATTGCACACAAATGTTTGACTTGAGCGGGAATCGAACCCGCGACCTTTGGAATAGCAGTCCGCTACACAAACCGCTACGCCATCCGGTCTAGATGGCGTTGTGTGTATGTGGTAGAATATATTATATTTATTATTATTTATTAGTTAGTAGAATAGAAAAAATGCAAAACTATTGCGACGACATTCCATCCACAGTCTATTTGATACAATATTAAAATAGCAGAATTGAGCTCGAACTATTACTCACACTCCCTAACGTATAAGTTATGCCCCTCTCCTACCATTGCTTCCCCTTTTCTTTCAACATGCTACAAACTTCCCATTTAAACACTAAGTACTTGGATGACCGAGCTTCGTTCTTAATCTCCCCCAAAACCCCCTGCATACTAAATTTCATGAAAATCTTTGAAGCCATTGCCGAGATTCATATTATATATTGTAGTTAATTTAAATTTATGGGTATCCATTTGTTTTTAATTTATCTTGTGTTTTTTTTGTTTCTATATTTTGTTTAAATATTTTTCTATACAAATTAACATTTAAATCTAACCTTAACCCACATTAAAAAGGGAACATTGTTTTGAAAGTTGTGTACAGTTGTGTATAGTTGTGTACAGTTGTCAACAGTTGTGTACAGTTGTCAACAGTTGTGTACAGTTGTGTACAGTTGTAATTGGACTTCAGGTTCGCTTACTGTTTATTACTAAGATCACTCTTTGTATGTCTCGATCTGTTGCCTGTATCTGTACCTATTGAATGAAATAAAATAAAAAACCGGTCAGGTACGAGTCGAACTCGTGCGCCGAGGGTTCTGTACCTACCTACCCAGATTTTACGTAGATTTTCGCGAAAATTTGTAAGTACCAAAATTTATCTTAATTTTCAACTTTTTTTATTTTTTGGATCTATTCCTTTATTTGTGATGTAAGACGTTTCTTTTTGCAAAATTTCGTGATTGTAGGTCAACGGTAACTACCATATAGGTTTTCGACCCAAAACCAATTGTCAATTTTGGTTAAAAGCATGGTCAAATTTTGATACTTACAAGTTTTCGCGAAAATCGAAATTTGGCCATATCTTTTTATGGTGTTGACTCAGGACCTTGATTTTTAAACACCTAATAGGGACCATAGACTTCAGTATCTGGTATAAATTTCAACATGCTAGGTCTACCCGTTCCTGAGAAAGTCGGTGGTGAGGCACAGACAGACTTACAAGAAAGTGATCTTATAAGGGTTCCTATTTTACATTTTGAGGTACGTAACCCTAAAAAGATGAATTAACAATGAACCCAAGGTTGTCTCACCAGACATGTTCGTCCCGCCCCGTGCTCCGAACCCACATACGAATGGTACACCGCAACGCAAGAGCTCAGAGGAACCACGTCTGTGATGCTTGCGGTAAAACTTATACAGTAAGTACACTTATATAAGTAAAAAAATATCGAGTACTTGTTTTCGCAATGTCTGTTATCGTGGTAGAAAGTACCCTATGTTACTCGCTGATAATGTAGCTTTCCATTAGTAAAGGATGTTTTTAAATCATCATCATCATCATCATCAACAGCCTTTAATAGTCCACTGCTGGACATAGGCCTCTCTTTAGAAAGGAGGTTTTGGCCTACTATATCACGCTGGCCAGACGGGTTGGTATAGGGATTGTATCAAGTTTTCCTTCTTTTTGCAGTGCTCGTGTCCTGCGTTGTTTTGCGCCCTTAGTCGGCTCTTACGACACCCATAGGATGAATTGGGGTAGTGAAATTCCGTATTCTTAAGCCGTCACTACACGGACACTTTTTTAAATCGGTTCAGTGGTTTAGGCGTGCAAGCGTAACAAACAAACTCACTTTCGCAGAATAAAATTTAAGTGTCTGTTTGTAATGTCAAAATAGTAGGTTTTTTTTTATGCTTACACGGTTATTTTGCACGATACCTATGCCTAAAAATCAGCTTAAATATTTCTCCGTCTGTTTGTTTCGGGTAGTCTTTAAAACGGCTTCACCGATTTTGATAATATTTTACTATAGGATGTCTATATAAGGAGTAACGAATGCTATTCTGGCTCTCAAAAAAATCCTATAAAATTTTGCCCGGTCCGGGAATCAAACTACTAATGCAGCGTTTTTCAAATTCCACGCGAAGTTTTCCGTATATTCAGAGAAAATAACCTATTATTTTGACATTATAAGCAGACACCCTTGGATTTTATTAATTTGTATAGATGAACATAACAGACCTAGTCTATTGGTTAGTGATTATGACAGCAGAGTCAAGGAACTGTTTACCCGTGAGCGCCATGATTTCTTGTGCCAGTTGTAAGTACAACAATGTTTCCCCAGACCAAGAAGACCCTGGAGGGCCACCTGCGCAGCCACACGGGCGAGCGGCCCTTCGCCTGCTCCCTCTGCCCCTCCACCTTCGGGTACGAGGCAGCGCTCTACAACCACAACAAGCTTGTGCATCTCAAGGCTAAGGTATGGTCACTGCAGCAGTTCCCGGATACACACCACCCCGCCGCAACCCCGTGGGGTACCTGTTCTGTTGTCTTTATAAAAGCTGTTTTTTGGATCTCCCTGTTTTAGGAGCAGCATGGCAGACTGTGTTTTTTTTAAGTCGGTTCGATTCTCACCTACCACAAACCCCTGGAGTGACGGCCCAAGAGTTTCCATACACATAAAAAAAGAACGACCATTGTTTCTAAACATACTATGGTGAATCTAAACCCCAAACCAATTTAATAAATTTTATTTTAAAGATAAATAAGTCCTTGGCGAAAGGACAACTTGGAATTTATTTCAGGAAGGGGGTGAAACAGATATTAAAAGTTTGTATGGGAAAATTTTCACTCTGATAAATGTAAAAACAGCGAAAACACAGCTATAAAGATTATTACATTGTGTTTGTGGATCGTACCCTTGCGCCTGCGCCGATCATTACCTGAACACACTTGTTTTAAGATAGTTTTTTTTATGTTAGAGGGGGCAGACGAGCAGACGGGTCACCTGATGGAAAGTGACCACCGCCGCCCATGAGCGTCTGCAACTCAGGAGTCACAAACGCGTTGCCGGCCTTTTAGGAAGGAGTACGCTCTTTATAACCAAATTATATATTTTTTTAACAGACGTGTCGGGGATCCACACACCAACCCCTGGCCCTCCAAGCTCCGGAGCCTGCGCTCAACATACCTTAAATATTTAAAATAAAAATCTTTTGTCGAATGCATGTAAGTGCTTCACTTCAGAACGGCTGGACTTATTTGGATAATTCTTTTGTTTTTGCATTTGTAAAAGTAGATTAAAAGAAGTGAGATAGAAGACAGTAGGGAGATCCCCAAGAATAGAGACGCAAGCGACATATTATTTTAAAGGATAAAAGTACATTGCCCAAAATCGATCAAAGTGGCGTGCAATGGGAGAGGCCTATGTCCAGCAGTGGACTGCGATAGGCTGATGATGATAGGTGCATTGTAGTGGGTGATAGGTATTTTTAACAGTAAAATTATAGACATACTCGTAATAACGCCTATAACTAGTTATAGCGACTAGAACTAGTTATTTTGTCTGTAACTAGTTATAGGCGGTATTAGGCGTTGAAGTACTTTGTGTTAGTACAATTTCATTTAAGTTTAGTGTGTACATACCCACATATAAATGTTTTTTTGAAGTGAAAACTTTTTTTTAGGCTCGTTGGTCATTTTTGAACAACAAACAAAGGAATGTATTTTTTGAGAAGTGAAAAAACAATTGAACTCGCGACACTGTGACCGTTACCGACACCTCTGTTCAGTATCAACATATGTAGGCCCTGTTCACACGAGAGTTGTTTGGGTTGAAATACATTGATAATATAACTATATATAATATAAACATATATTGTGTATCTTACGTACAACATAGATATATATTCATGGCGGGACTTTTCGAATCGAAAAAAAACAAAAAAAAACACCTGTTATAATAAAAAAAAAACAAGTTTTCACTTCTTTTTTTTCTTAGATTTATTGATTTTTTAGATTTTTACTGTGTATTAAATTGTACGGATGTGGTTCAGCTAATCTGACGTTAAGATATGGCTTTTATTTTCATTGATGATGATAAATCTTAAAAATGTATTAAATTTAAAAGATACATTCCTAAAATGCAATAAAGTAAATATAATATTATTAATACATAAGTACAGTTATAATATTTTAGTAATAAAAAATATAAAAAACATTTCTGTATTTTTATTGACGTTTTAGAGGAACGACAGTCTTGTGTCTTCAATACAACGAAAAGATATTTTTTTTTAGAAAGGACTACTCGATCTAGGAATATATCCTGTGTCGCGGGGGACTTTACAAACATACATGAAACGGACACAAAGAACACCCAGACTCAGAACAACAATTTGTGGATTTGTGTCATCCCATGTGGGGATCGAATCCACAACACTTAGCGTAGTAGGAAGGAGCATGGCGACCGCTTAAACCACTACGCCATGCGTGCAGTCTCAGAGTCAGTCCAGATCTTCCGACCAGGCTGATCAATTATCTAACAGTTCGGTCAGCTCGTTAATAACTCTTGAAGAGAACGCTTGGACGCTGCATCGGTGCTTCCTTTGCTACCCCTCAACAGGGGTAGATCCTGTCGTAACTCTACAGAGATTCAAATACAAGTTGTAGCCTTAGAGGGGGAAGAAAAGGGGGAGGTTCTGTAACCTCCCTCACTCGGTGAAAAGCATCAAAGGAATTGTTTAACACCGGTTTTGTGTGAAGCCGTGGTATCACTCCGCCCAGTTCAAATGCAGTATGATTCTCCACGGTAAAATATTTACTGATTACGTAACTAGTTTATGACCTACCCACGTGTATGATAAAGCTTCGTATATCCATCCAGTTGGTATAAAGGCCGCTGTACATATTGGGTCAAGGTCCTGGGCCAGCATTATGGACCAACGTGTAAATATCAGACAACAACAGGACAACAGCACTGCAGAGAGAAGGAAAACTTGATACAAACCCTATACCAACCCGTCTGGCCAGCGTGGTATAGTAGGCCAAAACCACCTTTCTAAGGAGAGGTCTATGTCCAGCAGTGGACTAGTAAAGGCTGTTGATGATGTGTAAATATCCACTTCGTGATATGTTAGTTAGTTAGTACAACACTTGCCGGACAAATAAGTAGTGCTAGATTTTTACATCAAAGGGTCTTGGCGCCGTACTTAAACGTACTTACTATATTAATACCCGCGGCTACAAGAGATTCCATATCCATCTTTATCAAAGCGCCAATGCAGAATCGTAAATATGTTAATAAAATCTGATATTTTGGTGCAATATAATGGCCCAGCCCCGTAAGGCAGCCTGTACACATTGGGCTGTGGATGTGCTGTGCCACGGCGTGAATACTGTTTGCTGAGCGCGCCAAGGACCTTTGATGTGTGCAGGGAAATGGACACTATTCTGTGGGCCGATCAGTGCTGTCGCCAACTACCAATATAGCGTCACGTGTATCTCTACACTTCGGTCCAATTTATTGACCCAATGTGTAATCCGGCGCAAAAACGTCGAGATTTGTTATTAGGAGGCGGGAATGCTCGTTGGGCGAGAATTATGCAACTAATACTTTCTTGTATGTACTTTACTGATACAATTTCAATAAAACTGACATGAATTAACCACATGAGTACGTGTTTACGGTGGGACGCTTGCAAGCCGAGTGCCGGAGGTGGGCGCGGTCGGGCCGTCGTGCCTGTCGATGTGTGCACACCAACCATGTTAAACACATCTACAGTTCAACAGCGGCCTTTAGCCCAATGTGTACGTGTGTAAGAATAATGCTAAAATACACTTGTTTTGTAAACATTAACACAGACTGTAACTCTCTATACAACTTGTTTGTCGAGAACTTATAATGAATAAATTGCGAACTGGTTTTTTCACTAGGGATGTCCAACAAATATCGATAGTTTTTATACTGCATTGATTTGAAATATACTGAAAGCCCAACTAAAATATGAACGTGTAATTGTTAACGTATTTTTGCAGTTTTCCTGCATTCTATTAATGTGGTTTGGTGATATAGAAAACTTCAATTTTTCACGACTTTTCTTACTCGGATTTATATTTATTTACACGTATCTATCTGTCTATTTAATAAAATCTTAATAAGTCCTTTGTCCGTATTGTGACGAATTAAGAATACAGAGTGTCACCACCCCTATTCATCCCGTGGGTGTCGTTAGAGGCGACTAAGAAATCAAACTACGCAGGACAACAGCACTGCAGAGAGAAGGAAAACTTGAACCAAACCCTATACCAACCCGTCTGGCCAGCGTGGTATAGTAGGCCAAAACCTAGAGAGGCCTATGTCCAGCAGTGGACTAGTAAAGGCTGATGATGGTGATGATGAATAAAAATTTTCAAGTGATTATCATCAACTTTAAAGCTTCCGATTAAATTGATTTTTTTTATAGTACAAAGAGCAGACGGGTGACCTTAATTGTAAGTGTCTGCCGTCACCAATATTAACCTCCAATTCAAGAGACAAGTGCGTCACCATCCTGTGACGAACCACCTCTTCCTCAGAGCTTAGGGGCAAGGGGTTGAGCTGTCGTTTCCTCACTCGGTGAAAGCTATGGATGAATTGCCAAAAATCGATATTCTGTCAAGCCCATCACTACAGTGGAGCCTTTAATTATCGATATATTTCGATAGTTAAAACCTCGACAGTTATCGAGATACAGCGTCAATCACTACGTCCTTCAATTTATAATCTTATGAATCAACTTACTGAATGTATTATGTATTGTAGTGGTTTTACTTATACGCGTGTTCGGTTGTGTTCTTCATGTTGCTCCGAAGAATTTAATAATAATTACAAACAAATAATAAGTAAAGTTTATAAGTGAAGTATTAATTATAATTTAATATGTGTATTTACATACAATAACAGGTAGGTAAGTGATTCGGGAACATGCTCCTAATAGTTTCTGGTCTCCTGGTACATGTTTTATACATCTAATGGGAGTTTTTATGTGTAAAATTAACGAATCCTTACTTTATAATCTGTTTGTCTGTATAAACGCGGTACACTGAAAAAGTACTGAACGGATCTTTGTACGATTTCAACCTATAGATAGTGTGATTCCTGAGGAAGGTTTAGAGTAAAATTCATTATTTTTTTATGTAAATTTACTGAAATATAACGATTATTGCATACGTCGCGTAAACCAGCAGATATACATTAAAGTAATGTAACATACAGGAAATTGAGAAAATCCTAAGTAGATATAACTCACTTTTGGCCACTTTTGGCCAGCGTGGTGCAGTAAATCAAAACCTCCTTTGTAAGGAGAGGCTTATGTCCAGCAGTGGACTGTTAAAGGCTGTTGATGATGATGTTGATGATTATATTTGTTATTTTATAATACACTTTAAAAAAAAATGTCCGTGTGGTGACGGATTAAGGATACAGAGTGTCACCACCCCTATTCATCCCGTGGGTTTCGTAAGAGCCGAATAAGGGAAAAAACTACGCAGAACAACAGCACTGCAGAGAGAAGGAAATCTTGACACAAACCCTATACCAACCCGTCTGGCCAGCGTGGTATAGTAGGCCAAAACCTCCTTTCTAAGGAGAGGCTTATGTCCAGCAGTGGACTTTTAAAAGCTGTTGATGATGATGAAAAAAAAAAGTTGAACCGACTTCAAACAATACTAACAAAAAGCACGAAAAACTTAGCAACAATCGCGGTTGATTTGCTGTCATTTTTTGAAGAGTTCCGTTGTCTGTCTCCGAAACTCATCATCAGATCTATATGAAATTTAACTTTGAAAATCCGTCTATATATAACGGAGTAATGCCTGAACATACATAACAAAAATTGGCTGCAGGGATGGCGTAGTGGTTAAGCCGCTTCCTACAACTCTGTGTTGTGGGTTCGATTCATAGGACAGCACTTTGTGTGATTCACAAATTGTTGTTTTGAGTTTGGGTGTTCTTTGTGTCCGTTTCATGTGCGTTTGTAAAGTCTTCTTAACAATTAGTGTCATCAAAAATAAAAATAAAACTATTTTGATATAAAAATCGTCTCATTAAATATTGTAAAGTTTCACCAATTCAGAGTCAAGTGCTTTAAAGAGCAATTTTGAACGAATCTTTATGAGAAATTATCAAGCATTTTGTATGTACTCGGGCAATTTCCGGCAGAATCGGCGTCACGCACAGCAAGCCCATAATTACGTACGGCGAGCGGACTACCGCCTATATTGTCCCTCGCTCTGAATAACTTACCCTCAGATTTATTTAATGGTATATTAAAGAAAAAAAGAAGTTCCTTTCGCTTTTTGGTAGATGTTTGCTATACAGTCATTATAATTTATATTATAAAATATCAAGTTAATAGAGTTAAATTGAACGAAGAGAAGAGAGCCGTCGAATCTTTCTTTTACAGATTATTTAGACGACAAATTTGCTTGGGATTGATGCTGCTCACTCCCACATTTACGTAGACATCTTTGTTGTTAAGTTTGAAAGTGATGGATATTTAATTATTATTTTTTTGGTGTATTTCGTATTTTGTTTTCGTATTTTATTTTTCGTTGACTTTGAACTGTATAGTATTTTTTTAATTTTTTGTGTAAGTATGTAAATGTGAGTACAGTGTAGGCTTGTAATGTTAATTCATATTTTATTATCTTTCTGGTGGTTTTGAGTGCTTCCACGGCCTACCCAAATGTCTTGCTGGCGGTAGTGTCATGCTTCGGGTCGTTGATCTTGACCAATATCGGTTAGGCTACACGATGGCTGGAGCCTGTATGCCGTCTGTATGGACAGGTTGACTCAAAACTATGGCCCTTTCCTCAAAAGGCCTATCCAGACCCTATACTGTACTCGCACAGTTTTATTTAACTTTGTTTACGGACTTAAAAAAGAAAAGACACCTCTGTGGTTTGTTTCGGTGTTTCTTCCCAGAGTGAGTCTTAGGAAATGCCGGCTCCTTCTAGCTATAAAGTCCGACTTGTAAAAATATCTGAAAAGATTTACTTACAGAAATAAAAATCATTTCATCATCATTTCATTTCATCATTTCATTTCATTTCGGCGCGCGGGAGAGCTGTGTGGTGTATGAACTATATGAGTTCATACACGATTGTAATATAGAGTGTCGGAAAAAAGTCTTGTTATACATTTTTCGGTCTCGCTCCCATCCGCTCAGAGCGTCTAACGAACGAACGTTAAAAACACATTCTGTTAAATCCAACTTACACAATATATTTTTTATGTTTTGTTTAAAAATGGTGCAATATTTGTATTTACGTTGTGTAAAAATAGTAGGTGTTAGATTATTTTTGCTTTTGTTTTATTGGTACATAGTTATCTTATCTATATACATACTGTTACGAGCAGGGTATATAATAAATAAAAGTTGTCGGTTAATTACTTTATTGCACTGTATTTACAAACACTCACTATAATAAACTAGAAATCACTATGTATCTCGTTAGTCGCACTAGAAATTCACTCCAATGTTAACGAACGGCTAACACGCTCCGCTTTTTTAGCGCGTTTGAATTTTACCAGATAGATCCCTAGTATTCGATAGTCCGTTCCGTAACAAGAATATTCCAGAATCAGTCACGAGTTACTTGTAGCTTGTAGCGCAATCTAGCGCTGTAAGGATCAGAATTTACCATAATCTTAATAGATGTACCTTAGTCGATACTAGATGGCGCTGTCCTCCAAATTGAATACAATCGAACCATTTAATCCTATGGCGCACCAATACTCGTATATATTTGATTTGTTTATATATTATAGACAAACTCAAGATAAGACAACTATTAACATTGCTGGTATTTTAGTTGCCATTGTTGTATAAGTCATTGAATTTGTTTTTTGTAAACGATAAAAGAAATTGATGTTATGTTTTCTTTAACAGGTCACTTAAAACAAACAATGTGTGGTATATTATGGATAGATATAGTTCTCATCGCGTGTGTGTTTGGGCAAACAGGCCCAGTAGTGGACACGAGCGTTGGACAAATAGTTGGGCTGAAAGATGAGTTTATTAAGTTTCTTGGGATACCGTACGCTGTTGTTGATGTCAACGACCCTTTTGGTGTACGTATATTTGTTATTTATGATAATTTTCTTATAATATTATAATCTTCTACCAGTGTGGTGACGGATTAAGAATACAGAGTGTCACCACCCTATTCATCCCGTGGGTGTCGTAAGACCCGACTAAGGGAGCAAACTACGCAGGACAACAGCACTGCAGAGAGAAGGAAAACTTGACACAAACCCTATACCAACCCGTCTGGCCAGCGTGGTTTAACCTCCTTTCTAAGGAGAGGCTTATATCCAGCAGTGGACTGTTAAAGGCTGTTGATGATGATGAATGCTGATAAACATACATATACCTATATCAGAGAAAGTATAATATCTTCAAAGTTATGTTACCCTGGTATTACTTTTCTTAAATAATATACTGTCCTACTGTCCTTATTATTGTGATCTCTATGTACTTATAATAAATCATCATGTCATAAGCAAGAGGTAGAAGGGCATAGGACAGCATAGGAGCTGTCAAATATGAATTTAAAATGAATAGTGGGCAAAAGAGGATATGGGTCATCTGATGGTAAATGTCTACCGCAGCCTAGGGAAACATGGCGCTCAAGAATAAAAAGTGCGTTATCACCCTTTAAGCTGAATGGGAGACTGCCTGGTGGGAAGATTGGTCGTCCGGAAACCTAATTCACTTAGTGTTTGCTGAACAGTAGTTTTATGTAAGGCCGTGGAATCTCTGCGGCCGATCGTAATGCCCTCAATTTTGAAGTGGTACATGTCCTATGTTTTGGTAAGGCTATAAATAAATAAACCATTATATTAAATTATTGTGTTATTCCATTCCAGCTAGCCAAACCTCACCCGCCTTTCAACACACCCTACTTCGCAAACAAAGATCCAATGGTGTGCCCGCAGGTATATAAAGACATCGTTCAAGGCGACATACAATGCTTGCATCTCAATATTTACAAACCAAACAATGAATACCAAAATAAAACTTTGCCAGTGATGGTTTTTATCCACGGCGGTGGATTCAGGGAAGGCGACGGGAATTTGAAGACTTATTCACCGATTTTTTTAATCAAACATGATGTTATGGTAGTTACTGTGAACTATAGACTCGGGCCATATGGTTTCCTTTGCTTGGAGCAAGACGAGTACAGTAACCAAGGATTAAAAGACCAGATTTTAGCTCTGAAGTGGATTAAAAAGAATATTAAACAGTTTGGAGGTGATGAGGATAATATATTGTTATTTGGACACAGCGCCGGTTCTGCTTCCATCGATTTTCATCTTTTGTTCAATGAAGAAAAGGTTTATAATAAAGTTATATTACAAAGTGTGGAAATGGTGTCACTGTTATTAATAGACGAACCAAAAAACAATGATTACTTAGCTAATATCACTTCAAAGCTCGGTATCGATAGTAAAGATCTTAAAACTGTTGATATGATTAAAGAATTGTCTAAAATTAATACAGAGTTAATAATATCAATGACAAAAAATGATAATTTTAGACCCTGCGTTCATAATTTGATAATTGGAGATAAGATGAAAAGAAATAATTTTAAAGATATGAAGATTATTATTGGAAATGCGGAGAAAGAAGCATTATTCTTTTATACCGGTGTTGTAAACTATACGAACATGATAGAAATGGAATTGAACAAGCATTTTACAAATATACCAGAGAAAGGTGTGACCAAAGCTGAAAATTTTTACTTAACTGGTAATTTAAAATACAACACAATCGATTTTGGTTGTGATTTATATTTTAACTATCCTGCAATAAGATCGATTAGACATTATTTGAGGAATAACGCGACAGTTTATAGATATTTATTCACGTACGATGGTGGGAGGAATTATATTAAAGTTCGAGATGGCATCGACGCAGAAGGCGCCACCCACGGCGATGAACTTGGCTATTTATTTGACGCAGATTTATTTGGGGACACAATTACAGCGGCAGATCAATCTGTTATTGACACTATAACTACTTTCTGGACAAATTTTGCTAAATATGGGTATGTTTTATCAATTCCTTATTTACTTTTATAAGTACGTCAGAAGAAATTCCATATAATTTTGACTAAAGACTATGCAATATTAGAATAGTTTTTGAATTTACACAGGGTTTTGATTAAGTGTACATAAAAATTACGAGTTGTAAATTGAAAAGTAGTTAAATTACACACGATAGCTCCTTGTGGGAGAAAAGAGTCCCACAAGGAGCTATCGTGGGCCTCGCATCTACCCAACCCAAATTCTTTTTAGGGACTAATGGAATTACTCGCGTTGATGTTATGGCATTTTTGTTTTCATGGTCGTTAAATATAAAGAATATATGATTCAAGAAACAAGAATTTACACTTTTAATTTAAAAAATGTAATCTTAATATTTTCTAAATAAAGGATTAAAACAAATATTAACTGTGCTAGAATGTCAATGAAAAATATTTTATTTTTTAAGAAATTAACTTAATGGATTTCTTTGTGGCTTCTCAGATTAATTTTAAGTGATCTTTTTTGCTTCGCACGGGTAGTTTCCCCTTCTTATATTTTCCTGTCATAATTAGTAGCACTTTATAAGAGAAATATTTTGTTAATGTATTAAAGCATTTTAGAGCTAATTCACAAAAAACCGTAATATCTTCTTCGTGGATTACTAGAGGAAATACCTAATCTATTACTGAAAACTGTATAAAAAACCGTTCAGTACTTTTGATCTTGCTTAGACAGACAGCAATATGTAGCAATTTTTGACGGCCATTTTGTTTAATTTTAATATCTATAAGGATTAATATAAAAATGGTGAGTTGGTTTGTGTACGTTTCAAAAACTCAAAAAGTACTTTTTTTATGGAAGAGGGGACAGACGAGCAGACGGTTTGCCTGATGGAAAGTGACTATCGCCGCCCATGAACGTCTGCAACTCAGGAGTCACAAACGCGTTGCCGGCCTTTTAGGAAGGAGTACACTCTTTTCTTGAAGGTTTGAAGTATCGTGTATCGTGGTGAGGATGAATTTTTTTCCGTGTCGAACGATGGCGGAAAGTTGTGGCTCGTATTAGTCCAAACAATTCTTCGGCGCACCCTCCGTGATATCGACAAAAGTGCTCGATGTTCTTCGGAGTGAATTGGCAGAACAGTCACAACGCTAGTTCCCGACTAAGTATTTTTATAATATGTTTATGCATGTTATGTTATGTTATGTTATGAAACCCCCTCGGATACCACCTGTCGGTGGCATGTCGGACTCGAACCGACTAAAACCGCACGCCGTCGCCGGGTACTAACAGCCGGGGAACCAGGTATACCCTAGAAAGGAAGTCCCTGGTGCCCCGACATACCTCGGGTCATCTACAGACGAGTAGACGACCCCCCCCCCCCCCCCGTGTGGGAACCCCATGTTCCCTGTGCTCCCTGGAAGCGAGCGCGCTTCGCAACGCGCTCGCCGCCACCCCGGCCTGCTTCTGCTAGGGTGACAGATGGCCTCACCTGTCACCCCCAGGCCTGCGCTTATGGAGGACGGAGGTCGTTCTGCGACCTCCGGCGCCTGAGTCGCCTGCGTTGCCTGGCCCGTGCCCGGGCCTGGCGGGCCGGGAGAGTTCTAAACCTCTCCCGGTCCCGCTCCGCCGTCTCCTTCGCGAGCATAACTTGCTCGCAGAAGGAGACGGCAGAGTTCCACGCACTCTCGCTCCGCACGATAGCCGCAATCAGGCTATCGAGCGAGAGAACTCCCACTCCGATGGCCGCCACGAGGTCTCGCCTCTGCTCAACCCACGCCGGGCACTCTGCCAGCGTGTGGAGAGCCGTGTCCACGGTCTGGCCATCGCAGTGGTGGCACTCAGGCGTTGGCTCCTTGCGGATCAGACACAGGTGATCTCCGAAACATCCCTTCCCAGTGATCACCTGCGTCAATCGGTATGAGAGGGTCCCGTGACGCCTCTCGAGCCAATCCTCCATAACGGGTCTTACCGCCGCAATGACGGCGTGCCCGGCGCTCGGTTGCCCGAGTCGTTCCCTCCACTCCCCTATGATGACCTGGCGGAGTTGGGATTTCCGGTCATCGATTTCTCGAATCTCGGGGCATCGACCCAACTCCTGCGCCTCCTTGCGCCACTGATACAGAGCCGCAAGGGCTCTCGCCTCCAGGTCCCACGGTGGAGTTCCGGCCAGGAGACTCGCCGCCTCAAAGGAGATCGTGCGGTACCCCCTTATGATCCTGATGGCCAGCATTCGCTGCGGTCGTCGCAGTATCGCGACGTTGCTGGCCTTCAGGGCCCCCGCCCATACTGGGCACCCGTAAAGGGCCATGGACCGCACAACCCCCGAGTAGAGTCTCCTGCAGGAGTCATCGGGTCCCTTCATTATGTTATAGGCCTGCAACTCACCGGTTGAGCTTAGACTGACACGATATACAATCGAATTTAAATATTTGTTTATATCTATTTTTAGCGTCAGTTTTGTTTCTTATTTCCCATTAATGCTAACACAAAGCGCCACCGCGAAGCGTTGGAGGGTACTAGTTTTAAATAAAATGTGTATGTTTTAGGAACCCGACTCCTGAGGACTTATCGTCATTGACATGGCCGAAGATAGACGATAATTTAGAGTTCTATATGAACATAGCAGCTCATCCTGTGTTGGAAAGAAGATACAGAGAAAAAGAAATGGTCTTTTGGGATTCGTTTTACAAAGATTTTGGAGTTTATTCAACAGGACACCGTTTCGCAGAAGAGGCTGAGTTCATGAAGAATCGAGCTTCACAGTTAGGGATAATGATAAGTTTAAATGTTGCAGTTGTTTTAATAAGATTTGTAATGTAATCATATATTGAATTAAAACTTGGCGAACGTCTGATAGCGATGTGTAGGCGTAGTGTATGTATTTATGTTAATAAATTACCACAGACTATACTTAAATAGACAGTATTAGTATATTAAGATTAAAGTTTTAATAGTTGATTGATTGGCAACGATTTTAGATGTATTTTTTTTCGGAATAAACATCAAAATAAATGTCAATTAATACAATCATGACTTCTAATTAGTTAACTAATATTTACATAGATGGCGCTGATCACTACATTTGTGCGTACACAGGGTATGCGTTCTTAAAGAGTAAACTCCAGTCGTGCGTCGGAGCTGACACACACTTTTGACGTGATAACGTCTTAAAATTCGATGGAGCCGGCTGCACGCACGAAAAAACATGACTCATGCGGTGTTAACTCGCTCTGAGGCGTTCTATTTAAGGCGTGAAGTGCAAGCGAGAGCGCGGAACGAGCGACAAAGAGGCACAATCGGCCTCCGCGTTCGGCAGCGTTCGACATCTGTCTCTCTCCTACTTGAGTGAGCGATGCGTCCGCGTGGACAGCTGCTATACAATAATACATTAACATGTTTTTAACCGACTTCAAAAAAAGGAGGAGGTTCTCAATTCGACTGTTTTTTTTTTTTTTTTTTTTTGTATATTTGTTACGCGATTACTCCGGCAATTATAAACCGATTTGAATAATTCTTTTTTTATTTGGTAGGTCATACGTCAGAGGTGGTCCCATTGTCACCAGGTCAGGATCTGATAATGGGATCCTGGGGAAATCGAGGGAAACCCTCAAATTTTGTAGGCATATACACTGTTTATCAGAAATTATCTTAATCTATGTAGATTTTTGCATCTAATGGTCACCATCTGATGTTGCTGAGCTGATGATGAAGCTGATGATGAATGGTTTAGGAGTATGGGATCTCTGTAACAAAATTATGTAATACCATCGAATTTGAATGTTTTTGAGTCTAATTAATAAGAACTCCGATCCTATGTGATATTCAGGGTCTGATGATGGAGACGGTAAATAGCCATGGGAACTCTGTAATAAAATAAAGCAATTCCGCCGTGTTTGTGCTCATTTGATTCGTCTCGACTAGGAGCTTCATGCTAGTCGATTTTTAACCAACATCAAAAAAGGAGGGTTTTTGATTCAACAGTATGTTTTCTTTTTAACCGACTTCTAAAACACAAAAGAGGAGGTTCTCAATTCGTCTGTATTTTTTTTTTTATGTATGTTTGTTACGCGATTTCTCCGTCAATTGTGGACCGATTTTCAAAATTATTTTTGTAATCGAAAGGGTATGCTCCCGAATTGGTCCCATTACCACCAATTCAGGATCTGATGATGGGATCCTAGAGAAATCGAGGGAAACCCTCACAATTATTGGGAATTTGACAGCCCCGACAACGTGTTTTAGCAACGAGTATTTCTTTAAAACCATGGCAACCGTCAGAGACTGCGCGATGTGATGCGCAGAGAACTTGCAGTATTTATGTCACCACAGTAATTTTCGTTGTATTAATAAGAAGAAAAGGTTGAAATTTTGTATTTTATCTTGTTAAAATAATTCGGATAGACGTTTTGTTGCTATGGATGGCATCGCATTTCGTTTGTAAGTAATTTTATACTTAATTCATTAAAATAGTTCTGGAAAAAACTCTTAAATTTTGTGTGGGTCAACTAGGTTAATTTCTAACATACCAGTATTAACCCTTCTAGTTGGAACTCCTATAAAATATTGAGCATATTTGTTGAGTAGTCTCACTAAAGCTTCCCTATCTTCACCTTCGAGGTCAGTGTCAATTGAATCGGAAGTTATTTTGTTCCGTTGCAACTCACAAGAATTTGACTGTTTCTTAGAAAAGAATTTAAGCTGATCTTGATCAGTTTGGACGCCAATGTAGGAGAGGCCTATGTCCAGCAGTAATTTAATATAATATTTAATATAATCTAACAAACTACAGTTTGTAGGTTGTACGACTTCAAACCGACTAGAAGGGACTATTGGTATTATAATGTTACCTGTTACATTGAGGGTACTTATTATAGTTTTTTACTTAGATTTGTAATTATTTTTTAATTTTTAGTGCTCTTTGTCGGTGTTTTTTGAAGTCGGTTCAACTTTTTTTTTAAAAGGGTTTTCGTAAAATGCAACCATTCCATCAGTATTTTCTTATGACGTTGTCACGTTCAACTATCGTCAGTAAACCGACTTTACAGACAACCGATTTTTTTTAATTAGGAGGGTATACCATTGTTGAGAATAAATGTGTGAAGAATAAATATCAACCTTAAGAGTGGGAAATTAATAAAACAATTCATCATGATGACACAAGTGATCATGCCTGGCGGGACGCGGCCCCACGGTTGCTCTCTCGAGTCTTCACATCGTCCTGTAGAGGACGCGTGGTGGCTGGATCGGGGCTGTGGCCCCCTGCCAGCGGTGTCAATCGCTACTCCTAAATAGGAGTAGGTCGTGGGGGTGCTTCGGCAGTGAGGTGTCTTGTTCAGGTGAGGCGGGGTTGCTTCGGTCTTCACGCCGCCTCGGCGGTCTAGCCCGAGCCAGGTGAGACCCCAGGCGATACCTGGGGAGGCCCAGCTCCGAGCGACCAGCGACAGAGGCGGCGACTTACTTGCAACCCCTTGGTGTCTTGTCCGGGATGTGTGGGGTGATCCGCACCGTTACGCGGTCTGCGGGGCACCCCGCTGTGTTTTAACTGCTGTGGCGGCGGACGTCCCCGCCTGCGCACGATGCTTCTACTTGGGCCAAGTAGGCGCAAGTGCTCGCAGGCCAGTGGGGGCGGTCGCGGCAACAGCAGGTTCTGTGGGCATATAATAAAAATTATTTTATATATGCAGTCTATGGTTGAGTGGTTGAGTCCGCCGCCGTCGTCCCGGCGCAGGGGCGGACAAAAGATCCGCCCCCGTGGCGGGGCGCCGGCGGGTCTAAGAGGCTAGTGTGGGTGTGTCGGGACTGTCTATACCCGGGGGCCGGGGACCGCCTTCCTCTCCGGGACTTCCTCTGTCCGCAACAAGGTCGCGGGGTAATCTTTTGTGATCCGGTGGTCGAGCGTGCCACGGCGCCAGGTCTCGGATATGGCTCCAGTCCGAGGCGTCGGCACGCTGGCCCCACGGTTGATGTTGGGAGGTTGTATATATGCTAATTGGCGAGGGAATTCTTCATATCGCGATACAGGATTAGCAATTCTCATTTAATAGTTACTCCGTAGTCCGGTGTGTTTTCGTTAGATCATCATCATCATCATCATCAACAGCCTTTACTAGTACACTGCTGGACATAGGCCTCTCCTCAGAAAGGAGGTTTTGGCCTGCTATATCTCGCTGGCCAGACGGGTTGGTATAGGGTTTGTGTCAAGTTTTCCTTCTCTCTGCAGTGCGGTTGTCCTGCGTAGTTTGCTCCCTTAGTCGGCTCTTACGACACCCACGGGATGAATAGGGGTGGTGACACTATGTATTCTTAATCCGTCACCACACGGAGAATTCGTTTCGTTAGATGGCGCTGTAGTATGTTTCTATTCCTTTGTATGTCCGCCACATGATTATTTGTTCTGTGTCTGAGTGTAATTCTTATATATCATAAATCGAACTGACTTAAATCACACTTATGCCTTCATCATCATCATCATCAACAGCCTTTACTAGTCCACTGCTGGACATAGGCCTCTCCTTAGGAAGGAGGTTTTGGCCTACTATATATATACACTATACTATCGACTGCACGGATAGCGTAGTGGTTTAAGCGGTCGCCACGCCGCTTCCTACTACGCCGAGTGTTGTGGGTTCAAACCCCACATGGGACGACACTTTGTGTGATCCACAAATTGTTGTTCTGAGTCTGGGTGTTCTTTGTGTCCGTTTCATGTATGTTTGTGAAGTCCCCGCGACACAGAATTTATTCCTAATGCGGGAGTTGTTTTTAAAAAAAAAAAATATACTATATGCCTTTCTGTGCGTGAAATAGCATCCGGGAACAGCTGTTATTTAAATATCATCGTCAACAGCCCTTAACAGACATAGATCTCTCCTTAGAAAGGAGGTTTTGGCCAACTATACCACGATCGCCAGACGGGTTGGTATAGGGTTTGTTTTAAAGATGTGAGTGTACGATATTCGGGTATTGAGTTATAACTAAACTATGCGTATTTCTGTTATCTCGCTCCAGATAATACAACGATTCTGTAAAAAATAATAGAATACTTAATATACCGCCAGTTTAAGATAATTCGGAGTAACAATGTGTTGTATATTATGCGTGTTTATTGTATTCATCGCGTGTGTGTTTGGACAAACAGGCCCAGTTGTGGACACGAGCGTTGGACAAATAGTTGGGCTGAAAGATGAGTTCATTAAGTTTCTTGGGATACCGTACGCTTTTATTGATGTCAACGACCCTTTTGGGGTAAGTACTTTTTAGAGGTCTTAAGTTCGTATTTTCATGTAAAACATCTAACGCGGAGGGTCAGCCCGACTGAGGGCGAAGCGATGGGTCAACATATGTAACATGTAATGCAGTGTGGCGACGCGTCGCCATGCCGCCAAGCAGACCGGTCACCTGATGGTAAACGACCGCTGCCCATGGACACCTACAATTCAATTAAAGCCCCTCCCCCCCCCCCCCAGAATCAGAGGTATGGGTATGTCCTCTGCTTACCTCATTTACTTGTTGAAAAACAACAATTAACAGTGTTTTTTTGTCAGGCCTCGGTATCATTAGGTCGGTATCAGTTTATCTGGCCATTAACTGCTGCAGTACTCGAACTACTCTCGACTTGTACCTCAAAAGGAAAAAACGAAACCCTTATATGATCACTTTGTTGTCCGTCCGTCCGTCTGACGGTCTATCAAGACCCTTTATCTTGGAAGCGCGTGGAGCTATCGAGATGAAATTAAAACGATACACTCAGGTTTACAGTCTCTTGAAGCTGTGAAACAATCTTTATTTAAATAATGAATAAACTAATCAGTAGTTAGACGTTTTCATAACTAAGAAAATCTCCATAATCCATTTACAAGGGTTTTTACAAAATTTTATGAAATAGTTACCACAACCCCTAAACATCCCGTGGGTGGCGTAAGAGCTGACTAAGGGAGCAAACTACGCAGGACAATAGCACTGCAAAGAGAAGGAAAACTTGAAACAAACCCTGTACCAACCCGTCTGGCCAGCGTGGTATAGTAGGCCAAAACCTCCTTTCAGAGAAGAGGCCTATGACCAGAAGTGGACTATTATAGGCTGTTGATGTGTGATGTGAGTACAGTATCGTCATGCTGTGTTCCATAGAGGTAAACAGTGTCGAGACAAGCTCTTCAAAATTACAACCTGAAATGCAAGTAATATCTAGTAATATTACTGTACTCTGAGCTCAAATGCCAGCCTTGTTCGCTACAATGTCAGCCACCTTGACTCTGTGGAGTTATCTCCATAGGTACAACATTGTATACCAGAGTTATCTTAATAAAAAAATAATACTTCTTATCTATGAACTGTTACGAAGGTCTTATAATTGTTTATTTTTTATTATAAATATTGTAACTACTCCAGTAGTTAAAATATGTATGGTGAAAATCTATGCTAATATTGTAAAGCTGAAGGGTTTTTTGTTTGAACGCGCTAATCTCAGAAACGACTGGTTATTTCTTTTAAGTGATGCAAAACCTCCCTTCTAAGTAGAGGCCTATCGCCAGCAGTGGACTAGTAAAGGCTGTTGATGTGATGCTATGTGATGATGCAAATAAAACTATAAACTTTTAAACGTTTTGTATATTTAGTAGCATTGTGTTTGGTTAAGGGCTCGACATCATAGTAATCCTGCTCGAGCTTCTTGTTATCGTGTCGATGGCAATATTTGCAACGGCCCAGCGGTGCTATTCTCTGAAGAACTTCAAACTAAGTTCGATTGAAATTCGACCTTACAGCGCTGTCACAGCGTCGAATTTTAATCTAACTGTAGTGCTACAGTGCCTTATTCAGTGCTCGAGTTAGTCGAGTCGCTTAGTAACTCGCCTGTAAATAGATTTATTCGTCTCTTATTTATCGAGTAATTTATTTCAAAATGTATTTTACTAGGTTTGAAAACTTAGCAGACGCTGTTTCTTTTTATTTATTACACGCTTTTTATTAGCTTCACCTGTATGTTTGTTTGTTTGTAACCGACTCCTCCATTTTGACTGACTTTAAACGGTCAGAATTCGTTCAAAACTTTGTAGATATATCAAGGACCGATGACAATACACTAATTTAAAATAAAAAATGAAAATAAATATTATTTAAAAAATAGTAAAAAAAATAGATACTTTTTTTTTTAAATTTGAAAAAAAAGCGATGGGTGCTTTTTACTATTGACAACAAGCACCCAACGTTTTTTTCTAATTTATTAAAATTTATTTTTGCGCCACTATAGGCGTACTACTACTATAGGCGTTCCTTAGGCGTAATATTTCAGACTAGGTCTGCTCCTTTCTCTTTCCTGCTCACGTTTCGGTTCAGTCTGTCATGATGCGTAGGATGGGTGGGCTGGCCACATTAGCAGCAGAACTGACAACCGTTGGGGAAAAGGAGTTCTTGAGTGGAGACCGCGTCTCGGCGATCGTAGTGTAGGACGCCCACAGGCCAGGTGGAGTGACGATTGTCGGAAGATGGCTGGCAGGAGCCGGATGCGAGAAGCCCAAAATCGATCTAACTGGAAGAGGCCTATGTCCAGCAGTGGACTGCGATAGGTTGATGATGATAATGATGATTCCTGCTCAGTCTTGCTCAGGGTAAGATCGATTGCCCCTAATCTACTCAGTATGATTAGGTAAAGAACACCCGTTAGAAGGTTGCGTGACAACTCTTTACTTTATCTTCCGTCGAGTCACACCAACTTCAGGAAAAATAGCTCCCTGCCTAGAGTTTTCACTGAGTTTAATCAACTAAATAGTGACAGAGGTTTTGATCTTTTTAGTACAAGTACTGGTAGTCACATCACACATCAGCAGCCTATGATAGTCCACTGCTGGACATAGGCCTCTCCTGGCGCTGGGCTTACGGGTGGCCCTAGATAAGACGGAGGCCCTGTTATTTCATGGGCCCCGTCGTGGTCCACCCCCTGGCGCCTCCATCGTGGTCAACTCGGTCCTCGTACCGGTTCGGGCCCAGATGAAATATCTGGGCCTGATCCTCGACGGGAGGTGGCTCTTCGACGAGCACTTCCGACAGCTTGCTCCAAAGCTGGTCGGCGCTGCGTCTGCCCTAGGGCGACTCTTGCCCAATATGGGTGGACCCAGCGTCGCGACAAGACGGCTGTACACGGGGGTTGTCCGGTCAATGGCGCTGTACGGTGCACCGGTGTGGGCCGCGGCTCTGACCGCCCAGAATAGGGTACGCCTCTGGCGCCCTCAGAGGGTAATGGCGGTCAGAGCCATACGCGGTTACCGCACCGTTTCTACGGAGGTGGCATGCGCGTTGGCCGGAACTCCCCCGTGGGATTTGGAGGTGGAAGTGCTCGCCGAAGTTTATCGGCGAGTGGCTGACTCCCGGGCGGAGAGCGGATTTCGCCCTCCGCCCGAGGATGTGCGCGAGTGGCGCGAAGCCGCTCGCCGAGCCACGATGGCTCGTTGGTCGTTCCGGCTGGAGACTCCACGCGCTGGCTTCGCCGCCGTGGAAGCTCTCCAGCCGGTCATCGCCGAGTGGGCAGGGCGGCAGCACGGGACCCTTTCCTTCCGGCTGACGCAGGTGCTTTCCGGGCACGGTTGCTTCGGAAAGTACCTGCACACGGTCGCTAGGAGGGAACTGAGTCCCGCCTGCCACCACTGCGACTGCAGTGAGGACTCGGCCCAGCACACGCTGGCGGTCTGCCCCGCATGGGCGGCGCAGCGCCGGGCCCTCACTGCAGTCATCGGAGTGGATCTCTCGCTACCGGCCGTAGTACGCTCCATGGCCGGTAGCGACAGTTGTTTTACCGCGGTCGCAACCTTCTGCGAGGTAGTAATCTCGCGGAAGGAGGCGGCGGAGAGGGCCCGGGAGGACGACCTCCACTCGGACCCGATCCGCCGCCGGCGAACCGGGCGGCGGAGGCCCGCCTATCACAGCCTCATGCCGCCCTGAGTGTGGCCGCGGGTGGACGGGGTGGGTTTCCCCTCCACCCGCATTAGTTTGGCCAGCCGCGAGGGGGCGGCGTCCGCGTGTGCCGGACGTCGCCTAAAGAGAGGAACATCAACATTGAGACGGAGCCCGCACCAGGAGCGGGCTGGCGCTAGGAGGGGTCCGGATGTCTTAACAACAGCTGTGCCCGGATCCCTCCTGTTACAGGCGCAGAGTGGCACACCGTGTGGTTTTAGTCGGTCCGAGTCCGACACACCACCCCGCCGCAAACCCCGGAGGGGTGACGGTCCGAGGGGATTTCCACACGTTAAAAAAAAAAAAAAAAAAAGGGTATATTTCAAGTTTTCCTTCTCTTTGCAGTCCTGTTGTCTTGCGTAGTTTTCTCCCTTAGTCAACTTGTACGACACCCACGGGACGAATAGGGGTGGTTACATTACGTATTCTTAATCCGTCACCACATGGAGTAATGGTAGTCCCGGGTCGTGTTTAACCGTCAGATTTGTTGATAGTGTTGCCTGCACTACTGCAGTGTGAGCTGTGACTCTTGGCTTTGCATGTGATTTCATTTGTATACCATCAACTCGTATTTACATATTTAATCATTTAATTAGAATATAACCTAAGTAGAAAGTTTTTTGTGTATCTGTGGAAGCTTGTTATTGGTATTTCATCAATTAAATGACTGATGTACCTGTACTGTAGCTGTAAGCTCACCAAATAAAATAAAATGAAGAAAAATAAAATAGATCAGTTAGGTAGTTCTTTATAAAATAATCTAGCATTCGTATATCCAGATCTATTCAACCATTTTTGTATTAAAAATATCAAACATTTGTCTATACATCCTTTTATTCTAATTTTAAAATAAAACAGAATTCCTCTTTCTCTTTTAGCCAGCAAAGCTCCACCTGCCTTTCGAGACCCCGTACCACGCAACTAGAAATCCAGTAATTTGCCCGCAGCTAGCGAATGGAACTCTCCAAGGTGATATACAATGCTTGAATCTCAACGTCTACTCACCAATAACCTCAGGTCAGAAGAAGCTTTTGCCAGTAATGGTCTTTATCCATGGCGGAGCTTTCACAGAAGGTGACGGGAATTTCAACACTTATTCCCCAGTTTTTTTGGTTAAAAAGGATGTCATTGTAGTAACTGTCAATTACAGGCTAGGACCGTATGGTTTTCTTTGTCTGGACCAAGATGAATACTACAATCAAGGCTTAAAAGACCAGAGGCTAGCTCTGAAATGGGTTAAAAATAATATCAAACACTTCGGAGGGGATGAAAATAATATACTGCTTTTTGGACATAGCGCTGGGTCAGCTTCAACGGAATTTCACCTTTTATACAATGAAGATAGGGTTTTTAATAAAGTGATAATGCAAGGGCTGCAGTTAGCGTCTCCAGGGCTGTCAGGGAAACCAAAAAACTATGAATATCTTACTGATTTAGCTGTTAGAGTTGGTTTGGATAGTAAATATGTAGAAACTAAAGATATAGTAAGAGAATTATCAAAAGTTAGTATGGATTTATTAGTTAACGTAACATATTCTGATAGATTCAGACCTTGCATTGATAATTCTGTTATTGGAGATTCATCTTTAAATCAGAATCTTAAAGATGTAAAGATAATAATAGGAAGTGCATCTAAAGAAAGTTTATTTATTTATAACAATGAACCAAACTATGCAAATTTAATAAAAAGGGAATTAAAGAAAGAGTTTGATAATATAGAACATGGTGTTGACAGAGTTGAAAATTATTATTTGAATAACAACTTAAAAAATGATGTTGTTGATTTCGGTTGTGATTTCATTTTTAATTATCCTTTGGAGAGATCTGTAAGGCATTTGATGAGGAGTAACGCGACAATTTATCGATATTTATTTTCGTACAATGGTGGGAGGAACTTTATCAAATTCCGTGATGGCATCGACGCAGAAGGCGCAACCCATGGCGATGAACTTGGGTATTTATTCGATCCAGATTTATTTGGGGACGCAATCACAGCGAGAGATCAATCTGTTATTGACACCATAACTACTTTCTGGACAAATTTCGCCAAATTTGGGTATGTTTTTTGTATAATCTATTGTTATAGTGTAGGGGGAAATGAGGAGACTTGTTACCTGATGGTAAGTAATCATCGCTGCACATGGACACCTGCTGCAATGTTATTCTCTAAGGAAAGAGGCTTGTGTACAGCGCTGCCACAGCATCGAATTTTAAACTAAGCTTCAAAGTTTCAGCGCTGTACACAAGGCTGTTTCCTTAGAGATTGCACTGCAGCTCAAGAGACCCAAGGTTGTTGTCGCCTCTTGCAACCAGAGTCAAGGGTAAAGGGGGTTTGGTTGTGATCTTTGAACCTTTTGTTATAAATAATTTATTGTTGCCTTAGTATCTACAGCCATTTCCCTGTAGATACGCCCAATTTTTTTTTACCTTTAATTCCCAAATGCAATTGTCGGTTCTCACGCACTCAGTATTTTTATTTCACATCATCAACAGCCTATGATAGTCCACTGCTGGACATAGGCCTCTCCTATGAAAGGAGGTTTTGGCCTACTATACCACGCTGGCCAGACGGGTTGGTATAGGGTTTGTTTCAAGTTTTCCTTCTCTTTGCAGTGCTGTTGTCTTGCGTAGTTTTCTCCCTTAGTCGACTTCTACGACACCCACGGGATGAATAGGGGTGGTGACATTACGTATTCTTAATCCGTCACCACACGGATTATTTTTATTTATTGAACTTCATATTATTGTACAATAACCTCGTCAGAAGCATTTTGAAGTACTGTTCAGTAAAATGGTCGCTAAACACTCGTCGACCAGTCGGTCAAAGCAGTACGTCTATGTACAAAAGTACTCATTGGTCGTTATATGCTTTTGTACATCGGCGGAACTAAATCTCAAGACTCAGTCTGGGTGGTTTAGAAATCTTGTAAGGTGGGTTATTCTACCACGATATGAAGATTTGGTAGCTTCCAAGATAAACCCTAGAAGGTTGAGAAATTAACAAATTCATAATCAAAAATCCTAATTTATTTCAGAGACCCAACACCGTCCGAGTTGTCACCGGTCACTCTGTGGCCGGTGTTAGACGAGAGATCTAACTACATTGACATTGGAACAACTCCTTTAGTGGAAGCTGGATATCGGAAGGATCAGATAACATTCTGGGATTCGTTCTATGAGGAGTTTGGAGCACTATCAAAAGGGTTATATTACGTAGAAGAAAACGTTTAATTCTAGAGATTTTTACATTACAATCACTAAGATTGCTCTTACATCAAGTTTGGGTCTTGTAGCGATGATAGTTATAATATTTTATGATCAATAAACAAAACACCTGATTATTTTAGATTTTTTTATGAAATAGCCCCCTATACCTATACCTATACCCAGCAGACGGAACACTTGATGCTAAATGAGACCTGCAAGTCTTGGAACTCAAGAGTCTGAAGTTCGGTACCGCCTTCTGAGTACCCCCAGAATCATTTAAGGTTTGGGCTCCGTCAGCCTCACTTTAGCTAGGGTAGGGTAAATTTCCGTGCGTTTAGGCGATTCTGTCATACATATTATAGAAATCAAAGGACCCATAATATTTTGTGGCCGTGGTGCTTACCTGTTTAAAAGGGTGTACACCTATTTTACTTCATTTCGTCTTCCGCTTTGCTAAGGAGGAAGTGGATTTACTGTATTTCGAACTCCTCATTTTTTTTCTAATTAATTTCGCTGCGGGTTCCAAGACAGTTTAATTATTTTTTCCTGGGACTACCCGAGTGTCATAACTCGGTGTGTTCGTTTGGCACTTCTGATTATCCTGGTGTACAGGAGTTACAGTGATGGGCGTTTGGGAGTGATTAGACCCAATCCAAAAAAAAACCCTCACTTCAGCAACAAAAGAATCCCTTAACCCTGGATTTCTGTAAGGCCGTGGTATCACTCCGGTGGAGTGGGTCTATTTGGCTCTCCCACAGCAGCCTACTTTAGGTGAGTATGAATCCATACTAATATTATAAATGCGAAAGTGTTTTTGTCTGTTACCTCTTAAGCCGCTGAACTGATTTAGATGAAATTTGGTATAGAGATAGTTTGAGAACTGGGAAAGGACATAGGATTTATCTTAGAAATCATTCTTTAAGCAGGTGAAAAGGGGGATGGAAATTTGTATGGGAATCAATAACTGCTAAACCGATTTAAATGAAATTTGGTATGGAGATAGTTGGAATTGTGCGGGCGAACGCTAGTGTCATCATCATCATCAACAGCCTTTAACAGTCCACTGCTGGACATGGGCCTCTCCTTAGAAAAGAGGTTATGGCCTACTATACCACGCTGGCCAGACGGGTTGGTATATAATTGTAATCTGTGGTAGTTATAATTAAATACGTGAGGTCAATGTTCACGGTATTTACTTTATTTTAAATAAACATAATTATCTTATAAACTTATTAAAAGGTGTTTTATATAATTTAACTAGATAAAGTGTAGATTAACAGAATAAAATTGAAAAATAATTCAAATTAAATTTGTCACCTGTGTGGAGGCGTATTAAGAGTACGCAGTGTGACCACCCCTATTCATCCTTTAAGAGTCGTAAAAGAAGACTAAGGGAGCAAACTACGCAGGACAACAGCACTGTACGGAGAAGGAAACTTGACAAAACCCTATACCAACCCGTATGGCCAGCGTGTTGTATTCGACCAAAACTTCCTTTCTAAGGACTGCCGTGCCAATCAAAAAGACTGTAACTCCACTTACTGTGTTTAGCCTTAACAACGCTCAATCAGTTTCTTTACATCGGTTTAATCCCCTGATCAACGCTTTTGTTATTCTAAAATGTATTTTAAAAGAGACAATAATTTAAAAAAATACTGTATTGTATTGAAATAAGGGTTTTAACATGGTAAAAAACTGTAACAAAGCTTGTTTTCAACAATTACAGTGGACTGCACGGATGGCGGTCTAAGCGGTCACCACGCCGCTTCCTATTACGCCGAGTGTTGTGGGTTCAAACCCCACATGGGACGACACTTTGTGTGATCCACAAATTGTTTTTCTGAGTCTGGTTGTTCTTTGTGTCCGTTTCATGAATGTTTGTAATGTCCCTCGCGACACAGGATATATTCCCAATGCGGGAGTTGTCATTAAAAAGGAAAAGAAAAAAAAGTGTTTTGGATTTGCGGACGGCAGAGGAGAGTTCTACATATGTCCAGCAGTGGACTAGTAAATGCTGTTGATTATTATTCGGGTCTCGTAGTTGCCGAATACCAATTATACGAGTATAAAAATAATTGTTTTGAGTTATTATTTTAATTGAAAATATATTCATTGGGAATTTACAACACAAAAATGAGTAACTAAAAATATATAGTCACGTCATCGTCAGGTGTACTTTATAGGAGGTTTCTAATCCAGTTGTTGTAGTACGTCACCCTTCTGTAACCCGTTGGGTGACCAGCCGTACAGCCGCTGGCTGATACAAAGGAAGTTATTCTAATCTGGAAAGGTACAATTTAAACATAGATAAAATATAATCAGGAGATAGTGCTATTTCGGATGACACTTCACTTTTATTTAAACTTAAACGACAGCAATCAGTAACTGACGACGTGAATAGCACTCTCTCTAAGGTTGTGAACTGGTTTAATGTTAATAATTTACTTTTAAACGAGAATAAAACGAAATGTATTAGATTTTTTACACCTAATGTTACGCAGGTAAAGACCAATGTTCTAATAAATGGAAAGGAGTTGAATCTTGTGGACACCACCAAGTTTTTGGGTATAACACTAGACTCTAAATTGCAGTGGGGCCCACACATTGACGGATTGTCGAATAGATCAGCTCTGCAGCATACGCGGTTTATAAAATTCGTCAATTAACCGATGTAGAAACAGCTAGACTGGTGTATTTTAGCTATTTTCATAGTGTAATGTCAAACGGTATTTTGCTGTGGGTAAATGCTGCTGACATTCAAGGTATCTTTGTGTTGCAAAAGAGAGCTATTGGTGCAATTTATAATCTCAGTTATAGGCAGTCACTGAGGGATAAGTTTAAAGAAATTGGTATCATGACAGTCGCTTCTCAATACATATATGAAAATGTAGTGTATGTAAAGAAAAATAATCATTTATTCACAAAGTTTAGCGACATTTTTAAAATAAACACTAGAAATAAAGATAAACTCGTGTTAACAACACTAGACTAAAAAAAGTATGCGTGTGCGATTTTACAATAAAGTGCCAAGCAAATTCCATGAATTAAGTATTACCAATCTTTAGTAAAGCTAAAACTGTGTGAAAAGGCTTACTACACTAGTAGGTACAGGTTATTTAGACGACAAATGCTTCGGGTCGTTGATTACAGAAATAAATATTATCATCATCATCATCATAAATTACAGATAAAGTGACGCCTTTTTTATGTTATAGGGGAGAAACGAACAGATGGGTCAACTGGTGAGTGACTATCATCACCCATCATCATCATCAGCTTATCGCAGTCGACTGCTTGACATAGGTATCTTCTATTGCGAGCCACTTCGATGAATTTGATTGATTTAACGGGGTGTTCGCATATGATGACAGAAGAGGGCAAAAGTTACAGTTTACATACGATACATATGGTATGAAACGTTTTAGAGACTAAACTAGAATTTATGAAACGTCGACTCGCAATCATACAATAAATGCATCAAGCACAAACTATTAATACTAGTGCAAATATTGTATAAATATTATAAAAGATGTAAATGTTTATAATTGTACACAGTTTGTTTGGGGAACGGTGTAATCACTTTAGTATTTTGTCAAAGAGTCCATATATTATTTCCAATACTCAACAAGTGACGCAAGTCATCTACGTAATGGGCTAAGAATTTATTACTACTTTGACTTTAATACTTTCATTTAACAATGTATTTGAGGTCTTCAGATTAAATTATTAAACCATAACCCCGTGGTAACCATTTCGTATAGTTTACGGGTAAGTATAATTAGTGTTTCATCAGTTAAAACTTAAAAAAACCGATTAGACGGACATTTAGAAACAACAAAATGAACACAAGTGCAATACATGCACGCGTCAGATCTATGATCTGCTAGTGCATTATATTCTATATAATTAACATAACAATAATTTTAATATTTATTTTTAATGGCCAACATTTCTAAACGTGTCCGTCAGTCAAACCTATAAACGTCAAATCTCGTGTCAAAATTTCATAACATGAAGATAACCTAAAAATTTCAACAAGAAACTGGAAAAATAAAATGAAAAATGCGTTTTATTAACCTTTTTAAAAGTTTAATACCAACGCAAGTGCAACTCGTGCGTTTTAGTTCAGAATACGTGCCGAAACCGCTTCGGAGTTTGAAGGGAAAGTCTACTAGAAACACAGTACAGTATTATGTGGACTCCTTCAGGGTACGCGCTGTGGGCGGGTCGGGAGGTGATGGCTGTATATCATTTCTGAGCGCCTGGTGTAAAGATCACGCCGGACCTGATGGCGGGGACGGTGGGAACGGTGGACATGTAATTTTTCAGGTAAGTTGATTGTTCGGTTAGACACTCTCGCTAGTACTTTCGGACAATAGTCAATACGGTTAAAGACATACGACCCTGACCTGCTCGACCCACTGCTGCTATCCACCATAAGTTTGACGTGAAACATTGTTCCTGTGAAAAAAGCCCGGCTAAGTTTCTAGAAGTTTCTGAACAGAGTCGGTTGTAAGTTGGAAGCCTCAGTACAAGCACAAAAAAGATAAATCAATATACTGGAAAGACTTTATTGATAATAAACTTTGTTTAATTACATGGCTATCACATCTTGGTCAAAATATCAGGACATTCAGAGGCATCATCATCATCACATCAACAGCCTATCCACACTGTTGGACATAGGCCTCTCCTTAGAAAGGAGGTTATGGTCTGCTATACCAAGCTGACCAGACGGGTTGGTATAGGGTTTGTTACAAGTTTACCTACTTTTTGCAGTACTGGTGTCCTGCGTAGTTTGCTCCCTTAGTAGGCTCTAACAACACCCATGGCATGGGATGAATAGGAGTGGTGACACTCTGAATTCTTAATCCCTCACCACCCTCGGCATGTAATAAACCTATATCTACATATTATGAATAACTAGCTTTGCCCCACAGTGTTACCCACGGTTTATAAGATACATTTCAATTCGTCGCCCATCCCTTAGGAACACTACATTTTTTTTCGGTTAAGAGGGTGTTAGCTACCTTCATACCAAATATCACCAAAATCAGTCCAGTTGATTGAGCGTTAAGAAGTAACAAACTGACTAACAATATTTCTGTTTTAGGCAGATCATTCCACAAAGAGTTTGAACAACTGCAAGTCTGTGGTGCAAGCCAAGCACGGAGAGAAGGGCTACAACAAAGATTGCAACGGCAAAAATGCTCAGCATGTCATTGTATATGTGCCAATAGGTAAGTCAGATTGTTGTTGTAGCGGATGGAACTACTTATCTGAAGTCTTGGGTTCGATTCCCGGGTGAGACCAAATGTTTGTATGATCTGCAAATATTGTTTCTGAGTTTGGGTATTTTCTATGTATAATATGACGGTTTTCTAGGTATAATATGACTGCACGGATGGCGTAGCGGTTTAAGCAGTCGCCACGCCGCTTACTACTACACTGAGTGTTGTGGGTCCGATCCTCACACGGAACTACACTTTGTGTGATCCACAAATTGTTGTTCTGAGTCTGGGTGTTCTTTGTTTCCGTGTCATGTATGTTTGTAAAAACCCCGCGACACACGAATATATTCCTAATGCGGAAATTATAAAAAATATATATGTATTAGTAAATACGTAAATATGTTATAGTATGTATATACAAAAACAAAGTATATAAGTATTCTATCAGTCAATCTAATTTTCATAGTGCAAGCTCTGCTTAGTTTGAAACTAGATGGCGTTGTGTATCAGATGTCAGGAATAGTAAGTGTCAACCGTTGCTCATGGACACCTGGAAATGAAGAGTCACAAGTACGTCAGGGCCTTTGATTCTGGGGGGGGGGGAGAATTTGCAAGCGTGTAAATGGCATCCAAGGGTTTGTAAAGGCTTAGAGGTTGTGGATGTTAGCCAAGCTTCAGCATCAAGAGCAACTGCATCAGCAGCAACTAAGAATTTAATATTTATTTTGTATATGTTTCAGGTACAATTATAAAAGATGAACATGGCAAAGTGATAGGTGACTTGAATGCTGACGGTATGATGTTCATAGCGGCGAGAGGTGGTGCCGGAGGGAGGGGGAACAAGTTCTTCCTCACTGATACGGAGCAGGTAACGATAATGACCTCACACATCTCACACTCGGCCGTCTGATCACAAACTAGGCAGAGCCTGTATTATTTATTGTATTTCCAACTCCTCCAATTTTCTTCTGATTAATTTCGTTGCGGGTTCCAAGACAGTTTAATTTCTTCCTGGGACGTCCTGAGTGTCATAACTCTTTGTGTTCGTGAGTCACTGCTGTGGATCCTGGTGTACAGGAGTTACAGTGGTGGGCGTATGGGTGGGATTAGTCCCCATAAAAAAGAGCCTGTATTATGGTAACCAGACTGCTTATAAACATACTTATATATTTCTAAATACCTACATATTTATACAATCAAATAAAACTGAAGTGTCTGTTTGTAATGTCTAAATAATTGGTTGTTTTTCATTCTCACACGGTTATTTGCACGATACCTATGCCTAAAAGCCAGTTTAAATAGTTTTTGTCTCTCTGTCTGTTTGTTCCTTTAAAACGGCTGGACCGATATCGATAATATTATACTACTAGGTAGCTGTCTATATAAGGAATAACTTAGGCTATAAAATTTTGCCCGGTGCGGGAATCGAACCCACTAAGGCAGCGCTTTTCAAATTCCACACGAACGAAGTCACGAGCACCAGCTACAGTTATAGATAAATAACACCCAGACACAGAACAAGGCATATAGGACGGTTAGCACTGAGGCTTTGCCGGTGTTGGCGGGTGTGCTTCCGGTCGATCTCGAAGTGCAGAGACGTGCAGCCATGTACTATTCAAGACAACAAAACATGGAATGCGATTTTTTGGGCGCGCGGGATCGCGGTAAAATTACAAGATTGCTTCAACAGCAGTCCGATGTCTATAATGACCTCATAGACGAATGGCAACAACGCTGGGATGAATCATCCAAGGGGCGCCATCTTTACCAATTTTTTCCATCAGTTCGCGAACGGTTGTCGAGGACATGGCTTGAGGTGGATCACTGTGTCGCTCAATTTCTTACGGGTCATGGTAACTTTAAGAGCAAGCTTTATTCATTTAAATTAGTCGAGTCACCAGTGTGTCAATGCTCAACACCTAACTCTCACTATGAACAGTCTGCTCATCATATCCTCTGGGAATGTAGTCTTTGGTATAATGAACGTAATATAATGCTGAATAGCTTGCAGGTGACATCTGGGGCGGTATACTATGGGGATCTTGTGTCAACTAGGGTGAATTTCCGTGCGTTTAGGCGATTTTGCCATACATATTATAGAAATCAAACATAGCTCACGTAGGACCCGTAATATTTGTGGCCGTGTTGCTTCCCTGTTTAAAAGGGTGTATGCCCATTTTACTTCATTGGAAATGGATTTACTGTATTTCCAACTCCTCCAATTTTCTTCTGATTAATTTCGTTGCGGGTTCCAAGACAGTTTAATTTCTTCCTGGGACTTCCCGAGTGTCATAACTCGGTGTGTTCGTGAGTCACTGCTGTGGATCCTGGTGTACAGGAGTTACAGTGGTGGGCGTGTGGGTGGGATTAGTCCCATATAAAAAAAGACACAGAGCAAACGATTGTGCTCATCACACAATTATTTGTCCTGGGTGGGAATCGAACTTACGATGACGAACATGGCTACTTTTGGTAAAATTTGTTTTTTTTTTGGATTTCCCAGGCTCCAGACATAGCAGAACTAGGCGCTAATGGCGAAGTTAACTATTACATGTTAGAAGTTCGCTCCATGGCCCACATTGGCCTTATCGGTTTGCCCAACGCTGGGAAAAGCACCTTGTTACGTGCGCTCACTAGGGCAAGGCCCACGGTCGCGCCCTACCCTTTCACTACACTCAAACCTCATATTGGTAAGTGACAAAACAATTATTGCATAATCTATGCCGTAATCTCTTTGCAGCAAAAAGTATGCTGCAATCTTTTTGCGACAAATTGTATGCTGCAATCTTTTTGCGGCAATTTATAATTTTGTTTGTTTGTTTAATTTCAAAGTTTGTCATATATCTTCTATCTTCAATACTACTTCAATACTACTTCAATACTTATATTATAAATATGAAAGTGCGTTTGTTTGTTTGTTTCACACCCAAACCACTGAACCGATTTTGAAAATTCTTACACCAATTTAAAGCTACATTATCAGCGAGTAACATGGTCTTTTATTTATAACCACCATACATAAAAGCTGGCGGTTGTCCGTGTGGTGACGGATTAAGAATACAGACTGTCACCACCCCTATTCATCCCGTGGGTGTCGTAAGAGCCGACTAAGGGAGCAAATTACGCAGGACAACAGCACTGCTAAGAGAAGGAAAACTTGAAACAAACCCTATACCAACACGTCTGGCCAGCGTGGTGTAGTAGGCCAAGTAGTACCTCTTTTCTAAGGAGAGGCTTATGTCCAGCAGTGGACTATTAAAGGCTGTTGATGATGACAATAAAATATTTTGTCTATCAAGATCGGAATACAACGCAGTGGTTTGATTTCGCAAACCGAAGCCGAAGTCGAAGCCTGGTCTTCATCCTAGCAACGTGTCGAACAATATATGAACATGTTATGATCCCCAGGTATGGTGCCTTACGACGACTACGAACAAGTAGCCATAGCTGACCTCCCGGGTTTGATACCCGGCTCGCACAAAAATTATGGATTAGGTAAATATTATTTCGTTTCGCCTGTAGTTACTTGACTCTTCGCTTGTGTCTGTGGAGGAACGGGTGTCATATCCCTCCAACATGGAGGAGGATCCTCCGGAGACCCAACGAGTGAGGTTGAGAAGTTGTATATGTGCTAATTGTGAATTACTCATATCGCGATGCAGGATTAGCAGTTAGTCCGTAGTTCGGTGTGGCTTCGTTAGATGGCGCTATAGTATGTTTCTTCAGTCAATATTATAGATAAGTTACATCCAGACACAGAACGAATGTTGGTGCTCATCACACAATTATTTGTCCTGGGTGGGAATCGAACTCACGACCTCTGGCCCGTTCTGTTAATTATAAAATAAATATTTAATTCGAGTACACGAAATATTAAATATTCAATCAGATTACAATCTTTGCACACTTGTGGGGAAATTACTACGTATAGCATTATTTCTTAAAGAAACTTTGATTTAATATTTTTTTTCGCTTAAAGCTAGGTCAGACAGTAAGGGGGGAAGCCTGTCCTAAGCAGAGTGTCATATAGTCTCGCTCATGCAGCGCCCTCTGTCTGCCCTTTTGACTTATGCTATATTTTCCTCCAGGTATCCAGTTCCTCCAGCACGCAGAACGATGCAAAGGTCTGATATACTTGCTGGATTCAACCCAAGACCCCTTAGGACAGCTGGACATCTTGAAATATGAATTAAAACAATACAATAGTTCTTTTATGGAGAGAAAGTTTTGTGTGGTATTTAATAAAATAGACATACCACAAGGTAAAGCGGTGTATGAAAGGGTTAAAAAAGAGATGGATGTGATAGGTGTATCGGCGAAAACTGGATTGAATTTGTCTGAGTTGTTGAGGGTAGTTCGAGATATGTATGATGGGGATGAAAGGTGAATTAAATACTGTTAATAGTTAGTTTCATCAACAGCCCATAATAGTCCACTGCTGGACACAGGCCTCTCCTTAGAAAGGAGGTTTTGGCCTACTATACCACGCTGTCCAGACGGGTTGGTACAGGGTTTGTTTCAAGTTTTCCTTCTTTTTGCAGTGCTGTTGTCCTGTGCAGTTTGTTCCCTTAGTAGGCTCTTACGACACCCACGGGATGAATAGGTGAATAGGAGTTAGTTTAATAAAAAGTATTGTAAATACTAGTATTGGTGTTTTACCGGCTGCGCTAAAAGGAAGATTATGTTTTTCAAGGTTATACATATATATATACAAGGTTTTGCCCGTGGCTCCGCTTAGGTGTATCAGTTATCGCGGTAAAAACTAACCTATGCCCTTTCTCAAGAATCAAACTATATCCATACCAAATTTCATCCGAATCGGTACAGCGGTTATTGATTTTCACCCCCTTAAAGGATGATTTCTGGTATAAAAACTATCCTATATCCTTTCTTTTCCTTTATTTCCTTTCACCTTCCTAAGGAGAGGCCTATGTCCAGCAGTGGACTAGTAAAGGCTGTTGATGATGATGTCCTTTCTTGGGACTCAAACTATCTCTATAGTAAATTTCATCTAAATCCATTCAGCGCGAAAAGGTAACAGACGGACAGACAAGACAGGCGCTAAACCAGGTCCTATTCGACTGACACGAGGTACCTACAGGTAAAAATGTATTTTCGCTTAAGCATTGTATTAAGTTTCCTTTATAATGTGAGTGTATGTTGTTACGTCCACGAATAATATAAAAAGCCGTGTGGTGTCGTGGGACACCCGATAGGAACGAAGTTGTAACGATCGAGTAAAACTGATTCGGCACATTTTAATTACAACGCCATCTATGAAAGCGGCTATTACCTACATATTTTTCAGTTGGTTTCTAATTAAAACAATTTATACATTGGTAAAATCTCCTTGAGAAATGATTTCCTATCTATTCGATAGATGGCGCTGAATGACTGACATAAAAAGATAGAAATGAAAATATCTGGCTTGCTTTCTATAAGAGAGAGAGAGACAGACAGAGAAACATGCGACGCCGCACAGCTTACAATAGCTTACTATAGCAAAAAGTGTCGTGACCAATTTTCGTAATAATTTTTTCCGTCTAGCCCCCTTTCACAACTCGCGATAAGGAACTTCGTTCTAATATACCTCACACATTTCACACACGGCTGTCTGATCCCAAACTACACAGAGCCTGTGCTATGGTAACCAGACTGCTGATAAACATACTTATATATTTTTAAATACATACATATTATAGATAAATTACAACCAGACACAGAACAAATGATCACGCTCATCACACAATATTTGTCGTGGGTGGGACGAACCCATGACCTCCGGCTTAGCAGTCAGGGGCACTAACCACTAGACCAACAGGCCCGTCAATTCGCTTTTTTTTTCTTTTTTTTTTTGTTACCACATTCACACAACGCCATCTAGTCCCAAACTAAGCAGAGCTTGTACTATGGGTACTAGACAACTGATATAAATACATGTATACTTTTTTTTTGTAAATACATACATATTATACATAGAAACACCCAGACCAAATCAAACATTAAATGTTCATGCACACAAATGTTTGACTTGAGCGGGAATCGAACCCGCGACCTTTGGAATAGCAGTCCGTTACTCTAACCACTACGCCATTCGGTCGTCATATATAATCTATACTAATATTATAAAGCTGAAGAGTGTTTGTTTGTTTGAACGCGCTAATCTCAGGAACTACTGGTCCGATTTGAAAAATTCTTTCAGTGTTAGATAGCCCATTTATCGAGGAAGGCTATAGGCTATATATCATCACGCTAAGACCAATAGGAGCGGAGCACCAATGAAGAATGTTTCAAAAACGGAGAAAATTTATTACTATTGAGAGACGCAGACGAAGTTGCGCGGGTCAGCTAGTCACACAATATTTGTCCTGGGTGGGAATCGAACCCACGACCGCCGGCTTAGCAGTCAGGGTCACTAACCACTCGACCAACAGGCCCGTCAATTCGCTTTAATATAATCTTACACACTTTCGCTTTATAATATTGGTATGGATATTTTTTGGCTCGCTTTGTGGTCGAAACGGCTCCATAAATTTTGGCGTTTGAAGTGTCTTAATAATGAGTGACACTGTGTATGTGAAAATTATAAAAATTAAATTCGCCGGTTTGTAAATTTTAATTACTTGTACATTTATTCAGACGGTTTTTGACGTGACAACGTCTTATAATTCGATGGAGCCGGCTGCACGCACGAAAAAACATGACTCATGCGGCGTTACCTCGCTCTGAGGCGTTCCATTTAAGGCGTGAAGTGCAAGCGAGAGCGCGGAACGAGTGACAAAGAGGCACAATCGGCCTCCGCGTTCGGTAGCGTTCGACATCTGTCTCTCTCCTACTTGAGTGAGCGATGCGTCCGCGTGGACAGCTGCTACTCGTATACAATAATACATTTTTGAAAAATGCAACCATTCCATCAGTATTTTCTTATGACGTTGTCACGTTCAACTATCGTCAGTAAACCGACTTTACAGACAACCGATTTTTTTGTTTGGTTTTTCAATAATGACTTTCAAATTTGAATTAAACGAGTATTATACTCGGTAAACATAACCCGCCGCTTTTAGTTGAATCATCCCAAAGTGAGTTATATCTCGTCCTTTGTAAGTTAACGACAAGTGAAAATAATATTTTTTGTAAATAGTTTACTTTGTGTATAATAAACAATATAATTATAAACGAATACATGTGTTTTATTTATATAATTCTGCGTTTACTTACATTTCTTATAGTCTGTGTTACTTCTCGATAGCGAATCAATCTGTGTGGTGACGGATTAAGTATACAGAGTGTCACCACCCCTATTCATCCCGTGGGTGTCGTAAGAGCCGAATAAGGGAGAAAACTACGCAGGACAACAGCACTGCAAAGAGAAGGAAAACTTGACACAAACCCTATACCAACCCACCTGTGGACAGTGTGGTATAGTAGGCCAAAACCTCTTTTCTAAGGAGAGGCCTATGTCCAGCAGTGGACTAGTAAAGGCTGTTGATATGATGTCAGCAGTTTAGGTAAACAGACAACTGGTAACAGAATAATTACCTTATTACACTTGCTGAACTGTCAAACCAGTAAATGTCTCATCTGATGGTAAGCTGCTCACCATCTATAAGTTCTCCTGATCACGTATGTAGTTTTTTACTCTATGCTCTATTAAGAAGGCTTAACTCTTTAAGGTCGAACTTAAGGACATTACTTATGAGCCTTTATTTATTTTCTGTGTCGAATTCCCTTCGGGTACCACACACCGGTGGGATGGTTATGTCGGACTCGAACCGACCAAACACCGCACACCGTCCCAGGTTCCAGTAGCCGGGGCATCAGGTGACCAGGTAGAAAGAAAATTCCTGGTACACTACCTCTGAACCTATCACCAGAAAAACCACTACACTTTATAAACACTGTACTTATTTAGTTCTGGTACTCCTGGTACCTTTTTTGAGGTGTTCATGGGCGGCGATGGTCACTTTCCATCAGGTGACCCGTCTGCTTGTTTTATTCCTAATGCATGAAAACACTGCGGTCTCCTCTAAGAAAGGTCCAAAAAAAACCCCATTCATCCATAATTAATTTATTTATACTTTAAAATATTTGATTCAAATACACAAAATACTAAATATTCAGTCAGATCACAATCTTTGCCCACTTGTGGGAAATAATACTACGTAAAATTAGCGTAATTCCATAAAGAAACTGTCTTTGCTTCGTTAATATTTGCTTAAGGTTGGGACAGACACCGAAAGGGGGAGCGACGTGACCTGCAGTGTATCCTCTAAGGAAACAACCTTCCGTACACCTGCTAGCTGTGGCAGCGCTTTGTTAGAGAATGGCACTGCTGAGCGCTGTGTGACATGTTTCATATTAACTAGTACATGACACTCTGCTTACGACAGTTTTTCCTTACCCCCGCCCTCGCGGTGTCTGCCTCAACCTTAAGCAAGAAAATATCACGAAGTAGTAACATAGTTGTCTGTCCCAATCTTTATTTAGGTCAATAATTAGAGAAAAAACATAATTAATTCAATTTATGTCCTTTTATTTTTGATTCATTGGAACTTGAAAAAAAATCAATAGAATTTCGAGTCCTAACAACAATTTAAAACATTATTGTACCATTTTAACAGGTTTGATGCCTCTCGTACACAAACAAAGTTTCCTCCATACAGGTTGCATATGACAACTATTATTGCGCGATCCAGAATCAGTAACTTACGACTTAGTTCGACAGCATTTCCCTAGATGGAGCTGTAGTACATTTTTATTGTATACGCATTTTAACTATTAACCAGTCACGTATTTTTTTTTTGTAATTTACCAATTTCAAAACATTTAAGATCCAGTATTAAAACCTATACCTTGAAGAATTAATATACAAAGTAAAATGGACTTTATTGCGTGGTTCAAAGGGTTGATTTTTATTCGTATGTAAAGGCTGGCAAGGAAAACAGAGATTCAGTATCACGCCGGCCCCGGCTGGTGAATGGGCTGCAACATTAGTTGTTGGGACATCACCGGCAACAGAGACGGCAACACTTCCGTCTTCTTCTGCTTCTTGCCCTTCTTGGTTTGGAGTTTTATCTGAAGAAGTAAAAATATTTTTAAGAAATTTATTCATATTGTTACGAGCGGCCGATACTAGATGGCGCTGTCCTCCACATTTCATACAATCTAACCATTTAATCCTATGGCGCAACAATATTGTAGTTTTTTTATTATCTATACAAATAAATAAAATTGAAGTGTCTGTTTGTAATGTCAAAATAATACTCTTTTTCATGCTCACACGGTTATTTGCACGATATCTATATCTAAAAACCAATTTAAATATTTTTGTCTGACTGTCTGTCTGTTTGTTCCGGCTAATCTTCAAAACGACTGCACCGATTTTAATAGTATTTTCCTACCAGGTAGCTGTCTTTATAAGGAGTAACTTAGGCTATTTTTCCTCTCATAACACCCCCTAAAATTTTGCCCGATACGGGAATCAAACCCGAAGCCTCATGGACTGCAGTCGCGTATCGTTCTACACCACTAAGGCAGCGATTATCAAATACTACGCGAACGAAGTTGCGGGTACGAGCTAGTCGTATTATATAGAGAACTGCTCTGTGTGTCAGCTCCCTCACAGAAGGTAGGGGGGAGTACTACAGCTGCACTGTGAGAGTGAGGGATATGTCCCGTACCTTGTAGTGCACCTCCTTGACGTGTCGGTAGAGGCTGGAGTACCAGCCGAAGGCGGCGCTGCACTGCTGGCACTGGTAGGGAGTCTCGCTCGTGTGCATCGCCACGATGTGGTACTTCAGCTTCGCCGCGTTCTGCGGGAGGGGGGGGGGGGGGGGGGGGGGGGACAAACATTACTTAAACGTGATTCTTCTATTTTGAAGTAAAATTGCTCTAAATCTGTCCCAAAAGTACCAGGAGATCATAATTTAGCAAGAAGTGTATACTACCTTACAATAATCGACCAAATGAATAAAGCATGAACCAGTTGAAGGACCCTCCCTATGTAAGGGTACACCCCCAACTAATATAAAATTTAAAACTGTCATTAGCCCATCTCGAAAGTACCAGGAGATCATAATGTATCAGAAAGTAATATACCTTACAACAACCGACCATGTTAAAATAAACATGATCCAGGGGGGGGGTCTTTTCTCTCTGTTGGAGGTGCCCCCCAACATTAAAAGTAAAACTACTGTAAGCCTATTCCAAAAGTACCAGGAGATCAGGATATAGTAGAAAGTAGAAGCTGCCTTACAAACTGACATAGTTAAATGAAACATGCTCCGGACAAGAAGATTCACCCTCTGTAGCACAAAGTAAACAAGTATTTCATTCTGTGCGAAAATCTCCTCGGATACTACCCACCGGTGGTTATGGCGGACTCGAACCGATCAAAAACCGCACGCCGTTTCGGGTACCAATTGCTGGGGAACCAGGTATACCCTAGGAAGGAAATCCCTGATACCCCGACGTACCTCGGGCCCTCTACGGCGTGTAAATGACCCCCTTCCTGTGTGGGAACCCCTATGTCGCGTGACACCACCCCGGCCTGCTTCTGCTAGGGTGACAGATGTCCTCACCTGTCACCCCAGGCCTGCGCTTATGGAGGACGGAGATCAGTAAACAACCCTCCTAACAAAAATTTATTGTAAAATTGCTATTAACCTATACCAAAAGTACCAGGAGATCATGATATAGTAGGAAGTAGGAGTTACCTGATAAGACTTGCCGCAGACATGACACAGGTTCAGCTTCTGGTCCTTGGCGCAGTGGACGTTCTGCATGTGCACATACAGGGAAGTGTGGCACTTGAACGGCTGGAACATACAAAAGCAATGGTAGGTATGTGTTGGCGCAGTGGTAGCATATGCGACTGCTGTTCTGAGGTCTCGGGTTCGATTCCCGGGTCGGACCAAATTTTTGTTTAGGAGTTTGAGTGTTTTCTATATATAATATGTATATATTTAACCAAAAAAAAGTATATAAGTATTCTATCAGTCAATCTAGCTTTCATAGTACAAGCTCTGCTTAGTGTGAAACTAGATGGCGTTGTGAGTCAGATGTCCGAATAACAAAAAAGAAAATTTTGAAATTTTTGTAATATCTTTCAAGAAAAGATATTTATATGTATATCCGTATTCTAGAGCATTTAGACACAGTAAAGTCCATACTTACTTTGTGTCTGGATAGCGTTTTCTTCCACTAATTCAACCCTTCCAAATTTATATAGATTTTAAGATAGATTTCATTTTTTAGGTCCTTTTTGTATCTATTTTGGGAGACCCATAATTAAACACAAATATGCAACTCGACCAGTACCATACTGCGGCCTCACAGAATACTGGTGTTAGCCAAATCCCTAACTACCCCCTTATATATGGTGATATGGAGGAAATGTACTTGATCTCATTCGATCTTACTCAACGGGCAGAAAGCAATTTGTAGAAATTAAGCAAATATGCTCAAATACCAGTTTTGAAAAAAAATATTGTTCCGAAAGCGAGATAATTAAATACGGCGTTCCTCAGGGTAGCGTGCTGGGGCCCCTTCTTTTTTTGCTTTACATAAATGACTTTCCTGGGCAAATAAACCACCCCATGGTTCTGTTCGCCGATGATAGCACTGTAGTGATTAAGTGTGATGATCCCAATACTTATGAAAAAGAAATAAATATAACATTAAATAGAATTATATCATGGTTTGCAAATAATAATCTAATTATAAATTTAGAAAAAACTAAAATTATGCATTTTTATCAAAGGACACCAAATAAAATCGTTGACATTAGCTATTTAGGGACAAAAATAGAATCAAATACTACTACTAAATTTCTTGGTATTAATATAGACAATAATTTGACCTGGAAATCCCAGACAGACGAAGTATGTAAAAAACTAAATAAATTTGCCTATGTTCTTTATAAACTATCAAAAATACTAAGCCTAGAATCCGTACTAATGGCCTATCACGGTTACGCTGCATCAACACTGAGATATGGCGTAATATACTGGGGCAATTCAGTTGATAGAGAACTTGTATTCAAAGCCCAAAAAAGATGTGTCAGAGCTATGTGTGGTCTAAAAAGCACCGACAGTTGTCGACCGTATTTCATACGTCTAAAAATTCTTACCTTGCCATCTCTGTACATATACGAAACAAATATGTTCGTGAAATCCAACATCTCATCATACAAACTAGCAACTAAAAGTTACTATAGAAAACTACGAGATAAAAAATAAGTCGGAACTCCAAGTGACATATGGCAAAACTGCACTAATGAATAATGGCTTCTGTATGGCCACCAAAATATTCAACAAATTACCTGAAAAAATTAAAACGCTAACTCTGGCCAATTTTAAAAGAGAAGTATTAAAAATCTTGATAAGTAAGTGCTATTACTCACTAAAGGACTATTTGGACGACAATTCTATAATTACTGCTTCAGAAAATTGTACAATACCTCGACTATCCTAATGATTTTGAATTGACATTAAATTAATTTGTTTGACATTTATTAAAATTGACTGTATTTTGTATTTATTTTGACATGCATGTGATTATTAATTATTATCATTGACGTTATTAATAATGTGGAAGTTTAAATAATCCTACAAATTTATGATATTTGAAAAAGTGTATATTTGAAAATGTGTAAAATGTGTAAAAATGTGTATATTTGTACGCCCCTGGGCAAAACATAGAGGACTTGCCTATCCATAACATCTCACACTCTATTGTAATTTGACCTATGTTTACAAATAAATGATTCTGATTCTGATTCTGATAGTGTCTATAAGCATCAGTAGTCACAACAAAGAGAAGGAAAACTTGACACAAACCCTATACCAACCCGTCTGGCCAGTCTATAACATAGTAGGCCAAAACCTCCTTTCTAAGGAGAGGCTTATGTCCAGCAGTGGACTATTAAAGGCTGTGTGTGATGTCAGCAGTTTAGATAAACAGACAACTGGTAACAGAATAATTACCTTATTACACTTCACGCATTTGAATTTAATCTTCTTGAGGTGTTCCCAATCGATGTGGTCCCTCAGCCGAGTCTTGTTCACAAATTTCTTGCCGCAGTCGTTGCAACTGAAACTGTGATAAAACAATAGTATTATATATATTACTAGATATCGCTTCTAATGATATTCTAATTCGTCATCATCATCAGCCTATCGCAGTCCACTGCTGGACATAGGCCTCTCCCACGCCACTTAGATCGATTTTGGGCTTCTCGCATCCAGCTCCTGCCAGCCATCTTGGGCAAATCGTCACTCCACCTGGCCTGTGGGCGTCTTACACTACGTTTGCCCCCCTTACTTGTTTTCCCCAACGGTTGTCGGTTCTGCGGCTAATATGGCCAGCCCACTGCCACTTCAGCTTGCTGATCCGGTAGGCTATGTCGGTGACCTTGGTTCTCTGCCGGATAACCTCATTCCTGATGCGATCCTTAGAGAAACGCCGAGCATAGCCCTTTCCAAAACACGTTGAGCGACTTTGAACTTGTGGACCAGTTGTACCGTAAGTGTCCACGTTTCGGATCCATATGTCATGACGGGTAGGACGCACTCCTTGAAGACGTTCAACTTTCTTATTCTAATTTTGGTGTATTTAACTTGGAAAACTACGAATTTCCATACATTCATCCCTTATTTTACCCCAATGGAAGTGAAATTTCTAAAAATCTTTTTCTTAGCGGTTGCTTACAACATAAAAAGCATCACTTGTCAAATGTCACAACAACAGTCACAAGGGCTTTGATACCCTTTCCGTCTCTCCCCCCAGAATCAGGAGACACAGAATAACAAAACAAAAAACCAAGATTTATATTACTGTTAAAAATTCTAAATTTGCTTTATAAGGCATATAGGCATATTAGTTTTTAAAATGTAATCCCATCCCATCTTTGTCACACATAACTCCCCCCCCCCCCCCCCCCTTTAATTGTGACAAAATTTATGGCTCATTATCAGTCCATTCGTGACGAAGCATGGCTCTTGACGCTTGATCACGCTCACCCCCAGGTGTGTACATACCTGAACTCGCTCTCGGAGACATGTCTCCGCGATATCCTGAGGTGTTGTCTGTACGTGGCGACGGAAGCGAACCGCTTGTCACAAGTCTCGCAGTACAACTCGCCTGAGTCGCGCGCCTATAACATGTTTTATTACTAAAACTCTAAAATCTTCTTTTTTTATGTTAGAGGGGGCTGACGAGCAGACGGGTCACCTGATGGAAAGTGACCTTCTCCGCCCATGAACGTCTGCAACTCAGGAGTCACAGACGCGTTGCCAGCCTTTTAGGAAGGAGTACGCTCTTTTCTTGAAGGTTTGAAGGTCATATCGGTCCGGAATCTACTGTTCAAGCCCGTGTCTAATCTATTGGAGACCCTGGGCAAATTAGCATAATGGGGCCCCTAAGAACTGAACTGAGCACTATTTTGTTGGAATAGACAAAAAAAGTATATTACTCAGTCATTCCAAATGGATTTTTCGAAAAAATTATGTTCTTCGGTGATAAATATTGATTTTCGATTGGTGATCTGGCAGGATCGAGCCCCTGTCGATCGAGGGGCCCTGGGCACGTGCCCAGAGTGCCCAGTGGAAAAGAGGGGCCCTTGCCTTTTGAATCACTCTATTGTTGAAAACCTCATTAAAAGCGTACAAGAAAAAAGCGACTATATTTTATTTTATGTCATCATCACCATCATCAATTCATCACACTAATACAAAAAAATCGTTAGATGTTTATGGTCTTACAAAAAAACATTAATGTCATAATTTGAAAAAAGAATCACGGATTTTGGCGGTCAACATCATCATCAACAGCCTTTAAATAGTCCACTGCTGGACATAAGCCTCTCCTTAGAAAGGAGGTTTTGGCCTACTATACCACGCTGGCCAGACGGGTTGGTATAGGGTTTGTTTCAAGTTTTCCTTCTCTTTGCAGTGCTGTTGTCCTGCTTAGTTTGTTCCCTTAGTCGGCTCTTACGACACCCACGGGATGAATAGGGGTGGTGACATTCCGTATTCTTAATCCGGATATCATTTTATGTAAAGACTAGCTGACCCGCACAACTTCGTCTGCGTCTCTCAATAGTAATAAATTTTCTCCGTTTTTGAAACATTCTTCATTGGTGCTCCGCTCCGCTTTTAGCGTGATGATATATAGCCTATAGCCTTCCTCGATAAATGGGCTATCTAACACTGAAATAATTTTTCAAATCGGACCAGTAGTTCCTGAGATTAGCGCGTTCAAACAAACAAACAAACAAACAAACAAACAAACTCTTCAGCTTTATAATATTAGTATAGATATGTAATGCGGTGTGAGGACTCTGTAACTCAATGTCACATGAATAGTAATTAAGTATGCTGTAGAGAAAATGCTTGCTAACCTTGTGACTTCTAATGTGCCGTCCCAGGTTCGATTTCCATTGATACACTTTCCCACATTGAGGGCAGGGATATCTGTTTTGTCCTTTATGTAGTACGCTGTAATTTAAACAAAAATAATACCATTAGCTGTTGAGAGCATTTGAAATAATTTTTGAGGGGGTAATGTCATAATTTCAAATAAAGAATCACGGATTATGGCGGTCAACATCATCATCATCAATAGCCTATAATTGTCCACAGCTGGACATAAGCCTCTTATTAGAAAGGAGGTTTTGGCCTACTATACCACGGGTTATCGTCTGCGGTATTTCCGGACCTATACGACCTTCAAACCTTCAAGAAAAGAGCGTACTCCTTCCTAAAAGGCCGGCAACGCGTTTGTGACTTCTGAGTTGCAGACGTTCATGGGCGGCGATGGTCACTTTTCATCAGGTGACCCGTCTGCTCGTCTGCCCCCTCTAAAATAAAAAAAAGTCAACCCACTTTTCCTTATCGACGGAGACGGAAATCTGCATCTGCGCAGGTATATTAGTAATGTGACGGCTGTCTCATCCCATAACTAGGCAGAGCTTGTACTATGGTAACCAGACTGCTGATAAACATACTTATATATTTCTAAATACATACATATTATATACAAATCACACAGACACATAAGCTGGCTCAACCAGACTGACCAGAGAATCATAGAAAACCAAGCCGGCTCAACCGGGGTGATACCACGGCCTCACAGAAAACCGGTGTTAAACAATTCTTTCGTTGCCTTTCACTGAGTGAGTGAGGTTACCAGAGCCCATTTCCTGCTCCCCCTGACTCGAGCGGGATGGACTCCAAGGGCAGCAACGCACTTGTGACTTTTGAGTAGCAGGTGTCCATGGGCTGCGGTAGTTGCTTACCATCAGGTGACCCGTCTGCCTGCCTGCCTGTCTGCGACAGATCAAACCAGCCCCCCTCCACTCTCACCTTTCCGGCACCCAACACCACAAAGCCACGAAACAAATGACCATGCTCATCACACAATTTTTTATCCCAGATAGTAATCAAACCCAAGACCTTTAGCTCATCGGTACCCTCACCCTTCCTTCTAGAAGTAGAACTTACTTGAGATGATATTTATAAGTCTTCCTAGAACTGAAGGTCTTCCCACACTCAGTGCATGTGGGTCTTTCAGACTGTGTAACTTTCTTGATGTCCACGTTGTTTGACTTGGTCGGAGGCTTTCGGAGCTTCGGCTTAAATCCTGCAGCTGGATATATCTGAAAGGAAAGATCATTCAGCATCATACCTGACCTGTTCCTAATTATATTTAGTTTCGGATATCTGACACACAACGCCATCTGTTTTCAAACTAAGCAGAGCTTGTACTAAGGAAGCTAGATTGTCTGATAGAATACTTATGTAATTTTTTTGTAAATACATAATATCTATATATTTTACATAGAAAACATCCAAACTCCGAAACAAATATTGAATGGAACCCGTGACCTCAGCACAGCAGCCTGTATCGCGGGGCACTTTACCAACATACATGAAACGGACACAAAGAACACCCAGACTCAGAACAACAATTTGTGGATCATACAAAGTGTCGTCCCATGTGGGGATCGGGCCCACAACACTCAGCGCAGTAAGTGAGGTAACCGCTTCAACCACTACGCCATATCTGCCGTAGACCAAAGTGATGCCATGGTTTTACAAAAAACAGAAGGAAGGAAGGGTCATAGTAACACTTTATTATTTTACTACAAAAATACCTTTTATGATAGTTGTGAGATCAAAAGTTGATTGGAACTGAATTGTGACAGAATTTTTATTACGAGTGTTGGCCTTCTGGTGTTGAGAAATTCTTAACTTGGATTTTATAGAGTGGACTGAGATTGCTGGAGGTCTAATCCCCTCTCCTCACTAATTCTGCACTTCATCATCAACAGCCTTTAATAGTCCACTGCTGGACATAAGCCTCTCCTTAGAAAGGAGGTTTTGGCCTACTATGTCACGCTGGCCAGACGGGTTGGTATAGGGTTTGTGTCAAGTTTTCCTTCTGTCTGCAGTGCTGTTGTCCTGCGTAGTTTTTTCCCTTAGTCGGCTCTTACGACACCCACGGGATGAATAGGGGTGGTGACACTCTGTATTCTTAATCCGTCACCACACGGACCTTAAAGCAGGCAAAGCACTTGTATCTCATGGGTTACAGGTATCCATGTATAGTGGTAGTCACTAAGCAACAGGTCACTGATGTCCTCGTTTGCCCTTATACCAAAAAAAGAATTTTGGTTCTTTTTTCTATAGCCGGCTGTCTACCTGACGCTAAATCTGGAAGGAATGGTGATCTGGAGGGGGGGATACGGATAGCACGAGGGAGCTACGGTAAGTTATACGGCATATCTCAGATGGGAAATGTGTGATGATATTTTAACAATATTTTTATGACATATGACACACAACGCCATCTAGTTTCAAACTAAGCAGAGCTTGTACTATGAAAGCTATGTCTGTTATGACCAAAGAAACCTACCATTATTTCTACATTGTCAGCTGTGTCTGTTAATCCAGTTGCCTCTTCTGATTTTTCTCCCTTTTCTATACTCTTTTCTTCTTCAATTTTCTCTTCATCTTCTAGATCCATATCTTTATTGTAACAATCAGAAATAGTAGAGTCTATAATTGATTCTATAGTGCGTTTGACACGACGTGGTTCTTTGACAACTAAAGGTTTCTTTTTCACTTTTTTCTTTATTTCTTTTTCATTCTTTTCAATTTTCTGTTTCTTCTTTGATTTCTCTTTTATATGCTGCAATAAATTATTCAAATTATTTATTAAATATGTATGTACAGAAATAGTGACGATGTAAACATTACATTTCTTTGTAACTACAAATTCATCTCGCAATCAAGTTTAACGCTTTATATCTGTTGTTGGGCCTTGGTCGTAGAAGTGCTATTACTAGGCCACCTGGACTAGGCTTTTTTTTGGGAAGGGGAAGGGCAGAACATCTGTTTTCATAACTGGGAATATGTAAATTATAAAATTAAAATCGCCGGGTTCTAAATTTTTGGACTCTAAGTCTAAGACCGGTCGTGGGGGTAGTTTTCAGTAAAAACACCAAATCCCGGCTCCTGCGGAGCCTGAGGTCCGAAGGGATTTTCAACCCCGTCAACAAAAAAGTATACATTTTCACACAGCTGGGTCTTTTGTTTTTTTTTTTTTTAGTACTTAGTTTATTCACTATGTTATTTAAGGGTTGAAACAACAAAAAGAAAATAGTGAATTAGAATAGCTAGCTATAAATCATCATCATATCAACCGAAAGACGTCGACTGCTGGACATAGGCTTCCCTCAAGGTTCACCACAACAACCGGTCCTGTACTGCCCACATCCAACGGCTTCCCGCTATAAATTAAATGACAATATTCTTAAGTGTAAGTACTTACTTTAGCCACTTTCTTAATTCCTTTTCTCTTCTTAATTACATCTAAATTTAAATCTCTAACAAACGTTTCAGGCTCACAATGAGTTTCTTCACTTTTCACATCAAAATCATCATCACCGTTTATTGGTACATCATCATTCATCAACGTATCATCATCAGTCAATGGCATGTCTATATCGAGGGCTGATTTCTCTTCTACTTCTTCTTTTACAGATATTGGGTAAGAAAGAAGATGAGTCTGTTGGGTTTGGAGACGAGGGTATCTCGGGAAAGGTTTTGTGGTATTCTAGAAAAAAAAAAGGTTAGAGCATTTTTTTTATCATATGTCTATGATTACTTTTTGCTGTTTTTACATAAAGAAGTGCTACAAAAGTTGGTTCGATTGCCACCCAGGACAAATAATTGTGTGATGAGCACGGTCATTTGTACTGTGTCTGGGTGTACTTTATCTATAATATGTATATATTTAGAAATATATAAGTATGTTTACCAGCAGTCTGGTTACCATAGTACAGGCTCTGCCTAGTTTGGGATCAGACGACTGTGTGTCAGATGTAGGAAATATTGTGGGAAATACTTTATATCCATTGTTTTCTTGTGATCAATTTCTGAACTGTATTCTATAGTAGCTGCAACGAGTTGCCAGAATGTGATCAGATCTACGTTTAATAGTTTTGGATATTAATTAGCAGAGCCAGGCCAGTGCCTCACTGTCTATTCAAAGTATGTGGTTACTATTGTTAACCAGAGGCGGATGGTTTAGGGTTATCGATGGATGAGAAATCTGGGAGCATGGTAGTGCCCCAACCAAGACAAGCCTATCGTAGCATAAAGCCACTACATACTTTTATTGAAGCTTGGGTTTGGATTATACCAAATAAACAAACAGCTTGGCTGTGTTTATTCACTGTTCATTAGTTTTCTGTTAAACAATAGTTATACATCTCAGGAGCCATAGGCGTGTTGCCAGCCTGTTAGAAAGGAGTACACTCTTTTTGTGAACGTTGTATGGGTCCAAATATACTGTATGTATGTATTTAATAAATATATAATAATGAAATTTTGACTAATTTAGGGCATATATAGTTAGAAGCTTGGCTCTACATGAGATCTGATAAATTTTTGTGTCACAGTGTGTGTGTGTGACAGTGCGAGCCATATGGTCTCGTCGTCTCGTAACATTTTACTTGAAAATCTTTTTAGTGGGCTCTAATTTACATTTTATCCACTAACATACCTGCTGAACATACTGCAATAACTCGGTGTAACATCTTTTCACTTGTTCCTTGAAGCCTTGTAGCTTACGTAACAGAGCCTTACACTCCCAGCAAATACGTACACACAGGTCGGACAAATTGTATATCTGTAAAAATTAATTGCATTTCATAGAAACAAGGCTCTGTTAGGATTAAAAAAAATAAAAACAATTAAATGGATGAGTCATATTGCCCCAAGTGCTTTATATAAACTGATTAATTGCAGAAGAAGGCTTTTAGGCGTAATTTTTCGTCTAAACTTTATACACAAACTAAGTCCATGCCGAAAATAAATTCAAATAGGAGTACAAACACGTAACTTGTTTTTTTTATATCCTACATAAAGTTCTACGAACTTTTCTTTAAACAAAATAGTTCTCAACACAATGAATTATTACTCTATGATTTCCGTTACGAAAATCAACATGATAGCTTTACTAAACACAAAGAGTGACTGGTGTATAAATAAATAATGATAAACAGGTACTTTTAATACAGAAAGTTCAACACTTACCGGTATTTCATTAATAATTTGTAAATATATATTTTCGAAGCCAGTTTCCGTGATAAAGAAGAGTTTCCGACCGGTACAATGGCAAGCCGTGCATAACTCATCCATTATTTTGTTAAACTTTTAGTACTTAAAACCTGCGAAGACTTTATGGACTAGAAAATATGAAATCGATTAAAAAATTACAAACTGTTTATCCGATAGCGTCAAGCGTCACCATTTGACATTGATGACTTAGAAAGAAATCTTGCCAGGTTACGATATAATTTTCTAAAATTTCTGCTGTTTTGCCTTTTTCTTAGAATGTTTTAAAAGTTTCGTTTTCAAATTTATATCATTTTAGGGATGTAAGGATTTTTTAGATTTCCCTCCGGAAAAATTTGAACTTGTGATTAGTTGTAGTTGATTTTTATCCTGCGATTACAACTTTGAATTCGATACCTCTTAATCGGAGCTACAACGAAGTTAGCAATGTAGAGGTAGAAAATGTACAAGGAGATACGAGTAACAACGTGTCTGTCTTTTTATTAATTGTTTGTTAACTATGTGTTTCAGTCTATGCATGGTGCACATTCACCCTTTATTAAATTTAAATTGTAATAACTCATTTTTAATTATATATAATGCAAACGATAGTGTAGCTAACAATTAATGCTACCCCTTAAAAATCAATTTGATTGTAAATAACTATATCTTAAGCTCGATATCATCATATTAACATGACAAAAAGGCGTATGCTGCAATTAATTTTCTTTAATAACTCTTTGTAAAAAGAATTCATATTCATCCATTCTCTCGCTTTCCTGCAATAATGTAGAAGTTATTAATTCATTAAAAAAAGCCGAGGTGAGTTACAGAAAGCCGATGGAGCGCGCTATTTGATTTGATCAATGAGTGCACGTGGTGGAAGAGTTTGCCGTTAGTTGGCAGGCGAAATGTCGGATAACGTAGGCCACGAGAGAGATGGATAATAGATTGTTCCTTCTATCTCTTTTTAGTCTAGCTTTGTGGTTGGCTTCGGAAATTTCTAATCTCCGGCCTGTTGCCCACTTCACGATATCTAATAGCAGTTTAGCTAAACAGAGACAGAGGGAACTATCGACTATCCATCTTTTTCGTGGCCTGTATAGCTTCCACTTACAGGCAGCTGTAGGCCGTGGGTTTTTTTTATTGTTATATAAAATTCATACATGCATAAGGTTATCAATTATATAAAACACAAATCATAAAGAGTTTATCTGTGGTATATCAAATATGTATCTGTTACATTATATTACATATATACTTGAGTATTGGCTAGACTGTAAATAGTTCTCTCTATGCTTATATCTGCACTACACACGGCTATGTGATCCCAAACTAGGCAGAGCCTGTACTATGGTAACCAGACTGCTGATAGACACACCTTTTTGTTTCTAAATACTTAAATATTATAGATAAATTTAGCGTTTAGTTCCTACAAAAATTATGCAATATGAATAAATAGATTTTGTTTATTGCTCATTCTTATTCGAAACCCACGTCTTAGAAGGTATAACTCACAATTTTTCAATATTAATTTTCAAGTAAAATATAATCCATTATCAGTCTGAAAATACTTTTGTGAATAATCGTTCAATGACGTCTTAAGAACCGAGCAAAGTTTTTGGCCACATGGTCCTGCATTAAACTCGGCATGCCTTCAAGAGCCCCTTTGATATGCCTTATGAATATACCCATTATATCCTGAATATCGTTCCTCTTGTTTTTTCCCCACTGATGCAAACTCGTCCGTAGATCCCCCCATTCAAGAATATTCGCGTCCGTTCTCGGTAACTTAATATCAAATGCATCTAAAATTTCCAAAAAAGCAATAGTTGAATTAACTCTATTATTTTTCATTTCAGATGGTTTAACTACAATGGGTTTATTTTTATTAGCTATTATATTTCTTATGATCAAAAGACTCGGTTTTAGAACGCCTACCTTTTGATTTTCAACGTGCTCAATCATTATTTTAATTTGCTTTCGTGTTTTTTTATTAAATACGTTCTTGAAATCTACCTCTTTTGCTACTTCAGTAAGCGCGTCTATTGCATTCTGAAACTTTTCATCGTTACATCTTAAAATGGTAGTTAAGAAGTCACTTAAAAATTCAGGAAACCCATTATTAGATCGACATATATTCAATTTAGAACAAAGAAGTTGGTACTGTCGATCTGTAGTTTGGCGCACTTCTTGCTGCAAATCATTAATAGCGCCAATATTCTCACGCAAACTACCCCTATTGTCTAAATCAGTAACGACTCCATTGACCAATCGTTTCAGAATGTGATCTGAGACATCGATTGCATTAAGAAATACTTTTTGTATTCCAAGTCTCGTTTTGATTTCGTGTTTATAAGTTTCACTAAGAAATTCTTTGTATTTATATGCATAAATGTCAGAAAGATCTTGTAACTTAGTCTTAATAGTTTCGTCAATAGTTTTGTTTTTCATTTCATCAAAGACCTGCATACCTATTTCTAAAATTTGTAAAGAATAAACTTGAACTTGGATATTGTATTTGATCTTATGTGGTACAGGGGTCGTGTTGAAATCTTCTTTCTGAGACGACAAAGTGTTAAAAATATTTTCTGTTGTAGTTTCTACTGTTTCCTTTTCGTGGTGTTGCTTTGATACAGTTGTGAAAATCTCTTGCAAGGAATCCTCTCGTGTTTGTTTTGGTTTATGGTGCCTATGCGACATTCTCTTCTTATGACGACGCTTCTTTTTGCTTTTAGGTCTTTCGGTTGTATCTTCTTTTAGCAGCTCCACTGATGGTACAGTTTCAAATTTATCTTCTGTTGTTTTTGGTTCATCAGCATAAATCTGCGTAAACTTCCATTCGTCTACAGTCGTTACTTCTTCTTGTGGCATACGTAAAAGTGGTTTCTTCTGCAACTGTTGCTGCATCCACAACTCCTGTTTCTGCAACAACTCTTGTTGCATTTTTAACTGCTCTTGCATCCGTAATTGTTCATGCTTATGTAGTTGCTCTCTCATTTTAAATAGGTCTTCGAGCTGGACGCTCTCTTGTGTGGAGATGTCTGCCATGGATTTTGTGAAATATATATCTGTTATTTGATATGTCCATTGTTTGCGAGAGTCAAATTTTATATCAAAGTCAACGGTAGCTGCTCTCGCCAAGGAAATGAAGTCTGCAACATTAAATTATGAATCAGTGGTAACGATAAATAAAATGATGGTGGATGTGGTCTGTAATCATCACTGGGGTTTCATATTTTTTTTGGATAGGGTCAGTCACCGAATGATTAATGGAACACAAGTGCGATGTCATCCTGTAAGTGATTTTTCCAGAATTCCGAAGTAAACATCGAAACTTTTTTCAATTGTATAAGTAGGGCATGAGGTGATGGTCTCCAACCTCGTGGGCTGATCTTCATAAATTATAGCTAAATTGGTCTATTCGTTTGAAAGCTACGAGTCCACAGAAAGACATAGGTACACAACAAATCGTCATGCAATGATTTGTCATGGTCCTCTAGAAATCCGACGTTTGGCTTCGCACTAAGAATTAATCAATCACCTTTTTCTTTGCCTACAATAAATACTTTTCAAAGGTAAAATTTTATTCAAAAACCTTGGTAGATTTTAAAATAGTTTGACCGAAATAATGTGACGCATGCTTCAAAACAAAAAAAAACTCACATAAATTCAAAATGGCCGCCGTCGGACAACTCATACCTACACATGATTTAGTCTATGCATGACGTCAACTAGTTGCAATAAAAATGTCAATATTTTTCCACTTTTATATTAATTTAACTGATCCATAACATAACAATCGAGTTGATGAATAATGACGATTTTATAATTAAGTATTTTCAAATCATGTTTTTCAAGACTGTTGTTGGTTTTTTTAGGCTCCCCGGCAATCGGGACCGACGGCTCAACATTTTCTCCGATACACGAAGGGGTCTCAATGTGTCAATAATGGGCATTCCATCCATAGACTGACCTGTCTAGGATTCACGGTAGTAGCATATTATAACGAACTAGCTGAGACCCTCGGTGTTACCCGCGTTTGTTGTTATAACCGCGGGCAACGCCGCGGGGCGAAGCTAGTCTAAAAAAAGTAGCCTAAGTTACTCCTTATGTCAGGCCGGCTGGACCGATTTCGAATCGGTCCAGCCGTTCTAGAGATTACCCGGAACAAACAGACAGACAGACAAAAATTGTAAAATATGTTATTTTGGCGTATGTACCGTGTAAACATACATAAGCATTTAGTAAAAAGCGGTTATTTTATTTATTTGTACAGATTTAAAAGAAAACTATTACAGCTAAGTAGGCCTTATTATTTTCCGCCAGCAATTATTGCTGTCATGCTGACGGGTGAGGAGCAGTGGTCTCTTTATGTGAATCTGTAATGCTCCAGAAAGAGACCGCTGAACGGGATCGGGAAAGGGCCGATCCCGAACGTAGAGGACGTCGGCGACGATAACAGATGTCGAGGGGTCCGCGGGCCGCCAGAGAGTGGGGACCTCTGGTGGCAGATTGATTGATGCGGTAGGGGATGGAATGGCCGGCCTGATTGCATAAAGATGCGATGCCGCCATGCCGCGATTAAGGGAGAAAGTGTTCTCCCCTGGGATAGGGCCTGATTAGGCTTGAGGGAGGACCTGAAATATTATCGTCCGGGTCCTCCCTAGAGTAGGACATCTGATTCCGGCCGTCGGGATGGTTTTTAGTGGAATCAACACACACTCCTGACTCCTGGGTCCCCGAGGAGTAGGAGCTCCGAGGGGATTTTCCACGCCGTCAACAAAAAAAAAGGCCTTATTAGTTTATGGGTCATAGTCGACGATAGTCGACGATATGAGACTGTTCGAGCACAGCGCCTGCTCGAATTTTGTATATATTATTATTATATATTATATAGTCAACACATGAAGACATTTTAGTGACCGTTAATAGTTATAAGGACCCTTTTTTAGGTTAATTTTTTCTACTGTCGGTTAACACAATCTGTTCGACCATCGCTCAATACACAGCTTTCAAGTACTTCTGAAGTTTACCTTAAAAAGACCACATTTCCCCAACAGAGTCGCTGAATCTTTTAATGTGAAATGTTTCTAATATAAAATAACAATAGGTCCTTGTCTTATTTATTTTTTAGTTATATCTCTTTTCTTCGTCCGTCCGTGTGGTGACGGATTAAGAATACAGAGTGTCACCACCCCTATTCATCCCGTGGGTGTCGTAAGAGCCGACTAAGGGAAAAAACTACGCAGAACAACAGCACTGCAGAGAGAAGGAAAACTTGACACAAACCCTATCCCAACCCGTCTGGCCAGCATGGTATAGTAGGCCAAAACCTCCTTTCTAAGGAGAGGCTTATGTCCAGCAGTGGACTATTAAAGGATTGATGATGATATATCTCTTTCCTATAGAAACAGGACAAGAACCTACACATATCAACTAAAAGAAAAATATTTAACACATGCATCCTGCCTGAATTGGTATATGGGAGCGAAACATGGGCTTTAAAAAAAACGTAGCAAATAAACTCTCTATATGCAAACATGCCATGGAAAGAAGTATGACAGGGACCAAAAGAAAAGATAAAGTAAGGAATAGCAGCATCAGAAGCAAGACTAAGGTCCAAGACATAACTTTAAAAATAAGGAGACAAAAGTGGAAATGAGCGGAACACATTATCAGAGGAAATGATAAATGGAGTAAAATAATCACACAATGGTACCCAAGGGATGGAAAAAGAAAGAGAGGTAGACCACAGAGAAGGTGGGAGGGTGACATTAGACAAGTAGCGGGAATAACATGGGGTAGAGTGGCCATAGAAAGGCCAGAATGGAGAAGATTGGAGGAGACCTTTGCCACCTGCCAAACGAACACACACAAATAGAAAAAAATAATGATATATGAATGACAAAGATATATAGTTGTTCCCGAATGATCTTATCTATCTATACAAATAAATAAAATTGGAGTGTCTGTATTGTGTAATAAAATTGTCATATATGATCACAGTCTCATAGACTACTAAACCACAGATAGCGTAGTATAGTGTTGCACTTTAAAAAATGTAATATTATTGTAGTTGTATAAGGTTAGTATTAAGTTAGTTATATTAAGTTGTATGCTGTTCTCTTGCAGAATAAAGTTTTTTTTTTTTTTTTTTTTTTTTTTAATATTAAAATAACCGCTTATTACTAAATGCATATGTATGTTTACACGGTACATATGGTTAAAATAACATTTTTTACAATTTTTGTCTGTTCGTCTGTCTGTCTGTTTGTTCGGGTAATCTCTAGAACGGCTGGACCGATTTCGAGGGGACTTTCACTGGCAGATAGCTGATGACATAGGGAGTAACTTAGGCTACTTTTTTTAGACTTGCTTCGCCCCACAGCGTTGCCCGCGGTTATAACAACAAACGCGGGTAACACCGCGGGTCTCAGCTAGTAATAAATAAGTATATCTCTTTTATATTGACACATATAATTAATTCAACATATTCAATAATATGTGAGATTTTTTATATTGCTAAATACATAGGTACAAGTCATCCCTATGTGGACTAGTAGTGCGCGTATGCTATTGTAGTAAACAGTGTGAAGATAGAAGCATTATATAGGTAAATCAAATGCCCTAACGGTATCGCAGTAGGTTTTATTCAGTAATTTGTTATCGCAACAGCCTTTTTGTATTAATTCTGTGCAGAAATCCCCTTGGATACCACCCTCCGGTTATTATATCGGACTCACACCGATCAAAAACCTCACGCCACGACACCACCCCGGCCCGCTTCTGCTAGGGTGACACATGACATCACTTAACCACCCCCAGGGCCGAGCCTTTGGAGGACGGAGGTCGTTCTGAGACCTCCGTCCATTAATCTTATGATCATCAAACTCATTATCAGATGTATATGAAATTTAAATGGGACCATTTCGGCATAAACCCCTTTGGAACAAAAGAAGAATTTTGAAAATCTATATGTGACGGCAAATTACTAGAACATCCATTAAAAAACGGCAGGATGGGTCTATGAATGACAGAACAAATGACAGCAAATCAACCACGATTGCTGCTAGTTTTTTAGTGCTCTTTGTGAGTATTGTTTTAAGTCGGTTCAACTTAAATTAAAGGGGGTTTTCTGTTATTTGTGAAGCTTCCGTTATCTTCATCATCACCAAGGTCGAGCCAGCCCATTTGTGCAGAAGTGTGACTCTCCCATAAAAATACCTCTGCTCCTTCGTCCCCCTTGCCATAATGGTGAATGTTTTACATATGGAACCATTCGTTTGTAATCATGATGAACCTTGTAACGTGACCTACAAATCTTATCCTGTTAAAAAAACCTATTATTTTGACATTACAAACAGACACTTTAATTTTTCTTATTTGTATCTATACAAATAAATAAAATTGGAGTGTCTGTTTGTAATGTCAAAATAATAGGTTTTTTTCATGCTCACACGGTTATTTGCACAATACCTATGCCTAAAAACCAGTTTAAATATTGTTTGTGTCTGTTTGTTCCGGGTAATCTTAAAAACGGCTGGAGCGATTTGGATAATATTATACTACCTGGTAGCTGTCTATATAAGGAGTGACTTAGGCTATTTTTATTTTCAGAAAAACGCTATAAAATTTTACTCGGTCCGAGAATCGAACCCGAGGCCTCATGGACTGCAGTCGCATTCCGTACTACACGACTAAAGCAGCGCTTTTCAAATTAAACGCGAACGAAGTCGCGGGTACCGACTAGTTTTGAATGAAGACTGTATTTCTTTCATCAACAGCCTTTAATAGTCCACTGCTAGACATAGGCCTCTCCTTAGAAAGGAGGTTTTGGCCTACTATACCACGCTGGCCAGACGGGTTGGTATAAAGTTTGTTTCAAGTTTTCCTTCTCTTTGCAGGTGTTGTCCTGCGTAGTTTGCTCCCTTAGTCGGCTCTTACGACACCCACGGGATGAATAGGTGTGGCGACACTCTGTATTCTTAATCCGTCACCACACGGAATTTCTTTCAAGTTAAAAAAAACCTAATTAGTTGTCAATCAATATTTTAAATCCACGATAAGATTTTATTTACGTGTTTGGCTGCAGGTACGTTGCATATACATCCATATGTTATGTTACATATCTATATCAGTTTCAATCAATATTTATTTGCCAACCAAGTGTACATACATAGTTTTATAATAATAATTTGTCTGAACTTAGTAGCCAAGCAAGCAAAAAAATATTTTTAAACTGTTAACGTTGACGATATATATACATCTTTACAAATAAATAAAATTGGAGTGTCTGTTTGTAATTGGTGTTACCCGCGTTTGTTGTTATAACCGCGGGCAACGCCGCGGGGCGAAAATAGTCTAAAAAAAGTAGCCTAAGTTACTCCTTATGTCATCAGCTATCTGCCAGTGAAAGTCCCGTCGAAATCGGGTATGTACCGTGTAAACATACATATGCATTTAGTAAAAAGCGGTTATTTTAATATTACAAACAGACACTCCAATTTTATTTATTTGTATAGAATGTATAGATATACTAAACAGGTGTACATTAAAGTTTATGTTATTCTATTCTGAAGTAATTTCGTTTTGATTTAAAACCGATAATTAAAAAAAAATTGACCTAGTAATTTGGTTAATACAAAAAATAATTTTAATATTACGCACCACACAGGATGTTTTCATAGTGCGGAAGTTGTCTTTAAAAAAAATGTATTAAACCGTATTATGGACTATAAGACCGTCTAAAAACTTATTTAGTAAGGGGAATTGACCTTCTTCTGGGGGTATTGGTCTGGTCCGGATATTTTAATATCAGCTATTTAACCAAACCTCCTACCTCAAATACGGAGTGGTGCAAACCCCGGTGGGGTGAAAAAGAACAGGGTGTTGGTCTCTTCTGCGGAACGGGAAACAATCATGTTCTCCTTTTGAAGAACAAAAACACCTTTGAATATTTTTTATTATTTACTTGAGATGAACATTTTGACATAGTGATAACGAAGGAGGGATCCCAACTCTCTTCTTATCTCAATATTCTTTTGAAGTGTGCGGTGATTCTGACGTCAGGAGTCTTAAACCTAATCTCTTTTTATCACAGTTGGTTAAGTACTCTACAAGTACTTAGGTTGAGTTAGGTTAGGTTTACACCCCCTCTTGTGGAACATAGGGTACGACTGGGCCCTTCGCGCCGATTTCCCCCCCGGGCTGGGTGTAATCTGTTACGCAGACGATACCCTCGTGACAGCCCGGGGGGCAAACTTCCAAGAGGCGGCGCGCCTGGCCACAAGGGGAGTCTCCCTGGTGGTCGGGCGCATTGAGGCGCTGGGCTTACGGGTGGCCCTAGATAAGACGGAGGCCCTGTTATTCCATGGGCCCCGTCGTGGTCCACCCCCTGGCGCCTCCATCGTGGTCAACTCGGTCCTCGTACCGGTTCGGGCCCAGATGAAATATCTGGGCCTGATCCTCGACGGTAGGTGGCTCTTCGACGAGCACTTCCGACAGCTTGCTCCAAAGCTGGTCGGCGCTGCGTCCGCCCTAGGGCGACTTCTGCCCAATATGGGTGGACCCAGCGTCGCGACAAGACGGCTGTACACGGGGGTTGTCCGGTCAATGGCACTGTACGGTGCACCGGTGTGGGCGGCGGCTCTGACCGCCCAGAATAGGGTACGCCTCTGGCGCCCTCAGAGGGTAATGGCGGTCAGAGCCATACGCGGTTACCGCACCGTTTCGACGGAGGTGGCGTGCGCGTTGGCCGGAACTCCCCCGTGGGATTTGGAGGCGGAAGTGCTCGCCGAGGTTTATCGGCGAGTGGCTGACTGCCGGGCGGAGAGCGGATTTCGCCCTCCGCCCGAGGATGTGCGCGAGTGGCGCGAAGCCCCTCGCCGAGCCACGATGGCTCGTTGGTCGTTCCGGCTGGAGACTCCACGCGCTGGCTTCGCCGCCGTGGAGGCTTTCCAGCCGGTCATCGCCGAGTGGGCAGGGCGGCAGCACGGGACCCTTTCCTTCCGACTGACGCAGGTGCTTTCCGGGCACGGTTGCTTCGGGAAGTACCTGCACACGGTCGCTAGGAGGGAACTGAGTCCCGCCTGCCACCACTGCGACTGCAGTGAGGACTCGGCCCAGCACACGCTGGCGGTCTGCCCCGCATGGGCGGCGCAGCGCCGGGCCCTCACTGCAGTCATCGGAGTGGATCTCTCGCTACCGGCCGTAGTACGCTCCATGGCCGGTAGCGACAGTTGTTTTACCGCGGTCGCAACCTTCTGCGAGGTAGTAATCTCGCGGAAGGAGGCGGCGGAGAGGGCCCGGGAGGACGACCTCCACTCGGACCCGATCCGCCGCCGGCGAACCGGGCGGCGGAGGCCCGCCTATCACAGCCTCATGCCGCCCTGAGTGTGGCCGCGGGTGGACGGGGTGGGTTTCCCCTCCACCCGCATTAGTTGGCCAGCCGCGAGGGGGCGGCGTCCGCGTGTGCCGGACGTCGCCTAAAGAGAGGAACATCAACAGTGAGACGGAGCCCGCACCAGGAGCGGGCTGGCGCTAGGAGGGGTCCGGATGTCTTAACAACAGCTGTTCCCGGATCCCTCCTGTTACAGGCGCAGAGTGGCACACCGTGTGGTTTTAGTCGGTCCGAGTCCGACACACCACCCCGCCGCAAGCCCCGGAGGGGTGACGGTCCGAGGGGATTTCCACACGTTAAAAAAAAAAAAAAAAAAAAAAAAGGTTAGGTTTACACTGAGATGGCGTCTTGAGACGCAGGGCCATGTCGTGCGGTGTTCCGCAGGGGTCTGTCCTAGGACCACTCCTGTGGAACATTGGATACGACTGGGCCCTACGAGGGCGTCGCCCCCCCGGGCTGGGTGTACTCTGCTACGCAGATGACACTTTAGTCACGGCCCGGGGGGCTAACTTCCAGGAGGCGGCGCGCCTGGCCGCCACGGGAGTTTCCCTGGTGGTCGGGCGCATTGAGGCGTTGGGTTTGCGGGTGGCCCTGGATAAGACGGAGGCCCTATTATTTCATGGGCCCCTTCGTGGTCCACCCGCCGGCGCCTCAATCGAGGTCGGCTCGGTCCTCGTACCGGTCCGGGCCCAGATGAGGTACCTGGGTCTGGTCCTAGACGGTAGGTGGCTCTTCGACGAGCACTTCCGACAGCTTGGTCCGAAGCTGGTGGACACTGCCTCCGCCCTAGGGCGACTTTTGCCCAATTTGGGCGGTGCCAGTGTTCCCACGAGGCGGCTGTACGCGGGGGTTGTCCGGTCCATGGCGCTTTATGGTGCACCGGTGTGGGTGGCGGCTCTGACCGCCCCGAATAGGGCGCGCCTCTGGCGCCCCCAGAGGATATTGGCGGTCAGAGCCATACGCGGATACCGCACGGTGTCCACCGAGGCGGCTTGCGCCTTGGCCGGAACACCCCCGTGGGATTTGGAGGCGGAGGTGCTCGCAGAAGTTTATCAGCGAGTGGCTGACTTCCGGGCGGAGAGCGGATTTTGCCCTCCGCCCGAAGACGTGCGCGAGTGGCGCGAAGCCGCTCGCCGAGCCACCATGGTCAGATGGTCGTTCCGGCTGGAGACTCCACGCGCTGGCTTCGCCGCCGTGGAGGCTCTCCAGCCGGTCATCGCCGAGTGGGCGGGGCGGCAGCACGGGACCGTTTCCTTCCGGCTGACGCAGGTGCTTTCCGGGCATGGTTGCTTCGGAAAGTACCTGTACTCGGTCGCTAGGAGGGAATCGAGTCCCGCCTGCCACCACTGCGACTGCAGTGAGGATTCGGCCCAGCACACGCTGGCGGTTTGCCCCGCATGGGCGACGCAGCGCCGGGCCCTCACTGCAGTCATCGGAGCAGATCTCTCGCTACCGGCCGTAATTCGCTCCATGGCCGGTAGCGACAGTTGTTTTACCGCGGTCGCAACCTTCTGCGAGGAGGTAATCTCGCAGAAGGAGGCAGCGGAGAAGGCCCGGGAGGACGACCTCCACTCGGACCTGATTCGCCGCCGGCGAACCGGGCGGCGGAGGCGCGCTTACCTGCGCCTCATGCCGCCCTGAGTGTGGCCGCGGGTGGACGGGATGGGTTCTCCCCTCCACCCGCATTAGTTGGCCAGCCGCGAGGGGGCGGCGTCCGCGTGTGCCGGACGCCGCCTAAAGAGAGGAAACTTTGAGACGGAGCCCGCGTTAGGAGCGGGCCGGCGCTGGGAGGGGTCCAGAAGGCGATAACTAACTGGACCCCTCCTAAACTGGAAGCGCAAAGAGGGCACACCGTGTGGTTTTAGTCGGTTTGAGTCCGACACACCGCCCCGCCGAACGAGAGCCCCGGCGGGGTGACGGTCCGAGGGTATTTCCACACGAAAAAAAAAATAAGATTAGGTTTACACACCCTTAAGATGGGTCGGTGGTGACGTATTAAGAATAGTGAGCGCCACCACCTCTATTCATCCCGTAGGTGTCATAAGAGCCGACTAAGAAAGCAAACTACGCAGGACAAGAGCACTGTAAAGAGAAGGAAAACTTGACACAAAACCCTGTACCAACCCGTCTGGCGTTTTGGTGACGGCTCGACGGACAGTGTTAGCGTATGCAACCGCAGTGCTGATGTCTCGGGTTCGATTTCAGGGTCAGAGCAATGTTTTTATGATCTGCATATATTTGTATCGGAGTTTGGGTGGTTTCTATATATAATATGTTTGTATTTACAAAGTATATAAGTATTCTATCAGTCAATCTAGCTTTCATAGTACAAGCTCTGCTTAGTTTGAAACTAGATGGCGTTGTGTGTCAGATGTCCGAAAATATTTTTATTCTCTTTATTTAATATAATATACAAATAGGTAAATTACAGTTTTGAATATATGTATGACTCATACGAAAAAAAAACAAAATACACTTCAAAATATAAAAATTTGTATTATATTATTATTATTAATTTAGTTTTATTTAATTCAACCTTTGGGTAATTCAAGGCTGATTTTTCAGAAAAAAGTTGGGATCATTTTAATTTATAATTAATAAACGTTTTATTCATAAATTAAAATTATGTTACGTCCTTTTTCCTTCAACTTTATCAGTGTGTAATTTATAATACATATCCCAGAACACCATTCTTTCATTGAAGAGTCTGTTCTCCATAGAAAGTGGTTCGTCTATGACCAAAAAAGGTCTTCGTTCTCCAACTACTGGTTCCCACTTTACAGGTATTAAGTCAGTTGGGCCCGAAGGCGTTGGATTTCTGAAAGAAATGATACATCTTTAGAATGAAAAAAAAAACGTTTTCAATATGAATTACTGTTAAAAAAACAGTGCCACTCTGTACCTCCTTTCTAAGGAGAGGCCTATGTCCAGCAGTGGACCATTAAAGGCTGTTGATGTGATGTGATGTGTGCCACTCTGTATCATTAAGACTCAAATTAAAATTCTGGACACAGCGAGTGATCTAGACCAAAACGAACCGCGTACCTTAATAAGAACTTTAGGGATAAAAAAGAAAGCTATAGTGACATAAGATATGTACAAGAGGAAAAAGAACAAATCTAATTTTCAAGTTTCCACCTTTCGGTTAAAAAAACGAGGGTCCCTTACAGTAACATCTGATATCTCACCAAACATCTGTCATCTCATCTTATTGGTCAAATAAAATAGATCGCGCTTCCCCGGCTGTTACACATTTCCGTCCCTTTTTACTCAATCAATTAACCGTTGATTGCAGGCAACGTGTTACACATAAAAAATACAACAATTTGTTCTTCTAAAACTAGATGTAACTGATATTTCCTATAATTAGTTTTGCTTTAATATTTTAGCCTATTAATTTTCATGGAATGTACTATCCAACGGCCAAAGAGACTTAGAAATAGATTTCGTATTTTAAATAAGAGTAATAAAGTGGAGTTTATACTAGGCCAAAACCTCCTTTCTAAGGAGAGGCTTATGTCCAGCAGTGGACCGTTAAAGGCTGTTGATGAAAGTGGTGACGGATTAAAAATACGGAGTGTCACCATCCCTATTCATTCCGTGGGTGTCGTAAGAGTCTACTAAGGGAGTCTACTACAAAATACGCAGGACAACAGCACTGCAAAGAGAAGGAAAACTTGAAACAAACCCTATACCAACGCGTCTGGCCAGAGTGGTACAGTAGGCCAAGTACAGGCGTGGTAAAGGCTGTTGATGATGATGATGAATAAATTTCCGCATTTCTAGAATGAAAATAGTAAAAATATTTATAAACTATACTAATATATTTTATATAAAAATTGCTCTATCAAATATATTATAGACACAAATCAATATATGACTTTATCACTACTTACCCATATTTAGCGAAATCCGTCCACAATTTAGTCATAATTTCTATAATTTTCTGATCAGCTGCATTCGGTTTCTCTGCAAAAATATCCGAATTCCATAAATACGCCTTATCATCGCCATGAATTGCTCCATCAGTTATATTCATTCTTTTGCTTCCAGTATTTCTATCACCTTGGTATGTAAATAAATACCTATATACATTTCTAGCCCCGGCTTCCAAATATTTATCAACAGTTCTTTCTGTAGGGTGAGCAAAGGCGAAATCAGATGCAAAATCCAAAATCTTTTGACGCAATTCTAAACTTGGTTTCTGATCTTTGATATAAAAGTGTCTGACATAACTTTCGTCTACAATTTCGTTGAAATCTTGGCTAAGTTCAATATCAAATGTATAGTTTTCATAATAAGATTCATCAGAAACTGGATATCTGAATGTGGCCTCTCTATACGCGTGACCAATCAGGATATCTAAATCTTTGACCTTTGGTTTTAAATTTGCAGGGTGATCTGTCAAAATTGCGCCCTCACTTTCTTTTTCAACACACGGTTTTGTTAAGGGATGGTTATTAGTATCATAAATTTTCAAAGAATTTGTTGCTTCAAGTACATCTGTAGCTTTAAAAGTTTTTAAATAATCCAAAGCTGCTTTTACATCATCACCTTTAAAACCCAATTCTTTAGCTACATTAATAGGTACTGAATTATTCATTTTAGCGATAACCCAAGGTGTTAGTGCTACCCCACTTTGTATTATAGCCCTTTGGAATAAAGGTTCTTTTACAAGAAACAGTATATCTATACTCATAGCACCTGCAGACTGTCCAAACACGGTAACTCTATTGGGATCTCCACCAAAACTTTCTATGTTGTCTTTCATCCATTTTAGAGCTAAAACCTGGTCTTTTAATCCTTGATTGCTGTAACCAGGTAGATCTACACACAGGAAGCCATAGATTCCAGCTCTGTAGTTGATGGCTACTATGATTACGTCGTGTTTTATTAATAATTCAGGTCCTAATTTGTTCCTGTTTGCATTATTTCCGATGAAAGCGCCACCAGGAATGTAAAACATGACAGGAAGTCTTTCTTTAGGCTTGATATGGTTTGGTACGTAAATATTTAGGTTCAGACAGTTAATATCACCACTGGCAACTCCACCGTGTTGAGGGCAAATTGTTGGGTTAGACACCGCTTCGAAGACTGAAGTGAACTTAGGAGGTGGTTTTGCGTCCTGTTGAAGAAAGTAATTTATTATGGTTTCTAGAAATATAGCTTTTCTATTTAAGAAGGAAACTATTGACAGGATGTTTTGACTTACTATACCACGCTGGCCAGACGAGTTGGTATAGGGTTTGTTTCAAGTTTTCCTTCTCTTTGCAGTGCTGTTGTCCTGCGTAGTTTGCTCCCTTAGTTGGCTCTTACGACACCTACGGGTGAATAAGAATACAGAGTGTCACCACCCTGGTGACACTCTGTATTCTTGTCTGTGGTTTCCACACGCACGTGGAAACAAAATATAGAAGTCAATTGAGACCTACTTGTAATAGTCGTGTCGAAATGTATTGTCGATTGTCTGAATAAATCGACAGAAAAAAGCTAACATAAAAAAAGGTACTTATAATTATTGACGGTCACTATTATGTCGTCTGTGTTTTCATGAGCAGACGCTGTGCTCGAAGAGTACCTCTTTGGAGTTAATGATGTTAGTGTATACTCACCCCAAAAGGATTATTTTCGTCCACCACCCCATACGGTACTCCAAGATACATGGTAAAATCCCCCTCATCAGCCCGTACCCCTCTCAACGGCCCACTGGGCGTCATCACTACGGGACCGTGGTTAGGAACACATTCCAGGCAGTTAATTGCTAAAAATAGCAACAGAATCTTCTTCATATCTACTTCTTTTTAATTCTGCTGTTACCTGAAATGAAGAAATATTAAAACGTGGGAGAACCATACTTCAGCATACATGGTAGGGCTCGACCGGAGTGACCACGACCTCACTTAAAACCAGTGTTAAACAATAAGGGGTTTTCTGAAATGTTCCACGTGAGATGGCAGCACAGTAGCGTCAGGTCCAACCACCTGTCAATACACATACACGATTTGTATTTTTCGATAATTTTTTTGGTTTATTCATTCTTAAAAACGTTACAAAAGGAATATTGTTTTCTAAAATGCCACAGTTTGTGCAGTGCCTCTGTGTCCAAATAAAACTTTTGCGCCTCTCTTTTTGAGCTCAATCTTCAGTTCGGCAACCTTTCTCTGGCCGTAATCTATAATAAACTCAATAACACTTCCAAATTCATATAATTTCACTAAAAAAATATACGTTCGGTAAAATTCTGTGCTATCTGACAGCTGTTTGGACCTGACGCATACGAAACGACGTCTGGTGGAAAAAATATCGAAATCCCTCATGCCCTTGTTGTTTTTTACCGAGCGGTGTGGTGAGAGATTAAGAATACAGAGTGTCAGCACCAATCTTCATCGCGTGGGTATCGTACGAGCCGTCTTAGGGAACAAACTAAACGGAACCGCGATAACAACAACGGCATACCTACACAGGGGCAGAGCCGGGCAGAGATAATATAAAGAGATTCTGTTGGTAAGCTGCTACCGATGTATATATTATAAACCATAGACTTTCTCACTCTTAGGGTATAAGAAACTACAGTTTTTTTTTAATTTGAATATGACCAAATCAAAAGTGCACCTTCTCAAACAAAAAAAAAAGGATTTCCCAAACTGGTTAAATCAAAAACAAAAAGAAACAAACAAATTGAGATCCCACCTTTTTGAAATCGGTTAAAATACTACTTATATGGAGTTGTTTTTATTTGTTTAAAACGGATAAACTAAGATCGTTACTTTTTCTGCCACCAGACGGCGCTTCGTACGCGTCAGGTCCAAACAGCTGTCAGATAGCACAGATTCTTACCGAACGTATAATTTTTTAGTGAAATTCTATGTATTGAAGTGAAGTGGCTTTTGCAAACGAGGCCATTTTTCGTTTGAGTAAATTTATCTCTGCGAATGGCTACAAGCCACTTTTTAATCGGCTTTTATCTTCTACAGGGAACTTATGCCCTCCTGTTTTATTCGCACAGATAGGCACTGCACAACACTGTGGCATTTTAGAAAACAATATTCCTTTTGTAACGTTTTTAAGAATAAATAAACCAAAAAAAATATTGAAAAATACAAATCGTGTATGTGTTTTGACAGGTGGTTGGACCTGACGCTACAGTGCTGCCATCTCACGTAGAACATTTCAGAAAACCCTCCTTAGCGTGGTCGGACATACACTTGGTCGTTTTATTTTACTAGTTTATATTATCATCAACAGCCTTTAACAGTCCACTGCTGGACATAGGCCTCTCCTTAGAAAGGAGGTATATTATATTCTTTTTCAATTAAATTAATAAACATTTTTTCGCCTACCTTTAATGGAGTTTTATTTTCACAAGTAATTAAATAATTTGCGGGGAAATCTGACTTTCAGGGTTCCCAATTGTTTTATTTCTTGAAGTTTTAAAATAAATATTAAACCACACACTATTTGAGATGTATTTAACACTAATTCAAGAAAAAAACTCGTGAATGGTATATTTATACTTTGAGATAATACTCTCCGGCTCTGTATCTTTTTATAAACAGATGAGAATAATAATCCTGCGTTACGCTTATCAGAAATCGATTTGAAGTATTTTGTTTTTAATCGAGTTCACAAGGAGGGGTTAGATAAACACTGTTCAGAGGAGGTAGGCGAGATGACTGGCTCATGGCTAAGTGGAACACATTGCAAAGTTAAGGACTCCAAGCCAGGTCAGCCTATGGGTGACCAGTCTTAACACACTGAGACGCTTTCGTGCCTCGGAGAACACGTCAACCGTCAGTTCCGGTTGCTATGCAAACATCTGTGGCAATCGTAACGGTTAGTTAAAGCCTTATAAAACTCCGACGAGTCCGTGTGGTGACGGATTAAGAATACAAATTGTCACCACCCCAATTCATCCCGTGGGTGTCGTAAGAGCCGACTAAGGGAGCAAACTAAGAAGGACAACAGCACTGCAAAGAGAAGGAAAACTTGAAACAATCCCTATACCAACCCGTCTGGCCAGCGTGGTATAGTAGGCCAAACCTCCTTTCTAAGGAGAGGCCTATGTCCAGCAGTGGACTAGTATAGGCTGTTGATGATGATGATGATGAAAACTCTGACAACAGTCTTTCTGCAGAGCTTTGAAAACGCCTAGTACTTGGGTTGTGAAGGTCTGATTGCAGTCGCTCCACGTAAAAAAACCGAAATTCAGCCGACCCCAAAACAGACAGTCAGACAAATAATATTTAAACTGGTTTTTAGGCATAGGTATCGTGCAAATAACTCGTGTGAGCATGAAAAAACCCAATAATTTTGACATTACAAACATACACTTCAATTTTATTTATTTGTATAGATTAATTACTTTGTGTATTATCAAAGTACACCACACACTACCTAAAATCAGATTCGACAATATCCGTGTAAAGGATGCTTGTAAGAGATCGCCGTGAGCGATAAGACCGCCTATTATTATACCAGAATGTAGGTGTACTTGTCTGTACAATATATACTGTGGAAGTGTACAAGAAATAAAATAAATAAAAATAAAAATAGCCTTTATTTACTCTGACCTTGCACAATTTGTATTACAATAAAATAAAAACAAAACTATACTAACTTTACTTAACTATATTATAATATCTTTACTTATTTCTATTTTCTGTATGTATAAACTTAACTTTTGATATCAGTTACCAGGTCAGGTTGTCTTGCGACATAGGCCTCCTCAAGTTCCCTCCACATTTGCCTATCCATTGCTGCCCTTCTTCGACCTTTGGGCAGATCATCTTCCCATCTTTTTTTCTGCCTTCCTCTACGTCTTTTGCTGTCCCGCGGGTACCATTCTGTTACTTCTTTGGTCCACTTTCCTATTGTTGATCAATAGGTGAACAACAGACATGTATAAATCTATATCTATAAAAAACCTGAAAGACTGATACACTGACTGATGGATCAACGCACGGCTGTAACCGCTGGGTCTAGAAGCATCAAATTTTACACAAATGTTCCTTAGATGACGTAGGTGTACAATAAGAAAGGATTTTTTTAAATTCCACCCCTAACGATGCAGAATTTGGGTTGGAAATTTATAAGAAACTTTGTTATTTTCTGTAGTAGCATTATCAAACTCACAGTAAATACACTTTGTATATTTGTATGGGAAACTTTTATCGGTTCCAAACTCTTAGTAAATCTACATTCCATATTATAAATAACCATAATTTAATAATAAACTTAGAAAAGACAAAAATTATGGATTTTTATTAAAGAATTCCTTCTCTTTGCAGTGCTGTTGTCCTGCGTAGTTTGCTCCCTTAGTCGGCTCTTACGACATCCACGGGATGAATAGGGGTAGTGACATTCCGTATTCTTAATCCGTCACCACACTTATAAATAGATAGATTATAGTCTTAATTAATTGACAAAATTAACGTTTATGCGAGGGAAGCCGTGGTCAAATGCCAACTAGTAAATAATATAAATTACAAAGAATTGAACTTCTGTTCAAGAAATAGTTAAAATAAACTGTTAAAGTACTTACTTAACTAAACATTGATATGTTTATCACAATAATCTACTTGTCAAACGTATGCGCACGAGTGGAGGTGACATAACAACTAAATATAACGAAATCTAAGATCATTGACGTGTATTCATCAAAGTCACGATCAAATGATCATTTTGATGGCCTTGGATGAACGCGCTAATGACTGGGCGTCTCAAGTACAAATTACGTAAATTTTCCTGAAGCTGGGTATAATTGATTAATGCTCTGTAAGTATATACGTTAAAACTTTATATTAAAAATCTTCTTATTGACTGTTTTATTGGTGTAATGGTAAGTTAACCTGCCTGCGTGTGGTGACGGACTAAGAATACAGAGTGTCACCACCGACTAAGCCGACTTAGGAAACAGATTATGCAGAACAACAGCACTGCAAAGAGAAAGAAAATTTGACACAAAACTGATACCAACCCGTCTAGCCAGGGTGGTATGGTAGGCCAAAACCTCCTTTCTAAGGAGAGGCCTATGTCCAGCGGTGGACTATTAAAGGCTGTTGATGTGATGTGATGATGTGAACCTACCTGGGAAGTTAAAGGTCGTTGGTTCAAACCCAGGACAAAATAATTGTGTGATGAGCATGAACATTTGTTCTGTGTCTGGGTGTACTTTATCTATAATATGTATTTATTTAGAAATCTATAAGTATGTTTATCAGCAGTCTGGTTACCAGTACAGGCTCTGCTTAGTTTGGGATCATACGACCGTGTGGGATGTGTAAGGTTATTCTTCGAGCGTAAGGGACATGGTTATAAAATTCTCTTTTGCAAGTTGGGAAAAGACTTTTCCTAATTTCGTTACCCGACTGCGTCAGAAGGAAGAAAGAAGGAAGTATATATGTTTACTTCTTTGGCACGCTCTGAAGCCTACACGGATAGATTTTGGCTTGGGAGATGTCGACTGGTTATATGAAAATTATACAATTAAAAATCACCGGTTTGAACATTTTGAACCAGCTTTAAAAAGGAGGAGGTTATCAATTCGGATGTTTATTTTATTTCTTTATGTATTGACAAAAATGTTCTAATAAAAATATTTCTTAATAAAAGGTGATTTGACTTCAAGCAAACAATACTGACAAAGAGAATATAAGCAATCGCGGTTGATTTGCTGTCATTTTTTGACGAGTGCCGTTGTCTGTCTCCTCAACTCATCATCAGATCTATCTAAAATTAAAATGGGACTATTTCGGAATAACCTCCTTTCAAACAAAACAAGAATTTTAAAAATCCGTCTATAAATAATAATAATAATAATAATAATAATTATCACGATTTATCATTATCAGGATTTATCTCACGAGATTGTCGATATGTGGAATGTTGATTCAGTGATCATTGTTCCGATAGTCGTATCTGCTCATGGATTGATAGCCAAGAGCCTCGACCAACACCTTAAGAGGCTCACGTTGGATGGCTGGATCAAGGGTCTGATGCAGAAGGCAGTCCTCCTTGACACGGCTCGTATAGTGAGGAGGTTCCTATCTTTGGAGTCCTAACCACCGGTGTCTTGGTCCCTGTACCCGATGTCGGTGGTCTACTATTTTTTATATTTTTAAATGTATTATTTTTTTTTATAAAGTGTATATTTAAAAATGTAAATAATATGTATATAAAGTAAATAAAGAGAATAATAATAATAATATTTTACCACATTCACACAACGCCATCTAGTCCCAAACTAAGCAGAGCTTGTACTATGGGTACTAGACAACTGATATAAATACATATATACTTTTTTTTTTGTAAATACATACTTATTATACATAGAAACACCCAGACCAAATCAAACATTAAATGTTCATGCACACAAATGTTTGACTTGAGCGGGAATCGAACCCGCGACCTTTGGAATAGCAGTCCGTTACACAAACCACTACGCCATTCGGTCGTCAAATAATAAATGACGGAGTTATGCCCGAACATACATAAAAAAATTAAACATCTGAATAGATAACCTCCTCCTTTTTGAAGTCGGTTAAAAATACTTCAAATTGATTATTGATAAGTGTAACAGTGGCGTTTTTTCTCATAACTCCATTTATAGCAAGATAAGAATTGGGTTTTTCATGATATCTTGATTATCTCAAAGTATAAATAAAAAATCGTAAGTTACTTCTTGAATTAGTGTAAAATATTGTCTCAGAGTGCGTGGTTTAATATTTATTATAAAATGATTAAATGTAATTAGTGGCAACCCTGGAGTTTAAATTCTACCGTATTAACAGCACAATAAAACTTGATTAAAGGTAGGCTAGAAATGTTTATACAAACATGATAATAAACACTAAGTTTGCTTCGATTCCTATCCGGGACCATCAATTGTGTGGTGAGCACGACCATTTGTTCTGTGTCTTACTGTAATTTATCTATAACTAGCTGACCCGCGCAACTTCGTCTGCGTCTCTCAATAGTAATAAATTTTCTACGTTTTTGAAACATTCTACATTGGTGCTCCGCTCCTATTGGTCTTAGCGTGATGATATATAGCCTATAGCCTTCCTCGATAAATGGGCTATCTAACACTGAAAGAATTTTTCAAATCGGACCAGTAGTTCCTGAGATTAGCGCGTTCAAAAAAACAAACAAACAAACTCTTCAGCTTTATAATATTAGTACAGATATGTTTTTTTATGTTGGAGGGGCAGACGAGCAGACGGGTCACCTCATCGAAATTGACTATCGACACCCATGAACGTCTGCAACTCAGGAGTCACAAAGGCGTTGCCGCTTTTAGGAAGGAGTACGCACTTTTCTTGAAGGTTTGAAGGTCGTATCAGTCCGGAAATACCGCAGACGATAACACGTTCTACAGATGTATTTAGTAATATATAAGTGTGTTTATCAGCAGTCTGGTCACCATAGTACACGCTACCTAGTTCAGGATCAAGCAGTTGCATGTGGGAGTTATAAACTCCTTATAACTTAATTATTAACTTTTGAAAGAGTTTTTTCCTCCCTTCCTCCAAAACTTATCCCAAACTAAGTTGGGACTGCTTTAAGTCTATTTACGGCATACTGAAAGTTTCTGGATTCTGATAAATAAGACTAGACTAAATTATTTTTCAAAGTATGTTTCCTATATAATAATTCATTTTTGCATTCGCTGAAACCACTGTACAAAGCAGTTGGAGCAGTCTTCCTTAGGGACCTTTTCAATGGCTTCATGGAATGCATTCACCGCCGATTGAGGGCTCGTAAAACGTCTGCCTCTAAGTTTGTCTTAAATTTATATAAGGTCGGGGCTGTAAGCGGGATGTCTCATCAATTCCGCATTAGAATAGGCTTCTGTTACCCAAGTGGAATGTGAGGATGCGTTATCATGATGAAGGAGGACATTGCTTCGCTTTTCGGGATATTTTTCTAAGTATGTAAATGTGAGTATAGTGTAGGCTTGTAATGTTAATTCATATTTTATTATCTTTCTGGTGGTTTTGAGTGTTGCCACGGACTGCCCAAATGTCCTGCTGGCGGTAGTGTCATGCTTCGGGTCGTTGATGTTGACCAATATCGGTTAGGCTACACAATGGCTGGAGCCTGTATGCCGTCTGTATGGACAGGCTGACTCAAAACTATGGTCCTTTCCTCAAAAGGCCTACCCAGACCCTATACTGTACTCGCACAGTTTTATTTAACTTTGTTTACGGACTTAAAAAAAAGACACCTCTGTGGTTTGTTTCGGCGTTTCTTCCCAGAGTGAGTCTTAGGAAATGCCGGCTCCTTCTAGCTATAAAGTCCGACTTGTAAAAATATCTGAAAAGATTTACTTACAGAAATAAATATCATTTATCTGTACAAATAAATAAAATTGGAGTGTCTGTTTGTAATATTAAAATAACGGCTTTTTACTAAATGCATATGTATGTTTACACGGTACATACGCCAAAATAACTTTTTTTACAATTTTTGTCTGTCTGTCTGTTTGTTCCGGGTAATCTCTGAAACGGCTGGACCGATTTCGACGGGACTTTCACTGGCAGATAGCTGATGACATAAGGAGTAACTTAGGCTACTTTTTTTAGACTAGCTTCGCCCCGCGGCGTTGCCCGCGGTTATAACAACAAACGCGGGTAACCCCGCGGGTCTCAGCTAGTCATTTATAAAACTCTAGGCAAACAAGTATTGACGTACCAATCTGCAGTCACAAGGCCAAGTATTTTTTTTGTCAGTTTCAATGAGTTCTGTCAATATTAGAGTCTGGAAGTCTTTAGGCCGACCTTCACGTACCTCGTCATTAAGTTGATGACGCCCACGTCTAAATTGACCAAACCACGAATACACAGAGCTGCGACATGTTGCTTCATTACCAAATGCTAATTGAATTCTCTGGCAAATTTGTTGTTAACTTAAGCCACAACGAAAATCATAAATAATCATTTTTAACGAAAATGTTCACAACTTAAATTCATTTTGATAGCGACACACTTTTCGAAAGGAAGTCACAATGAAAAAACAAATTACAGTCTCGCTAAATTAAAAAGTAACATGTTCCCGAAGACTTCTCCTTTAATTGTTTTTTCATTCGTTGCCAAAGACTTTCAGTATGCTCCACGTACTGAAATTAATTTTTTTTACTCAGAACGACTGCATCAGTAAAAAAAATAGCCTAAGAAACCGTGACGTAGTCTTGGCATGACGCCTACCCCAGCGCCACTCTACTCAACCATATTGCAGGGAATTAAAAGACTCAGCGTGCAATGCCGGTATCGAATAATATTATTTCTTTATTTCAGACAACAGCAAAGAAGAATAATGAAGAAGATTTTATTGCTGTGTTTGGCAATTAATTATCTAGAATGTGCTCCTAACCACGGTTCTGTGGTGGAGACACCGAATGGACCAGTGAGGGGGGTACAAAATGAAAAGGGAGATTTCACTATGTATCTTGGAGTGCCGTACGGTGTGGTGGACGAAGATAACCCTTTTGGGGTGAGTAAAACATTCTGTACTATCCTGTAGGTATTAATATCTATGTATACCACATTATCATCATCAGCTTATCCCCGTCCACTGCTCTTGGCCTCCCCCGAAGAGCATCAACTATCCCGATCTTGGGTAGTCCGCATCCATCTATTGCTAGCCACTTTCTTTGGCACGATGGACTGACGACTTAACAGGAAAAGTATTCCACAATTCTATGTACATTGAACTTTTTTACCCTATGAATAAGTATTTAATTCTTATTACCACCTGCCAAAAACGTCTCCATCACCCAAAGGTGTTCAGAAAATGCCTAGTGTATCATGTCCATTAGCCGAAAATAAAAAATAAATAATAACTCATTTTCATTTCATTTTCCAGGACGCAAAACCACCTCCTAAGTTCACCTCAGTCTACGAAGCGGTGTCCGACCCCACAATTTGCCCACAATACAGGGGAGGCCCCATTGGTGACATTGACTGTCTAAAGCTGAACGTCTACGCACCAAATAATATCAAACCTAAAGACCAACTTCCTGTCATGTTCTTCATTCCTGGTGGCGCCTTCATCGGAAACAGTGGCAACAGGGACATGTTGGGACCTGAATTCTTGATGAAACATGACATAATCCTTGTAACCATCAACTACAGAGCTGGAATCTATGGTTTCCTGTGTCTAGATATACCTGGTTACAATAATCAAGGATTAAAAGATCAGGTATTGGCTCTAAAATGGATAAAAGAAAACATAGAAAGTTTTGGTGGAGATCCTAATAAAGTTACCGTGTTCGGACAGTCTGCAGGTGCTATGAGTATAGATATGTTGTTATTGGCAAAAGAAAATTTATTCCAAAGGGCTATAATACAAAGTGGCGTAGCACTAACACCTTGGATTTTTGCTAAAAACACTAATTTAGCACCTGTAATGGTAGCTAATGAATTAGGCTTTAAAGGTGATGATGTTATAGGGGCGCTAGATTATTTGAAAGGTTTTAATGCCGCAGATGTTATAAATGTAACTCATTCTTTGAAAATTGATGAAAGTGAAACAACTCATCCTTTAACAAGACCGTGCGTTGAGAGTGAAAGTGATGGCGCAATTTTAACAGATTATCCAGTAAATTTAAAACCTAAGGTCAAAGATTTAGATATCATGATTGGTCATACGTTTAGAGAAGCATCATTCAGATATCCAGTTTCTGATGAATCGTACTACGAAAATTATGTGTTTGACATCGAACTTGAGCAAGATTTCAATGAAATTTTAGACGAAAAACATGTCAGAAATTTCTACATCAAAGATGAGAAAACAAGTTTAAACGTTCGTCCACAAATTTTAGATTTCGCATCTGATTTCGCCTTTGCTCACCCTACAGCAAGAACAGTTGATAGATACTTAGAGGCAGGGGTCAGAAATGTATATAGGTATTTATTTACGTACCAAGGTGATAGAAATGGTATGTCCAAGAATACGACCGATGGAACCAATCACGGTGATGATATGGGTTATTTGTGGAATGAGAACAATTTACCAGAGGAACCGAATGCAGCTGATCAGAAAATGATAGATATTATGACTAAATTGTACACGGATTTCGCTAAATATGGGTAAGTATTAGTACTAAACTCACTACAATTTCTTTTTGTAGTTGTGATTTCCTTGATTTATATAAAAAAAAACTCTAAATACAGCAATTGGCGTGTAAATAATAAAACTAATATCATTTTTATTTACCAGAAGTTACAATAAAAAATGGACTGAAATGCATACTTTTCTAAGTAGGCTGTTCGGCCGTTCTATAATACCGATTAACTACTTTTATGTGGTCTTTTCTTTTACTTGCCTGTAAGCTCTTGGAGTGATTTTGTGAAAAGAAGTTGAAATGTGTGAAAGAAGAAAAATACACACATACCATAGACTAGTCATCACCTAACTGACACCCATCTCAAGTTTTACTCAAAAGTGGTTTTCTCCTGTACTTTTTCCTTAGGCTTCCAAAGCTTTTTGTCTCTACACCAACGGTTCTAATTGACTTACGTGGGTGGTCGCGTCTAAGACCCCTCGCTGTAACATGTTTTGAGTTTCGCTGACTTTTGAATGTAGTTGAGTTCGAGAGACGCCCGGTTTGGACATCCAGTTAAAACTAAATGATGCAGAGTCGTACCGTTCCTTCCCATGTTATTATTAAGTTTTATGATCTCCTTTTTAATTTCTTGACTTTTTGTTTTCATATTTCTTTCAGAAACCCAACTCCTTCAGGCCCAACTGACTTAATACCTGTAAAGTGGGAGCCAACAGTTGGTGAGCAGAGGCCGTATTTACTCATAGATGAACCTCTTTCTCTGGAGCACAGACTCTTCAATGAAAGAATGGTGTTCTGGGATATGTATTATAAATTACACGCTGATAAAGTTAAAGGACGGGGCACGTGATAGGATTATTATCACCATCATCATTATCAGTCTCTGCGTAAAAGGGAGGTTTTGACTTACAATACTAAAACTAAAGTAAAGTGAATTTTACTTCTTTATAAGAATGTTATTACTGATGGATAATTAAACTAATTATTCTTGAGGTGGATGTTTTATTTCTTTTATGATAAAGGGGCAAACGAACAAACGGGAAAGTGACTATCGCCACCGACGCTGACGTCACCTCCTTGCGGTTGAACTCTGTGGTGAGCGGAGGGGAATACCCGTTCCGTAAAACCGGGGCTGTAGTCACTATCGTTGCCGTGGGTGAGCCATGCTTATACACAAATGGGTCTTCTCGACAGGAGAGAGATGTCATCGTGTGAGTTACGTTACTAAAGACCCAAGCTTCAACACCCCTCCACTACACATTACTGGAGGCTTAAGATCCCCCACCCCTTCCTCTCTAATTCTAGGGGCTGGGGTCACAGTAAGCATATCAATACACTTTTGTCTATTTTTGTTGAGTGTCCTGAGTCAACACGATAAAAAGATATAGGCAATTTTCATTTTCGCGAAAACTTGTGAGAACCATAATTTACCCTATTTAGAAAAAAAAAATCAGAATTTTCTCTTTACTTGTGTTGCTTTTAATAAAAACTGACAATTCTAGGTCAACCGGAAGTACCCTATAGGTTTTGGGTCGAAAACCTACATGGTAGTTCACGAAATTTGGCACAAAAAAACGTCTTACAGCACAAATAAAGGAATATTTCCAAAAAATTAAAAAAATTGAAAATTAAGATAAATTTTGGTACTTACAAAAAATTTTGGTACTGCGAAAATCTAGGTAGGTACGGAACCCTCGGCGCACGAGTTCGACTCGTACCAGACAGGTTTTTATTATTTTTTCGTTTTCTATAAAAGTTATAAACAATTATTCACCTACCTTTAATGTACTTTTATAACCACAAATTACAATTAGATAATTTCCAGTTGAATTAAAATCTTCAGGGTTCCCAATGGTTTATGTTCTTGATGTTTTAAAATAAATATTAAACCACACACTATTTGAGATGTATTTAACACTAATTCAAGAATCAAACTCGTGAATGGTTTATTTATACTTTGGGATAATACTCTCCGGCTCTGTATCTTTTTATAAACAGACTAGCTGAGACCCGCAGTGTTACCCGCGTTTGTTGTCATAACCGCGGGCAACGACGCAGGGCGAAGCTAGTCTAAAAAAGTAGCCTAAGTTACTCCTTATGTCGTCAGCTATCTACCAGTGAAAGTCCTGTCGAAATCGGTCCAGCCGTTCCAGAGATTACCCGGTACAAACAGACAGACAGAGAAACAAAAATTGTAAAAAATGATATTTTGTCATATGTACCGTGTAAACATACTAAGCATTTAGTAAAAAGCGGTTATTTTAATATTACAAACAGACACTCCAATTTTATTTATTTGTATAGATATAGAAGATGAGAGCAATAATCCTGCGTTATGCTTATCAGAAACCGATTTGAAGTATTTTGTTTTTAATCGAGTTCACAAGGAGGGGTTAGATAAACACTGTTCAGAGGAGGTAGGCGAAATGACTGGCTCATGGCTAAGTGGTTAACACATTGCAAAGTTAAGCACACTAAGTCAGCCTATGGGTGACCATTCTTAACACATTGAGACCCTTACGTAGCTCAAAAACAACGATAAGCAGTCGCTACCGGTTGCCATATGAACATCTGTGGCGTTACGGGTAGTTAAAGCCCTTTTTTTTGTGGACGGGGTGGAAAATTCCTTCGGATCTCCGGCTCCTTGGGGATGTAGGAGCTACCACCCCGATGGTCGGACTCAAGCACCCTACTCCGAGGAGGATCCGGATCATGTTATTTCAGGTCTCCAGTCGACGCCGCGCCCAGTAAGGTCCAATCCCGGGAAAGCTGCGGGCTTCCCCCGCCTATGGGCCCATTTGTTGTAATATGTTGCGGCCAGGACCAGGCCGCCATCCTATCGCCTAACTCAGCAGTTAATCTGCCGCCAGAGGTCCCGTACCTCTGGCAGCCTGCGGCCCCGTCAACGGCTGGTATCGCCGCCGACATCCTCTATAAACGCTAAACGGGATCGGCCCTCTCCAGTTCTGTTCTGTTCCAGTCTCTTTCTGGATCATTACAGCTTCACAGACCATTGCGCCCCAGCCCTCCTCACCCGCCAGCATGGCAGCAATAATTGCTGGCGGGGACAGGTACTTGGAGCCCTATCCAACAACAGTCTTTCTGCAGAACTTCGATATCGCCTATCGGATCGGATTTCAGCCATATCGTACTCTAAGTCTACTTAAAGCCGGCCCAAAACAGATAGACTGACAAAAAATATTTTAAGTGGTTTTTAGGCATCGGCAAATAACCCGTGTGAGCATGAAAATCCCAATTATTTTGACCTTACAGACACAATTTTAATACTTAATTGTTGATTACTTAGTGTATTAACGTATTATTGTAAAAGTACACCACACACAACCCAAAATCAGATTTGACAATATCCGTGTAAAGGGTGCTTGTAAGCACTAAACTAGATCTAGATCCCTAAAGGGTGCAAAATGGGGGTTAGAAATTTATAAGAAACTGTTATTTTCTGTAGTAGCGTTTTCAAACAAACAAAAAAAAATTGCTAAATCTGTCTAAATTTGACGGAGTTATGCCCGAACATACATAAAAAAAATTTATAAACATCCGAATTGATAGCCTTGTCCTTTTTGAAATCGGTTAAAAATACTTCAAATTGATTATTGATAAGTGTAACAGAGGATTATTATTTCTCTCGTAGCTCCATTTATAGTAAGATAAAAATTGGGTATTTGTGCTATCTTGATTATCTCAAAGTATAAATAAAAAAATCGAGAGTTTATTTTCTTGAATTAGTGTAAAATATTGTCTCAAATAGTGCGTAGTTTAATGTTTATTGTAAAAGGATTAAATATAATTAGTGGCAACCCTGGAGTTAAAAATTACCGTATTAATAACACAATTAAACTTGATTAAAGGTAGGAGAAAAATATATTTATAAATTTTGTTTAAAAACTTGATAATATTCACTTAATTTTTGTTCGATTACAATTTTAGACGAACCATTATGTGATGGGTACGAATTCGTTCTGTTTGTAAGTGTCATTTATACACTTATTTATATATATATACATTAAATATTTATATATATATATATATATATATATCAAAATATATATATATATATATATATAAATATATATATATATATATTTATATATATATATATATATTTAGTAATATATAAGTACATATGTTTATGAGCAGTTTGAGTCCCAAGTGTAAGGTTATGTCACTGCTACTCGATCGTCACGGTGACCGCCGTTGGCGCTGCGACTGGCCCGCACTGAAGGACGAATGCGAGTTTATTTCACTTCATGGTGACCGCTTTCGGCGCTACGACTGGCCCGCACTGAAATCTCCACCAATCGCAGCGCTAAACGCGCTCACCGCCGAGAGCCAGTCGATGAGAAATAAACTTGCTCTCAGCCCCCTGAAATCTTCAACAATCGCAACTCCACCGACCCTGCTTGCTGTCGAGAGTTAGCTGAGGTTAAATAAACTTCCACCAGGCCCCATTTTTTTTGTTTTTGACGGTGTGAAAAATCCCTTCGGATCTCTTGCTCCTCGGGGCTAGGAGCTGTGTAAGTATGTGGTTGATTCCACTAAAAACCACCCCGAAGGCCGACCCCTGGTTACCGTAGTACAGGCTCTGCCTAGTTTAGGATCCAGCAGTTGTGTAAGAGTTGTTACAGTTACTTAATTATTAACTTTTGAAAGAGTATCACTTCCTTCCTTCTTCTCCAACTCAAACTAGGTTGGGGTCGGCTTTGAGTCTACTAGGGTATGGCTGAACTTCGATTTTCTACGCGGCACGACTGCCATCAGACAAAAAAATAGTCTAGGCAACTGTGACGTAGCCTTGGAATGACGCACACCCCAGCGCCTCTCTACTCAACCATATTGTAAGGAATAAAGAGACTCAGCGCGCAATGCCGTCATCGAATAATATTATTTGTTTATTTCAGACAACAGCAAAGAAGAATAATGAAGAAGATTTTATTGCTGTGTTTGGCAATTAATTATCTAGAATGTTCTCCTAACCACGGTTCTGTAGTGGAGACACCGAATGGACCAGTGAGAGGGGTACAAAATGAAAAGGGAGATTTCACTATGTATCTTGGAGTGCCGTACGGTGTGGTGGACGAAGATAATCCTTTTGGGGTGAGTAAAATATTCTGTTATTTCCTTCAGGTAATTTAACTAGCTGGTACCCAAAACTTCGTTCGCTTGGCATTTGAAAAGAGCCGCCGAAGTATGGTGCGTGACTGCAGTCCATGATTCCTCGGGTTCGATGCAAAATTTTATAGGATTTTTCTGAGAGCAAAATTAGCCAAACTTACACTTTATATAGATAGCTACCTGGTGTTAAAATATAATCAGAATCTATCTAGTATTTTTAAGATTACCCGGAACAAACAGACGATAGGACAAAAAATATTTAAACTAGTGGGGTACAGCAGGGAGGCAGGCCGCCGCGGGTTTTATTGGGTAAACCGGTTCTCCGGGAGTCCCATACACGCCCTCCCTTCCCTTATGGTGCGAAAAGCATTCCCCGCGTTAAAAAAAAAGGTATCGTGCAAATAACCGTGTGAGCATGAAAAAAAAACTCTTATTTTGATATTACAAGCAGACACCTCAATTTTATATATTTGTATAGATATCTATTTATACCACATCATCACCATCAGGCTATCGCCGTCCACTGCTAAACGTAGGCCTCCCCCAAGGAGCACTAACTAACCCGGTTTTTGGAAGTCCGCAGCCATCTACTGCAAGATGGACCAACAACTTATAGAAAAGTATTCCTCAATTTTATAAATATTTGTATGTAAATGTAACAGTGCAGTTTAAGTACTAAATGAATTATCAAATTAATAAATAAATAATCTTAATTATCACCTGCCTAGAACTTCTCCATCACCCAAAGGTGTTCAGAAAATGCCTACTGCATCATGTCAATTAGCCGCAAATGCAAAATAAATAATAACTCATTTTCATAGCAGTCACAAAAGCCTTTATTTAATTTTCCAGGACGCAAAACCACCTCCCAAGTTCACCTCAGTCTTCGAAGCGGTGTCCGACTCCACACTTTGCCCACAATACAGTGGACGCCCCGTTGGTGAGATTAACTGTCTAAAGCTGAACGTCTACGCACCAAATAATATCAAACCTAAAGAAAAACTTCCCGTCATGTTCTACATTCCTGGTGGCGGCTTCATCGGAAACAATGGCAACAGGGAGATGTTGGGACCTGAATTATTGATGAAACATGACATAATCCTTGTAACCATCAACTACAGAGCTGGAATCTATGGTTTCCTGTGTCTAGATATACCTGGTTACAATAATCAAGGATTAAAAGATCAGGTATTGGCTCTGAAATGGATCAAAGATAACATAGAAAGTTTTGGTGGAGATTCCAATAGAGTTACCGTGTTTGGACAGTCTGCAGGTGCTATGAGTATAGATATACTGTTTCTTGTAAAAGAACCTTTATTCCAAAGGGCTATAATACAAAGTGGGGTAGCACTCACACCTTGGGTTATCGCAAAAATGAATAATTCAGTACCCATTAATGTAGCTAAAGAATTGGGTTTTAAAGGTGATGATGTAAAAGCAGCTTTGGATTATTTAAAAACTTTTAAAGCTACAGATGTACTTGAAGCAACAAATTCTTTGAAAATTTATGATACTAATAACCATCCTTTAACAAAACCGTGTGTTGAAAAAGAAAGTGAGGTCGCTATTTTGACAGATTATCCAGTAAACTTAAAGCCCAAAGTTAAAGATTTAGATATCATGATCGGTCACACGCTGAGAGAGGCATCATTCAGATATCCAGTTTCTGATGAATCGTACTACGATAATTATGTGTTTGACATCGAACTTGAGCAAGATTTCAATGAAACTTTAGACGAAAAACATGTCAGAAATTTGTACATCAAAGATGAGAAAACAAGTTTAAACGTTCGTCCACAAATTTTAGATTTCGCATCTGATTTCGCCTTTGCTCACCCTACAGAAAGAACAGTTGACAGATACCTAGAGGCAGGGGTCAAAAATGTATATAAGTATTTATTTACGTACCAAGGTGAAAGAAATATTATGACCAAGATGATGAATACAACCGATGGATCGCTCCACGGTGATGATATGGGTTATTTATGGAATGCGGACATTTTACCAGAGGAACCGAATGCAGCTGATCAGAAAATGATAGATATTATGACTAAATTGTACACGGATTTCGCTAAATATGGGTAAGTATTAGTACTTAACTCACTGGGTGACTTCCTTGTTTTTAAAAAAATGCGTAAAATCTTTTTTTTTACTTGCCTATGAACTCTTGGATTGATTTTGTGAAAAGAGATTGAAATGTGTAATTTGAAGTCGCGTTTCCTTAGGTAAAAGGAGAAAAATGGATACATACACGTAGATAAGTCATCACCTGTCAACCATCTCAAGTAATACTCAAATGAGTTATCTCCTGTACATGTCTTACGTTTCCACAGCTTTTTGTCTCTACATCTGCGGTTCTAATTGACTTATTGGTTGGTCGTGTCTAAGAAACCTCGCTATAACGAGCTCTTTAATGTTAAAGTTTATAAAGTTTCGCTGGCTTTTGAATTTAGTTGAGTTCGGGAGACGCCCGATTTGGACATCCAGTTAAAACTGAATGATATGGAGTTACACGGTTCCTTCCCATATTATGTTTTCATTTTAGGAGTCTCTTTTCAATTTCTTGACGTTTTCATTTTCATATTTATTTCAGAAACCCAACTCCTTCAGGCCCAACTGACTTAATACCTGTAAAGTGGGAGCCAGCAGTTGGTGAGCAGAGGCCGTATTTGCTCATAGATGAACCTCTTTCTCTGGAGCACATACTCTTCAATGAAAGAATGGTGTTCTGGGATGTGTATTATAAATTACACGCTGATAAAGTTAAAGGACGGGGCACGTTATAGGATTTTTATCATTATCATCAATAGCCTTTAGTAGTCTACTGGCTGGGTATAAGCCGTAAAAAGGTGGTTTTGGCCTGTAATACTAAAACTAAAATTAAGTGAATTTTACATCTTTATAAGAATGTCGTTACTGATGAACAATTAAACTAATTATAGAGACTTGAGATGGTTTTTTTTATGTGACCGACGCTGACATCACCTCTGTGCGGTTAGCCTCTGTGGTGACCGGAGGGGAATACCTGTTCCGTCCAACCGCGGTTGTAGTCAGTTGAGTACTGTTTGAGCTCTTTACAAATAAACCCTATCGTTACCGTGGGTGAGCCATGCTTATACACCAATGGGTCTTCTCGACAGGAGTGTGATACCCTTGTGTCTCTTTTAGTTGGATGTGTCCATGAACGGCAGTATTTACATACCATCACGTGACCTGCCTGCTCGATTGCTATATATTATTATTATGTCTATAAATATCCACCGTCAACAACAGCCTATAGCAGTCCACTGCTGGACATAGGCCTCTCCTTAGAAAGGAGGTTTTGGCCTACTCTACCACGCTGGCCAGACGGGTTGGTATAGTGTTTGTATCAAGTTTTCCTTCTCTTTGCAGTGCTGTTGTCCAGCGTAGTTCGCTTTCTTAGTCGGCTCTTACGACACCCACGGGATGAGTAGTGGTGGTGACACTCCGTATTCTTAATCCGTCACTGCACGTAATATCTATGTTGATCAAAAAACTTTGTTCTAGGCAAGAAAACACAAAAAGGTATATCTGTACATTTTATTTATTATTAAATAACATGCATAACTTAATTAAATAAAACTATTAAATAATAAATACATTAATAACAAAGTTCATTATTATTGTACTGTTTTCGACTATTGTTCTATGACGTATATCTACCCAGTCCTATAAGATGATGGCGTGAAGATATGAGCGCTTTTGTATTTTACAACAGTTAGTTTTTGTATTTAAAAGTCTTGCAGAATTTTGACATTAACAAAAAACTATTTAAGAAATAGATTATTTCTTTATGTCTTCCTAATTCTGAATTCTAAAAAGACAGAAACGAACAAAGAGGGCTTAAGCATAATTTAGCGTTTTAGTACATACTTAAGCAAACGGATTTGATGTGTAATCGCATAAAATAGAAGATAAAATATAATTGCAATACAAAAATAGCGAATTCAATGAATTTTTAATTACAATTTGTACCAGAGCAATAAAAAAACGCTTCGATCTCAACGCCGTTGAGCATATTTGTATCAAACAAAGCAGAGGTGTGCATCTTTGTATTCCGTTAGCATTTGTATTGTCGCAGATCTCTGACATTTGCAATACAAATATGTAATTACTAAACTAATATTCTGACAAACCCGAGGAATACTGTAGCATTTTATAAATTAAAATTTTAAATAACATTTTAAATTAAAGACTAAATTATTTTTCTCTATAATGGCTTTCATACCATAATGGCTTCAACAAACACTTGACAATGTAGGACTACTGATACAACGATGATCATTTTATACACAGATAAGGCGATTTAGGATATATTAAAAATTTAAGCCCATTAATTCGCGAAATATATAAATGTGTATGTATAAATACATCAGAAATTACATTGTATTCAATTATTTGCCGTATATCGCCTAATTCCATTCTGTTTTATATTTTTAATTGTTTATTTTATTTTTTAAATTTCAAATTAGCATGTGTATTATGATTATTTTTCAAAATAGTTTGTTCATAAGTGGCAATTGCTAATTTTAAGTCTTCCAATGCCAGGTCCTGCCAAGTGCAGGAAGTCTTTGTAAAACCTGTCACCAGTAGGTTCTTCTCGTAAGCTGATTGTAATTATTATTATAAGAAGAAATTTTATAACTATTAACATGCGAGGACTATATGTACGTAAATAACGAGTCGAGTCAATTCTCCAGTGATTTGAGAAAACAATTTCAAAAATATTTACTTGGTATTTTTAATATGTGTCGGGCAACATAAATCGAAAAGCTGACACAATCTTAGCTGTAGTTATTTTGAAGCTAAACAAACGACGTTGATAAAAGATTGAAATTAGCAAAAAAAAATCGGTTGTCTGTAAAGTCGGTTTACTGACGATAGTTGAACGTGACAACGTCATAAGAAAATACTAATCGAATAGTTGCATTTTTCAAAAGAAAATTCACTCAAGTAGGAGAGAGACAGAAGTCGAACGCTGCCGAACGCGGAGGCCGATTGTGCCTCTTTGTCGCTCGTTCCGCGCTCTCGCTTGCACTTCAAGCCTTAAATGGAACGCCTCAGAGCGAGGTAACGCCGCATGAGTCATGTTTTTTCGTACGTGCAGCCGGCTCCATCGAATTATAAGACGTTGTCACGTCAAAAGTTTCAATAAATGGTGGGAGGTTTACTAAAAAAGCGACAGAACACTATTTTTCGCTTCTCGCTTACTGCAGAACACAGACACAAGTAGTTTCAGATACATCAATTAGTTTCAGATACATTTCATATTCATACAAGTCGCGATTTAAAAAAACATTTATGGATTAGTTAAAAATACATCAGTCTCTGTCAAGTCAAAAAATTGCTCCAATTTTGCCAGGGACTGTTTTAGTTTCCTTTTCAAATGTTTGTTGAGAGACTAGATCTTAAAATATCGTTACGCCTTAGATTTGCCACTGGACTCTTCTTCACTTATACTAGTAGCCACTGATATTTCTGTCACAGGTTCTTTTACATCAAAGTATACAGCTACCTCGTTATCGTCTTTATCTATTGACTGTTCAGCTTTAGCTGGAGGAGGGAGAATTACTTCATTTCTCTCAGAACCAGCTGTCTTCAAATCGCATGGTCCGTTATGGATGTGTACGTCACGAATTTCAGTCTGTACTTGTTGAGATGCTTGTACGGCTTGGTCTTTAGTGTGATCGATTGGTTCGTAGCCTGCAGGCAAATCTATTCCTTCAAAACCATCCAGAGCTTGGCTGGAGAAGAAATTTTGGAAATTTACTTGAGGTAGCGACTGTTGGCGAATTTGATTGTGGTATTGTTGTTGTTGATTCAAAGATTGTTGTTGTTGATTCAAAGAGTGTTGTTGTTGATTCAAAGAGTGTTGCTGTTGATTCAAGGAGTGTTGTTGTTGATAGGAATTTTGTTGTTGTTGTTGGTGTGAGCCTTGCTGCTGCTGATTTTGTTGCTGTGAAGACTGTTGTGCATTTTGTTGATTGTTCTTTGATGGACCTTCTACGGCTTGAAGTATGCTCTGCAACAGACCTTCTGATAATAATTGATCGTGTGGTACACCGTCTTTACTGTTTTGATTATGTGACCCTTGAATTTGGACAGAATAAGAACCTATTTTACTAGGAATAGGTACTCCTGTATGTATATTATGGTTTGTTGCGGCAATTTTTTGTTGTAGCTCTTTCGCTTCTTGATTTAAGTCTCTGATACGTTCAGAGGTCTTTAGAATTTCATTGCTTACGTGTTGTAGTCTTTCATCTTTAATTCTGTGTTTATTGTCTAATGATTTACCCTTTTGTGCACTGTAACTTTCTCGTTTCTCATTTCTAATTTCGTTTGATGGACGATTAATGCTGTGAGAGAAATCTTTTCTAAAGGAGTCTAATATTGAATTAGAAGATTTATTCAAAGTTGTGCCTAAAGCGCTTAAGCTGTTTACATATCTATTAGCTAGATCTGCCGGGATCTTCTCCCCTGATTGAGCAGCTTTCAATATAGCTTCATGGTACGGACAGTGTTTTAAAATTGCAGCAGCATCTAAGTTCGAGAGGTTAGCTAACAAAGTGCCATCAATAGCTGAAGCCACGGCGTTGTAACTGGATCCTGATGTTACATGGTCTCCAATACCTACTGTCAATAATGGTACAGAATAAGAGTCAATAGGAGATCCGTAGAGATTAGAAGGAACTTGCTGCTGCTGTTGGAAGTTTATCGGATTGCCAGAATGAGGTAGACTGTATAAATTCGTTGGTTCTATTGATAAAGAAACACTGTGTAGACCTGGATTTCCGGTATGCATGTTGATATCTTTGACTTCTCTTATTGGTGGAGGCAGGTACGAGGGCCCGTGGTGTGCGTGATCTGAGTGATGAGCATCCTTATGCTGGACTATATGTCCGATGTGTTCAAATAAACCTTCAGGTACTGATTCTCTGAATTTGATCGGTTTTTGGGGAGAATTAAATCCAGAGTGACCTCCACCTGAATGGTATCCATAAGGCAGAGGTAGATTGTTATTGTGCTTAGGAGGAGCTCCATACTGACTTCCCCAAGGTACACCATAGAAGCCTGAAGGTGATACTAGCCCTTTAGCTCCTTGTTGTCTTAAGTTGGCTGGGTACGGTCCATTTGAAGAGAAAGAATCTAATGGTGGAGCTCCGTAGGTATCAAAAGGTTTGCCATGAACGACTGTTATGTCTCCTTGATGCCCATGATCTTGGTTTTCCGTATAGTGTGCCTCGAAAACTGTCTTTGATTGATCGATGCCATTAGAGTCACCACCAACGATAGCGTTCAAATCAATATTGGATAAAGCATCTTGGTGGACATTTGCATATCCTGTTGTTATCTGAGCTGACGAGACTTGGTGGTGATGGTCAACGTTTGGCAAAGATTGGTCAAAATGTATCTGTACTTCTTGGTGTAGATCATTTTCAAAATTTTGGTTTATTGACTGCGATAATCCAGGAATTGGTTTCCAACCATCGTAGAGTACGTGTGGCGGAGTTGGTGGAGCTGGGATGCCTGGATGAGGTGGCCTGGGGTTCGGGTCAGGCTGCGGAGGACCGTAGTGACCAGCACTACCGACGTTCTGGAAGACAATTTGATCGTTCGGACCTATTGGTCCTCCAAATACTTGGCCTGGAGGTCCATAAGATTCATTGGGCGTTGGGAAATTTGGTTTTAAATCCAATGGTAGGTTCGCTAAAGGAGTACCATAAATAGGGGCTGGTATATTCAAACCAAGATCGACATTATTATCGATTGGAGGCAACGAAAGAGCTGGAAGTTCAGGTAGAGGTGGAGGACTTGCTATTGGTGGACCATAATTAATTTTGGGAGGGCCATAAACAGGTTTAGGCGGACCATACACGGGTTTGGGTTGCGAAAATATAGGTTTGTTTAAGGAAAACTTTTGAGGTTTAAAGGGCACCCCATAGATTGGTTTCGGTAAACTCTGCTTTGGTGGGCCATAAGTCTTCTTTGGAGGTCCATATATTGGCTTTGGCTGGCTAAATTTCGGAGGACCATATACTGGTTTAGGGAGGCCGTAGGTTTTAGGAGGCCCATAAATTGGTTTTGGCTTGTAGATCGGAGGAGGTGGGCCGTGGTAGGCTTGGTTTGGAAAGGTCACTGGTGCGGGGGGCCCGTAGGCACCTGGGGGTGTGTTCTGGAAATCTTGCTGATTCGGTACTCCATACACCGGGGCTGGTATTTGTAGATCTGAAACTAAGAGAAGAATAAATGAGAATCTTTTATTCATGTTTAGGAATTTTTAAAATGACAGGTAGAGACGCGTAGCGTTATATTCCAGAAAAAGTGTCAAAAACCCATAAAAGGTGTCAGTCAGATGATACCATCGACTTATCTGGAGACCGCGATCTGGTATAGACAAGATCTACTTCTGCAATACAGTAAGTTCACAACTACGTAGGATAGCGAACAATACAAGTGAATTTCAGTGAGTATTGTTGTTAATAAAATCTCTGTCGATTGTGATAAATTACATTTATTGCGTCTTTTTCATGTTTTAAGACAACTCCCGCATCAGGAACATATCCTGTGTGGCTGGGGACTTTACAAAAATACATGAAACGTACTCAAAGAAAACACAGACTCAGAATAACAATTTGTGGATCACACAAAGTGTTGTCCCATGTGTCCAACGCTTAATCCACTATGTCACCCATACAGTCTTGTATTAATATAATAACGAAAACATAACAATACTTTATTGGAACGAAGTTCCTTATCGCGCGTTGTGAAAGGAGGCTAGACGGAAAAAATTCTCACGAAAAGTTGTAACGAAACTTTTTATGTCAGTCATTCAGCGCCATGTATCGAATAGATAGGAAATCATTACTTTTCATCTCAGTATTTATTTTGAATTGTCACTTGTCAGTCATTCAACGCCATCTATCGAATAGATAGGAAATCATTTCTCAAGGAGATTTAACCAATGTATAAATTGTTTTAATTAGAAACCAACTGAAAAATATGTAGGTAATAGCCGCTTTTATAGATGGCGTTGTAATTAAAATCGTATCGAATCAGTTTTACTCGATCGTCACAACTTCGTTCCTATCGGGTGTCCCACGACACCACACGGCTTTTTTTAATACTAACTAATGCCCACGGCTTCGCTCATGTGTTTATTTCCTAATTCGTGTTTATAGCTTTTAAAATGACCAACTTTTACACAACTTTTCATCATTTATTTTATTAGCATCAGCTGCTAAAATATCAAGTTTCTGGTCCCAGCGGTTAGGCTCTGCGTTGATGAATCAGTCAGGGCAAGTGACTTTATGTGTATAAACCAGGTTTTGAAAGCGACTTCATCCACTTGGTGGAGATCAGACATGGTAGAGGATACAATGAATGATTCATTGTATCCTCTACCATGTCCATATAGGTATATTATAGAAAAAACAGTGTCACTCTGGGAGTGCCGACAGAAGTAAAAACTTGTTTTTTTTTCTTGACAATAACAGCTTTTTCTTTTCGATTTTTTCGATACAAAAAGTTCTGACATGTTTCTATGTTGTACATATATACACAATATATGTTTATATTATATACTAGCTAGTACCCGCAACAACATTCGTGCGCTGCCTTAGTTGTTCGATTCCCGGACCGGGCAATATTTTACAATGTTTACAGAGGAAAAATAGTTACTCCTTATATAGAGCTACCTGGTAGTAAAATATTATCAAAATCGGTTGAGCCGTTTAAAAGATTACCCGGAACAAACAGACAGACAGACAAAAAGAAACTGTTTTTTAGGCATAGGTATCGTGCAAATAACCGTGTGAGCATGTAAAAAACCTATTTTTTTGACAAACAGACACTTTATTTGTATAGATAGTTGTAATATTATCAATGCATTTCAACCCAAACTCAACCCTCGTGTAAACGGAGCCGATATATGTATGTAGATACTTATATACAGAGGTGTCGGTAACGGTCACAGTGTCGCTAGTTCAATGGTCTTTTCCCATCTCACAAAATAAATTATTTTGTTTGTTGATCAAAAATGCATAACGCGCCTAAAGAACTTTTGACTTCAAATATCGATCAACGTTCGTTGCTAAGTTAAAATGGTTGGTTTACTTGTATTTGGTTGATCTTTGGGCGGGCCGTAAGCATCGGGCGGCAGCGGTTCCCCATAAGAGTTGGAGAGAGACCCTTCACGCTTCTGTGCTGTTTCTGGAAACCAATGACCGAGGAATTAATGAAAACAGTTTAGGATAAGAGATATTAAATTAAATTGTCGAGAAAATTGTCGAAGAAGAAAATTAGCTTGATAGTAATCAAAAAATAAAAATAAAGCTTTTTAAAAACAACCTTTTTTTTAAGTTATTCTCATCATCATCATCATTCATCAACAGCTTTTGATAGTCCACTGCTGGACATAGGCCTCTCCTTAGAAAGAAGGTTTTGGCCGTTATACCACGCTGGCCAGACGGGTTGGTATAGGGTTTGTGTCAAGTTTTCCTTCTCTTTGGAGTGCTGTTGTCCTGCGTTATTCTCAGCAAGCCCTTTCATTTGATACCCTTATTGTAGGAGTGTATTAAAAATGTAGTCCGCCATCTTGGGTATGCCGCCATGTTGGATTTAGAATGACGCCATACAACTAACCATGTATTGTCATCCAAACTTAACGTGCACACAAAAATTAAGCACAATCGGTTCAAGATATCTGGTGTAAAATTGAATTGCAAGATTCGACCCGAACATAGTTATTGCAAGTTAATAAAAAGCTTGTAAAATTGTAAAATAATAGTTTAAAAAAACTAAAAAACACGCCTGTTGTCAATAGTAAAAAGCACCCCACGCTTTTTTTCAAATTTATTTTCTATTTTTAAGTTTGCTTTTCTATAAAAATAGTGTTTTTTAGTTTTTTAAAACAATATTTTTTTTTTTTTTAATTTGTGTATTGTCATCGGTCCTTGTTATATGTATCTACAAAGTTTGAACGAATTCTGACCGTTTAAAGTCAGTCAAAATCACGCGCAAAGGAGTCGGTTACAAACAAACATACAATTGAAGCTAATATAAAGCGTGTAAAAATATTATAGTTTTAAAAAACTATAATAAAAACACGCTTTCTATAGAAAACCAAACTAAAAATAGAAAATAAATTTGAAAAAAAGCGTTGGGTGCCTGTTGTCAATAGTAAAAAGCAAAATTGACGGTGGTTCCTGGACTATATAGTAGAGGTAGAGATTAGAGCCGTGGGAGAATCATTTTTGTGCATGTGTTCGACTGGAATGATACCATGGCTTCACAGAAAACCGGTGTTCAGCAATTATTTCGTTGGTTTTCACCGAGTCGGTGAGGAAACCGCCTCCCACCCCCTCCAGAATCAGGGTTTAAAGTCCTGCAGGTTTCCATAAGCAGCTGTAGTCAGTTACCATCGGGTGACCCATCTGCTTGTTTGCCATTATATGTTATACTAACTGGTCCCCGTGACTTCTTTCGCGTGGAATTTGAAAGCGTTGCCTTATTGGATTCGATTCACGAACCGGGCAAAATTTTATAGGGTTTTTCTGAGAGGAAAAAAGCCTCAGTTACTCCTTATATAGACAGCTACCTGGTAGTAAAATATTATCAAAATCGGTAAAGCCATATTGAAGATTATCCGGAACAAACAGACAGACAGACAAAAAAAAATTAGCATGAAAGGAAAACCAATTATTTAGACATTACAAACAGACACTTTAATTTATATAGGTATTTGTATAGATTAGTAAGGGATCTTAAATATCTGTGCCATACCCGACTGCGAAGCTTCAGCAAGAAGGTCGTGTTCGCTATTCTTTGTCACCAGTCCTGGGTGTGTCTCCTCGCCTGCCACTGCACACAGCGTGACCAGGAGAATCAGGTACACCTGGAATTGGACAGAACTTTCTGAAAAACATATCAACATATTCCAGAACTAGACGCCGATTAGGGACAATAGAACTTCCTCTATATTATGTGCTCCTGGTAGCGGCTGATACGAGAAGAGTATTTGACGAAGAACATATAGTCAACATATAGTCCTGACGTAGGCGTGTACCTGACGACCGGATGGCGTAGTGGTTTGTGTAACGGACTGCTAATCTAAATGTCGCGGATTCAATTCCCGCTCAAGTCAAACATTTGTGTGCATTGATTTGGTCTGGGTGTTTCTATGTATAATATGTATGTATTTATATCAGTTGTCTAGTACCCATAGTACAAGCTCTGCTTAGTTTGGGACTAGATGGCGTTGTGTGAATGTGGTACAGTATTATTATATTAGCATGTGGCACGTCAATTTAAAAATTACATGAAAACGGCTACGGCTGCCATTTTTCTTATTAAAAAGAAGAACATGCTATTCCAGATTATAATCTATCTCTGTGCTAAATTTCATCCCGAACCGATCATCTATTCTTGTGTAATTGAGTCAAACATTCATACATCAATGCTCAAGCTTTCGCGTTCATAATTTCGATGAGACATTTACTGTCGCATGCGCATAAAATCTGTGAATAATCCCAATGATTTATTGAAAGTAAAAGTTATGAAGACGAATCGGAAAGTTTTGATCTATGAATGGGTTTATCCGAGACTGTTATGAGTTTATTTATGAGCAATTGTAAAATATCCATTGAAATCCCATCTCTTATAGTCGAAAGTGTCTTAGAAAATGTTACATTAAAATATATATCACAAAACTAGGCGCAACTTAGGCGGATTATATTTTATTTTATGTGGTGACGGTTTTTTTCTTTCCCATACACCTCTTTGACAGTACTAAGCTCCTGGTACCATTCAATGTCTTAGCTTTATATGACATTAAGAATACAGTAGGTCACCACCCCTATTCAGCCCATGGGTGTCTTAAAAGGCGACTAAGGGAACAAACTACGCAGGTCAACAGCACTGCAGAGTGAAGGAAAACTTGAAACAAACCCTATACTAACCCGTCTGGCCAGCGTGGTATAGTAGGCCAAAAACTCCTTTGTAAGGAGAGGCTTATGTCCAGCAGTGGACTGTTAAAGGCTGTTGATGATGATGAACTTCGAACATTACGAACTTGCATACAACCGTTCATTCCTTATTTAAACCCCTTAGGGGTGAAATGTCCAAAATCCTTTCTTACTGGGTGCTTACAATATAAAAAGCACCAGCTGTCAAAATGAGGGTCTGATGAATCAGTCAATTAGGGAAGGTAATTTTATGTTTTACTTTTACTACGTTTGCCGCGTTTCGGCAAACATAGTGTAGGACGCCCACAGGCCAGGTGGAGTGACGATTTGCGCCAGATGGATGGCAGAAGCTGGATGCGAGAAGCCAAAAATCGATCTAAGTGGCGTGCAATGGGAGAGGCCTATGTCCAGCAGTAGACTGCGATAGGCTGATGATGATGATGATGACCGGCGTGATACGGCCTCACAGAAAACCAAAACTGGAAGCTAATACATTTCCCTGGGGAGAGGGTTGGGGACGGGGTCCCTGTATTTTGCGTATTGAACGTAATGTTTGAATGTAGGGCAGACCAAGAAAGCCATGATGATGACAAGGTGAATAAAATTTGATACAATAGTACCAGGTCACCATAAACCGTAGAAGTTTGTTCTGGCTCCAAGTAAATTAAAACATTTATTAACATTTATTAACATTGAAAAAACGACTGCACGGATGGCGTAGTGGTTTAAGCTGTCACCGCGCCCTTTCCTGAATGTTGTGAGTTCGATCCCCACATGTAACAAGACTGTGTGATCCACAAATTCTTGTTTTAAGTCAAGGTATTCTTTGTATCCGTTTCATGAATGTTTATAAAGTTTTCCGCGACACAGAAAATATTCCTAGTGCAGGAATTTAAAAAAAAAGGCCCAAAAGTACCAGGGCACCATAAACTGAAGAAATTTCATCTGGATCTAAATAAATCATAACAAGCAACTTTAAAAAAAGTACAACTGACTATACCAAGACGAATATAATATGTTAATGTTTGATATATATATGTTTGAATAATCTAAATATATTTGTTTCGTTGTTTGGGTATTTTCTATGTATAACATGTGTATGTATTTACAAAAAAAAAAAGTATATAAGTGTTCTATCAGCCAACCTAACTTTCATAGTACAAGCTCTGCTTAGTTTGAAACTAGATGGCGTTATGTGGCAGATGTCGGATATATTATTATTCTTTATTCTTCATTCCTTGATTTTCTACTCTTAGGAGTGAATATTATTATCCTTTATTCTTCATTCCTTGATTTTCTACTCTTAGGAGTGGTATTCTTCAAATTTAAATAGGAAATTCCTAATAAAAAACAGAATTTTCCAAATCTATACCTACATATAAAATTACTTCATTCATTCATTCAGCAACGCAGAGCCTAAACCAGAGGCTACAAATTTGACATTTTGGCCGCTGGTGCTTTTTATGCTGTAAGCACCCGTTACGAAAGATTTTTTTTTTAATTTCACCCTCAAATTGGTAAATTAAGGGATGATAGGTTGAAAAGAAGTTGCCATTTTCAAAGTTAGAAACATCAAAAAAAATTATTACACAAGCGCGGACATTAGCTAATCGTTTTTTTTTTTATTGGGACTAATCCCACCCACACGCCCACCACTGTAACTCCTGTACACCAGGATCCACAGCAGTGACCCACGAACACACCGAGTTATGACACTCGGGAAGTCCCAGGAAGTAATTAAACTGTCTTGGAACCCGCAACGAAATGAATCAGAAGAAAATTGGAGGAGTTGGAAATACAGTAAATCCACTTCCCTCCTTAGCAAAGCGGGAAACAAAATGAAGTAAAATGGGCATACACCCTTTTAAACAGGGAAGCACCACGGCCACAAAATATTACGGGTCCTAGGTGAGCTATATTTGATTTCTATAATATGTATGGCAGAATCGCCTAAACGCACGGAAATTCACCCTAGTTGACACAAGATCCCCATAGTACTCGTATACCGCCAGATGTCACCTGCAAGCTAATGGGTTCATAAATAACAGAGTTCTGAAATAACAAGAATAAAAAAATTCAACTGAACTAAGAACTTTTTTAGTTATTTAAAAAAAGACAACACCCACATTAAGAATATATCCTGTGTTATTTACAAACATACATGTAAAGTGTAGTCCCATGTAGGGATCGAAACCACTACGCAATCCATGCAGTCAGAATCTTTTGAAGTCGATTTAAAATGAGGTATTCGTGTCACTTCCTCATGAAGTTCCGCGATATAACAACAGCGTACCTCACAGCGACTCTGTTCCGAATACTGCAAGAAAGTTAAACTGGTTTACCTAGTGATGGGAAACCGTTGATATATACTTAATTGATCACGTGACACGGAACGTAATTAGCGATAGTGATGCGCTTATTTTCCGGCTGATGTATCGATAACAGTTACCTTCTACGGTAAATAAAGGAAGTGTGTATGTTTTTTATTTGTTAATAGACTTATTAAGGTAAAAAGTCATATTTTTAAAGCACAAAAGAAACATTTCTTTTTTAATTAGACAACGCCCGCACTAGGCATATATCCTGTGTCGCGGGGGACTTTACAAACATACCTGAAACGAACTAAGAATACCCAGACTCAGAACGATAATTTGTAGGTCACACAAAGTGTCGTCGGGGATCGAACCCACAACACTCAGCATAGTAGGAAGCGGCGTGGCGACTGCTTAAACCACTACGAAATCCGTGCAGTCAATTTAGAATCTCCTTCTTTTTTTTGGAAGTTGTTTTGTTAACTAACCAAGGGAGAGCCATGATTCAGCTCAAGTTGGCTGGCTGTGTGAAGTAATTTTTTCCTTGTTTTTCACCAAGTGCAAACTCAAATCTCCTCCCCTCCCTTGATTCTGAGAGGGGGGGGGGGTAAAAGGGGGGCAACTCTTGAGTTGCAAGTGAGTTGAGTTAAAAAAAGCAGACCCTCTATCTATAATGCCCCTATGCAAGAAAAACATGTACTCCTATTTGTTTCTCTTTCCGTGTGGTGACGGATTTAAAATACGGAGTGTCACCACCCCTATTCGTGTCGTAAGAGCCGACTAAGGGAGCAAACTACGCAGAACCGCACTGCAAAAAGAACGAAAACTTGAAACAAACTCTACAGCAACCCGTCTGGCCATGGTGGTATAGTAGGCCAAAACCTCCTTTCTAAGGAGAGGCCTATGTCCATCAGTGGACTATTAACTGTTGTTAATGACTGTGATTTGTTTATCAAATCTGAGGGTACATAAATAAGTAGATATTAAAATGATAAGCTTCTTAAAAATCTTAACGATGTAAAACAAATCCCGAATGTAATTATCAAATCAGCCATTAAGTAGTAACATCTACTTGTAATAATATTCTTCCGGGAAACGGAGCCATCTTGCGCTGATGATTGATTAAGTGGAAACTATTTGAAGGAAACACATACTCCCATGATTGAGTTGTAGCCGTTTATACATTAAAACTTTCACCGTCATTCCGCCATTTTGTTTTTCTCGTTAATTTTGTATCTGTACACGATTTATAAAATTAATGGATGGATTTATTTAAGGCTGTGTTGGAATTTTGTCTTGAATATACTTATTTATTTAAGTGATTTAAGTCATCGACAGCCTTTACTAGTCCACTGCTGGACATAGGCCTCTCCTTAGAAAGGGGGTTTTGGCCTACTACTGATTTAAGTGATCTTACTAAACACGGTTACTATCTAATATTTTAGGCACACAATAGATTGAGGGGGGAAGTGTTCTCCCCTGGGATAAGGCCTGATTAGGCATGGTGTCAATTCGGGGAGGACCTGAAATAACATCGTCCGGATCCTCCCTAGAGTAGGACACCTGAGGCCGGCCGTCGGGGTGGGTTTTAGTTGAATCACCACATACTCCTGGCTCCTGAATCCCCGAGGAGCAGATGATCCGAAGAGATTTGCTAG